GACTCAAAATCAAGGCGTAGAACTTCAGTACTTTGGTCCAAATTTCCATACCCTGACAGAGTGTTGAGAACTTTGATCAGAATTTCAACGGGGAGACGTAAGCGTCAATACTGTGATCTAAATGTCAAAACTTTGACTCAAATCTCAAAACTTTGATCTCCAAAATTCAAAATCAAAATTCAAAATCAAAATCAAAATTCAAAATTCAAAATTCAAAATTCAAAATCAAAATTCAAAATCAAAACTCAAAATTCAAAATCAAAATTCAAAATCAAAATTCAAAATTCAAAATCAAAATTCAAAATATGAAATCAAAATCAAAACGAGGGAAAAACTTTATAGATACTGTAAGAGATTAGGAACCTTGAAAGCATAGAACAAATGAACAATTTTGTACATGATATGTTGTCGTGTATCGATGTCATGTTCATGATCATACAACTACTTACTCAGTCTTTTTTTACGGATAGTTCCGAGACGAAACACCTATGGTGTTCGAAGCAAAAGCTTGCATTCCGTTTTTCGGTTTGTCGTCAACTACTATGAACAGATTATCGGTTATATTTTTTTTGTCGCCATGTGGACTGGAGGCGAGGTTTTCGGTTGGCTTTTTCGTCAAGAATTTGGTCGGTCTTCGTCATGAGTTTTTTCGACCTTTGCTAAGAATTTCAATTGGTCCTCTGTCAAGAATTTCGGTCCTCTGTCAAGAATTTCATTTTTTCGTGAATCATGATTCGTCACAAATTTCGGTTTTTCGTCAATTGTCTCGGCCGCCACCCCAAATCTCCTGACGTCGTCCTCAATTTCAAAGTTGCAGTCGCAAAACGGAGTGTTTCCCGGTGTTCATTCAAACGTCATTTAGCTCTCTTCAGTAAAGCATAAGCATTTTTTTTTTCATTTTTAACGGTATCGTCTTTTGTAACTTCATTGTTGCTCTTGGCTTGGTAGTCCCCCTGTGGCTGCACACATTCGCCCGAGGATACAGGTCAAACTGTGGACGGTGAGCCAAGTCCTATCCTATCCTTTTCAAGATGTCCATCTCCACGTCGTCGGGACCTGCGATAGCAGGACTTGTGGGAGACTGGGTCGGGTCTAAGCTAAGGGGCATTAACCTTTCGGAGTGGACAAACTTTGGGCCGATTGCTGAAAGCTTTCGGCAGCACATGGAAGAACGCAGGAAACAGGAGTTGATACTTCGAGATAAGTTATGACCTCTAAATCGATTTGTTTGCACTATGTACATGAACCACAACCACATTTAATTCAAAAAATTAGTAGGGATTAGTTTTCCAGTGGACTCACACACTTGTCTAGGTGGCTGTTCCAATACTTGTTTGATAAAAGTCAGTCATCAATAACTCTCTCTAAAAACTCCCGAACAAGAGCCACAGCAGAACGATTCGAACCCTTGCTCTGCTCCGCAAAGATCATTCGAGCAAAAATTCTCAGACCCTGTTCCGGCAGATATGTTATGGCTTCTAAATTGTTATAATAGTACGCTTGATTGCACGAAGAACTTATTACTTCGAAAATGAGGATTTCAGAACGAAAGCTTGTACTTGTTCCTGTTTGAACCATAAGCACACAACTTAGAATCCTCGTCCTCTGTATCGTCCTTTACAAAAACACCCTTCTAATCATGCAATTTTTTCAGTTTCCACGTGGGCGAGTGAACCTTTTGAGGAGTCAATTGGGAAGTTCTTTTTCGTCGCCGCCTCACGAATCAGCGGATCCCGGCGTGAGGGTCGCACTAGCAAGACGGTACGGAGAAACGCTTTCAGGGAAAGATGAGAAGTTATGGAAGGGGCTGAATGAGTAGTCGTGTAAGTGAGGGAGCAGAGTCTATTAGGTCATTCAGGTACTATCAATAGGGTTTTTAGCAGTTTGTGATCGAAGATAGATTTGAATTCATCCCCACATAGTTGGTGATCGAAGATAGATTTGATGAATTCATCTCATCTATCATCATCATCGTCTGCACATGTAAAAATGTTTGTTAGGGATCTTCAGATGAAATCCTTGCGCTAAAACTCAATCCAGACTTGGCTTTTTACACTGCCGCAGAAAGAGCTGGGATGCGAACGCCGGTTTTAGGTCGCTCTGAGAAACCTCAAGACTACTGGAGGAAGTTCCCCAAAGTGAAGCACAACCCACACAGAATGGGACTGATGTACTATAATTGAATTTGATTTCTTAGTCTTAGTTTTTTATAGTAGGGTCGATCATGGTCATGATGACGTAAGTACATGATATAGGAAGATCGATCATGAACATGATTGATGTTCATGAAGTACTTGGGAATGATCTTAATCTGTTTGTCATCATGTTGGCTCTGTGATATTGTCATCCGTAGAGAAGAATCGTCTTGTTTTGTTCTACTACAGCGTGGTCATGACTTACAAATTCTTATGATTGACAATCAGAGGGAGAGACTCTCTCGAACAAGCTTCGTGTTGAAATACTATCAATGAATTCTCAACTACGACCTAATATTTTTTCCCCCACCAGGACTGGCGACGTCAGCGAGGACAGCGAAGACATGGAGGACCCAAGTTGTGCATCAGAATCATCGAACTATTTGACAGCCTGTAGTGCTACACCTGCAGAGAACTCGCAAGACTTTTATGAAGATTAAAAGAATAGGTAAATTTATTTGAAGTTTGTTCTAGAAGTTCTAGTGGAGGATGACTAGAAATAGATGGAATCGCTCACCGAGCTCGCATGTGGTAGAAGAAGGTGTCATGACTAGTACTAGTAGGATTCTGAAGATCCTCAAGATTGTCATCATCTCTGGGTAAGTACCAAAACTATGATTGAATACGAATAGTAGAACTTATTCTACCACCCAGCACGCGCTCCGTCCTGTCCCCACGTCTAAATCAAGGGATCCTACGAAGCTTCTTCCGATGGGAGCCCACTTCCTGGTAGTTCGCAGACTTCGGGGAGCATGCATATGCTGCAGACCTCAAGTGTGAAGGAGGCTGAGGACACCACTTCTACGCGGCTTTTCCTCACCACGACACCTGGGGAGTCATCTTCTTGCAAAGAGTCAAAGCATCCCTTGCTGGGTTCTCTAGAAGAAAAAAGGCTTGATTTCGATGAGGTTGAAGATCTACTCGCGAAGCACTCGTCGGCTTCGATAAAAACCAAGTCTGCCTCTGCGGTTGAAGACGAGCTTAATAGCTACGTTCAGAAAACGACGAATGCCAAGTCTTCGTCGGTGTTTTTATGGATGGGACTCATTACTTTTTGATATAATGGAGTTTTTGCTTGGTTCTTTCTGGCTCTACGAGTAGTTGAGAATATAGAATCTCAGTGAAATGGACCACTTACTTACCCCCGTCAACATTGTGTGGCCGTGAGCGTGACGAGGCATCCTAGGTATCCTATTCTATCCTATTCTATCCTATTCTATCCTATTCTATCCTATCCTATTCTATCCTATCCTATTCTATCCTGTCCTATCCTATCCTATTCTATCCTATTCTATTCTATTCTATCCTATCCTATTCTATCCTATCCTGTCCTCTCCTGTCCTGTCCTATCCTGTCCTATCCTGTCCTATCCTGTCCTATCCTGTCCTATCCTATCCTATCCTATTCTATCCTATCCTATCCTATCCTATCCTATCCTATTCTATTCTATCCTATCCTATCCTATCCTATCCTATCCTATTCTATCCTATCCTATTCTATCCTGTCCTCGCAGATACTGAATTCAAATTTCAAATTTCGTCTTGAAGACCATCTAACATCTCCAGAAGTAAAGAAATCCCTATCTCTTGGGTCTACGAGAGCTTCGACGACCTCCGGTGCCTTCCAACGCTATGCTAAGCCCTGGACGGTCGGGGCTAGTGTCAACGACTTGAGTCCGATTCTCGTCAAAAGGACTCAGTCGTTGGCTGTACTAGGTGGAGGCTGTTGTACCAGTAAGGGGAAGAAGGTGGAACTAGAAGAAGCGAATCTTCACTGTCACAAGATGGAGGAGGAGGAGGACGTCAATGCAAAAGTTGGAGATGAACCGCGACTTGTTGCAGATGAAGAGGACAAGAAGATGGACACCAGCGTCAGGGAAGTAAGGGAAGGGCAGGAGAGCAACGGTGAGGACCATGGTAACATCAACAACAGGTTCGAGAACGCAGGGGTAGGAAAACGACAGCAGCATAATGCCACATCGCCAGACAGATCTCTCCGCGCCGTGAAAAGATCGAGACGCTAAGATAAGTGGTACCATAGGTTTTAAGCATGTGATAGTGGTTGTACGAAAATGAATTGATGAGAACTTTTTTTGATTAGTTCCATCCCTTGCTGAACTATTATTTTTGACAGTAAATACAAGGTTTTGAGCGATGAAGGGAGAAGTTTCCGTACAGTATACTGAATTCTCAGTTGGTACAGTATACTGATTTCGAAGTTCCTCAACAAGTACCGCCTAGTGTTGGTCACCTTCGTACTTAGTCATTTTACGTTAATAATAAGAAATACTACCGCCCGGTGATAGTGTGATGAATTTCGAGTAGACGAGTATGCTGAAGTAACTAAAAAGTATGAGTATCAGAATCAGACCTTCTATAGATTCAAAGGTATCTAAGGGTGCAAGCTTGGATCGATTCTAAGAAACGTGTGCACAAGTGGAGCGACTCAGTGAACTTAATTTTTAGAACTACTTTTGATTTATGTCCAGATTGTGCTTGATGTATCTTTTCTCTGTGGGTCTTTTAGAGCCAATCATTCTTATAACCTAATTCTTTACCAAGTAGTACTAGATCACATAGGTTAACGTTAAAAAGTATAGTAGAATGCAAGAAGAGTAATAGAGTTTATCATGAGTTGTAACGGGTCTTCGAATCCTTTGTTGAATTTTGCAGAACTTTGAAAATTGATATGAGTGCACATGCACGCGGTACAATCTATCCGATCCAGGCATTAGCCGGTACCCACCGAGGAGCCTTCCACGCTGCCTTCCAAGATGAAGCGAATCGTGGAGTCTGAAGATTTTCAGAGTTGATAAGTAGGAAAGTGCACTTGAATGGAGCGGATGAAAGGGTTTGCTGGCAGAAAATCTAGGACAAAAAAAACGAGTTTTTTGTGAGGACTCTCATGGTGTGAGCGAGTGTTGAGATGAAATTTCTCTTACAAAGTCCTGTGAAGCTTTAGTTCTGGCCCCCGAATTCTCTGCCCTGCTACAGTATGGTCCGATTCATTCACGAGTAATTTGAATCAATCGGTTACGATTATCAGGTTCCTACTTAGAGAAAACTACAACATTAGTCGATGCCATTTAGCACACTAAGATGGCCCTCCTCGGAAGCATTCCACCGAGACCTAGCCCGAATGATGTCTTGCTAGCGCAGCATCGGCAGCCACTGAATATGCCTGTGCTTTAAGGTGACCGTAATGACGACCCGGCGACTTGTCAGCGCATGTTCGCATTAGGAGTGATCCGCTCAGAACAGGAATTTTATGCATGGCTAGTCAATCACTTTCGCGTGTGGACTGTGCATGGATGCTGTGTGAATTCCCCACCTCAGAAATAGTAATCAAGGAAAATTCCAGACACAGAAATGGAACAATGAATCCACTCAAGCAGCATGGATAGTGAAGATTACCTAGCGTTAAGACTGAATGGAGCTGGTTCGGAATTTGAACCAGTACATCCGCAAACACCACCCTCTCGGAAATCCAGTCGGCGTGGTCAGCATTGGCGTTATAATATTCACTTGTGGGCTGCTCAGCTTCCCGTTTCTACTGATTTTTCTTCATGTGGCATGCAAGTATCAGGAGTAGAGAATGCGTGAAGCCATTCAGAATGACCCGATTGTTAAAAATTATGGCTAATATTTTTCCCGAACAAAGATAGTATCTGAAGGGAGCGAGGAGCCACAGAAGCTGTCAAAGTTGCCTTAAATACAGCATAATGGTGCATCAGAGACCTATTAGGAGAAACGCAAAGGGACAGTAAAACTGTGTCCCTGGCATTGCAAATATGACAGTTCGGATCTACGAAACTGTGGTCAACAGTACGCTATGCCTCCACAACAACCTCAGATTATGGGTAATGCACAAAGGATGCTGTAAAGAAAATTGGGGAGGAAGTACACAAAATTAGGGCGGACGCCTCGTGCTGCCTAGAAAAAGAAAAAGGGACGCTATGAGTGCACTTCAGGGTAATACGAGTAGTAAGTACGTAAAAGACATCGCCAGAATCAAAGTGAACAAGAGGGGGCAGCATGATACTCAGAGGAAGAGTACTGGAGAAGAGTGGAAAATAGGAGGGACTAGAAGTGGTCCTCTGTCTTTCGGTGGAGATGCTCTGTGTGGAGGTGCACTGCAACAAAGGCGAAAAAATGGGAAATACATCCACAGTTGTATCGGAAAGATATCAGTAAAAAAAAGTAACCTTATAGCTGAAAATAGGTACTTAACAACTACAACTGAGAACTAGTACAATTGCAAACAATGGCTCCCAAAAAAAATGAGCCCCCACCCCCACCTGCGGAGGATGAGGGGCCTCCTCCACCGCCAGAAGTTTACACCAAATGCTTCGAAATAGATGGTACTTAGTAGAAGGTTATACTGTAGAATGAAGTAGTACCCCCGTACTGTTGACTACATAATATTATACGAGAATGAAGTGCAATTGTAATATTGGTTTTTTGCGACATTCCACTACATGGAGGTTGACATATGTTTCAGGGTCAGGTCACCAGTTTCATCGCTACAATACCTTCCAGTTGAATCATCACATACACATCACATACACATCTACGTCTTCTTTCCACCTTCCCTCATCAATTACAACCACCCAGGCCAGCTCTACTACGGCGATGTTATCGAAAAGGTTCCTGCTGAAGGTGAGGAACCAGGTGAGGGGGTGACGAGCTACGTCCAACACGGGAAGGGAATGACCATATGGTCAAAGAAATCACGGAGTGGAAGGCAAATCGTCTTCAAAAAACATCAAGGTACCCATTAACATAGTTGTAGAGAGTGTTTACTCATTTTAGTTTTATTCGAAGAACGTTTTATTCGAAGAAGGGGTCGTGTTTTATTTGAAGAACATTTTACCTTTAAGGTCGTGAGGGAACTAATTCACTGTGGGTCACTGTCATTCAAAGGATGAAAGACAACAATTTTTAATAAGAAAGTATGAGTACTATCTATTAGTATTTCATTCCCACCAGGTGATTATCTCGAAAACGAGATGACGGGGGAAGGAACGATCGAGTACTATGACGGTTCAGCGTACAAGGGCCAGCTTGAATTAAGGCTTGTTCTATATTAAGTTGAGCCATCGTACGTCGTCTTCAGGAGTTTCAAAGAACCCATCTTTGTTCCCAGAACAACAAAAGAAGCCAAGAATGGACGGGAAAGGTAGAAATAGGGTGCTTAAGTGGGAGTTGTCTATCTCCACCAGAATGGAATATCTCATCACGTGATGGATTTTGTCGTGCATGGAAACTCTTCTAATCAAAAAGGGGAATTTCGAAGGAGAGGGTATCTACACGTGGCCAAATAAGAGCTTTTACACAGGACAATGGCTGGGAAACGAAATGCACGGATCAGGGCAATTTCAAGTGGATTGGTCTGGTATATTGAAGAGGGGTTTTCTAGACTGTTTGTCTTTGATTCGCGTAGGTATGACATTGACAATTACTGGTCTTGCCTTTGGCAGTTGCTAGTCTATGGTGGAACAGTAGTTGTTATGTGTTGGCTTCCTACTGTGATGTGAAATTAACGTACGATCGAATTCCTCATAAACAAACAAGATCAACAGGCAAATTCCGAGCTGGAGCCTTCCACCGAAATTGCGTCCAGAATATCCGACAGGATAAAGACGAGAAAAAATGGGTGGACATATTGGAGGAGGTGAATCAAATCGAAATCGAGGAGTTGAGCAAAACAGCTCTACGAAACGATATCGCTCTAGACGAAGGCAGCGTTGTGGTGACATGTAGCACACCAGAGTTATGAGAAGGTTTTTGGTTGGGGTTGGCTGTTGTTGGATGTTTGCATGATGTTTGCTGGTAGTAGAAAAAACTTCTTAATAGACCAGATCATAAAGAGTTTTGATCATGGTACTAGCAGCTAGGAAGTGCTTCGAGATACACAGTTTGCATGCCCATCTTCTAACTCTGGAGCTGCAGAAGTGCATTCGGACAATGATAGACGAACATAACTTAGTCCCCCTCCTGGTGCCGGATCATAGCTTCGGAAGTGGTAAACCTCGTGATCATTTCCTGTTGTTATGAAGTCTCTTTACCTGCTACCCTTACTTTTTCTTCCTAGTTAGCTTGGCTCCACCCGTAATATTGACCTTGTTTGCTGGCAGGGGACTAGTACTGTCTAAGACACAAATGAATGACTTGTTTCCGATGGAAAAAGACAACGACACGCTACAGGTAGTTTCTCCCCAATGGACTGGATTCACATGTTAGCGGAGGCGAAGACAGCTGCTTATGCAGACGAAAGAAAGGCTGCCGAGGAGGCCGCAGAGGCGGCAGACGGAGGCGAGGGAGAAGCAGCGGAGGAAGGAGGTGAAGAAGAAGGGGGTGCGAAAGTTATGATTCGCTTTGTTCCCCAACATAAGTAATCCTCCTGAGCGATGAAAGAGTATCTCATTCATTCTGAATATAGGTATGAGCTAAGCCTGCTCTACCTAGATCAATTAAAGTGGGATTCTAGGGTAATTGGGGAGGCTCGTGATCGGACAGACAATGGGTTCAATGCGTAAGTTCTTGTTGTACTAAATTCAGCACGAAGGTGTACTAGTGAAGAAGTACTTAGCTTCTAGTTCGTAGGAGTGCAACGAACTCCTAATTGGACAACCTCTTTCCAACTGATCATGTTGGTAAAGAAGTTGGTCCCCCATATAAGATTAAGAAGTCTCGAACTGCATAAGGTTAAGAAGTCTCCCCAGATGTTGATAACAACACCGAGCAGAGGACTACTTACTATTGCCGCATACCTTTACAGGTTCACTCATATAAAACATCTAGAATAAACAAAGCACTAGTCGTTGTTCCCCTTTCATCTCTGCAGGAGCCTCCCGTCAGAAAGTAGTGCCTTTGTGGCAGACGCCGATTACGACACTGCAGTCGCGAACAGTGCACGTGGGCCACATTAGTAAGATGAAGCGGAGAGGCTACGACCACTCGACGCCGCTTTTTACTGCGCTCCAGACTTCTCTTCTAGCAGAGGAGACTTTTTGTTAGGGACCACAGTGATGAGAAAGTTACACTCATCGTCATCTCAAGCACTGCTCTCTCCGCTGCAGAGCTTATTACAGGAAAGGGGGGATGTACAATGACAATGAACATACAACGTTATATAGGGGTGCACAACGGCTGAGAAAGATCGCTCAAGGTCGTTTGGAATTACATGGTTATGTGTACAACAAGTAGGATGGTGAGTTGAATTGATAGAAGGTGACATTTTTAGATTCGTTAAAGGAAAATTTTGGAACTCTCCCATCTCTAAGGCACTCTAGTTTTCGACCAGTACGACGACGTCAAGCTGCCAAAAGACAACGACATACCTCTGCCACTGGAAAAACGTAGTTTGTAAGTTTTGATGTTGTAGTACATCTAGCCAAAGATATTGATCTTTGTAGTACAGTACTAGCTATTATTATTGGTATGCAAGTCTAGCAACATCCGTTCATTACTTTAGCACGTATATACTTGTCACTACAGCCCCAGCCTCACCGAATCCTGGGGACCCAGCAGAGGACGAAATAGTTGCGCCGGCGCCAGTTAGTATCATGTCACGAGCCTTGGAGTTAGAGAAAGAACGGCAGAAAATACACAAAGAAAAACCGGCACCTAAAGTTACGAGAAGTCAAGTAGTTTTTAGAAAACTGGGTGATGGATTTGTAGAAAAGAATTCAGTGTAGTTAATAGCACATCATTATTTTCATGGCTGGTGCGTCGAACTAAATCGAAAAATTTGTAAATGTAAATGTCGTAAAAAAAACTCCTCATATTATATATACCAAAAATGTGGCTCTTTCCCTCACTCGCAGATCCTTCCCACTCCTCTCTCCCCTCACTCCTTCATACCTTAGTGGCAATTGAAAGAGTTTTACGATGAATGCAGCTTGCCGATTCGGCTCTTCAACCCGAAGCTATTCCACAGCAAACAGGGAAAGATACATGAGTTGATCCTAGACTACGCCTTGAGTCGGGAAAAGAAAGTGGGGAAGGTAGAATTGTTCTTGATTGAAATTATACCATATCTCTGTCAAGTAAAAAAAATCGTAATCTTTGTTCTTGTGGAAGTAGATGTGATCTGGTGTTTCATCTTCTAAGAAAGAATACCAATACTCTTTGGAAGTGGAACATCTTACTAGATTGATATCCTGATCTTCTAGTCGTAAGCTGCGAAAGTTCTTCACGAGGCTTCAGTTTCTTTCTCATATTCTTTTCTACGGACTTGCTTCTCGACATATATCAAACTACCTATTACTTACACAGATCGGCATCCCCCCACGACCGGAGGGCGAGGCGGCACCGCCAGAGGGCGAAGAAGGCGATCCGGGTTCCGTTGTCGGCCTCGATATTCATGGTGACGTCGTCGACGAAAACGTCTTTTACCGATTAGACTTCGTTTATGGCATAGGAGCGCTACCTCCTTTAGTAAACAAGAGATCTGGTTTAGTAGATGTAGACATGAAGATAAGATTAAGGTAGATGAAGAGGAGTTGGAGTCTAGGCAAGCTGCCGAATAGATCCGAGTCATGAGTTTTAGAGGAATTGGAATTACTGGCGTTACAGTAAGAGTACTACTAGTTGAGGAACTAGTAGGTCCTAGAGGTAAGGATTCTGAACTCATCATTCAAATGTAGTAGAAGATTAAGGTTTTTTTGCACTTAAGTTTTGATTGTTTGATCCTCCACTGACGAGAATTTTGAGCCTCCTACTTTCTCTAATGCCCACTCGTCGTTGACCAGCCAGTGGTGATCCGCTACGAAGAGACCAGAGAGGTTGATGTGCACACGCAACTGGCAGAGCGTTTCGGTGAGCACTTCCCACTCCATAGATGCGGTGTGGTGTGTTGTACTATGGGAAAGTGAAACCACGTCGCATTATGGTAAATAATGCATAGATATGAGAACAAAGGCTACTATGATTTTCCTAACTACTAGGACCATGTTGATTTTCAGAACTCTTTGTGATGAAGATGAATTCGAGTCTAGATGATTTTTAGAACAAGATCTGCTGATATTACGTAGACAGTATCATGGAGCTGAACTTGTGGAAGTTGACATAATGGATAAAAACAATATTCACAACCTAAACAAATCAGACCTGTCCTTGTGAGACATTGCTTTCCTCGTTTTTTTTGTAAGTGCTTGTGGTCCCACCAGGTGTGGAGGCTCAGCGGCGGCATCCTATCCTATCCTATCCATCGACGAATGAATAATGTGTCTGATGGATTTTTCTAGTCACAGAGATCGAAAAGAGAAGGAACCGGAACACGCCTTCCTCAGAGGACAACAAGGTGGAAGAACAAATACAAGATGAGGTCAGAAGGGAATTCAATACAGTGACTGCCGAATTTGATTTGAGGCATGAGAAATATGGGTCACTTCTGTTCTTGCTTGATTCTCATGCCGTTCTTGCTTGATCGAGATTGTATTGATGGTAATCCAGGGTTCATCAACGAGATGCAGGACTAAAACATTCAAAGGCGAGGATGAAGAAAAACTACATGTCTCGTCTTCATAGATCGGTGCTTTATAGCTCTCAACCTCTTCAAGGTCATGTCATATTGTTGATGGTTCTATGCGTATGCTACCACGAGAATGCTCTGAATGGTTGTGAATAAGAATGTCTTTTCTACCATACCACCCCACGAACCAGCGACCCCTTGACATTTTCTTGCCTGATGATGAAACGACATTTTTTACTACATTTTTTACTCAGTTAAAATGCAGTAAAAGTAGAGCAGTTGAAACCTTCATACTAGGTGGATGGTTTCCATGGTTGTCGTTCATCCATCCGTAGGAGCATTCTAGAGGATTGAAAAAAAACCCATCTATTGTTTTCCCTCACTCATACTACTCATACATGAAGATCAAGATTGTTCGAAGTCTAAATTTTAGTCCCATTACCTCCTTTTTTTATGACGAGGATAATGTACAACCAACCCTCTCTCGACTACTTCGAATTCTGACCAATTACTACATTAGTTACCATCAACTAGTGGGCCCACACCTAACCCAACCTAACCTAACTAACTAATATCACTCAGTTGATGTAGACACATAAAAAATGGCCGAGCAGCAGGTTTTGCCTTTCAAGGCGTATGAGGCGGAAGGACCAAGAAAGAACTGGAGGGCGTGTTTATTAAGGGTCACCGTGTTGCATTCTTCACTACCGCTCTTGACCTAATTGTTCATCGTAAAGTACGTATGGAAAGGAGCCTCTAAGTTTGTTCTGAAGAATGCAATTGCGGAACCGCCTCTAAGTTTATCATGCAAATTACTCTTGACAGTGGACCAGTACGCGCGAATCGGTTGTCCGAATTGTCCGCATCTACACCTCGACGAAGAAGACGAGGAATTGATCTTCAAAGCGACGACGCCTTCGTAAGACGATACTATCTAATATTAGCTAGATGATCGATGTTGATATGAATTGTACCATACCATCTTCATACGCACTTTCATCAGGTGGACTGGCATATTATCGCATTTCCAGAGAGGCGGGTGGTTGAAGCGAGCAACGCATATCCCGGAGACTAGTGTTTTTGTTAAGGCCTCACGTGATCCATCTTTCAGCTCATCTCCGAGGGAGCTGCTTTCAACTACTGTGAGCCGTTTCCAAAGACATAGATGAGGACACAGATGAGCAGGAGGCAAAAGATGGGCTGTAGTGAGTTCTAATTTCGGTTGTTATGCAATCAACGTTGCTGGTCCCACAAAAGGGTTTGGAAATCCTAGTGCTACTGCCAATGGTCGCGCCGGAGGGTCGCAGCACAGAGGACACGCAGCTAGCTACGACGAGGAGGATAGACTGCAATTGAATGCGGATGAAGACCTGCTGGGTGGTGATTTGGAGGGATTCGTGGTCGGAGATGATGTGGAGGACTGATTCTTGTAACCCTTCTTAGGGACTACATTACAAGAGACTCTGTCACATAGATGCATCCCTTCAAGCAATACATTACAGGAGACTCTTCCTAGGAACTACATTCCAAGAGAAATAGAGAGTTGGCGATCCAAGAAGTACTTGTTGAACAACTCGTCCTTGATGAAGATGAAAGAGGGGAAATCTGCTAGATTCCTATGTTGACAGTATCTCCACCTCATACGCGAAACAGCATCATTTTTTCACCACAAAGATGGAATTGAGGTACCAAGAAAGTAACTGACGTATGGAACACGATGTGATTCTTGTGATTACGTCGAACCACATCGAAAATTGAGTGCCGCTGCAGGACGAGCGTCACCTTAATACAGTGTTCGCCATCTTCATGAAACCAAGCTACAACGTTATCTGAAAGCAAGCTAAGTACACTTGCAATGAATGATGTTAATGTTTGTCAGAGCGAAAACAGTTACAGTACATTGTTGTTGATCTTTGATAAAACAGGTAGGGCGACAGGCTGAAGAACAGTGTACTTAGATGTACATCACAAGTTCTTCACGTTTTGTTGATCTAGGAGAAGGAACCAACATCACCGTCTCAAAATCCAATGTTTTCGACGTCCTTGTAACAAGCACGAATGCCCTTTCATGCCTGCGTCTGCCGATTGCTTACTACATCCTTTTGCGGTACTAGTACCAGCTGATCTTTATGCCGTCCGGCAGCAATTATACCTTCTAGTAGTGTACCAGATGAAGCAACGCTGTCCGTAGTGGTAATATATTTGCAACGATGTCTCGCGGTCAGCGTTATTTTGCCTACAACTGGGCGGTGCGTGGAAGCACAGCAACACAATTGTTGTCGCTGCTTCTCTCATTCCTGCTTTACGTCAATGTCAGGGTTTTGGTTCTGTCCGAGACCGAGCTGCAAAAAGAGAAATCATCGCTCGACGTCGACGCTGAGTTTCCTGACATCATACCTCTTCTGCAAGCAACTGATGGGAATGGGGGAGGAGGAACAACCACAACGTTTCGCAGCATCACATATGGGGAGAAGACAGATCAGCGGACCATCACCACAAATGGGAAGACAGATCCGCAGACGGGTCTCGAAGTAAGCGAAAAAGACGAGGATGAAAGTCTAATCTTCATTTTTCTTGATGAAGAAGAAGACCGAAAAGATCTTCCCGTGAGTATCGCTCATCCCAAATTGGCACGGTTGGGCGTAGAGCCTGCAGCCTCATCCTCAATCATTTTCAACAAAGATATTGTGGGTGGCAAAGAGATTGGACGCGGGGGCAAAGGTCGCATATTCCAGATTGAAGACAGTAGCACGAAGAAGAAAAGAGCCCTGAAACATGTTGTAGTTCCACTTGACCTAACTATTGAAGAACAAAAGAAGCTTTTCCACACAGTTCCGGAAGTGAAAACGGGTGGTGCCGATAAAGTAAATGTGGATAAGCCAATAACATCTTGGGCTGTGGACAGTGACAACGTGTACAGAGACACACTTTTGACATATTTTATACAGCGCGTCCCTCTAGTCGTACAGGCGCTGAGAGAAGCCTACGTGGCCCTTGACATCTCTAGCCATGAGCCGCACCCCGCATGTTGCGTCCAGACCTACGGCGTGTACGTCGCTTTTTCGCGTACCACACAGTTTCGGAAAAGGAGTAGCGGCGCTCAATATGGAGACAACCAGCCGATTCCACTTTCTTCTTATCGTGTTCATTTTATCCACGAAATGGAACTAGTGCAGAATGGGGATTTCTCACAATTTCTGCCGCCCAGTATCCCTATTGCTGTTCAGTGGCCAATCTTGGTAGGCGAGTTCTTCAGGGATGCAGCAAAAGCTGTGCAGGAAATGCACGGCCTCGGCTGGACTCATGGTTTATGGCCAAACATTTGTAGAATTCTCCCGCAAGATAGGCCAATGACCTTCAGGCCGGAGCCGCAGTGCGCGGGCCGAGGTCTTTAGAGTCTTCATTAAGTGCTCACGACCCCCTGGTGTCGCTGTCGCTCTCGCGTATTTTTCGACAGCTGGACGTTTCTTGTTCTCCATTATTCTCCCTTCGGATTCTACTTCTAGCATCCTCCTGTCTCTTGCCTTGTAGTTCAGCATTGTCATCACCATCGTGATCACTTCCTTCTCGCTTCCTTTTCATGTTGCGACATCAAGCCGGAAAACCTCCTACTCACGGCGCCTCTTAAAGCCCAAAGCGATGGGGATCACGCTGAGAAAAGGCCCAGGCTCAAACTCGCGGATTATGATTTAGCACTGCCTGTCAAACTACACCGAGAAAAAGATACTGCAGGGACTCCAGCCTATGTGGACCCAGAGGTAGAATGCATCGGCGTCGCCGACGCAATCGCCGCAGATTGCTGGTCAGTCGGAGCGACACTCTACGAGATTGCGTCATTTTGCTGGGGCAATATTGATGGGAAGGCGCCCCTGGATGGGAAGACTGAAAAACTGCGTCAGGAATGTGGAAATTGGGTCAAGACTAAGATGTTATCGGGAGGAATAGAGACAACTTATGACTCATAGTACTCATTGCTCACCAGGCACCATTAGCCTAGAATATCCCTGCTCTGTGTTTTTCCAGTATACAAATCGTGAAGCGTTCTTCCAATAAATACTGCACCAAAGCTGATAAGTACTATTTTTGAACTACCAATTTTCATCATACTACTATTTGTATTTGTACTTTGTCAATGAGTGACTGACATATTTTTACATTTGCAGTGTTTCGGTTGATGCCTTTATAGTGCAGGTAATTTACGGCTTTCAGGATGCTCTAATCGCAACCTTTTCGTCCGTGGTGGCTTGGTAGGAATCGAGCATTTGCTCGTGATGATATCATTCACAAGTTGCCGACAGGGGAACCCGTTTTAAGGGAAAATTTTCCGCCCCCTTTCAATCTTCAGAACCATAATGCTGTGCGAGACCAGTGTACCATAGGAAAGTCGTCGTTTGATTGTTTCATATCAGTACTGAGGGCGCATGCTTTCAATGTGCAGCCGGGAAAACGAGACTTGGAGAAGCTGGTGGAGTCGCTGGAAGCCATCAAAGCGAAGAAATACAAAGAAGAGGCACTACAACTACCGTCGCTTTCGCCTCCCGAGGCAGTTATAGCGACCAAGACGCCCGCTACACCCTCAAATCGGCCCACTACAGCGCCAGGAGGGCGTCGTCCAGCCGGCAGAAGTAGTCTGAAAAGCAGCCTCACTCAGACCTCCCAATCTTCTCTAGTTTCCGACACAACTAAAACTACCAGCGAAGATCAAGATTCCAGTTCCAGACAACAGCTCGACGATGCATCGTCTGTAGCAAATCATCTGAACGAGGCATCTGCAGTAGACCATCCTAGTAAAAAGGGCAAGGAGGCATTTGGATCTGTCCTAGAAGTAGACTACACTGGTAATAGTGCTGCCCTTCATCAAGAAGAATCTGCTTTCTCTGGTGCAAAGAATAATGAGGCATCCGTTTTAGAAGTAGATCATACCAAGAAGGGTGCTTCATCTGCAGTAGCCCCTACTACTAGTGGCAACGCGGCATCTGTAATAGTAGACCATACAACAGATGATCCTACCAAGAACAGTGCTTTCATCCAAGGTCAAGAAGATTCTTCAACTTCATCTGGTGGAAAGGACACGGACAACGACAAGAAAACTCGTAAAGGCAAGCTTCGGAAGATCAAGAAGCACGATTTCAGTGCGTTTTTGGAGCTAGCGAGCTTCGAGAGGGCAACGGAGAGCGTCGATGCGACGTCGGAAAGCGTCGAAGCGGCAGCTGAAGGTGTTGATGCGGATACTGCAGAAACCGGCGAGACTGCGTTTGGTTCTGTTATGAATATGGTTTCTTTGGAGTCGGATACTGCCAAATAAGTAGATGACCCTTCTATTAGTTTTAGTTGTAAACAATGCATTATGATTTTCATCGCCTAGAAAACAGAAAAATGTTTCGAATGCTGTCTAAAGTGCGGTAGATACCTACATATCCTTTTCTTGATAGATGAACACAGGAGAGCATATTCTTCATTCACAGCGCTAATCTTGCGACCCAAGAAAAGGCGGAGCATGATAAGGGCCAACCGTCTGCTCAGAGCAAGTATGCGGAGTCGAGGGGTGGCAACGGGACCGGCACCATGGAGCTGTGAGCTCTTGTGCCGCGCTCGTTATCTTTGAGTTACGACAACTTGTAGAAGCAGGAGTTGAAGATAAGGATCACTTCTAGGTATGATAGATTCTTGTGCTTGATTTGATGAGTATCTTGTGCTTCTGCTTGCCTTGATGAGTATTTCTTCAATCCCATGACGCTTAGGTGGTATGAACGACGATCAATCTACTCTCATCTTGTAGTCTAATCCTGCGCGGATGGAAAAGAAGATGCTTTGGCGACGACGGTTTTGTCAAGGAGAAACAAGAAACGTCAATTTACCAACGATTTTCTCGATGATGGACGCAGGGAGTAAGACGAAGGTCATTCTTGTGGTCACTGTCTAACCTTTTGTCCTTTCTGTTCCTGTTCGCTTCTCAGGACCTATGCCAAGCAGAGGTAAAAGTTGTACATTCTGATTGAACAATTCACTCTTGACGACAGAACATGGGGAAACTTGCGAGATTTCAATGCCATCAAATAATCCCTTCAAGTGGGAAGCAACATGATTTTTTTACCACGACTTTTTAAGACACTTACAATCAAAGAAAAATGCGCCTGCCGTATGGCGGGAAACGATGTGACCAATGATTACGTCGAAACGCGTCGAAACATGAACGCGGTTGCAGAAGCGTCATATCAGTGTTCACCATACTAACTTCTCGTCACACCACCTCAAAGAAATTATCATAAGCGAGGTGGACCAAGGATCTACACATGTTCTCGACGTTCTTGTGAGCACGAGTGCCTGCCACTTCAAATGCTTAAACACTACAACTTGAGTACATCCTTGTGCGGCGCGGCGCGAGTATAGCGGTTATCCAGTCGTGGTGCACAGCAGTACAGCAATCGCTCCTAGTAGTCCAGACACGACGTCGCAGTCTGCTTCCTGTTTGTTCTCTACCAACAAGAACAAAGGAACAGGACAATCCTTTTCCTTCTACCAACAATAGCAACGCATATCCCAGAAACTAGTGTTTTTGTTAAGGCCTCACTTGATCCGTCTTTCAGCTCATCTCCGAGGGAGCTGCTTTCAACTACTGTGAGCCGTTTCCAAAGACATAGATGAGGACACAGATGAGGCAAAAGATGGGCTGTAGTGAGTTCTAATTTCGGTTGTTATGCAATCAACGTTGCTGGTCCCACAAAAGGGTTTGGAAATCCTAGTGCTACTGCCAATGGTCGCGCCGGAGGGTCGCAGCACAGAGGACACGCAGCTAGCTACGACGAGGAGGATAGACTGCAATTGAATGCGGATGAAGACCTGCTGGGTGGTGATTTGGAGGGATTCGTGGTCGGAGATGATGTGGAGGACTGATTCTTGTGACCCTTCTTAGGAACTACATTACAGGAGACCCTTCTTCGGTACTGATTCTTGTGACTCTTCTTAGGAACTACATTACAGGAGACCCTTCTTCGGTACTGATTCCTGTGACTCTTCTTAGGAACTACATTACAGGAGACCCTTCTTCGGTACTGATTCCTGTGACTCTTCTTAGGAACTACATTACAGGAGACCCTTCTTCGGTACTGATTCCTGTGACTCTTCTTAGGAACTACATTACAGGAGACCCTTCTTCGGTACTGATTCCTGTGACTCTTCTTAGGAACTACATTACAGGAGACCCTTCTTCGGTACTGATTCTTGTGACTCTTCTTAGGAACTACATTACAGGAGACCCTTCTTCGGTACTGATTCTTGTGACTCTTCTTAGGAACTACATTACAGGAGACCCTTCTTCGGTACTGATTCTTGTGACTCTTCTTAGGAACTACATTACAGGAGACCCTTCTTCGGTACTGATTCTTGTGACTCTTCTTAGGAACTACATTACAGGAGACCCTTCTTCGGTACTGATTCTTGTGACTCTTCTTAGGAACTACATTACAGGAGACCCTTCTTCGGTACTGATTCTTGTGACTCTTCTTAGGAACTACATTACAGGAGACCCTTCTTCGGTACTGATTCTTGTGACTCTTCTTAGGAACTACATTACAGGAGACCCTTCTTCGGTACTGATTCTTGTGACTCTTCTTAGGAACTACATTACAGGAGACCCTTCTTCGGTACTGATTCTTGTGACTCTTCTTAGGAACTACATTACAGGAGACCCTTCTTCGGTACTGATTCTTGTGACTCTTCTTAGGAACTACATTACAGGAGACCCTTCTTCGGTACTGATTCTTGTGACTCTTCTTAGGAACTACATTACAGGAGACCCTTCTTCGGTACTGATTCTTGTGACTCTTCTTAGGAACTACATTACAGGAGACCCTTCTTCGGTACTGATTCTTGTGACTCTTCTTAGGAACTACATTACAGGAGACCCTTCTTCGGTACTGATTCTTGTGACTCTTCTTAGGAACTACATTACAGGAGACCCTTCTTCGGTACTGATTCTTGTGACTCTTCTTAGGAACTACATTACAGGAGACCCTTCTTCGGTACTGATTCTTGTGACTCTTCTTAGGAACTACATTACAGGAGACCCTTCTTCGGTACTGATTCTTGTGACTCTTCTTAGGAACTACATTACAGGAGACCCTTCTTCGGTACTGATTCTTGTGACTCTTCTTAGGAACTACATTACAGGAGACCCTTCTTCGGTACTGATTCTTGTGACTCTTCTTAGGAACTACATTACAGGAGACCCTTCTTCGGTACTGATTCTTGTGACTCTTCTTAGGAACTACATTACAGGAGACCCTTCTTCGGTACTGATTCTTGTGACTCTTCTTAGGAACTACATTACAGGAGACCCTTCTTCGGTACTGATTCTTGTGACTCTTCTTAGGAACTACATTACAGGAGACCCTTCTTCGGTACTGATTCTTGTGACTCTTCTTAGGAACTACATTACAGGAGACCCTTCTTCGGTACTGATTCTTGTGACTCTTCTTAGGAACTACATTACAGGAGACCCTTCTTCGGTACTGATTCTTGTGACTCTTCTTAGGAACTACATTACAGGAGACCCTTCTTCGGTACTGATTCTTGTGACTCTTCTTAGGAACTACATTACAGGAGACCCTTCTTCGGTACTGATTCTTGTGACTCTTCTTAGGAACTACATTACAGGAGACCCTTCTTCGGTACTGATTCTTGTGACTCTTCTTAGGAACTACATTACAGGAGACCCTTCTTCGGTACTGATTCTTGTGACTCTTCTTAGGAACTACATTACAGGAGACCCTTCTTCGGTACTGATTCTTGTGACTCTTCTTAGGAACTACATTACAGGAGACCCTTCTTCGGTACTGATTCTTGTGACTCTTCTTAGGAACTACATTACAGGAGACCCTTCTTCGGTACTGATTCTTGTGACTCTTCTTAGGAACTACATTACAGGAGACCCTTCTTCGGTACTGATTCTTGTGACTCTTCTTAGGAACTACATTACAGGAGACCCTTCTTCGGTACTGATTCTTGTGACTCTTCTTAGGAACTACATTACAGGAGACCCTTCTTCGAAACTACATTACAAGAGAAAGAAAGAGTTGGTGATCCAAGAAGTACTTATTGAACAACTCGTCCTCAATGAAGATGAAAGAGGGGAAATCTGATAGATTCCTATGTTGACAGTATCTCCACCTCAGACGCGAAACAGCATCATTTTTTCACCATAAAGATGGAATTGAGGTACCAAGAAAGTACCTGACGTTTGGAAAACGATGTGATTCTTGTGATTACGTCGAACCACGTCGAAAATTGAGTGCCGCTGCAGGACAAGCGAAAGCGTCACCTTAATACAGTGTTCGCCATCTTCATGAAACCAAGAAACAACGTTATTTGAAAGCAAGCTACACTTGCAATGAATGGCGTTTGTAGAAAGAAGAAGTACATTGTTGTTGATCTTTGATAAAACAGGTAGGGCGATAGGCTGAAGAACAGTGTACTTAGATGTACATCAAAGGAGGTGCTTCACGTTTTGTGGCTCTACACGTCCTTTTGCGGCACTAATACCAGCTGGATTGTCTGCTGTCCGCCAGCAATTACACTTTCTAGTAGTGTACCAGAAACGACGCAATGCAACTCCTGTTTGATGTTCTTCGATATTAGAGAAGCGGATATTTCTGACGAAAACAGAAGAAAATCCTTGCTCACACGTCTACATTCCTTATCCTTTCAAAGCAAGTAGTGGCAATTTCCAACGATGTCTCGTGGTCAGCGTTCTTGTGCGTACAACTGGGCAGTGCGTGGAGGCACAGCAGCACGACTACTGCCATTGCTTCTCTCATTCTTGCTTCACCTAAATGCTGGCGTTCTGGCCCTCCGCAAAACCGAGCTACGAGGCGAGGAACTATCGCTCGATGATGATGACCACCCAACCAACGTCTTTTTTCCTGAGATCATACCTCTTCTGCAAGCAAAGGATGAGACTGGGAAATCACCGTGGTCCAGCGTTGAAATGGACAAGTCTCATGGTAAGTCTGAAGGAGGCAACGTGGCACTCTTTCCTCGACCTTCGGATGCTCAAGAAGACGCTTCTACAAGGGCCGACTATCCAGTTTTTGGAGATCTGAAGTGGAAGTCGTCCGCGGAGGAGGATACACCTTCAATCATGTCGCTCGTGGCCCGCTTAGAAACTTCATCAAAAAAAGAAAGTATCAAACGCGGAGATTGGAGTCGCATATTCCACCTGGACGTACAGGGCCAAAACAATGGAGACAAGCTGAGAGCTCTGAAACATGTTGCAGTTCAACTTCAACCCATCACGGAAGACGGAGGAGAGACTCTCGCAGTACCACCTAGTGGGTCTGAATCTCCCCACACCGCCTGGGCCGTCGCGACGAACTGCAGAGGTAGACTTCTGAACCTAGTACAAGGGAGCACTTCATCTCGTTCTCGTCGTCGTGTGGTAGCGGCGCTTCGAGATGCTTACGTAGCTCTCGACATGTCTAACAGGATGACTCCGGAGCGTGCGTGTTGCGTCAAGACCCACAGTGTGCACGTCGCTTTTTCGCGTACTTTCGTGAAGAAGACTGAAACGGGGGAAAGCACAGAGCAGACAAACACAGAGTGGGAGCCTCATGATTATGCTCATTTTGTTTCCGAAATGGAGATGAACGTATTCGCCAGTCTAAATTTTGGGCGCTTTCAAGTAGGCAGCTTTTTCAAACATGCGGCTAAAGCTGTGCAGGATATGCACAACCTGGGATGGACGCACGGTGTATGGCAAGGAACCTGTGGCATCCGCCGGAGGATTAAGTCAGTAGTCTCAAAGTGTGGCTTTTGGATCTCAGTATCCACAGCCACTGACACCGTAGTTCTTGTAGGTGTAACTTACTAGTTTGGCATATGGTTTTTGCAATTTGAATTTGTAGGGCCGCCCCCCTTCTCCTTCCCTCTATTCCCTCTCTCACGTTGCGACATCAACCCCGAAAACTTCCTTTTTGCTGATGCAGCTGCTTCCAGCAATCAGCACTTGCTCGTGCTCGCAGATTTTGGTAACGCGCTGCCTGTTGGCCAGCGGCGAGGACGACAGAATGCTGGAACTATCGCTTATTTGGACCCAGGGCTGATAGAAACGGAGGACGCCTCCGTCGATGCAGTCGCCGCAGATTGCTGGTCACTTGGAGCGACGTTCTACACGGTTGCAGTACATTGCTGGGACAGAGAAGACGGTCGTGCAAGAAGCCCTCATTCCAAGACTAAAAGGCTGCTCCGCAGAGCTAAAAACTGGCCCCGAGTCATGAAGTATGCCCTTATTCTACCTGACAGGTTGCCTTATGACTTATCGCTTAGCAGGCAACATTGTCTGAGAATCTGACTGCTCTGTGTTCTTCCGAATAGCACTGCCCCGATCCTGGTAAGTACCTATCGTTAACTACTATTTTGTCATTTCTTCAACTCCTACAGAAACTATCCTGATAGACGTATCTCTGTGGTCCTATTAGGATGACAACTGACATAATTGTCTAGTAGGACAACATATCCTATGTATTAGTCATAACATGACTTCAGACTCTATCCTGGAGAACCTAATAGTAGTATCCTGGTCAATGTCTTTCTTCAACGACTGACAGAGATATTGCATTTGGATTTGCAGTGTTTGTGTTGATTTGTTTCCGCATGTGAAACGACCTGTCAGGATGCTCTAACAGCAACCGTTTTACGTGTGGTGGTTTTATCGCCAAAAATCACCGGATCAGGCATCACAGGAAGGCAACAACGAACAATTCTTCCCGCCTCCATTTGATGAGTTTGCACCTGCTGACGTGCGACAAATGTGTCTCGCGCGTAACTCTGCGTCGCGTGTTTTTACCTGTCTCATGGCAGTGCTGGAGACGCACGCTTTTAATGTAGATCCGGAAAAACGAAGCTTGGACAAGCTGAAGAAGTCGGCGGAAGCCATCAGCAACAAGGAGTACACAAAAAGGGCACTACAACTACCTCCACTTGTTCCTGAAGAAGCCGAAGCTGACTCCGAAAGCGAATCATCGTCCGATGCTGATGACTCCGAAAGCGAATCATCGTCCGATGCTGATGACTCCGAAAGCGAATCATCGTCCGATGCTGATGACTTCGAAAGCGACGAAGGGGAGAAACTATCGCTCGATGATGACAGCCACCCAACCAACGTTTTTTTTCCTCGCATCATACCTCTTCTGCGAGCAAAGGCGAATGGCGAGTCACCGTGGTGCCGCATTGAAGTGGACAAGTCTCATGGTAAGTCTGAAGGAGGCAACGTGGCACTCTTTCCTCGACCTTCGGATGCTCAAGAAGACGCTCTTGCAAGTGCAGACTATCCAGTTTTTGGACATCTGAAGTTCACGTCCGCGGAGCAGGAGAACACATCTTCAATCATGTCGCTCGTGGCCCGCTTAGAAACTTCTTCATCAAGAGAAGAAATTATCAAACGCGGAGGTTGGAGTCGGATATTCAGCCTGAACGTACGGGACCCAAACAATGGAGACACGCCGAGAGCTCTGAAACATGTTGCAGTTCGCGTTCAAGGCGAAGAAAACAGTCTTTCAGTACCACCTAGTGGGCCTGAATCTCCCCACACCTCCTGGGCCGTCGCGACGGAATGCAGAAGCAGACTTCTGAAGCTAGTACGAGGGAGCACTTCTCTTGTGGTAGCGGCGCTTCGAGAAGCTTACGCAGCTCTCGACATTTCTGACAGGTCGTGGAATACGGAGCCCGAGCCTACGTGTTGCGTCAAGATCCATAGTGTGCACGTCGCTTTTTCGCATACTGTCGTAAAGTGTACTGGAAAGGAGGGAACCAGAGTAGAGGAGGCAACCGCAGGGTGGGAGACTGTTGAGTATGTTCATCTTGTTTCCGAAATGGAACTAGTGGAGCGTCAAGATTTTTCGCAATATCTAAAGAATTTCTTCACTGATCCTGATCTTTTGGTAGGCACGCTCTTCAGAGATGCGGCTCAAGCTGTGCAGGATATGCACCGTATGGGATGGACGCACGGTGTATGGCAAGGAACCTGTGGCATCCGCCGGAGGGTTAAGTCAGTAGTCTCAAAGTGTGGCTTTTGGATCTCAGTATCCATAGCCGCTGACACCGTAATTGTAGATGTATATTTACTAGTTTGGCTGTGTGTGAAACGAATCTCGCCCCTGTGTAGGCTGCTCTTTCAGTAGCCCCAGGATACAAAAAAAAGAAACTTTTTCTGAAGTCTCCAAATCCAAATCCAAACTTGAATTTGTAGAGCCGCCCCCCTTCTCCTTCCCTCTATTCCCTCTCTCATGTTGCGACATCAAGCCCGAAAACTTCCTTGTTGCTGTTCGCCGCAATCAGCAGAAGCTCGTGCTCGCGGATTTTGGTAACGCGATGCCTGCTGGCCAGTGGCGGGGACGACAGACTATCGGAGCTGATAAAGCTTATCGGGACCCAGAGCTGACATATAGCAACGCCGTCAATGCAGTCGCCGCAGATTGCTGGTCACTTGGAGCGACGTTCTACAAGGTTGCAGCATATTATTGCTGGGGCAGTGATCCTAGCGCGACAGCGATTGAAATAGAGAAGAATGCTCAAAAATGGGTCTCCGAGAACATGGTCCCTCAGACACCTTATGACTTATCGCTTAGCAGGCAACATTGTCTGAGAATCTGACTGCTCTGTGTTCTTCCGAATAGCACTGCCCCGATCCTGATAAATACCTATCTTCAACTACTATTTTATCTTTTCTTCAACTACTACAGAAACTATCCTGATGCAGAGACGTAACTCTGTAGTCCTATTAGGATGACACCTGACATAACTGTTTGATAGGGCAACATATCCTATTAGTTATAACATGACTACACACTGCTGTATCCTAGAGAATCTAATACCATAGTGTTATCCTGGTCAATGTCTTTCTCTTTCTTCAACGACTGACAGAGATCTTGCATTTCCTGGATTTGCATTGTTTGTGTTGATGTGTTTCCGCAGATGAAACGGTCCGTCGGGATGTTCTAACAGCAAGCGTTTCGCGTGTGGTGGTTTTATCGCAAATATCCAGCGAATGGCATTCACACATCAGACGATGATTTGGCCTCTACTCGAGAATACTTCCCGCCTCCATTTAATCAAGCTAAGCCTGCTCGCGTGCGACAACTCTGTCTCGCTGGTCGGCATGCGCGTGCGATTACCTGTTTCATGGCAGTGCTGGAGACGCACGCTTTTAATGTAGATCCGGAAGCACGAAGCTTGGAGAAGCTGAAGAAGGCGCTGGACGGCATCGGCAAGGAGGACTACAGAGAAGAGGCACTACAGCTACCTCCACTTCCTGAAGCCGAAGCTGAAGCACCACAGCCATCCCAACCACTCCAAGCAGCAGGTTCAGGCACAAGTCCTACTAGCAGTAGCAGCGTCAGCCCCAGCGATCAAGGTCAAGAACATTCCACCGAAGGTTCAGGAGGTGGAGACACATATACAAGACAGCGTGTACTGCCTGGAGCTATCATGGAGCACTCCGCTTCAACAGTTCATGATGAAGAAGATGTACGAGCTCCTGGTCTACGGCGGCCCTCAGCATTTGAAATGACAATAAACCTAGCAGCCGATGAGCGTACCAAGAACGAGCAAGAGACATCTGGATCTGTCCTAGAAGGAGATCACACTGGTGATAGTGCTGCCCTTCATGAACTAAAATCTGTTTCCTCTGGTGGAAAGGATAATGAGGCATCTGCACTAGAAGTAGATCATACCAAGAAGAGTGCTTTCATCCAAGGTCAAGAAGATGCTTCAGCTTCATCATCTGCTGCCAAGGACAACGAGAAGAAAACTGGAAAGAAGTTTCGGAAGATTAAGAAGCACGATTTCAGTGCGTTTTTGGAGCTAGCGAGCTTCGAGAGGGCAACGGAGAGCGTCGATGCGACCTCGGAAAGCATTGATGGGGACACTGTAGAGGCCGGGACGGGTGCGTTTGGTTCTGTCATTTTTATGGTCCTTGCGGAATCGGATACTATAACTGATGAATAAGCAGATTACCCTTCTATTAATTTAGTTGTTAACAATACATTTTCATTGACTTTTGCTGTATAAAGTGCGGTAGATACCTACTTATGCTTTTCATGTTGAAAGATGAACACAGGAGAACATGTTCTTCCTTCACAGCGCTAGTAAAAATGAAGAAACCGGTGTTCTAGCTCTCCCACGGAGGTACTATGGTACTGGAAGGCCTCATAAGTAGACATTGATAGCTAGAAACGAGGCACCGTGACATGACATCATTCACAGCGCTAATCTTGCGACCCAGGAAAAGGTGGGGGACGAAGATAAAGGCCATCCGTCTGCTGCGAGGCACTACCCCGAGTCGGGGACGAGTGGTAATTTGACCGGCACCATGGAGCTGTGAGCTCTCACTTCGCGCTCGTTATCTTCGAGTTACGAGAATATTACAGATACAACTTGTAGAAGGTGAGTGTCTTTCTCATGCGCGTCTCACTTTTTAGTAAGAACGACAGAGCATTTCCTCACTAATTTCATTCAGCACGATACAGCAGCTTGCTGGGAGACTGGAGTAGTCAAATCGCAATCCATACATTAAGTACATCAACAGAGTATTGGCATTTCCTCATTAATTTGTTCATTGGGTATAATCATAATCATGTACAGCTTAATCTTGTTGTTGTCTCCTCTAATTCCGCGCGGATGGAAAAACAGATGCTTTACGAAGGACGCCTTTTTCAGAAAAAGGGACAGGGGGGTGAAAGTTCTATCATTTCGAGGAGGAGTGTTTAGAAAGAAATTATTAGATTTACATCGATGTTCAAGAAAACAAAAGGTTGTGACGTAATACAATATGAACAACAAGTGGCGGCTGGACTAACATAGTTTTGAGAAAAATACGGAAGCTGGGTCTACTGTGAACGCACGGGTTTACAATGTCAAGAAAGTGCCTGTCATCCATTACATAAAACAAAAGCAACACATTCGAGCTTATATATGTTCCAGGGGTGGAGGCTCCCCCCTGTGGATGGGGCGGTGGTGGCGTCCGCGCGCCCTTTTTTTCGCGGTGGTGACAAGTAAGGACCTTCGGGGGCGAAGGCCTGAAAAGGCGGAGCCGGAGGCCCCTGGGCTGGCGGCTCTCCGCGTGTGCTCCACAGGCGTCCCGGTTCTTGGGCCCTATCAGGGGCACGGCCCCCGGGGGAAAAAGGCCGCCGAAGGCAGCCACGGTCGCGAAGCCTGGCCCCTTTGGCCCTCGTCCCCTCCATTGGAGGCAGCGCCCGCCGCCACCAAACGCCCGGGGGGCTGAGGGCCAAAGCTGATGAGGAGTGGGGCCAAGGCGTGCCCGCCTGGGTTCGGTCGGACACATGCAGCACGGCGAAAGGGGGCAAGCTTTGCCACCTGCTGCCCCCGGAGGCCTTCCACCTCCCAAGAAGCTCCCCCAGTGAGGAAGCCGCACCTTGGAGGTCTGTGGGGTACACGCAACAAGCCAAAGGGGGCCAAGCCCTGCCACCTTTGCCCCCTTGCTTCGGAAGCCTTGCACGAACTCTGGCCTTCGGTGCTCCCACGGCCTCCCGGATGGGGGCTCTGTCGGGTCCAGGCAAGAAGCGGGAAGTGGGCGTTTGGAGGCCTTCCCGCCCGGCAGGGCTTCGGGAAAATAAAAGGGTCTGGGGCGGGAGGGGCCCCCCTTAAAAATTTAGATCGGGGGGGCCTTGGCGCTTGGAACTTACATATATCCCACTCCCGGAAGGCTGACCCAGTGGCAAGGCCATTCTTTGTCCCTCGGCACCATTACGTATGTAGCCAGATGTTGGAGCGCGTTCTACACGATTCATAGTCAAACATAGTAAGCAGGCGTAAGGCCTCGGCAAACTTCTTGTGGTGCTAGCAAAAATATGAGGACTAAACTGCGGATCTGAATTATTTCAATTACTATAAGCAAGGCGTCATGACATGACATTACCTTAACCCAAAAAACACTTCGTCCTCCTTGGGGCGCTCCGCCGGCCTGTCTCTCTACACCTCGTGTGAAGGAGATAGAAAGGCAACCTATCCTATCCTATCCTACCGTTAGTTTTCCGAACAATTGTTTCTAGCTGCAGGTACCTCATAGGACAAGGACAGGGATGCTTGTGTGCAGCGAGTCTTTCGTCGGTGCTCTTCGTCAAAGCATGCTTATTCGTATATATAACCTGACCGCTCGCTGTCACTTTCATTCGCATAACATGCCCGCTCACTTCATTCACAAAATAGAAATCTAGCTTCATTGTGCATAAGGTTGAAAATAAGGGATTGTTCTCGGTACTGCTGCTCCGGTTGTCGTATCACGTTTGGGAATTCTTGTTTCTCGTCGTGGGCACAGCTGTGGCCAAATCCGGATTGTGTATCGAATTTGAGTGTCGGGGTGAAGATCTTGTTTCTGGTGCTAGAAGCGAGGGCGCGGGATCTTTAGCTCTAACTTTTTCTACAGTGAGAACTAGAACTGATGTTAGCATTAGAACGAAGGAGGAAAATAGATGCGTGGCAGTTTGGTCGCGAGACCACAGAGGTAAGCTTATTTGGAGAAAGCTAGCCTGTACAACCAGTATGCAACTATTCGTGCTGGATATTTACAACACTGACATTCAGAATACATGAATGATGTACATGGCTTTTTACAAAAGTTTACTTTTGGTTAGCGTGTCTCTCACCTGTCGCGCAAAGGAGTGACACATCTAGTTTGGTTATCACCCCCTCTGGACCTTGATGTCTACATTAGTTCAAAAGCCAGACGCTTCATATTTTCGTGACATAACCAGATTCATTCTTCTTGGACATTGTTAGGATGCTGTCTCTCAGTTTTCATTGCACGTTGATAAATCAAGCGTCAAATAATGAAGATCTTCTTGTCGTTCAGCAAGTATCAGCTTTCCTTCTTCTTCGTCCTTTTCTCGTCTCTCGAGAAGTTTGAGGATTTCTCATACTCTCGAGATGTGAGGATCCGACGTTGATCTAATCATCAAAGACCCTGCTCTGATGGTTAAGAAGGCAGCTGCACTCCTATTCTTGCGTCGTGTCTTATTGAAATAAATTGAAATTGATTCTAACCCGAAGTGGAAGGAAACTCGAGATCGCCGTGTCTTCCTAAATAGAAAAATCATAAAACAAAAATAAAAATAGCATATCGAAAATATGAAGTACCCCGCTTTGTACGAAATAAGTAAGAATATGCCCAAGCTACCGACAAGGGAGTTTACAAATGCTTGCTCATGGCTATTTGCTCATGTTCATTGTTGTGTTTGGTATGGTTTAGAGACCCATGATAGTTGAGAATACATAGTTGTACATATGCAGCAATATTATAAAGAGTTACACGTAGACCGCGGTATACTCTTTCAAGCTTCCTTGTATGACTCTTCTGGTCGTGAGAGTTTGTACTGTGTCCATAACGGTCGAGATCACTCTTAACTGAAAGCCTCGAGGCTTTTGCTCTAGGGTGTGACGTACTAAAAAGACACAAGGCTAGCTCCGAGTGCTGACACACAGCCAAGTACGCGAATGAGGTGATGAGGCAGCCAAGTATCCAATTAAGTAGAGGCGCAACTCGGGCTGTAATTTTATGACCCATGATAGTTGAGAGTACATAGTTGTCAACCGCTCGCAGTGCTGGCCAGTCTCCCTCATACTTCGCTTGCGCCCTTCTCCTGTATGCCTGCGGATCAGCGATGGCTCCGATCGGTAGATCTTCCGGCTCGAAACGTCTGGCCCAGACCGTAAGATCATCCGCCGTGGCCTCGTGTCTTTGTTCGAGGAGCTGTTCGCGCGAACAGTAAAGGCCACGGACTCCGTAGTGTGTACCGGCGTGCCGCCAAGACCTTGCTTCATCGGGAGGGTAAAAAGGTGACCACCTGACAGCTCCCAGGGACGGCCAGCCGATAAGCAATAAGCAGAAGAGAAACCTAAACACCAGGAAGGCCAGCCTTAGCGTGATGAATCGCCCGCAATCCGCAACGGCGTCGCAGGTGAGTATGACTCTCTTGATGATTTGGAGCGTCGGGGCGTGTTGTTAAGTTCCGTTATTGCCTTAGGTTAGGGGAGAAGAACGAAGCGACTGCAGGTCTATTATCTGCGCGTTGGTCAGATTACTCATCGCACTAAGCCCATCCGTTTTTGTTTAACCAAAGTGTTACCGAAGGGAGAGGCCGCCAGTTCTTCTTCGCTTCATGAGGGAAAAATGACAGACAGGCATGCACACCAGGAAAGGGGTCGCTCTTGTTTGTTATTGATAGGGGAGTTATTTGATGGGAGGACTGTTGTAGATGTTGCTCAGGAAGTCGCTGCATGAGGAATGATGAGGAGAGCCACATAGATAATAAGGTTTACAGATAAGTCGTTCTAGTGGGAAGGTATAAGATAAAGTAGGACTGATTATGGAAGAGATTGCTTGATTTGAGATGACTTAGTTAGCCACGGATTGACATTTATCACTCGTTGACCCACTGGGGTTTTCTGATGTGCTAGCTGCTTTTCGATGGTCTGCTTATGGAAGTTAAGTTTTCTCAGGTTTATGGGTCATTCTTCGGTTGTTTAACGGATATTATTAGCTGGGTCTTAGCGTGCTACTCTCTAGTAAGATCCGCCGTGAGAGTCCTAAAGTTAGTTGTCCACCTTTAGACTGTTTCATTACCCTTTTCACCTTTGGTAATGTAGTTCGGTCTCGGTTTGCAGTCGTTAAGGGAGGGTGTGAGGATGTCGAGGGTTGGTAATGGCATCTCCAGGGAAGGAGGTCAAGTCATGCGTCCGGTTTCGTTCACGGTTAGCTCAATGATTGTGATTAACGACTGCCAGGGAGGGATGGTAGCTGTATGGCAAATAACTAAAGGCAGGAGAGTTACTAGTTTAAAGTGGCAGGCGTTATCGCAAACCGTGAAATTCAAGCTGTGGCCTTGACACGAGAGGGAGGGGGTATCGCTCGTCGATTCTCCAACAAGCCTGAAGATGCTCGGGCACGCACACATGATTGCTGAAAGTCACTGAGCCTGCTGGGCTCCACTCATCATCTTTGACATCTTCCAAACTGTAGGTTTTAGGTTTTGAGGCCTAGAGGGTTAACAGCTGCAAATAAGTGCTAGGGCACTTGCCAGAGATAAGTGCAAGGGCACTAGATAACTAGATGGTGTGTTCACTGGAGGAGCCTAGCGATATGTATAGCTGAAGGCCCGTGCTCAATCATTCGAGTGGCTGGGATTCTAATTATACGACCGAGTGGGTCGAGAGACAACGCGGATTATTTCAACATATGCAGCAATATTATAAAGAGTTACACGTAGACCTCGGTATACTCTTTCAAGCTTCCAGCTTTTAGAGTTTGTACTGTGTCCATAACGGTCGAGATCACTCTTAACTGAGAGTCTCGAGGCTTTTGCTCTAGGGTGTTACGTACTAAAAAGACACAAGGCTAGCTCCGAGTGCTGACGCACAGTCCAGTACGCGAATGAGGTGATGAGGCAGCCAAGTACCCAATTAAGTACCGGCGCAACTTAGGTTGTAATTTTATGCCCCATGATAGTTGAGAATATATAGTTGTACATATGCAGCAATATTATAAAGAGTTACACGTAGACCTCGGTATACTCTTTCAAGCTTCGAGCTTTTAGAGTTTGTACTGTGTCCACAACGGTCGGGATCACTCTTAACTGAAAGTCTCGAGGCTTTTGCTCTAGGGTGTGACGTACTAAAAAGACACAAGGCTAGCTCCGAGTGCTGACACACAGTCCAGTATGCGAATGAGGTGATGAGGCAGCCAAGTACCCAATTAAGTAGAGGCGCAACTTAGGTTGTAATTTTATGACCCATGACAGTTGAGAATACATAGTTGTGCATATGCAGCAATATTATAAAGAGTTACACGTAGACCTCGGTATACTCTTTCAAGCTTCGAGCTTTTAGAGTTTGTACTGTGTCCACAACGGTCGAGATCACTCTTAACTGAAAGTCTCGAGGCTTTTGCTCTAGGGTGTGACGTACTAAAAAGACACAAGGCGAGCTCCGAGTGCTGACACACAGTCCCGTATGCGAATGAGGTGATGAGGCAGCCAAGTACCCAATTAAGTAGAGGCGCAACTTAGGTTGTAATTTTATGGCCCATGATAGTTGAGAATACATAGTTGTACATATGCAACAATATCATAAAGAGTTACACGTAGACCTCGGTATACTCTTTCAAGCTTCGAGCTTTTAGAGTTTGTACTGTGTCGATAACGGTCGAGATCGCTCTTAACTGAAAGTCTCGAGGCTTTTGCTCTAGGGTGTGACGTACTAAAAAGGAAGAAGAAGTGGAATCACCTAAGCAGGAGTCGAACTAAAAGACAGAAGAAAGCGAGTCTTAACCGTTAAGAAGTGAGCTTGAGTCCTGAATTCAACTTCGTGGATCCCAGACTTTCTTTGGTTACACTGATGTAGCATCTCAGGGGAGATTTGCGGAAGAGATTTGTTGGCTTCACAATAGATTTGAACTTGTTCTTTTCCAAGGTAGGATGAGTTTTCCTCTGAATCACTGTAAAACCTGAGAGAAGTCGTTTGGTTCATTCCGTAGGCGTGCTGATTTAGCTTGTGCGCCAGTCTCCTCCGCCTGCGTGTGTTCATCCTTTATCGACTTCAGGTTTTCTTGCGACCACTAAAAGAGAACACAAAATTGCGAGAATTTTCAGTATTCTTCAGGACGGTGTCTCACATCTGATCTTGTTTCTCACAGCGAGAACTTGCTATTGCTACTTCTACTCTCTGCTTAAAGAATTGACAAATCTTGCTGGTCCTGATGGGTGCCGCTTCTAAAGGTAAAACCAGATGAGACACTGTTCTATCAAGGAAAAACCCTTGTGAACTTGGACGCAACTTGTTCTTGTGTCCGAGTTCATTCCCATCTCAAAATGATTGTGACGTTGATCCGAACGAAAGATCTTCATCTTGTTGCACTGAGCCTATATTCGGCGTCACCAAAATCTTATCTGGTCTTCGTCTTTCCAGTAAACTTCGTGCCAGCATGATCCTATCATTCGAATCCCGCGTGGCTGTATCAATGGAAGATGTTGAGTCATCGTCTAGTGTGGCGAAGGACGTGAACTTGAACTTCTGTTACTGGTAAAAGGAAGAAGAAGCAGAACGATCCTTGTCGCCTGTGAATTTAATCATGGACACTTAATTCCTTGCTTGCACAAGCACACCGTGTTAATACTAGATGTAGTTGTAAGTAGGGTAGGGCTATCTACTTTCTATTACGGTTTTTTTTTGTGTGGCGAGATTGTAGAGTAGCAAAAGGCAACCCTGGCTGCGTATACTTTTGTGTGTCTCGTCTTTTTTTGTATTACAACTAGTACAAAAAATCTTTTAACTTGGACTTCCCCACCCACAACGCCAGCAAATTGTTGTATGATTAACCATTGAACCTCTACAGCAACACTGGCATATTTTCAATTGAGTATTATCTTTATCTCACGACACGCACCGCTCAGCAAATAAGTTTTCTCGACAAATAAGTTTTTGAAGTTGACAGCACCTTTTTTTCTCTCAAATAAGTTTTGGAATAATTGAAAATATCAACAAAATGCAGTATCAGAATCGAGGTCCTGCCTTTGCAAAAGGTGGAGAAGCGGCTGGTCAGCCATTGGTGCAGCACCAAGAACCCGATTGGACCATCAAGGAGGGTGCCAGTGAATTCGAACGTGAAAATTTATGAACAAAGATGAATAATGCCTGTGTACTAATCAACGTGTGTAGTAGTAGTAGTGGTATGTAGTTGTAGATGATACTGTGTGCTGCCGGAATTGATATGCTTGTCTTTTGCTTCTTTCCTTTGGTTAATTGTTTTTTGTCCGGCTGTTGGCCGCTAGATTCTTAACGTTATGATAAGTATTGACGTCATTTTGCGGATGTAAGGATCATATTTCTTTTCTGCGTTTATTTCTCAGCCTTTTGTTCATCGGTGATAGTTGCTTCGCGACACCCTTCCTTTCCCACTATTTATCTGCTTCGACTCTCTACCTCCGTGTCTAGGACGTAAGTGTTTACTTTTATCTTTCATCTGTTTCACCAACGCTATCGTTTTATCCACCTTTCACTTTAGTAACTTTCTCCCCACCTCCTCCTTTGCTACTCTCCAGTCCCCTCTCCACCCACCCACCCACTACCCATCCTCACCTCCGCCTCGCCACTCTGCTCTAATCACCGACTACGTCCAATTTTTCAAGTACATCCAGGGACACCATTCGTGCACGCACTCTTCGATGATTGGACCTAGCGATCACCGTATCCCCCGATCCGGTAAATTCGATGTCACGAAAAGGGAGGCTTTGGAGAAATTGTATTATTTCTTCAGGACTATCTGCAGTGACTGTAGCGAGTCTTTTTGATGGAGTACCATGGGTCTATGGTGTAATCCGTAATGAACGGAATTCGAAATAGACCCGGAATTATCTCGACAAATTTTATTCCAGGCGGCCAGGATAGTAAAAATGAAAAACATCTTCATAATACGTACAACTAGCGGAATGCATAATTCTTTTCGTTTTTGTTCCTGAAGTAGGTGAAAAAATGCTGCCTGAAGTAGGTGAAAAAATGCCGCCTGAAGTAGGTGAAAAAATCCCGTAGGTAGTACTAGAAGTAACCCACCAGTGCAACTCCCTGAAAATCGGAAAATATTCGCACAGCATCCCACAACAATAAGAGTTTTTTACAACTAGCGCCAATTCTTTCCTTTTTCCCAACGACATGGAATAGCTATAGTATAGAATTCATCTTTTTTTCCCAACAAGCGTGACGCGTGTGCGTCGATAGGGTCGCACGCGAACATGACAATATGAATAATATTCCGAATAATAATACGAAGAATAATGATTTCCCAATGATATTACAGATAATAATAATGATACTACTACTAATGTCCCACCATCACATCACCAATATATATCTAAGGTATTCCGCCGTTTCACCATCACATCACCAATTGTCCCACCACCATCACCAATTGTCCGACCACCATCACCAATTGTCCGACCACCATCACCAATATATATCTAAGGTATTCCGCCGTTTCTTTTTTCTACCGACAAGGCAAGCCTCTGGTGTTGTGTGAGATCGCGACTTCGCGATTTCGATTCTTCGAAGACGTCGATCTCCTGCTTCCCCCAGAATTGAAGGATCATTTGCCCCAACTCCAGGATCAATGGGTCAACCACCTGTTGCGCCACAGAGGTGCGGTCCTCGGTGCCGTCTGGAGAAGCGACGATCCGTTGGGTATTTTTTTAACTTGTTTTTTGTTCTACTTTTGAGAACAAGCGATGATCATTCCGTTGGGTATTTTTATAAGTTGTTTTTTGTCCTACTTTTGATGGAGGTCGTGGTGGAATAATGCTGCATATTTGAGTAGGTGTAGGTCTACATCATCGTCCTCGAACGTTGATTACTTAGCATTTATAAGGGAAGACTTTTTCACCTTCATTTACTACTGAACTCAACATATTTATTAGATCACCTCTTAAAGTTTTTAGTTCAGGGGTTAGTGTACTCTATGACCTACAATCTAGGCCTCTCATCATCATTAGATCACCTCTTGATTATATCAGTATAAATCTCTGAGTTCTCAAGACGACAATTCATGCATCCCTCTACAGGCGTCCGATGCCAAGGTCCCAGTGCGACGGTCCATGTTTTCAGCAGCAGCGGATGGAGTTCCCGACACAATGCTCCAAAAATCTCCCTCCACTTCGTCTGGCCCGATCTCATCGTCACACCAAGAGAGGCGAAGGGAATTCGTAATAATGCTACTACCTGAATGAATGAATGTCACTATGTTGTTGTATAGGTAGAGGATCTCGTGCCACTTATTTCTGGATCTAGTGACTGGTGGAAAAAGCATGTTGATCACATTCCAGTAAAAAATTGAAATTTTACTTCATCATCATTTAATCCTCTCCACCATCCACACCACACTCCAAGCCAACCACACCCACACCACCACAACTCCGAAGGTTCCGCCACCATCGAATTTCTCCGTGAGAGCTGCAGTCAAGAATTGAGCGAGATGTTGGTGAAGTGCTATGCCAAAAACGAGCTTCAGATGGACCAGGACATGTCCCCATGGGAAGAAATCTTCGATAAGGCGGCCACAGAGGGAACGAGTTTGAGGTACTTATCTTTTGTGTGGTGGGGTTGTTGCTAGTTATTTTTAGGGGGGCTCAATGTGCAGGATTTTTATTTTTAATTTATAACCCATTAGCAGGGTTGCTGCGGTGTTGGTGTTAGCCTCGGTTGTGTTAGCCTAAAATCATTATGATTATTACAACTCAACCTCACCTCTAAAGGCTGGTCTTCTGCGACAAGGGAGCTAAGGCAGATCTAGAAAAGAAAACTGCGGCTAGACTCGAAGGCCGACCGAAGGTTCCAGTTGGAACATATTCGGTATTTGCAACCTAAGGATTTTGAGAAACCTAAGGAAGATGTCACGAGAGATTGGACACCACTATGCCTTTTACTAATGGCATGCCCTGAGTCTTCAGTTGATAATTTTTGTCTGAAACAAATACGGATCATGGATCTTTTTACCTTGGCTGAGTTATTATGTAGCAAGCACGCGGCCAATAAAACGACTTGCCTCTCCCAAATAACTACAAGTCATTCAATCATTCACCCATCTCTCTACACCCCTCCAACCTAGGTCGCTCTCGTTCCGGGTAACGTTAACGAATCCGTCCCGACTTTGGTGAAGGCGCCGAATGAGAAGGGCGATATTGAGTGGCTCTTTGAGGCATCGATCCGATTGGACGGTGGCGTAGCCGACATTCCGCCAGTTAGCAACGTCTGGTTGAGCGCTTCTCTTAAGGCAGTAGTATGAGGAAATAAGAATTTTTCAGTTTGTCATCCAGTTTTTGGAGTGGATTTGGATCTAAGTACTTAGCTTACTTGTCTGCGCCACAGGAGCAATGGTATTCAAGAATATTCAAGACATGCAATATTCATGAAGGTGGCTCTCAAGAGGCCTTGTTGTACGTCCCCGTATATATGAAATGAAGTACTCATAGTATTTACATCGTCTCGACTTTCTTTTTTCGTACCTCTAATCCTGAAACCAAGGGTCTTGCAGGAATCAAGCCACAGCCAGCACCGAATGGCGCTTTGGGATCCGAAATGGCGGGAGCAGGAGGCTACGAGAACGAGTACTTATACCTCTACTATTTCAGGATAAAAAACATGATTGAGTTTCTTAAATATTCTTGATGACTTCAAAAAGCGCGCGATAACGAGATATTTATTGAATTTCTTCGAGATGATGGTCTTACCTTGAATGTCACGGGATCTATTGGCACCTTGATTTACTCCGAATAAGTAGTTAGCTTCTCATCTTTCCCACGGCTAGCTTGAAGATGCTCTTTATAATACTTGAAAACTACTAGTAGACTCTGATATACTTCTTATGTACAACCAATTCAATACCAAGTCCCTCAATTCCTCGGCTCTGATATACTTCTTATGTACAACCAATTCAATAAAGACTACATTCCGTTCATAAAAGTCACAGGTTGAGTCAGCAGAATCCGGATAGCATGATGCCGAATGGAGGAGACGCCTACTCTCAGATCAAAAAGGAACTTCTAGGAAAGAAGGTCGATCAGAACTCCAACTGGATGACAGTCGAAGAATACAGCCCACCCATCCAGGACAAGATGATTGGTTCCTTTTTTTAGGGTGTTTTTACTTTCTTAGGGTTTATTTTACACCAATTCTTCAAGGTAAGATCATGATTGATAGTTGGTTTGTGAACATAAATTGATTGTGGATACGTGGTCATGGAGGTAAGACGATTAGTTGTCCTTATTTTTGAAAACAGATGTTGTGCCCGTGGGGCTCGTTGAGAAGGATCCACAACCTAACCTAACCAAAACAGATACTGCCTATATGATCTTCTACGTAAAACTCAATGAGGATTCAAAAAACACAATCCCACTACAGTGAAACTCGACGCAAACGGTGGCCAGATTGCTGAATTGAAGATTTCCGAGGACGTCTTTAACTATCCGGTCGAGATCACCTATATCGCTATGGATGGCACGAACAAAGAGTACATATTTATAAATATTTTCGTGGATTCGTTCTCACTCTAGTAGGCACGACATTTGTGACACGGCCGTGAAAGCTTCTGTTAGGAGCCGCCGAAGTCGACCATTGAATTGAATTGTAGCATTATATACCTTTTACCTAACCTTACTTTTTCTTCCTAGTTAGCTTGGCTCCGCCCGTATTTAGTAGCAGGATGATCACCCAACTCTCTCGTTTCTTTAGAGTTCTATTTAGATACGGCGTTTGTAAGTATGTATGTTCACAGCAACATTCTAAGTCCACTCCATCTTCATGCATTTCAGGTACTTGATGCACTTCCAACCGGGCACCGATAAGTATGGCACGTGGTTCCACAAGGAAGATGCCGAGGACACGTGGATGTGGAGAAAGCCAGCGGTTCCGCAACTCAAGGAGAACGGAGGCGCCGTCCACGAATGGCCATCTTGGGCTGAATTCGTCCTGATCGAAATTGCCGGTCATGTTAAGGCTTTTGACTTAGAACATACTTTTAACGTAGATCATGTGGCTCAGTGAGTGGACTAGATAGTAGTTGTACTTATTTTTGACTTAGATCATGTGGCTCAGTGAGTAGACTAGGACTAGATAGTTGTACTGCTGTGGATTTATATAGGCTACTTTCTTTGTAGACTAGGGAAGAATTTGGTTGATTCATAGGATTCCTCATCTAATCGTACGGACACATCCGGCAAGACAATGGGATTAGCAGCTATCATCTGCGCGGTGAGTAATGTGCCAACAAGCGGAAAAGTACACGGAGAGGCATACTGGAAGGGTACTGCAGATTTTTGATATTTCTGATATTTTTGTGGCGCGTACCTGTAAGTTAGGGTTTAGATTTCCTCCGCAGGTTGGTTGTTGCAGATTCTATGGCGTAATAGTCTAATCGTCAGACCTATTCCTGCTTGCCCAAAATTTCCACCTAATAAGCTAACCCTACTACCACCACTCAACATCAAACTACCACAAACAGGTCACATGAGTTTTGGACCTAAGGATTTCGGTGATGATGTCGCATACAACGTCAATGTGCCTCTCGCCACAGTCGCTGCTGTTGTCTTCGGTCTCAAGGCTGTCCTCGATCTCCGAGAAAAGATTGGCGGACCGAAGATAAAGGGTATCTATAAGAACTTTCCAATTGATGTGATCAACATGTTTTCCTTGCTATGGTGACCACCAGGAGTTTGAAACGTAGCACACGGCAACTACTTGTTCTCTAGTACAACATCAGAGTGCTTCCAAAGCCAAAAACAATCCTCCTCCTTGCACCACTCTTAAAACTAACAACACACCAGGTATCTTCATTTCTTCCGATCACACGGTTGTCGAGGCTGCGGTAGACGGTCAGTGCAGCACGCCGTATTTGGAAGCTATCAGCCGACTTTTGACCGCCTACAAACAGGAAATCCTGGATGACGACCATTTCCCCAACTGCTTCAACTTCGCAGTTTCCAAGATTCAGGCAGCAGCAAACAAAGCGGCCAAGTTGGCGAGAGAGGCGAGACAGTTGGCAGGTACTTATATACTACAAGTAGTAGAAGTATTACCTTCATTTTGAATGTTCTTGTTTGCTTGGTGCTGTTAAGTTCATTACATTTATGATCCCAAGGGAAGTCCTCCTCCCCTATCCTATGATCCCAAGTGACTTTCCCACCTATGATCCCAAGTGAAGTCCTCCTCCCTTCATCACAATTAAGTACTTTCTCAAACACCCGCTTCTTCACAGGTGACGATGACATGGCCGGATGCTCGATGGGTGACATCGAGTTGTATGACGCGGTTATCTCTAGTTGCGAAGCTGCTGCCGGTGGTGTTAAGTCGGCTGGTGCCGCTCCGGGGCACTAAGACGTCTACATGATACTAGAGGAGTTCCTAGAAACCTAGTCGGTGGTACGATCCTAGGATTTAGGGTTTCGGGAAGATGAAGATCTTGTCTAACCATATCGTTTGAAAATTCTGCTCGTAACACCTTTTTCAACCCCTAATTATTAAAAGCTAACATCAGCATGATGAACATTCGTTTTTGCTATATAGACTTATCAAAAAGTTATTACTATTCGCTATGAAGGTACAGATTGATAGTTTGAATTGTATTCATCGTTCTGCCCGCGACTTCTAAGTCAGTTTGTCATGATAGTTATAAATCGTTGTTTTGATAAATCACGAGTTTCCAACGCCGGGAGTAGGTAGCTGGTGATAAGATTCGTGTCTGCCGTATGTCATAAAACATTGATTACAAGCAGCCGACCTACCTTGAGGTAGAAAACAAACAGCTGAAGTCTTTTTACCTAAGTACAACAGATGAAGGTTTTCGTTTTGAGTGGTATGATTGTATGTAGATCCCTTCGGGCCACAACATAGTGCATGCTCACTTACGCCACTGACTCTTATATAGATAGTTACGATAACTGTTTGTCTATGTTCACAATCAAATCTAAATGAATTTTTATCGGTTTTACTCTTATATGATCCTCGCTATTGTTACAATTCTATGTCCTGTCCCATATTAATTTAAGCGTATCATTAGCCAAACATTGGAGGACAAAACTCGTTCCCCACAATTTATTATATTCTTCGCCATTTCTGGAACCCGCATTAGTTGAGAAAAATTCTAGATGCCAGCACAGGGAAAGTTGGTATACAACTCGTGGCGGCGAAAGCATAGTCACAATTATGCCGCACAACATCATGATGCAACATGAATGAAGATCTCATTGTAGAACCTGGGGGGACCACGCATTGCCATTCATGAGACGACCACGCATTGCCATTCATGAGACGACCACGCATTGCCATTCATGAGCTGTTGACCACAAACCATTCATGAACCCGTACCACATGAAATTACACAAACGCAGTATTCGCAATTTCTTTCACATATTGTTAGTCTCCATAAGATAATACACAGAAACACCTAAATCCAAGATATTTTTATGAGATGGTGTTCAAAGTACTATTATTGGACGACCAGGCTGCGGTGGACGACGAACGCTTAAAGAAAAACCTCGCAGGTCGTTACGGCGTTCCATACGTATACATGGAAAAGGATGCCAGTCTATGGAGTTGCACAAATAGCCGTGGTGTCAATTTCTGGTGGATGGAAGGAACATCCGTTATCCACGAGCAGAAGGATTTTGATCTCGTGAGTCAGTGACTGTACTTCGTTATCTTGTTTGACCTTGACAGCGCTACTTGATGACCTTTCCCGCAAAGAGCTAGTGAATCTAAGGCATGTGACTATCTGATTCGGAGTATTGAATTTGCCCTCATAGTACTTGTTTCATATTTGAGTAAAACTAAAACGCGTGTAGCTGCAATTGCACACATCTTGTTCACGCACAATAAGAAGCTGAGCTTGAGCTTGATGAATATATAAGAAAAAGGTTGATCACTTTTCAGCGAAAAAATTGATTTAATTTGATGAGAAAAATGTTTGCATCACCATCACCTTAACCTTCCGCGTCGGGTTTGCCTCTCGGGTGCTACCGATAGCGAGAAGTATCATCGTGGGAGATTGAGGCTCCTGCAATTTCTACGACGAAAAGATGTCGTCCACGCGTACAAGAACGCGGTGGGTCAGGCTGTCCATCGGCGAGATCCACTACACGCAGAACTCGATCGCCTGTGTGTTTTCGGGATTGAACGTTAAGCTTGGTGGAAGAAATTAAAATATGCAGCTCTTTTCTTGTGAGGATTTAAATTGTTCGTTTTTTTGGACTTGCTTCAAGTACATATTGGAACAAGCTGCTCTAAGAACCACAGGCCCTACTCCGAACGTGGGATTGTGTTACTAAGGGATCATTTCCGAACGCTGGCCTCTCCTGACGACTGGTTCGATAAGACCAGAGCTCATATTACGGTTGTCAAAGTCAATCGACGCTACTACAGCAAGGACAACAGTTATGATAAAGATGGCAGACGCGTTTTGTGTGATCATGATCTAACTTTCTTAGCTGACAGTGAAGATCATAGGATGGAAGTAGATTGAATGACTTGACAAGATTAATCTAGTGCAGAGCTGTGACTCCAGCTCCAGAAAAACTGAAATAGCCAAGTATCTGAGAAGATTGCTCTCTGGGGTACTCGGTTATTTCAGTTTTTCGATTACAAGACTCTTGGAGTTGGACGCTGCAGGGAGTACCTCTACTACGCCTGTTGAGTGGCATTCGCTTTTCTTCTAATATTCACGTCTCTGGTGTCTGAAAAGTGCCTTTGCTGAAGACACTTTGGTCAGATGTAGAGAGGAGACGTTGGATCGATCGGTTCTGGAGGAATTCAAGTGGAAAAACAGCACCGTATCAAACGGGACAGAAGTCGTGGTCCTGACGAATGGGGTGCGCCACACTTCTGAGCGTACAGGCGAGAAGTCTGTGGAATTGAGGTTTTTTTATGGAGCCACTAATTCTTTAGTGGATAAAGCTGAGGCCGCTCTTTCAGTAGCCCCAGGATACAGAAAAAATAAACTTTTTCTGAAGTCTCCAAATCCAAATCCAAAGTTCCTCGATATTTACCCTCAAAGTGGTTGGGTGACGTCGCATACTTACGCACTCCACCAGAAGTAGGTAGTTGTAACTGTAAATTTTATCTTCAACTACAGTCCGCGTTCCTTGATCGACGTGAGGGAAATCTTAGGCAAGCAGCCGAACACTTCTGACAAAGAGCAACTTCTAACCTCTCATCGAAGACTGGTTTTCATTCGGTGAGACTCCTGAAGCAGAACGCAAAAGATGCAAAAGCTTGAAGAAGGAGCTCGCTTTGATCGATGTGAGGGTCGAAAGGCTCCCATTCGATGGAATGGAGCAAAAGCACATCGTCGTGGTAGCGAGCCCTCCCATGCACCATAAAGCCTCTGAGAGAATTCATGAAAGATTCAGCTTCTTCGGCAGTGCAGCCGGTGGCGCTTCAGGATCAGGGAATGCTGGCGTTACATCTTCAGCAGCTGTTGAAGTTGAAGCTGGTGGAGGTGGAGGCACTGCCGATTCTGGTTGCGTTGTTGCGAGTGGTCTTCTGCCAGGTGCTGGCGGTTCTGGTCATGGTGCAGTTGGAGGCTTTGGTGCTGGTGGCAGTGCTGTCCTTGAGGATGGAAGTGGTCGTGATCTGAAAAGTACCGCGCCAGCTACAGAGGACTCTGTCGGGAGTGTAGCTGTACTAGCAGTAGTAGAAGATCCACCTCTAGCTGACAACCAAGCTACGACAGCAACCACGAAGGAGATTGGAGATAGCTATGGCGATGAACGTGGCGACGCAAAAGACACTAGGCGTGCTCGTGAACTGCTATTCTCGACATCAGCTAGGACAAGCGGAATGGACGACCGTCACTTCAGTACTTGTAGAAATAATTATAGGAAAGGGCGTGATCGCAATCATGTACATGTTGATCAGGCAAAGTACATGGGCAGAGAAATGAGGCAGCAGGTCCTTCGAAAAATGGACGCTTCGTCGAGAGGACAATCTCGATCAGAGCGCCCCTCCTTCAAAAAGCCAATGGATGGCGAGAGAACCTCCAAGCTTCCAGATCCAGCCACAATGGGGACGTTGGGAGAGCTAAAAAGGGGCCGTTCGGAGCTTCCGGGCCCAGCTACAATGGGGACGTTGAGAGACTTGATGGGCCGTTCTAAGCTTACATCAGCGCCGTCAGGAACGGGCGGTAATCCCTCTGTCGCACCTATGGCGTTTAAGAAGAGAAAAGCTGTGCGAAATAGGAGAGAGCAGACGGACTCTTCGAAAGATGAGCGAAGTCAAGCCCCTAGACGTGCGAAAGCTAGAGTGCCAGAAGGTGGATCTTCAGCATCCTCGGAAGACAAAGGCAAAGGCCGACGAGTGGACTCTGGTGAGCTGGAGAAGCGGTGTGCCATAATAATTGCGAATAATCCCTTTGCAACTGCCAAACAACTTCTTCCACTCGCAACGGCTGTGGAGGTGGACGAGAAAAAGCTGGACGACAAGACAAAGGATCCAAAGAACATTAAAGACGAACGATTTCAGATTGAAGATCGTAAGGGGAACTACATGGCTGACCGACGTCAGACTCCCGAAGACCGTACATCAAAAAAGACAACTGAGCGCCAGACAGAGCACGGTAAGCACGTCCAGCCACTGACCTCTTTACCGTTACCACCGCAGGAAGGCCTTTACAAATTATCTGCCAAGACAGATGATCTGTTTGGTAAAAAGCCTAAGAGCCGCAATCCTGATTGGTCCCGTTCGCAGTCGCTGCGCAGGGATGACTCGTTTATGAATGTTATGAAGATGACAACAAGTATGAGAAAGAATACTGTTTGAGTATAGGAAGATACCGTAGTACAGTACTAGTTGTTGACTTGATTGCTCACGGCCTGCTTTCTTTTGAAGCAGAATTTTCTGACATTCCTTCTTCACTTAGTTGGCCTGTCGTTGTTTAGTGTAGCTTGTCGCTAAGGAGTTCGCCACCTCGTGGCGTGTCTTTTCCTCTGCCTGTCAGATGCTTGTGAAACGTACTGCGCCCCATGTGGTGGCCAGAGACACTCTCTGAAGCCTCCCAATCCCTATCAGAAAAACTGGAGAGCACTGCTTCTCCCACTTATTTCTAACCCACCCAGCTTCAACAGGCGAGAGCGAAGCGCTTTCCCTCTCCGACGACGCAATGTCAGGGGCTTTGGTGAGATTTTCTACTCCAGTGACAAATCAGTACCAGTAGACCAAGAAACCGGAGCTCCAACGACGCCTGGCAGCTGTATTTCAGACCCGACTACAACGAATCGGTCCCGGATGACGGAGTCGATTATGGAGGCTGTGGAACTACTTTTTTGACTATCTCAGGTTTACCCGCTTATTGTCATGCTTTGGTAGCTCTGGAATAGGTATCCGCCAATTCGCATTCACGCAAAAGAGTAGACTTGTGTGTAATGATACCCAAAGCGGATCGTGTTCTTTTCATATTTTCTTCATCAATCTGCAGTCTCTAAAACTTCAGAAACCCCGACAGCAACTGCGTCTACAGCAGCCGTGTCGGGATTGAAGAAGCCTCCGACAGCATTGATTGGATCCCGCCAAATTTCATCGAGTTCGGCAGATAGTAGCTCGCCGCCTGGTAATGCGACTAATTCTGGCGCGACGGCGAAGGCAAACCAAGTAGACCAAGGGCTTGATATTAATGCGCATACTAAAAAGAAGGTAGAACCAGTGCCCTCGCCGTCTCCGGTTGGTGCATCTGGTGGGTCTTCTTCCTGCACCGCAGGCAAACGCCTTGCTGAAGTGAATGCATCGATTCGAGATGGGACTTTGGAGATCTTTGTGAAGGAGCAGGAGTCCAGTAGTACAGTTGAAATAGCACACGCTGCTGAAAAAGATGCAGGTGCCCCATCCAATTCCAAAGACGTTAAAAAAGCTTCTAGTCCTTCTGTTGATATCGCAGCTGCACGACTCGTACCCTCAGGAGTTGAGAAAGATAAGGATCTAGCGCGACTCGCAGCCCCAGGAGCAGAGAAAGCTTTCCAAAAGCAGCAGAAGTGCGACAACTACGAGGCGGTCGTGGAGCAGCTTCAGCGGGAGCACTACAAAGAATTCGAAAATGCAACTCCCTCGTGTACTCCTCGTAACCCGGACAACATCACCGAGAAAGAGTTCGAAAACGCAGCGACCTTGTGTACTCCTCGTAAGGCGGACAACATCACCGAGAAAGAAAAAGGCGACTACTTTTCCGACGACATGAAAGCGACTAAGCGCGAGCATAAGAAGAAAGTGCGAGGTCTTCAGAGTCGCGAAGCTGAGTGCAATGGGAAGAAAGTGAAAGCTAGGAATCACGATGAAGGAGTTGAACGTAGGGAAAAGAAAGCTAGGAATCACAGTGATGAAGCTGAACGCATACGTAAGGAGAAGATGAAAGCTAGGAATCACAGTGAAGAAGCTGAGCGACGGGAGAGAAAACGCCGTAAGCACGAGCGCGACGCTGATAAGCACGACCGAGAAGACCTGAGACGCCATGACGATGACAGACACTCACACGATGCTGATGGCTATGGTCATCGACGTCGCGAACGCAAAGAAGTACTAGATGGCAGACACATTGACGACAACAGACATCGCAGTCGCGAAGTCGATCTTCTAGATGTGGACAGAGACACTTTTGGGGACGTTATGGGACAGAGACTCAAGAAGAAGCACCGTCGCGAGGAAAAACACAGAGACCGCGATGAAGAGAGTCCTCGACCGAGAGCAAATATGGTTGAGGCGAGGAAGATGAAGGAGCATCGCGGTCGCCTCCATGCTTCATCCTGTTCAAGGTCTAGAAGCAGAGCTCGGAAACAGAAAAGCCGCGGAGGTGAAAAATCAGGCAAGATCAAAATGAGCTCGTCCAGTACTGCACTGGCTTTATCCTCTGCGGGGGTTGTGCAGCCTTCAACAGTTGGTGTTGGAGGGCCACCAGGTGGGGCTACCAACTTAGTATGCGCCAATGATCAACAGCAGCAGGGTTATTTTTGTGCCCCACCAAGTCCAGGCGTGGCTCAAGCTCAGCACGGAGTTGCAACTTTGCAGCCTCCTTCAACAATTGCAGCCAATGACGCTCCATCCAGTATTAACTCTACTTCTCAGCCCCAGGTGAACGTTTACAACAATCATGTCTACAACAACGACATGAACATGATGCAGATGCAAAGGCAGGGACAAATGCAGGGAATAAACATGATGAGCAACATGATGCAGATGCAGCCTGCGATGCCCATGTTATGGCGAAGCTTTTCCTCATACTTCAAGTACAGGGCGTTGGTAAAGTTGTCTCACTGAATACTTGTTGGGCTAGTAGTGCTGCTTTCACAAGATCAATCTTTGTAGTATTTGTTTTTCCTTCTTCAAACCCTAACACAGTTCTTCAAGCTGAAGAAATTTAAGTTTTTTTGGTTACCTGCGTACTGGTACTTGATTGATGACAACAGTTCCCTTCTAATGACAATAATAATGCCGATGATGATGGGAGCGATGGGAGGGCAGAGCATGATGATGCCCAACATTGGAACGCCACAAAATATGATTAAGGCTCTCAGTAACAACATCCTCGACTGCAGCAACATTCTTGAAAAGGTTCAGCATGCATAGCATCTATTTACAGGTATTACTTTCAATTTAGCTGCGAAGATAGTCTTCAAGGATGCACTTGAGAGATGAATCAACTGCGGAGATGAAATCTAATGTGCCATTTAACGGGGGAGGAGGCTGGCAGATGCCACAGCAACAACAGGCAATGCCTTTTGCGAGGATGCCACCAGTGCAGCAAAGCACGGCAACAGTGGAAGAGGTCGAGGAAAACAGATTCTCAGAGTTGAACTAGTACGCTAGAAAATTATATTGGTTTTATTCAAAGTAAGTGGTATTCCCGCTCGCAAATATTTAAAAAACTCTTATCCCCTTCCCCGCCCCGGCGCCCATGGATCGATATCAAATACATCTACATGGCACTTTTCTTCAGTCTGCTTCTTTCGTTATAGAAGTTTCTCAATATGAACATGAAGAACATTCGACGCGGACAAAATGAAACCAAAACTTGGCGAGCATATCATACAGCCAACTTATAGATCCTGAACGATCAACATGTAATGTAGAAACGCAGTGTAGCCGATCGAACCCACGACGCAGATAAAGATGGTCATCGATCGTTTCGATGTTAAGCTAGTTGCTTGTTGTTTCTTTTATTGCGGCCTCTTCTTGATCATGATCTACTATTCAATAGATAAATGAACGGAGCCCGCCTATCCATGATTCCTTATACCAAAATGAATGCCTGTAAGTATCAACCTTCTCTCGTTGAAACAGTCTACGTATGAAGTCTTCGAAGCCCCCTCAACATGATATCGCATCATTGCAAAAATAGTTGTCGGTGACCCACCTCACACAATCATAAACCTGCACTCAAGAAACCGCGTCTCCTTGTTCTTACAAACAGCAGCCTTGACGAGCTTCCTTCGCAACATACTCACATTGTTCCATTTATATCTTGAAGTTAAGCTGCCGCAGCTACCTATGCTGCTAGGCAAGCGAGCTCCTTATCCCACCGCCCAATGGAGACGCAACTAAGGTGTTGATTGTCTCCAATGGAGACGCGTTCAAGTTCTGATCTTGAGATCTGTTAATGAGAGGTTTGAGTATCGGTTGAGGCTTTGGACTAACACGAGTTGAACTTTTGATAGAGGGAAAACATAAGCAATGATGGAAAATTCTGTACTGAGAGAAGCAGAAGCAGTGTCTATCTGTCAAGGAGGTGAAGCGAAGGTGATGAGGAAAGTGAACCCAGCTTACGCACATGATCTTCCTTCCACTTTTCGAATGTTCCGCAATGGCCACCAGCTGTAACCGCTTGGGTTTGTGAAATAAATATCGGTATCTATACTTCTTTGACAATTCCTTTAAGCTTTCCTTCCTTTATCTGCAACTTTGTATATGCTCTACCCAGCGTTTTCAATCAACTTGATGTCGTGCTCTCTCTTCACGTTCACATGATGACTGAGAATCCAGCTATGATCATCTACTGACGATTCTAATTTTCTTTTTTTCCATTCTTGGCTAATATTTCCTTGCCATTAAGACGACAAGCATACCCAAAGATCAATTGATATTAGAATTCTTCTTCCTCTTTGCATCCAACAATGAAGCGAATCACTGCCGCGAACCGTGCGAGGATGACGTCCGCCGAATCCCTAGTTCACTTCGAAGCGAAATTGGCTGAGTATGAAGAACGTAGAGGGGAAAAACCGGTAGTACCAGAGCAGCAGAGAGGCCTCATATTGGGCTCCACTAGAAGCAGTACAACTGCTGCCAGTATGACACAAAATGACTCGGTTCAAGTTAAGATTTTTGAGGACAAGTTGGATGGAGGAGCGTCCCCAGAACGAGCAGTGGCCTTAGAGGATGTAGCGTCTCAGTCATCTCTTGGACAACAGGAGACTTTTTTACCTTCTCCAGAAGAAGCGACTTTCGAATATCACCCAGATTCAGCCTTCCTCGACCTAGCACGAAAGCGCGGGTTCTTCAACAACAATGTGGGCGACCAAGTAGGGACCGAGGTTCTGCGTGTGGTGAACAGAACGCGGAGTCTCTCGCCATTATCTACAAGCAGGAGTGCTGTTGGTACAACTACGAAGAACACTGGAACAAGTGGTGCGAGAAGCGGCAGCTCCGGATCTCGACCTTCGTCTACTAGAGGACAAACTACCACCCCAGCAAAAGTCAAAAGGAAAAGTGCAGCTGCTAATACACGAAAAGCTGGAACTTCTACAGTGGAGGAGAGTGTAGATGATGAGACCTCCGTAGAGGTCGCTGAAGAAGACCTCTTGATGGTGGCCTGTGTACAAACCGGATTGATGTTCGAAGTCCAGTTGTATGTACCAAAGGCGGCATTGAATCCACGGAAAGGAGTGGCTCGTCCCCACGAGGGTGAGGTGAGACGAGAGAAACGCGCATCGGCGTTAAGAAGCTCGCCGACTAGGAAGCACCCACACAAAGAGCTTCTGCGAGAGGAGTCTGCTAGACCTGATTCGTCTTCTTCGTCAAAGAAACTAAGTACCGCAAGTATCGCCACAGGTACCTCTACAGACTTTGATGAGCCCAAGGAAAACGCCACCGAAGCTGGTGCGGAAGAGCAAGGTCTTCTTGAAGACACGTCTAAAACCAAGCAGTCAGTATTCAAAACAGCACTGGAGCTTCGAAGTGGAACCGTGACAGATGAGCCTTCTGTTGATGGCGTGACAGAACCTTCTCCTGTGGCAGCTGTCGACGAGACCAAGGTTGCACGGCCCAGAGATCATCGTGAAGATCCCGAAGATCATCGTGAAGAGGAGGAACCTCTGCAATTATTACAGGTTATCGATAGCTCTACAACAAACAACAAACAGATTATCGATCGAGAGGAACCTCTGCTGCAACAAACAGAGGCTATGAAGCGGTTGTCGCCTTCCGTTCGGGTTAAAGTCGGCGACACAGTCCGCGTCGCCGCTCATGACCTCCTGGACCGAGTCAACGCGGAAATTCACAGTCTAGAACACTTGTTCAACATTTCGGAGATTGCTGGGTACACAACGTCAGATGACGAAGAAGAGGATGAACTGGAACGTCTTGGCTTGTTAGGGGCTCTTGGGGGGCAAGCAGGGCAATTCAACTTGATGAATGCAGAACATGAACATGATTTGGACTTTCTCAAGAGGTCTTCTGATGGAAATGGGTTATCTTCTGATCTTGGAGGGTGTGGAATAGGAGGCTTCTCTTTCGGTTTCAGAGGAGGACGATTCGGCGGCTTAGGCATTTCGACAGGGTTTGGTTCATCATCTTCAAAGTCTACTATTTTATCCGGTACGTCGACCCGCCTTGGAGGGGCGGGAGGTCTTGGCTTCGGTGGAACCAGTTTGAGCACTCCTGGAGGACCAAGACCAAGAGATGAAACAAACATCAAGCTGCTTGGTCGAAACAACGCTTCAAGCAACTGGCATGGCCCTGAACATCATTTTCCGAAGATCTCTCTTGGAGGAGGTGGGCAGAACCCGCTTGGATCCAGTGAAGATTGGATCAGTAATTTGAGCAGTAATTTGTACTACCGTTCCTCCTCTCCCGACGTGTTGGTGAAGAAAAGTGTGGATTACAATGTGAAGAAGCCGCCGACCCCAGCAATGCAGACCGCGGGAATGTTTAGAACCGTGAAGTTCTCTTCGAGCTCCGAAAGTTTCCCTTTCCACGCATTTCGGGTTCCTAGTCACCCTAGTCCTACTAGTGACTCGAACTCTCCCTCTCCTAGTTCTTTATCTGCGGCTAGGAAAACGAATCAACACCAACACGTCGCTTTCGATTTACGCGCGACGGATATCAGCCATATAAGGGATAGTGACTTCGCCATGGAGAGGCTAGAAGAAGAGCCAGCAGATGTTCATGGTCCTGATGATCCTAGTAGTCCCATAAACATCAAGGCTGCTGGGGGAATGGAAGATGCATCCCAGTATATTCGTAGAGGCACCAGCACAACTGCTAAAACAGGTAGCCCTTCCTCTCATCTGTTATCATCTTCGAGGAGCAGGAGAAGCACCAAAAAACGTAGTACAACAAGAAAGAATAGCGCTCGCGCGACGACAACGGATGACTTAGACCGCGCTTTGGGGTACGTTTTGGGTCAATTACAGGCACCACCAGCGCTTAATCAACAAGAGCAAGTGGGACCACGCGTCTCGTTCTACGCTGCAACTGGTGTCGATTTCCTCACGGTGTCTGGGTCGGTCGCGAGAAAAACACTGAGAGTTATGTGCAACCATTTACGCAAGCTGCAGAGAACAGTCCATATCATGCGGAATTCTTCAGTCGCTGCAAGACCTTCGGCTCCTCCTGCAGCAAGACCTTCTGCGGCGATGGGGGTGCCGTCCCCACGACAGACAACTGGGTCATCAACTTCAGCTGCTGGCCGTGCTTCCGTCGCACGCTTTCCATCATCTGACGTGGATCAGCAACAACGTGAACGTGGGAGAAAGGCTGATGATTCTGTAGCTAGCGCAAGTCCAGGTGCAGCGAGAAAGACCGACGACTCACTCCAAAGTGGTGGTAGTGCAACTTCTGGAAGAAAGACGAGTGATGACTCAGCGGTCGTGGTACAGCTGCAGGCAAGCACAGCAGACGATTCAACGTCACCAGAAATTCTGAAGGGTCTCGAGAATAATATAAGATCATGGCCAGCAGTTCTCGAGAAACAACGCAGCTCTTCTTTTAAGACAGAACTAGAATCCTCACATGAAGCACCAGAGCGCAGCTCGTTCAAAACAGATTTAGAAGCGGAAGATGCATCCCAAGTATTAGAACCGGACGAGGAGAAACTTGTGAATGAGACCCAAGATTTGCTGGAGGAAAGCGCCAAATTGCGTGAAAACATTCTCGCTTTGACCAAGCAGCTGTCGCAGATGCGGAATTCCATCACCAGTTGTACCGGAAGAAACACCGCAGCAGGATCAACTACAGCTAGAAAATCCAATGCTCCTCTGGGAACAACGATTTTGACTTCAGGCATGGTTCAGCTCGACAACCAATTTCTGCAGCAGTACCAACGGCCGTCGGCGGCCTCAGACCTCTCTCCACGGATGAAGGAAGGCTTGCACAAGACTTTAATGAAACTGCGGGTTCAAGCGAATCGCGTGGCGGGGAAGGTGTTGTCATCCCAGAATGCCGGATATGAGAGGCTGAGGGTGCTGCGAAACAAAGGAATTGCCGTAGGTGAAGGAGAATCACAGTCTCCGGGAGGTGTTGATCTATCTGTAGTTGAGGGAGGCGATCTATCTGTTGAGCCACGTTCTACTGTTTTCTGGCGTGCAACTGAACATAATGCAAGTACTGCAGAAGATGATCAGGATCTTGAACGTGTAGCTGTTGTAGCTGGGCAAGTTCCTCCTCCTGAGCAGGCGGATGCTATGGAATCTTGGCGAGCTTCGCAGGTTTCTCTTCAGATGGAAAATGAAGGCAATGCTGAAGACCGAGACGAATTCGTGACGCCTACACGGGAATTGGAGAGACTTCACGACTTGGTTTCCACCGGTTCTATGCTGAGGATCGTACGATTTCGATTTCTTAGGGCTGTGCCCGCAGTCATGGTGAAGGAGCACTTGTGGCAAGCTTTCTTGCCGTTGTTTGAAGACGATGCTGAGCCGGAGATGGCTGTTAGCGGTAGGAATGTGTCAGATGACAAAGATAGCTCTCCTGGTCCGAAGGGATCTCCAGAGCCGGCTTCCCCGTCTGCTACCGGCGCAGCTGGAGCTGCTACTGCAGTGCAAGACGATCTTGCGGTTGTTGCAGCTGTAAGCAAAGCTGATAAGGAGCAACAAGCAGACATGAAGCAAAAATTTCTGCAAACCATGGCGATCCCACCAATTGTCTCACCGAGACAACTTTTCACACCGCGCTTGAACTCTCCTGGTGCTCTTTTACGGCGAACAAACTTGCAACTACCGTCAAACCTTCAACTAGTTGCAACGTCTAATGCAGCTTCTACTGCCATTCAGGTGCAGTCTACTCCTGCGACTGCGTTTACCATCAATGCTGAAAACAGGATTCTTAGAGTCGCTTCCAAGCAATTAGGAGAGAAGTCGCCTGAACAGAAGCCGGACAAGTTCAAGAAAGAGCGTGACTCCTGGACTGAGCTTTTTCCTGAGGCTGCTGGTGCAGTCTTTTATCAAGGAGATATCCTAGAAATGCAGATTTCGGCCACCTCGATTTCTAGTGGGACCACTCCTGGCACTAAAAGGAGGAGGAAAAAGAACAAGATCTTCTCACGCATCTTGCGTCGAGTTGATTCACGAGCTGTGTTTGGTAAAATGGGTGAGGAGCCGCAAACGACTGTAACAGTCAAAACGAATGGCTCCAGCTCGCCCAGATCATTCTTAAAGGGTGTTTGCATCCAAGAGGACGGGCTAAGCCGACTTTTGGACATGCGGAGCGCTCATGAGGCTGCATTTCATAAAGCAGTAGAGGATTTGCCGAATCATGCACTGAATTATAACTACTGCCGATTCGGAACGACCCCAAGAAGAGCGGAGTCGAAAGACTTGTCCAGTTTCGCAGTTCTGGCTTCATCTGAGCTGTCCCACGATCTTTCTTCCTTCAAAGCAACTCAGCATACTGGAAATTTGAGCCACAATAAGTGGTGCGCTGTAGTCCCACCACCTAGAGGAGGAGCTAGCTGTAGTCCGCGAAGTAGAGGTGGAGACGAACCTAGTAGTCCCAGTCCGCGAAGTAGAGGTGGAGACGAAGCTGTTGGCAAGGACCGTTACGCCTTGATGGACAAGGAAGCCACAGTCGATTCTAGAATTCTTTGTGTTGTTCTGCAGAAGTGGTTGGGTTCTCATCCGGCAGTACAGGAGGACTTACCGAAAAGATTGGCCTTTTTAAGGATGCAAGGTCGGATTCGAATACCCTTGTTTGTCTTGGAGCAAATGGAAAAAACTCCTGGTTCTCTTGGTCTGGAGCAGGTGCCAGAAGAGGACGAGCAGGTGCCAGACGAACCGGAACTTCTAGACGCACAAGAAGCACTTGTAAATGCCGCACCAGAGTCAACATCTCCTTCTCTGCTTGGAACAACAACTACACCAACAGGATCTCGCCAGATAGTCCCTGTACAAGCCCTAGACCCATCAACTTCTCTCGAAGATGAGGTGCTTTTAGTAAGATCGCCTAGTAGTGATAGTGCAATATCGATACTGACACCAAGGAGGACTCCTCGTACCATAGCTTCTGAAAAGAAGAAGATCCAAGCGCAGGAGGTTGCTGTAGCTTCTGCAAAGCATAAAAAGATACAATCCAAGGAGATCCAAGCCCAACAAGTAGAAGCTGCCGGACGTGAGTACTACAAGAAATTGCTGAAAGACGAGAAGACTGCGCGAAAGAACCACGATAAGAATCCTAGAAGTGGAGATGTTAAAAAAAGTCCCCTAGTACCGCCAGCACTGTCTAAGACCTCTTCAAAATCATCGGATGCTGTGGTTCTTTCTGACGTGACACAAGAACCTGAGGATGACAAGAAAACTCCTAGCTCTCCAGTTGCAGTACCAAAAAAGACCTCCATGTTGGTTCATAGAGTGCCACCGGTGATGGCAAAAGAACTTCGAGGGGAAGGTCGTTTACCATTCATGGGTGTGACGAAGCCTAGGCAAAGTGAAGCCCCGACAAGGCCGCCAATTAAAGGAAGCATGATGCTGAGAATATCGACGCCTACGTCACGTGCTGGTACTAATTTCAGAAGACTCCCGGGAGAATCTGAATCTCCTACTGCGGCTGATCTTCGTATTTTTACTGGAGGAACATCTTCTGCACGAAAGGCGTCTCTTCTGGTTGAACGTGGAGACTCTACTGTGGAAGCCCTTGTGCCTGATCCACGTTCGACCGGAGCAGGGTCAACAACAAGGTCTTCTTCAACAACTAGAGGAACTTTTCCAAAGTCAACATCGGAGGTCTCTCGACGTTCGAGAAGTTCAGCGCCCAAGGGAGCGACGTCCTCGTCCTCGCCTCGAGCAGCACCCCAGTCGGCTCGTACACCTCAGTCTCCGCGTGTGCTGATAGATAGGAAGACCACCAAGTTTTCAGCGGCCGTGGCGAAGAAGAGAATAGTAGCAGTCGCCTCGTCTAACTTGTCAGGTGGTCCGAAACCAGCGAAACCACCAAGCGCAACAGCAGCTGCAAAAGGGGTTCCAAAGCAGCTGCCCAGACCGTCAAAGGACTGAAAGAACTTAGTAGAGTTGTCTTTTCGACTTTATCATGGTCAAACCCGAAACTACTAGGACTATGCCGCCAGCTTATCGATTGAGTAGTAGAGTTGTAATTTGTAGTACTCAAGCTATAATTTGTAGTAAGCTTTGTTTATAATCAAGAACCCGAAACTACTATCTTACGGCATCGGTTGATTCTACAGGATTCTCTGATGATCGTAGCTTGGTAGCTACGATCTATCCGATCGGAATTCTTTGAAAATTGTTTTTCTACATCTCCATATCGATAGCTGTTTATTTGAAAGGTTGGAGTGAACAGACTTAGAAAGTAAGGAAATACATGGCACGATAATTGAATTTGAGCTACATCAAATAGGAAGAAGTGAACGTCACAAGAACATCAAGGCATTGCTCTGATTCGTCAATAGATTGTCAGAAAGCTGATCAAAATGTACGGTTACCGGACATTGCGGACCTTAGTCGAGGATCGAAGAGCAGACATGTTCTCATTTATCTCGACAGGTGAGGACGACAGTAAATCGAGACTCAAAAGTGAAGGCGGAGGAGGTTCCTATCGGTTTAAGTAAATTCTGCGACTCCGAGATTTCATTCTTGCTGCTTTTCCCCACTAGAGGCTGTTGAGAAAGAACTGAAAAAATGGTTTCCTTCATAGCGCCTCGTCTCCGGCAAATCGCCTCTCTCTGCGTTTTCCTACTCATCACTGGTCATGCTTCGTTCATCGATGGTTTACACGTAACCACTTCTAGGAAGACCTCGACGTGGCCCTTCGCACCTCCTCCTGAAGTCCACGAAGGCGGGAATCCGAAAATCAAGCTCCCGAAAACCCAGGACTGGCTAGCAAAGTCCAAGCTGGATCCGAAGTACGATGTAGATGCACACCCTCTCAAAGGAAAGTACGACGCCACAGAAGCAGAAGTGGCCGCCGAGCAGGCGCATGAGCATGCGGACATCGACCACCCTGATGCGCATATTGCGGTGGCTCGGTGATGGAGGACGTGGCAAGAATAGGTCGATGAGGGACGCGGGTGTATAGGAAGATGAATAGAAAAAAAAGAACAGAAATTGAGATATGTCAACGGGCCGGCAGAAGTAGATGGGAAGAGAAATAGACAAGGAGTCTTCATCATGTACTAGTTTTCCAGACCAGTGACACTAACACCCTTTTTTCCAAGTATGAAATGACATCTTGCAGAATCATACTCGATGAAACTGCTTTGTCGACGGAGATGCGTGTGCGGCATGGACGGGGGTAATGCAGGCGGACAATTTCAACATATCTTGAAAAAAGACTGTGGACATGTCCGCCTGCATTACCCCCGTCCGCGGACAGTCGATGTTGTTTCGCGAACAGGTAGACAAGGGTCGCATGACGAGAGACGCATGAGGCTTATTTAAGTACTCAACATGATATCTTCCCACTGGAAAAAGAAGAAGAGCTATGTCTAGGTGTTCAAGCCAACCCTCTTTGAGAAACAAGCACATTCTCGAAAAAAACACGTAGACAATTACGGAAAGATATGGATTTTGGTCGTATGATCAACATCTTTTAGTTCTTTTGGTACAGTCATGACATGTCTCCATTGAATTTCAAATGTGAAAAATGGACCTTTCCGTCGTAAATGGCGGAGAGCGGATCGTCTTGGATCGTACACGTCAAAAATCGAGTTCGAGCCAAGGCGAAGGCGACAACAAACCTGGAAATGCCGCGAAGGAGAATTTTCTCTCCAAAGCCCAATCCAGATGCTCCGATAACCTCAAGGACTTCGTACTTAGTAAAGAGAAACAACAGGGCGTTTTGTTTCTCTTGTCCCGATCTGGAGCAGGGAAAAGTACAGTTTTAGCGACACTGTGTGGAGAACTCCGGAATGATACAACAACTTCTTCTGATGTGGTCGAAGTATTTTCGATTTTCGTCGGTAGTTCGGATGCATCGACGTCAGCATTGCGGTTCGTACCAGCTTTGATTCGATGTGTGTTGAATCTTGATGGCACAGGAACGGGATCTTCTAAGGCGCAACACGATGATGCAGACCAAGCTGATATCGCGGAAGATGCTCAACGAGCTGCAGGTGATCTCGCAGCCCTTAGTGCGGTATTGGGAAGAGCTGCGGCTTGGCGGCAGCAGAAAAACTGGAAACTCAAAGGCGTCGATGTCAATACCAAGTTGATCTTCGTATTTGACGCTGTGAACGAATTAGATGCGGACGATGGCTCACGTGCTTTGACGTGGTTGCCACTACAGCTTGGTAGTACAGCGTCGGGCGCGAAGAATAGTAGTTGTGTTGTTGTGTTATCATCGATTTTCGTGGACCAAGATGTTGGAGGACCGTCGCCAGACAAAGACGAAGATCCTGCTACCGCAGAGGCCCAAGTTTTCCGTGCTGTTTCGCAACGATGGCCTGAAGCAGGACAAGTGAAATTGGACCCATTAGAGGAAAAGGAGGATCGGGAACGCCTTTTTAAAGCGTTTTTTGGACAAAGTGGCGGTGGTGGTGGTGGTGATAACGAAGTAGGATCTCCACCTAAAGCTCTGGTCGAAAGACTCGTTGAAAAACCAGATGGCGGTGTGCCTCTGTTCCTACGATTAGCAGCGTTTCTTTGTCAGAGGGCTGTGAGCTTGGGGAAAGCGGAAAAGGACACTGCTACGTTCGATGTACCAGATAGATTACCATCTCTCTTCGACAATGTTTTGAAGGAGCTGACCGCCGAAGCGGACAGCACGTTTAAGCAAAAGCTACAAACTCTTCTTTCGATGGTTTTCGCGACGGAGGGTGGATTGACGGTTTTACAGTTGCTACAGCTAGTGTGTGGACAAGGGGATAAGACGCAGCAAGACAACATGGGAAAGATGCTAGAAGGTACTACTTGATGTTGGGATTTTGGTTCTGGTTCTTCTTAATTGTGCCTGGTGAACGACATACTTCCATAGCCCATGATCAACCAGAACTCAAGATAGCGCATCGCCGCTGTCCTGCGTGATTCGAGTTCGGGAAGGCGTCGTGGGCTTCCTACATATGCAGTCTAGGGATGCGGTACAACGATTCTATAATCTCTACGACACTGCGGAAACGACGCTAGCGACGCACGGGCAACTAGCTGGATACTTCGAGAAGAAGTACCGCGAATTATACGGGAAAAGTACCTTATTTTATCTATCAAGATTGATGCTTTCTCCTTAGGCTGGCATGAATTTTATGCTTGCTGTTACCTGGTAAGACGCGCATTTAATTCTGCTCGTCGCTCTTGATTCCCATCAGAACGCCTTTCCTCCGACGATGCCCTCTTGTACCGCCAAACCTTGAGCCGGTTGCCTTACCACACTCTCCGAAGTTTGCAGGCTACAACAGCGGCTTCTCCCAGTACTAATTGCAAAGCGCTCTTTCTCGATGCTGAAAACAATATGCGCTTTTTGGTCGAAAAGAGCCTAAACGGCTTGTTTGGAGAGTTTTTACTCGAGTTCCGAAAGTTCCGGATAGCAACAAAAATTGGGGAAGATGGAAATTTGTCCAGCAACACCTTGCGAGACTTCAACGAATGGTACCAGGGGAACGCACACGTGATGAGGCTTTTCATCAAAACCAAAAGTCTGGAACTCTGCCACGTTGTCCGACAACAGATTGCAAATACACGAGACGACTCTGAAGTACTGGCGACGTGTCGTGGCTCGAAGGAAGGAGACAAAAAAGCAGATACTACAAAAACTATTAAAACTACTAGTGGTGCTACTCCATCAAGAACCCGTGGTCCGGTCTTTCTCAACTGGCGCAACAAGCCTCAGCTACGCCCTGAAATCGAGCAAGTCTTGCAGCAGCCCAATGGCGTCTGGGTGTGGACTGCGGCAGTGTCGCCGAAAAACCAATACATCGCGTTAGGCTGTAGCGATCGGTTGATTCACGTCCTGGATTTCGTGTCTTTCGATGAGACGTTGACATTGTTTGGCCATACTGGGGAGCTGTCGCATTGTGCTTTTGTTTATGGGATGGTGACGTCTAGCTGTTCGATATTCATCAAAGATTGGTCGAAGTGCCAATTGCTTGTACCGAGGTACTGGCTACCTGATGTTGTCTATGTTTTCATCGCATGCGTTACGAATAAACTGTGGTGCTGGTCGTGCTCAATGTACAGCCCTCTCCTTTCTCCTTTCATTCCATCACAAACACAATCCTGGTCACCGTTGCTGGTTGTAGACCTTATCGCAAGGAAAACGAGATCATTCTTTGGGACGTCACAAAGGGGAGCAAGTTGAGGCAGCTTTCGGCACGTGGAGGATGTACTTCACTTGTTGTCAGTCCAGAAAACCGGAACGAGGGCACCTTTTCAGTACGGGCCTCCGAATGGGTTTCTGTGTACGAATGTGGGAACATGGCTAGTGCCGCTCCAAATGCAAACTCTAGTACTACAACTTTGGAAGTAGCTACTGCGGAGACAGGACGTAGCGGACAAGGCTGTGATGTAAGGAGTTTCGAGGCGAACACTACCCAAGAACAGGGAGATGAAGCAAAAACAAGAAAGGGGAAATCTTACGTTTTTGCAGCAGGGTCTGGAAGTGAAATCAAGCTGTATCGAAGTGATGGGGGCGCTGCTGTTGGGGACACAAGTTCGATTGAAATCTCGACCTTCCCAGGACACGAGGACTCGATTGTCGATTTGAGATTTTTGGACATTGAACTGCAAAGTCAAGCTGGAGCCCCTACAACACTGTCAGGACGCCTTGTCTCTGCGTCAATGGACCACAGTTTACGCCTCTGGGATTTAGCGAAGGGCACCTGTCTACATTGCTTGAAGAATGCCCATTCACCAGAGACGGACTTGACAGCCTTGACGGTGTATTCTCAACTACTAGGGCCGCAAGTAGGAGCAGATAAAAAGAGTACAAAGGAAGCAGGACTAGCTGCACATGGGGATCGCCTATCATCTGGTTGGATGGTTATCACTTGCGCTGATGACAAAACTTTGAAAGTGTTTGAGTGTGTGTCTGGTTTGGCATCTGGTCTTGTAGCCAGTAAAGCGCCTTCTGCAAAGAGTAAAGCTACCCAGAAGACATCCGCTATCACGGGAACTCCTAAGGGCAAAGGGGCAACTGGGTCTGGTCAAGCAAGCAAGGGCGCATCTTCCGATTCGACTTTTCAACACCTTGCAACCTTAGAGGGTAACGCAAGCAGCGTAAAGAGTGCGCAAGTGATAACCAGTGGCGAACGTTGTGTGTCCTGTTCCGATGATGGCGTTGTGCGGATATACAACTTAAATGTAGCGCTTGCGAATCATCGAGTCAGGATGAATGTAGTTGATGGGAGCAGTCAAGGGCAAGGGACTAGTGGAGGAGGAGGACAAGGGGTGAAACTACCACCGATTCTGGCTGCTGTTGGAAACACTAAGGCGAGCAGCGCTGCTGTATCTGGGTCAAACTCAGCTTCCAAATTCCCCAAGCCTCGCATCAAGGACCATAAACCTAATGCAGTATCGAGTTGCGTTCTGCTGACAGAATCGCATCTAGCATCCGCCGATGTGAGTGGGCGAGTGGTATTGTGGGAGCTTATCGGGAACGACAAGTCTGCGGTTTGGTCCAAAACCCTACGGTCGGCAAATGAGATGTCCATGGCAGCTGTGAGTTCCATCGTGGCGGTGAACACTACGAAGCAAGGGGATACGTCTGGCACCAGTACGGTTGATATCAACAGAGTTCTTCTTTTTTGTGCTATGTTTCGTGTAGTGCATGTAGTTCGCGCCTCTGATGGAGAAAATTTGCATAGTTGTGCTTTTCCAGATTGGGTGAACGCACTAAGCCTAGGACCTAGTGCATTGGTTGCTGGTGGTGACAGCTTTATTGTTGCGTGGTTGCCACTACAAGAAGAGAATCTCGCTTTCCTAGCTGATCTGGCCATTGGCAAAAAGAAGAGCACTACCGAGTCAGCAGAAGAAGCGGTTCGGGTAAGCGGAGCTTCGTCTGCGGACACATTTTTGCCCTGGCATCGGGCAACGCATAGTGCAGCAAAGGCGTCCGCAAAAACAGCGGTTCTAGCAGTTGCGGCATCGTCAAAGCTGATAGCGAAGGGCACTAAAGGTAGGTACTTCATTGCTTCCGGCTCAAACGATCATGTAGTGCGACTATGGGATGGCGGCTCGGCAGGTGTCCTGTTAGCGCAGTTTACAGCTGAATCATGGGTAGTGAGCTTGTGCTTCACATCGGAGGGTGCGAAAAGCAGTGATGACGGAACAGCGCCACGACAATCGGACTCAAAACATCTGTTCTTCGGAACGCAGCGAGGAGAAATAGGCGTGCTGAACGCGGCAGACGCAAGCGAGCAAATGGAGGCTGTCGTGATTCGAGGAGACCTCTTGCAGGGAGCAACAATTGCATGGTGCGAACCTTTGTCGGAGAGCGCAATTGCGCTGGCAACTTTTATGGCTTGGTTGTTTGTAGTTTTAGCAGTCTTCTGGCTTGCCACTGGGCAAGATCAGTCTCGCCCTCCCATCACTCCTTCATAGCATCCGACAAGATGGTCTACATCGTGAACATCAACACGACACCAGCCGAGGATGCGGCGACGCTGAAGCTCGTTGGCTTCTTTCCAGCAAGCGGTCCTTTCGGGTCAGCCGATGGTATAGGGGGGCAGGGGTCATGTTGGACTCGGAAAAGGGGTAGTGGAGACTCTGCATTGGGCACGATTTGCATCGGGGATCAAACAGGTGAATTGTATTGCTTAGATGCGACACATTGATAACTACATGTTGAGACTGTTGTATGGCTATTTTCTTTCGTATGACAGAATCTTGACTCAAATGTTCGTTCTTTGTATCGGTGAATATGGCGGTATCTATAGAATGAAGACCTACAATCAAGATTCTAATGCTCGCGAAGATATGAATGCTGGAACACGCTAAAGCGTATCTGACAGGTCCACATTCATGCTTTGAAATTTAGCTCAATGAACAAAACGCCTAATAGCTTGGCTGGTTGGAATATCATGATGCCTGTATTCCTCTTACGCTTGAGGTTATGGTGAAATAATAAGTAGCGTTTCCCCTCTTTGACTGTTCGTTCTTGGTCGTAATTTTTGGTTTTACGACTAGCCGTGACCTTTTTTTGGGTCTTGTAAGGTCATTTGCGTCGCTTATACTTCTTAAAAGATGGCTTGGCTACAAGCTCGGCATGGGAGATTGTTCAAAGATCTTCCCAACAGTGAACTACTGAACGATAACATGCTTGACCGCATCACTACACCTCTGAGAAGACAGGACTGCAAAATTGAACGACCTCATGAGGCTGAAGTGCATGCACACTTCTACAAGTCGCACCAGAAGATTCTGCACTGCGTTTGAGTTTTTTTTTGATACTGAAGGAACGAACGTGAACCGAGAACTGCACGTGAACAAGACCATCCTGAACCAACTAGTACGACTATGTGGTGCGTTGATTGAAAAAGACGGGGGCCGTGTACCTTTTGGCGAGTCTCCGTCCGACTGAAAGATGCTGTTATGTACTGTATTTTTCTTCTGTATCACTCGAGCTCGACTTCCACTGTCAACTTTATAGCCTCTTCAATGAATTTAGAGTGACCATCGAGCAAGCTAATAGTAACTCACCTTGCAAGCCGAGTTTTTGCTTTTTCTAAAAATCCTGATGTAGTAGCTTTCCACAAATGATCCATATCTTTTAGATTTCGATTTAGAAGTCCACTTTTTAGTACCTGATCATCGGACCACCACTCGTAAGCTTCATATCACTATGCATCGAATGCTACTTATTCACAACCAAATCCTTCCCCGAAATCTAAATCAATCAAAAATAGGAGACAGTAGATAGAAGAAATTCTGTCTAAAAAACTAAAAAATGCGTGAGTTAGTGCATATTCAAGGCGGCCAGTGCGGCAACCAGATCGGGGCGAAGTTCTGGGAGGTCATCGCTGACGAACACGGTATCGACCCCACCGGTACCTACCACGGAGATTCCGATCTCCAGTTGGAGCGCATCAATTTATGGCTGGAAGAAGTGCAATTGTTAGTACTCAATTCTAAATACTTAGTGATGATACTTGTACAGAATCTAAATTCGCGTTTATCTGATACATAGACGAAAACGAATGTAGTATGGAATAGTATTCTCCAGTACCACTATCTCCTTATCCGGTACTCACGTAGAACAGTGTAGTTACCATGATCCCTCTATGTGTAGTCGTTTTCATCTTCTTGTTCATCTCCTTCTAATCTTTGTGTACTTCAACGAAGCCACTGGCGGCCGTTACGTGCCCCGCGCGGTCCTCATGGACTTGGAGCCGGGTACCATGGACTCCGTCCGTGCCGGTCCGTTCGGTCAGCTCTTCCGTCCCGATAACTTCGTTTTCGGACAGACTGGTGCTGGTAACAATTGGGCCAAGGGTCACTACACCGAGGGTGCCGAGCTGATCGACTCCGTTCTGGACGTCGTCCGTAAGGAGGCTGAGGGCTGCGATTGCCTTCAGGGCTTCCAGCTCGTCCACTCTCTCGGTGGCGGCACCGGTTCCGGTATGGGAACGCTCTTGATCTCCAAGATCCGTGAGGAGTACCCGGACCGAATCATGAGCACCTATTCCGTTATCCCGTCCCCGAAGGTCTCCGACACCGTTGTCGAGCCCTACAACGCCGTGCTGTCCTTCCATCAGCTCGTCGAGAACGCGGATCAGGTCTTGATGATGGACAACGAGGCCCTCTACGATATCTGCTTCCGTACCCTGAAGCTGACCACCCCGACCTACGGTGACTTGAACCATCTGGTCTCCGCCGCCATGTCGGCCACCACCTGCTGCATTCGCTTCCCGGGTCAGTTGAACTGCGATCTTCGTAAAATCGCCGTTAACATGATTCCGGTACTTTTTTGTCTTAGATTTGTGTAAGATCGCCGTCAACATGATTCCAGTACTTTTGTTCCGTTTTGAACATGATTCTGGTACTCTTTAGAAATGTGATTGATTTTAGAGTAAAAGTAAACCAGGACCAGAATTGTGATCGGAGAATACACTTAGAGGAGCCTTCATTGTGACATGAAACGGCTACATTCATCGACATCAACCTGCTAGAAGATCTAGTACCATGTCAAGAATTCTTTCAAAACCATCCCACACGAAAAGTTCCGATTCTATCTCCCAAAACTCTCTCTCACACAATCCAACTAACATTTCTCAAAACCACATCACAGTTCCCGCGTCTGCATTTCTTCATGACCGGATTCTCTCCGTTGACTTCCCGTGGTTCCCAGCAGTACCGTGCCTTGACTGTTCCGGAGTTGACGCAGCAGATGTTCGACGCCAAGAACATGATGTGCGCCGCCGATCCGCGTCACGGACGTTACCTCACAGCTGCGGCTCTCTTCCGTGGACGCATGTCCACCAAGGAAGTCGATGAACAGATGTTGAACTTACGGCAAGATTTTCGACGAAGTGATGGTTTAGATAGTTCAGATTTAGATGGAGGCTGGATGTGCGAACATGCGTACACGTACGAGTGTACGAACATACGTAAGTAGGTACTACTTTTACCTAGAAGAAGTGGTGCAACTACTAGATTTTGTGAAGTAATGCTCGCTGAATATAAAGGTGTCGTAAGTGGATAAGTGTGGTCATCCAAAGGGCTTCTTCTTCTAATCCATGTGCAGAACAAGAACTCTTCGTATTTCGTTGAGTGGATCCCGAACAACATCAAGTCCTCCGTGTGCGACATCCCGCCGAAGGGTTTGAAGATGGCTGTCGGATTCTTGGGTAACTCCACCGCTATCCAGGAGATGTTCAAGCGCGTCGCGGAGTACTTCACGGGCATGTTCCGCCGCAAGGCATTCTTGCACTGGTACACCGGTGAGGGTATGGATGAGATGGAGTTCACCGAGGCCGAGTCCAACATGAACGATCTGGTCTCCGAGTACCAGCAGTACCAGGACGCCACCGCTGAGGAGGAGGGTGAATTCGACGAGGAAGAGGGTGAATATGACATGGAACCCATGTAAATCTGAAAAGATTACTGGATGATGAGGGGGATGTGGAACAAGGTGTGGTTCTGAGTTCTTTGTACTCGTAGTACTTTCACGCAATGTTGTTCTTGAAGATTTCGTTTGACAGAACTCCTATATCGTCCTAAAAAACATATGGTAGAAGTTCTTTTAAATGTAGATCTCCCCTTTTGTAGATTTTCTTTTCCTTTTTCCATTGCACACATGTGACTTGGCTACTTTTTTAGAAAAATTCATACACGTGAATCCTCTAGGCAAGTAGCTTTGTCTTTTCCATTGTTGATTGAGCTTGTGAAAATTATGTAATTTGAGAATACATTGGGGTTGATGATCATCTTCACAGTAAAAGAACACAATATTGAAGAAAAGAAGAAAATACATAAGAAATGTCTCCGAACAAAACAAGAACTGTGAGATCTAGGGCTTATGGTTCAAATTTTCTTGCACCAGCAGTCTGACGAAGATGTCGACGCGGGCTTGGAAATGAAAAATATACTGAGCAGTGACCTCTCCCTGCACCTCTTAAGCAGGTAGCAGGGTATTAGCTAGAGCTAGGGGTCAAGTTCTATTTGTAGTGCATGTCGTTGGAAGTGTTCTTTCGAAATCGAACCGAACAAGAATCTGTACAAAGAGACATCACAGTATGGACCTCGATTCCAGGGGATATATTGCACGTGCATCTGTCTGCGAGTTAAACTTGCTTCCCGTGCTTATTTTGGGGGTCTACTGACGAGTCTGTGGTTTTTTCTCACTTCGAATTCACGTGAAAAGTCTTTTCTGTTTTTCGGACACGAGAGGTCCTGTTTCGTTGCTTCATGTGATATCTTGTTTTCTACTCGGTGGGAGTGACCGCACGACAAGACTAAGAAAGATGGTATTCTGGCTGTCATCGTCGATCCACTTCATCGATATCTATCCGATGCATACAAATGTGAAGACCCCATTGGCAGTATCCCTGCCCTTTCCCTGTGTATGGTTTCTACCCAGTAAGTTGTTCATCTCCATGTCTCACGATCACCAACTTAGTAGTAGGAGACTATTGTCTTCCACTGCCTTTTGTTTGTTTCCGGCTTCCTTTTTTGTTTCGAATAATCATGTTGAATCGCATCAGTTTCTCTCCATAGTATGTTTGACGTCGCTGTGTATTATAGTTTAAAACTTTATCATCTTTAATCCTATCAAATGTAATATCAAAATCATGTCGATTGTTCGCGCGACGATAGCGACGTTGACTAAACGGCATTCGGGACCGAAGCTGCCTCTTCGCATTTACCAATTCGCCAACAATGCCTACCCTATGGTCACCAAGGGCGTTACTGGCGGCATGCTCGGAGGATTAGGTGACTTAGTGGCGCAGTATCTGGAGGCTGGAAGATATTCTTCGACGAGATCAGATGCCGTCTCTCGACAGTATGTGGAGACGGACGGAAGGCATCTTGCAGATTGCGATACCACCATTGCGAGCTCCCCGGTATCTCTGAGCACGCTATTGCTCTCAACTTCATCGTCCCCTCTGCCCTTCGAACCGTGGGAGGGTTTCAGCTGGCGTAGATTAGCCGCATTTGCAACGTTCAACGGGATATGGGCAGGTGCTCCCTTGCACTTCTACATTCAGTTTCTAGAAAAGCGTAGCGGTTTTGGTCTCTTGCGGAAGCTGTTGGTCACCCACGCAGTCTACAATCCTGTCGTTTACTTTCCGTCGTTTTATTTGTGCCATGGGCTGCTGATGGGACATGTAATGTTTACCTATAGTTATTGCATGGTACAGTGTTTGAGTCTACCTATACTACTCGCCCATGTCAAATGGATGCATGTCCTTCTACAACTAGAAAGATGTAGTGGTCCACACAGAGATGATGATATGCTTTACACACAGTCGATCATGTCGTAATATTCCGCGCCCCCACTTTAACAGGACCCCCACAACATCACTCAACAGGACCTTCCTCTGATCGCTCAACGAGTCCGTTGCGAGATGCCACACGCATTCGCGCAATGCCTACAATTCTGGGTGCCAGTTAACATCGTTCAATTCACAGCCGTTCGACCGTCTGCTCAAGTCGCTTTTTTGTCCGTTTGTAATGTGGCGTGGAGCGCGATACTCAGCAGTAGTACGGGAGGGAACTTTTGATCTCGAAGAGAGTTCCAAGTACTTTTGAAGGAACGTGGTCACGTTGAACAAGCCATGAAGCCATAATCTGAGAGATCTAGAATTTTTGTGAAGCTGAAGTCGCTGCTAATGAATCCTTATAAATTAGTCTATACCACACTTTGAATACTTCTAAGATCTTCTTTATGATGTGTAACTGTAAAACATGGTGTAAAACAAAGTAAATGTACCAAACAAACTAGCTATCACACAAGATGTCGCACTACTCCTTACATATTTCGCGACGGGATGCTCTGTCCGCGAGAGGAGGAAATGTGCGAACAACTTGTAGTCGAGCCGGGTTTCGAGGTATTACAAATAACGGAAGGGTAAAGATCGAAGCCGAGGCTACACTTAAAGAAGCCTTAGAATCAATCATATTTGAATTTTATGGCATTTAGATCAGTCATAATTTCGATCATGAAGATGAATAGTTAATAGTTTGAGATATTATTGTGTTGTACTTCATCTGATTTAGGAAGTACATCACGACAATGCCTCTGGACAGATCCAAATGTACCTGTTGGAGGCGTTTCCCCCTCCATCCCACAAATCAGACTAGTTTAGAAAGATTAGAAAGATTTTTCGTGTAGGTCTGTAGGATTGAGTCTCAATAATTGTAGACTTGCCCTGTAACTTTCCATGAAAGTTTTCTTCACTGCTACAGGCAAAGCAAGCCCAGGAAACAAATATGCTGTGGTGTTGTTGGAAATGCGAATCAATTTTGTTCATCTCGATAGAAGTGGGTCTACGCCCTAAGAACCATTTGCATATTATGTTTTCGACTGTTGAAGAACGTGTTCCTTTGATGGTGCGGTTTACACCGCCCATGCTCGATTGTTGGAAAAAAATCTCAAACTCCTGGTTTTGTGAGCCTTGTGCAGACCATGATTCTGACGATCTTTTCGCTGTCGGTCTACGTAGTTGTAGGAAAATTCTTTACACGGACTCCTGAATCATGTCGAGAAGCATCAACACACTGTGATGGGTGGATCATCATGTCGGGAAACAAATTAGATGAGGATCCACGTATGAGTGACAGAGTTAGTTATTTATATTACAGTGTTAATTACAGGTTTATTTGCTTTCTAGTAAGTTCTTTTCATCTTATTGAGCCTTCGCATCCAGTAGTTCTTTGTCTCTCTCTGTCTTCTGAATAGGGTAATAGAGCAGGAAGATGTACAAACTCATGTCCTCGTTGTTCGGCGGTTCTCATGCGGGAGTGCGCTGGTAACAGCCTCTTGGTTGGCGTCGGAGCGAGTGCGACTGTGCGCGTCGTCTACTTGGGACCGACCCTGTGACGGCGTTTCTCGCTCATGGCTCTTGCCCATAGTATGGCAGCAATCGTTGCGGTTCTGGTATTGTGGTGAACTTGTTGTCAACAAGAAGTCGTGGCATCATGTTACCTGCTTCTGGGGGTAATTCTCTCCACGTCGTAGCCGCCCCAGCAGATGCACAACATGTTGAGGGTCATCAGCCTACTGCAGTCGTAGGAGGTCCTGGAGGAAGCAGAGGAGCAGATGTGGTGACGCCAGGAGTACTTTTAGGAGTAGAGGGTACTGCCGGTCAGCTCGACCATGCGGCGGCGGAGGAAGCTGTAGCAGCATTGGTCCATTCGTTGCAAGCCTCAACTGGCTCATTATCACCTGCGGTGGCCGGTCCACCAGGAATGCACGGGTTGTCAAATACAGAAGTCTCTCCGTCTCTTCGGAATGTGACGTCCGAAGGCGAGGGTCGTGCACCTCCTCATACTTTGTCGTGTAGTTCACCTGGAGGTGCTGGGGGCTCGCCGTCGAAGAAGAAGACACCTTCGGTTTTTATGAAGAATGGGGTATCCGTGAAGAAGGGACCGGCACCGGCGAGTCTCTTAGCGGGTAAAAAAGGCAATGTCGAACCAGCTTCACAACCAGCGAAAGGGAAAGCACAGGCGGGTGTGCAGGGGAAAAATACGGGTGGTGCATTAGGTATTTTTTTTGAACTTTTGAATTAGATCTTGTAGGACGTTGAACTGGGAAGTGGGGGCACCCGAATTGGATTTGGTCTATGTTTAAGGGACAACAAGTGTGACTTGGAAGCTGCTTTCGTAAAGCTTTTTTAGTCCCCCAAGTATAAATTATATTAATTTGTTCCATAGATATCCATTCTAGTACTACTACTTCTACAGTCCCTACTCTACTACTTCTAGTATACTTAAATATTTCCTACTTGTTCTACAGTCCCACCTCCCGCTGACCCTGACGATGAGGAGAGCGATGAGGAAAAGCCAGTAGACGAGGAGGAAACCCCGGAAAAGGTCATAGCAGATTTAGAGGCGAAGGACGGGTTTGAGAAGGAGAACGATCTTGTCACGTTCTTCAAATACAAGGTAGTTACTACTTTGTCTTGGAATATTATATATACAATTAACTGATTTTTTGGTAAGAGTAAGACTGTCGATTTTGGCACCATGAAGATTTGCATCAAGTCTACGTGCTAGTGGTGTAATTTGCATGAGAGATGAAACACATCCGGTCCTCCCACAAGAAAACGCTCTTTTGTGACCAGGTATGCGGCGACTACACCTATACCCACTCTTCAATCATCGGGAGTGCGGATCAGCGTATGCCACGAACTGGCAAGCTCAATATTACCCGCTTAGACTACATGACGAAGCTGTATTGTGCAATATCGTTCTTTTACAGACAAAAGAGGCCTTTGACCTTAGTAGAGATGGCGACGACGAGGTTTAGGTTTTACGAAGATGTGGATTTGTTCTTACCGCCAGACCAGTTGCCATCCTTTTCGCAGACGGATCTAAAGGCCTTGGAAAAGAGGTGGATAGATCAGCTGCTGAAGATAAGAGGTAATCATGTTAGACTTTTGCTTAGAAGTATGATTTTTCTGTTAACAAAAATTTTTGTAAATAGCCGCGTCTCTACAACTCGGGTCGCAACGGAATCAAGCAGGAGCTTTCTTGGGTTGTCACGTGGTTCGCAAATGAATGAATGAATAAATAGCGATGAAGTTACCTGCCCATTTTATCAATCTCACCATGGCATTCACCAATCATGATTACCGAAAAATACCAGCAAAGCCACAAACGAAGTGTTCTTTGTTCTCTACCGAGGAATACAACCTCCACATCTTCACACACCTCATACCTCCCATACCTCCGTCTATCCTTCTAATGATAATAAATATTAATACCTTCACCACCCCCTCCAGCACTCTCAGACCGATGGAGCATCTGATCTTCATAATAATACCTCCACTACATAATCTTAATCATACTACCCCCTCATACCTCATACAATCATAGGCGCCGTCTTCGGAGCAGTTTGGCGTAGTGACGATGTCTTAGGCATTTGCCAGAATTGTCTGAAAACCACCGTCCACGTCTTCTCGAGTAGTGGCTTCTCCACGAAAGCCGGTTGTCCTAAGATCTCCCTGCACTTCGTGTGGCCCCATCTAGTAGTGACTAAGCGGGAAGCAAAGGCCATCCGATTAGCAACGATCCAGTTTCTTAGTGAAACGACGACTCCGGAACTAGATGCGTTGTTGAGGACGAGCTATCCGGATTATCAGTACTTCTTATGGTTATCTAGATGCGTTGTTGAGGACTAGCTATCCGGATTATCAGTACTTGTCATGTACTTAGATAAGAGGCTTCTAGCAGCTTTACACAATCAGTTGCGGAATCAAAGTACCGAGCATGATATACATCGATACTCGAAAATTACATCAAGAACAAGAACATAATCAGATATACATCGATAATCTCTGCCCCCTCTGAATGCACAACAAGGTACACGCCAGGCGGTCTGACACCGTGGGAGGAGATCTACGACGCGGCACCTATAGAAGGTGCCAGTCTCAAAATGCCGTTTAACGACAAGGGTATAAAACCGAACCGAGACACAAAACAATGCGCCAGGCTAGAAAACAGGCCGAAAGTTAAGATGTCGTGGTCTTCTCAGATACTTACGTATTGTTTTTAATTTTTCGATGCTTCTTGCAAGAAGATTACTGATCAACATGATACTGCGCACTCTTTTAATGGTACTTCTTAAGTAGCTTTCATCTTGAGTTTTTATCTTGGCCCTCCACTCCACCTCCTAATCCTGTTTCTCTCTCTAATCTTGTCCCAGTCGGCACCTTCCTCGTGACCCTCGTTCCTAGCCAGATGGATCAAGTAACAACAGAATTGCTCAAAGGTCCCAACGATAAAGAGGACTTGAAATGGCTTGTGGATGGTTCTATCAGACTTGACATGGAAAGTCCACCACCTGTAGCGAACATATGGATCTTAGCGAGCAATAAGACCGTGAAGGCGATAAGGTACATTTTCATTTTCTTTCATGTGGACTAGTCTCCTTTTTCAAACTCTGGGGCTATGGACGGATTTGATTAAGTAATCATGAGGAACACTAAAAATTCTATTAATCATGACTAACACGACTAATAAAAATTCTGATCGAGGACAATTAGAATTACAAGCTGAAATCTTCAATATTCAAAATCTTTTCCCTGACCCTCTCTTCTAGGCGCGAAGAAGAGGAGCTTGCCTCAATGCTAGAATTAGAGGATGAGAGGGAAGAAATCGACGTCTACGCCACCGTAAAGGAGGGCTTAGTAGGTGCTTGGGTAGATTCGCGTGGGGTGTATCTGGAGGTCATCCCTTTTGATGACCCGGCCGAACCGAGTAGGCTAAACGTAGTTGCCAACGAGGAAGGGACGCGATTCAAAGTAGCCGAGATCGAGATATCAGAGGACGTATTTTCGTCGCCAGTAGCAGTCTACTACAGACCGTTGCAGCCGCTCTCGTCTACCACGAATGCTGCATCATCGTTGAAGAAAACACAAGCAGACGAAGACGCGGCATCAACAATAGACGGAAGCGAGCATGAGGGGCAGGCTGGGGATACGTATTTGCTTCAATTTTCACTATGCTCGTTCTATACGTTCCCTTAGTTGTTAATTTAAATTAGATACTTCTATATTCTAACTAGTAGTTCGTCCTTGGCCTTGCTTGTCGACCAGCACCTACGAGTGTGAGCGTGAGAGGGTGCCTATGTTCTTGACACCGCTTCCTCGTGCACGAATATCAGGGTCTTTATGTGGGTTTGGGGCTCTTTGAAATCATACTTACTTTGTTCGTTCTTTACGTGGATGTTCTGAAACGACGAATCGTCATGCTCATCTCCAAAACGACATCTTAAATATAACAAACTACAGTTACGTCTGGCAGTATTCTAGTGGAGACCCCTTTGGGGTGTGGCATGGTCATTCGGATGAGTCATTACAGTCATGGCTGTGGCGGAAACCGGCGGTGCCAGCATTAGAAGCATGGCCGTCATTCGGCAGTGAAATTTGTCTAGAAGTAGGCGAGTCCGTCGACACCAATTTTATGGTCCTAGCGGCGAAGTTGTATGCGATTGGGCAGGATGAGAAGGTACTATTTTTCAGACGATGGGAGTTGTTCGATTTTTCGTAGATGATCTTGATGTCAAGTAGCAAGTCAAGAAGTAGCACCTAGAAGATTATGATCCACCAAGCCTCATGTTCAAGAAACACCACCTCGACACTACTTCTGCTTCTTCACCCCTCGACACTACTGCTTTCTTATAATCCTTCAAGAAACTTCTACACCACCTCGACACCACTACTTCCCCCCTCCATTCGCCCCTCTACCCCTTCTCCACCCACAGACCGGGAAGCTTCTCACGGCCGAAATATGGCGAGGTTGTGTTATCTTTAGCGGAGAGCAGTTTGAGGATCCCAGTAGCGTTGGAGCGAGTGTTGCTATTGCCGCGATCGGTAGTGCAGCAGTAGGACTTCGAGCACTCTTAGACTTGCGAGGATTCATCAACTCGGATCAAGCTTATGGAGGAAACTAAAATGTTTTGTCTAATTGGAAGATCTTGGCTAATGATCTCCCGATGAACCCTCCTCCGTAGTACTCACTTTCAAGAATAATATCTTCCGAATTCATTCCTCAGTCTTTGTCTTCCTATGTGTGTTCCTCCTATCCCCGTATCCGCAGAATATGCAAGCATCCCTTGCTTCTCAGCACCTCATCTTGGTTTCTTTCTATCTCTCATCTCATCTTGCTTCGGAACCCTCCCTTCTATCTCTAAACTTCCTCCTACCGAGACGGTTCAACGGCCGATTCGGACAAGAGCATTAGTGCCATCACTATTCTCTGCAACACGGGAGTGACGGAGCAAGCCTTAAACTTATGGCGGTCATAGTTGTAAGCCTAGTATTATGTTATAGTGACTGCCTTTGGAGGTCCCTTGGAGGTCACCATTTAGATTCTTGGGGTCACTGAGATCGAAGAGGCGACCCCTTCTTGAGAGAACCAAGAACAGGGGAGATAATAAGGAAGGGAAAGGGGAGAGCGAGAGCCTTGGAGGGGGTCGCTTCCGTTCAGAGTCAGTCAGTGACCGTGTTCTTGTGTTTATTACAGGGACCTAACATTAGTTCCTCTTTTTTTTGAAAGTTTCATTAGTTCCTCTGGAGTTTTAAGGTTGAAATACTTAGATCAAGATACTGAGCTCTAATAAACGGAACAACGAGTAAAGGCTACCTTCAGCCAGTAGTGGAGGTGTTGCAAGGGTATAAACACGACTTGCTTCTAGAGCCGGAGGAAGACTTGGAGGAAGACAAGAGTGCTTCGCCAGAAATCGCGGTGACTAAGTTATGAATATTTTGGGTTTTAGACCTTGACCTGCCTTAAATTAAGTAAATAGAGAATGTATGATGTTATTCATTTTTATACTGCTAGCATCCTGGCCTCCGGCCCTGAATTGCTACCAGGATTAGTCTCTATGGGCACTACGGACAGTGTCATCAGGGGCACATACATGACATGATGTTGTTGACTAAAATTAGCACCATATGGTATGTGATGCGTTGAACATCATCCCTAAACCCTAACCCGGGGCCACACACCTCTACATCCAAGAGGTCTACTTACTGCTACGTGTACAAACGATGCAATCACGATGCTTCAAATGTCTATATGATGTTGACCACCAGCAGAGGACCATGACCACTATCTTTCTATGAGTCCCCTCTCTGCTCTAATCCTCGTCGACGCCGCGCAGAATAAAGCCTCAAGGTATGCGAAGGAAGTGAAACATGCCATTCTGAGAGGAGAAGACGTCAAAAACTGCATTGGCGACTTCGAACTTTTTGATGCTGTGATGGAGAGTGTAACCTTGCTGACCGCTGCACGAGGGAAGAAGGTGGGAACAACTACTACTACTTCTAAATAGGCGGGACAATATCTAGAGGATGTGGCTGATGTTACTTTTTTCTGATCGTATAATCTTGATCTTCTCTTGTTCGGCCTTCTCACGTGAACTTCGAACCTCGTTACTCGCCTTTTTCTTCAGTAGCTAGAGCCTCGTCTAAGCGCTTGTTTTATAGTTTCATCATATTGCTTGAATTTTTGTTAACAAACTATGTTTCTTCACTTGAGTGATTATTTCTATCCACGACTTCCATTTAAAACCCACTTTTTTTACATAATGAAGCAGTTGTAGCGACTGGAAAGAGGACCACAAGCAGTACAGTACGCTAGCGAGTTCTTGGTCAGAGAAATGTTGATATTATACTTAGACCTTATCTTCGAAGTTCAGAATCAATATACCCATTATTTTATCAAACTAGTCAGAGCGTCGTGTACGAGGCATTGAAATAGTGCGCCGCGGGTCACTGTCTCTGAAATTATAGGCGTTCCCGCGTATAATAGCGTTCTTATGTTGTTGTACTACTTAGAAGTTTTGAGTTTCACTTTTATCATTTGAGAATATAGCTTCAGCTAGTTATTTCGTTGGCCGTTCTACTTGTTCCGAGACCATTCACTTGTTGTTCCGAGACTATTGTATACAGCCTTTCTGTTTCTGAGGTAGAGGTTGAGTATCCTCTCCTTCTGTCCCTTCCATGGTCCAACCGAAATCATCATATCACTCCTGAGAATACAGAAGCTCTAAGACGTTGATACGCACGTGGCTACATAGTGACCTCAAAACGCTTCACTGCCATCGTGAGGTCCGCTCATCTTCACCTGAAAAGGAACTGTTCCTGTGTGGCGGAAAATGCTGTTAATCTCTCCATGAGGTGTCTCATCTTCAGGCACTGACTATTGCTGGTCAGCGTAAAGAATAAGATAAAGACGGACTCAAAAAGAATCAACTCTAAATCCTGGTTATTTTACTGACGCATTGGTATCCCAACCTGGTTGTCGGCAGATTATAGAGCGATATTTTGCTGGGAAGAAATCTAATGGCTCGCTCCAGTAGCATGTATGCTTATAATTGACGGAAGATCAGCAAATGATGGAAGCGCGTCCTCTTGTTTGTGGGAGAAATCTTCAAAATGGTATCTACTATGCTCGTTCTGAGAATTACAGTTGTTCTTGTTGTTGCTTCGGCATGCTGATGATCTGCTTTCTATGAATGCAGAATGTTGAGATTTCAGATGTAGTTCATCTTATCCTCAGATTGTTTTCTTGCATGCGAGAAAGAGAATATAATCTCTGCAAGAAATAGCACCACGATCAACGTTTCAGTTTGCGACAAAGAGAATATAATCTCTGCAAGAAAGAGCACCAAGATCAACATTTCAGTTTGTGGAAAATGATGGAACTTTCACTTATTCATAGAAGCACAATCTGATCGACTTTGACAAAGCTAATATTTGCATCCTTGTCTCCTACAACCTGTCTCACAGGACGAGTTGAAGTATTTACATACAAGTCGTTTTCCTACCCTCAATCCTGTCCTCTCTTTCACAAACAGAGAACAACTCCATTTTTTGGTGATCACTTAGAAACAATCTAGATCCACACGACCCGTCATATCGATCCTAGTACTACTGCACAAAAAGCACATTGATTCGACAAGATGGGCCGTGGTCGTCGACGCGATGCTCCTTCGGAGTCGGAGGAAGACTCGCGATCGCGCTCTCGTGGACGCAATCGGCGAGAAGAGCGTCGGGACGATCGGCGAAGGGAAGCCGCTAAAACGTCTACTATTAAGGGTTACCACATTGCATCCTTCACTACCATCCTTGACTTTTTTTCCAGTAGGGAAAGGGTCAGGGATGATCTGAAGAATGCAATGTCGCAACGTCTAATACTAGTAAACTACAAGAACCGGCGGATGAGCCTGAGCGTCTAGTTGTAAACAACGACCACTATGATCATGATACTAGGGTGGAGAGAGACTACAACAACACAAGAAGTTCTAAAGAACAAAGTAGGTCCTATCAACCAGGAGCCACGCGGGAGAGGGACCGCGAACGTGGCAGAGAGGAGCGCCGTGACGAGCGCGCCTATCGGGATGAGCGTGAACATCGCGACAACCTTCCCCGTGAAAGAGGAGAAGACCATACAACTAGACGAGATCAGCATAGACAAGATAGAGAACGTGGTCAGAGAGACGATCGGGGAAAGAACAACTCTTCTTCTAATTCCAACAAGTATCAGGATCATGAGGAACCACATCAAGATGATCGTCCTAACCGACGCAAAGATTATGATGATCGAGAAGAAGATGATGTTGAAGACGACCGTCATGGAGGCGATGTTGAGGAACCCCATCACGACAAGCATAGAGATGATGAGAGCTCCTCTTCCGACAGCGAAGAAGCTCGTGAACGCGAACGCATAGAAAGAGAGAAGCAAGAGAAAAAGGAAAGAAAGTTATGACCACAGGGTTGTTGGTGTAATAGTATGTAAGTAGTCGCATAATTAGGTCTAGAACTAGATGAAAGCGAGTTCGTCTCGTTAATGGTAGAATAGAACTCGGCCTAGTTCTTTATTTCTCCGATTTTTTGAAGTAGTGGTGTAGTAGTCTTCCATACCCCTGGAGTGGGTGCATTCCTTCATTCATTCACTCAGGAATTTTTGTCTTTTTGGTTTTGTCCTACTGTAAGACCTTAGCCTTACTGAAAAGCAATTACTTCACGCGGAAATAAAAGTATCTCATTCTAATCCCCCGCCTGAAGAAAGAGCAAGAGCAGGAGCAAGAATTGATGATGAAGATGATGGGATTTGGCGGGTTTGGGTCTTCGAAAGGGCAGGACCATTCCGAATCCGCTCAAGAGGGAACGAAAAAAGCTACAACTCGCGAGTATCGTCAGTACATGAACCGGCGTGGCGGTATCGATAAGCGTCCAGAAGACTTCTACGGAACCAGTATTGGTGGAAGGGCATAATCTTCGCACTGCTACAACTTGAAAGGAGGAAAATCTTCCCTGTAGTCTTCCAGATGGCGATCATGACAGTCTCTTCTACAACTTCTGTAGAAAGGCATAAAAACGACGAGATACCAGTATAGTTGTAGAATCAATCTTCAGTACCTTGATAAAGACGAGACACCTGCTAACGAAGAAGATTCAAGATTTCAAGATCAAGATTCAAGAGACGTCTAAGAAGATTCAAGATCATATGACAGATTATAGCAATTGATGCGTCAATTACACCAACACCCAGAAACTAGACCTCAACAGGACCCAAGCTAATTAGGATGGCACTTTCAAACCCCCATACTATGAGTCATTCGAGTTTTCCCCTTCGAAACGAACTTCATACACAGGATGAGGCCTCCTTGGTCTCTTGAAGCAAGCGCACTTCTTGATGCTATCCATGATGTTCGATTCATTTTCTATTACTCTTGATTTTCTTGACGCGCACCAGTCTTTCTTCCGCTCCTGACGTGGAAAAAGTTGAATCTCTCAGATATGAAAAAATGCCAAGATCTACGCGGATGATCATGATCTAGTAATTGAAATTTCAATCCATTCTGTCTGTCAGTCAAGAATAGAGATCCAATAATCAATTTCCAACAAAGACAAGAAAATGCGATCAACACGTCCAGCTGTAAATTCAACTGACTGCGCATGTGAGTTCAACCGCTTTTTCGACTGATTGCGTAGCTGTGCTGTTGATGCACAAATGCGACTGTGGCGTCTAGGTCTATCTGATTTCTCTCTGACAATAACATTTTCACAGAACAGTGTCCTGTACAGGTTGTACTGAAACGAGAGCGACAGAAGTAGAAGAAGAATTTTTGCAAAAATGACCAAATGACCACAATTTTTCCGTTTGTTTCCGAATCGATCTACTTCTTTCGAATTGACTCAATCTCATAGGAGATTTTTAGAACATTTGGCTCGACGAGGTTCTCATTATCGAGAATCACAATCCGAATGCTAGAGTTGCTTTCTCTCGTCTCCAGACGCGAAAAGGTGGGTGCCACAGGAAGAAGAGCACTTCTTCTGCATGACGAATGTTCAGCCGCAGAGCAACATAGTTGTAGTACAAGTAGGAGGATCAAATCTTCTCCGAAGATAAGCAGAGAGTCCTACTACAATCCAACAGTCAGCTGAAGAAGGCCTCGTGGAAAGAGCAGATCTTCCTTCCTGGCATTTTTTTACTTGAGGAACAATCATCTTCGTCTTCTAGAACTTGGTTCCTCGACGACTACGCGCTTACCTCAGGATGGCTCCGAAAAAGAAGAACGCTGCCAAGAAAGGCAACGACGACAGTGGCCCCAAGGTGGATCCCTCAGAGGTGAAGGAGATCACGGCTGCTAACATCGTCGTAGGCCTCATTCAGAGCGTGGAACAGGTGCCGAACGGCACGCTTTTGAAGTGCTTGGTGGAAGTACCGGACAGGGAAGATGAAGTCTTTATCATCACCAATGCCAAGGTGGAGGAAGGCATGAAGGTCATTACGGCGATCGCACCAGTGCCATTGCCCAATGGAGTTCAGGTAATTTAATGTGTTTAGTCGTGAAAAATATTAGATTTTTGTTAGTTGTAAAATAATTGTTATTGTGTTTGTATTTTGAAATTGAAATTGAGTGAGAAGGAAATGAAGTGTATAAGCTAAGGTTGTCCAAGATGGCGAACACATTTTCAGTTCTTGTTTGTTCTTCCTTGTTATTCCCATTGCACACGACCTGTAAGTACGAGTTTTTCATTTTATTGCACACCTCTAAGTACGATTTTTTCATTTTATTGCCACACACGTCACACTCAGGTCGAAGTCCAAACCATCGGAGGTTTCGACTCGGAGGGTATGTTCTGCGGACCAAAGGAACTTCTCTGGCCTCACACAGTGTTCCGCACAGACATGCCGATCATTCTCCCCCAAGCCGAGATCGGTGAGGTCCCGACCTACGAAGAGTGCCTGCAACTCAAAAACAAACCCAAGGAGGACAACAAGAAGAATAAGAAGGGTGGCAACAAGATGAAAGGAGGTGCTAAAGGTGGTGGCGACGACGATGACGACGATTTCGAGGCTGCATTGAGAGCTTTTGGCGTCGTAGATGAAAGCAAAGGAGCGAAGAAAAAGAATGCTGCTGCACCTGCTGCGGCAGGAGCTCCTAATGGTGCGACAGCGACATCTTCACCGAAGAACAATGGAGCTTCTAGTGCTAGTGCAGCTGCCCCAGCTTCCTCATCAGCTGCTGGTGACGACGACGATGGCGACGACGACGGTCCCACTGAAGGCTTGACCGCTAAACAGTTGGCCAATCGTAAGAAAAAAGAGGCCAAGAAGAAGAAGGAGGCTGAGAAAAAAGCTGCAGACGAAGCTGCAGCTGCCGCAAAGGCGGCTGATCAAGGGGCTGACGGAGACGACTCGCCCAACAAGCAATCCAAGGGTAAGAAAAAGCAGGGTGCTATCGGTAAACTGCTCGCCGCGCAATTGCAGGAACAGAAGAAGCTAGAGGAGGAACGACAGAAAAAGATTGCTGAACTCCAGAAAGCCGAAGAAGAGGAGGAAGCTAAACTCCAAGAAGAAGAGGAGAGGAAAGCAGAACGCGAACGCAAGAAGAAAGAGGAGAAGGCAAAGAAAATAGAGGAGCAGAAGAGATTAGGAACCTACATGACAGCAGCACAGAAGCGACAAGCGGCAGAGGCGGCTAAAGCAAGAGAAGCACTAGGCATCGACGTTCCGGAGGACCATCACCCGAAAGGACCGGAGCTGATCGAAGTCACTTTGACGGACGAGCTGAAGGCGTTCTATAATTATGAAAATGGGCATTAACTTCAGTATCAGTTCTTTGAGGTTGAGGCGTTTTATAATCATGAACATTAACTTCAGTATCAGTTCTTTGAGGTTGAGGCGTTTTATAATCATGAAAATGGACTATAATTACTATCTTTCCTTTTTCTTTTCCTAGTTAGCTTGGCTCCACCCATATTATGAAAATGGACATTAACTTCAGTATCAATCAGTTCTTTGAGGTTGAGGCTAAGACTAAGACTAAGACTAAGTATTAGTTCATCTTCATCGCAAGACACCGGGCGATGGATCAAAATATTCCGGTCTACAATCTTCTAATGTCCAAAGAAGCTGAGTTTCAAGAAGAAGGAATGGGTTGTCGACGCCCCTTGCCCAGTTACCGGTGCCGACGTCAAGAAGGGTGATGCTCTCTTCAAGATTCAGTCAGACGAAAACGCCAAGGTCACCGACAAGAAGTTTGGCCTCGGCCAATACCCTACTGACGGCTCTTGTGTCCTGGTTTTTAAGCGCGTGCAGAAAGTGAATGCCGTAATAGATACCACCTCTAAGCACAAGAAGGGCGTGAGTTCTAGTCCACCGCCACAGCAACAGCAAGACGATATGCAAGTTGAGGATGTCGAGGACGAGGAAACAGCAGCTCCAGATAGCGTTAAGAGGACCCGCAGACGCAGTTGTAGCGGATCTGTCAAGAGCGGGGGACGCAGTCCAGGCAGAGATGGTACTGTGGATGAACCTGCTGACGAGTCGAGTGAAGACGACTGGGATGCAGACTTGGATAGCGAGGACGAGGAGGAGAAAAAGAGAAAAGCGGAGGAAGAGGAAAAAGCGAAGAGGGAGGCTGAAGAAGCTGCTGCTAAGGCTGCTAAGAAAGCTGCTTCTAGTGGTGCAGCAGCAGCATCAAAGTCCAGCGCTGATGACAGTGACCAAGACTCTGATGCCTCCTCTGGCAGTGACTCAGACTCAGATTCTTCCTCAGAGGAGGAGGATCTAGGACTCCGTTCTCCAATCGTTTGTATTATGGGCCACGTCGATACGGGTAAAACCAAGTTGCTGGACAAGATCCGTCGTACTAACGTTCAAGATGGCGAGGCAGGAGGAATCACTCAGCAGATTGGTGCTACCTTCTTCCCAGAGCAATCCCTGAACGAACAACTCGTCAAGGTTGACAAAGACCAGGAACTCGAACTTCCAGGGTTGTTAATCATCGACACGCCAGGGCACGAATCGTTTAACAACTTGAGAAAACGTGGTAGCTCTCTGGCTGATCTGGCCATTCTAGTGGTGGACATCATGCACGGCTTGGAACCGCAGACACTGGAGTCTCTAGAAATGCTGAAGCAGAGACGTTGTAACTTTGTGATTGCGCTGAACAAAGTGGATAGGTTGTTCGAGTGGGACAGCAAGGAGTACGTGGCATTCAAGAGCTCCTTCGAGAAACAACCGGAGAACACGAAAAGCGAATTCAGGGATAGGTACTTGCTTACGTTTCATTTTTGCAAGTTCACGTATATTGAATATCTTTGATGGCAATTGCTTCTTTAAACCTAATCCACAAGTTGTGCTTATCTCCTCCTCGTCGTATCCAGAATCTATCAAACTCCCTTCCATCATCTTCACCCACGAATACAGGTTCCAACACGTCCAGACCCAATTGGCGGAGAAGGGATTGAACACGTATTTGTACTGGGAAAATCCGAATATCAAGCAGAACGTTTCGGTCATCCCGACGTCAGCGATCACGGGAGAAGGTATGCACATTCACTCATACTTTTTGGTTTCTTCATGATGCTCTACAACTTCCTACAATTTCCATCCTCCCTTCTCTGACCGTTCTTGTTGTGGATTTTGAGCCTACTTAAAAGTACTTTTTATCTTCACAAGAATCAAGTGAACAACACCAGGTGTCCCCGATCTGCTGTACATGATCATTAAGATGAGTCAAGACGCTATGCGCCGCAAACTCGAGATTAAACGCGAACTCGAATGCACCATTCTCGAAGTGAAGACCCTAGAGGGTCTCGGCACCACCATCGACGTCGTCCTGGTCAACGGGGAACTGAACAAGGGTGACACCATCGTCGTCCCCGGTCTCAATGGCCCCATCGTGACCCAAGTCCGCGCCTTATTGACTCCCCAGCCCTTGCGGGAGATGCGGGTGAAGGGGGAGTACATCAACCACAAGAAAATCGATACGAGCATGGGCATCAAGATTTGTGCCACGGGGTTGGAGTCGGCGTTGGCGGGTGGGAGTTTGAGGGTATGCAACGATCCAGAGGAGCTAGACGATGTGCGTGAGCAGCTAGAAGACGAGTTCGACGAAGCGGTGAATGCGTTCGAGAAGAGCGATGTTGGGGTACATGATTTTGTCATAACAACTTTGTGACTTTCTTGTTCTTCGTCTACAGAAGTTATACTAGAGTAGTTTATGGGCACGGTGGGCAACGCTGGGCCGCCGCTGGGCGGCCACGCTTGGCACGGTGGGCAGAACAAGTTATACTATGGTTTGATTAATAGCGAGAATATTTCTTCGTGAAGAACATAATTACTTCATGGTACTAACCTTTTTGTTTTTCCCCACTCACAAAAACATCTGAATTTCAACTGCACAACTTCAAGAATGCAATGTTCAACATACCAAAAATTAAAATCATGAATTTGAATCATCAGGTGTACGTCCAAGCTTCTACTCTTGGTTCTCTCGAAGCCCTTCTCGCTTTCCTGAAGTCTGTGGACATCCCAGTTTTCCAAGCCAACATTGGTGTCGTCCATAAAAAAGACGTGAAAAAAGCGGCCATCATGCGGGACAAGGGCAAACCCGAATATGCCGTGATCCTCGCCTTCGACGTCAAGGTCGACGAAGACGCGCGCAAAGAAGCCGCTCGCTCCACCACTGGCGTGACCATCTTCACAGCGGACATTATTTACCACTTGTTCGACCAGTTCACCAAGTACATCGATGGCGTGAAGGAAATGAAGAAGAAGGAGGTCTCTGACGAAGCCGTCTTCCCGTGTGTGCTGAAGATCGTGCCGCAATACGTTTTCAACAAGAAAAACCCGATTGTGGTGGGTGTCGACGTCGTCGAAGGCTTAGTCAAAGTGGGAACCCCACTGTGCGTGCCGGACCAAGGAAATTTGGAGATTGGCAGAATAGTCGGCGTTGAACGCGACAACAAATCAGTGGACTCGGCGAAGAAAGGTAAGGCGATAATTTAGTTGGAGTTACTAGTTATAAAAACATCATGATGGTTATGTTGTTTATCTGTGGATTAGCGTTTCAACATCAATCATGGATGAAGAGGTTGAAATTCTAAAGCGCTGACTCCAACCTACGTGACATCAACTATTACTTGAATTTTTCCAGTATACTCAACCTCCCTCAATCCTCACAAACTCCAGGTGAGTCCGTCTGTGTCAAGATTCAACCGAACCAATTGCAAAGCCACATTGTTCTCGGACGGCACTTCTCCGTCACGCAAGCGCTATACTCAAAGATCACCAGGCAGAGTATTGACACTCTGAAGGCCCACTATAAAGACGAAATGTCTCAAGACAACTGGAAGTTGGTGGTCACATTGAAGAAAGTGTTTGGTATCCAGTAAGGTCAAAGATCGAATCTGAATGCGGATTAAGCATCGTTGGCGGCCTAGGCTTTCAAAATATGAGCTAAGATTCTGATAAAACATGCTACAACTTTCACACATAAGTATCTACTTTCATCACATGCGACATAACATTTCACAACTGACACATAAAAGATTTCTGCTTGAACTTTGGTTGTTGTCGATGCTAAAGACATAGCCAAGTTGGAACAACATCTTTGAGTTGTAACAAGGAGCAAAAAGGATTTCGTCCGCGAAGGCGAAACGATTATACAGCAAAACCCGCCTTTGTTCAACATAGAATGGCCTATGCTGTTGCGTGTCCTTGATATTCGTTTACTACGCCTCGCAGCGTGGCGATCCGAAAGATGTGCCAAGACGAATTACGAATCATCAATGATGATATCATAATCAAGAATGAGATTTTTCTATCATAGAAGTAGAAAATTGAACTTTGTATTGTTTTCACCGACATGAAACCCTCCACCCGCAACCAACGATCAAATTTAAGAAATTTCGCACCCGCCATCGTGTATGCCATCTTGAATCAAATGTGTTGTCCAACCAACCGCTCGTAATGCGAAAATATGAAAAAAACGCCAACATCAATCTTTGCTTAAACTGGTCGAAAGAACACACTTGAAAAAGACTCTCTTCACCTGCCTTGTGCATTTCGTTTGGTTGGTAGTGTGATGTTGTTCTTCCGTTAAGTGGATGTTCTCCTACTTCATATCGGTCACCGGTACTAAAGAATCTTGTCAGTCTTCACACACACTCACTACCAGGGTCTGCATTGCAGACGCAACATTTTTGGAAGATGGCTAAACAATACGCAATTCTCAGTGAAGGTGCAGTCCTCGCAGTGAAACATGTAAATGAAACTTTTCACTCATCTCTAGCTTCTAGGTAGAGCCTCAACACTAATTCATTCCTTTTTGACACGTTGTTGATAGACAAGGAACAAGATGAGTTCCACTGCTGGTCGCATGTTACCGCCTGCCCTGAGGTCAAAGGGCAAGGGCAAGGGAAAGGTCAAACCTGCGCAGCAAGGTGAGCGCTTACTACCTCGTGAAGATGAGGACGGCGATCGAGGCAATGGCGCGCCACGTGACGGTGGCAAGAACGGCCATGGCAAGAAAGACAACGGCAAGGATGGAGGAGGTCCCTCTAAGGGTAAAGGTAGCGGTAAAAAAGACGGAGGAAAGAAGGGTGCAGGCAAAGGTAATAAAGATGGTGGAAAAGGACGTAGGCCAAAGGCTGTAGACAGTGACGACGATGACGGGGATGGATTGTCAGCGCGGGCTTTTAATCCGTTTCACACAGCGAAGAAAGACGAGAAGACGACGCTCAATTTCGGCGATAACTACGACTACGAGAACTTGCGACAGGAGAGGTTTAATGCACGCCGCGCTGGTGGACAGAACATCACCAGGGATACGGTATTGCTTCAGTCGGACTTTTTTATTGGCTTTTTTATTCGTCTTCAAGATAGAAGGACGAAAGGGCAGTAGGCTAATCATGAGCAGTGGGGAGTGGTTTACCAACACATATTGGGTCGTCACTACATACTTCATGAACAACAATGGGTTAGTAATTTTATAGCCTGGCATTAGACTTCTAGGTAATGTCCAGGGGAGGGTTCATCTTGGTTTGCTCCTGAGCATGGTAGGTGTAGAAGCTCTAGATGGAGAAGTACTACCTGCACGTGAGACTTTGTAGTTCGAACAATTTTGATAATAGAGTCTAAAATCTTTATCTCTTTATGGCACATATCGATATCTTTAGGTCGGCGAAGACGAGGGCACCAAAGAAGCCAACCCCACTGTCGAGGTTGAGCATGCTCACGGGTACAAGCTAGAGGGTTTCAACATGGATCGAGAGCTAGAAGAGGGTCGGATCGATGACCGTGAAGGAGCCTTCGTCTTTGACGTGAAGGATGAGCTGCGCGCCGTGACGGATCGATGGCTAGACGAGGTGGATAAAGGCAGCAAGGAAGCCCAGATGTCCAACAAGGATCTGAGCCTAATGCGTGAACGGGAGCAGGCACTAGTGGATGAGATGAAAGGTATATTTGTTGTATCTATTTACGCTTGTGATTTTTTTGATATTGATGGACGCAGCGCTCTCTGCTGTGCCTGATTTTGTGAGTGAGAGGGTTATGACGATAATCGACGGAAGGCCCTACGACCGTTGTTTGATAACTAGAAAATGGCTCAACGTCTCTCAACCCTAAAAAGGAATACCAACAAATACAAATTACATCACTTTTCAACAAATCTACAAATAATGATAACAGTGACGTACGATCCCTCTCGCTTGAAGAAGGAGCTATCCGGTCTGCTTCTTCATGGTGAAACGCCTTCCGCCGCAATGAGCAGACTTAACACAACATCTTCCAGTACCCCTGGTGCTTCATCAAGAAGTGCCGCAGGGGCATCTGCCAACAATGCGGCAAAGAGCAACTTCTCTGTTGGCGGCTCCTCCTCTTCTTCTTCGAAGTTTTTGCTTCCCCATGAACGGAAAAAGCGGAAATTGGAGAAGCAGGCAGCGGAAAAGCGCGCTGCTGAAGAGCAGCAGAAAAGCGCGACTACTGGCGGAAAGAAAAGGAAAGTCTTTGACCCTGTTTGGGGCGTGTGGGTGGAAGAAAAAGACAAAACTTCTGCCACTGGTGAACAAGAGGACAAAACTTCTGCACCCGCACCAGACGGCCTCAGCCTTAAGAACGAGGTTCTAGCTGGTCCGCGTCGCGCCCTCGTGGTTTCAGAGGCAACGAAACTGGAGGCCAGAAATAAAGCCGAAGAAGCCGGCCGAATCGGAGAGCTGTGTAATTTGTTGCTTGAACTTGGAGCTTTCGACATTTACGAGACGCCCAAAGAGAAGATCTACACTGAAGAAAATCGTGTGGCAGACGTGAAAAAAGAAGAGAAAAAGACTGCGGAAATGTCTGACATGATGAAAGATCTATTAGATGATGACGACGACGAAGATGACGAAGATGAAGGAGCCCCAGGAGCTCCAGGAGGTGGAGCTGGTGTTGGTGCACCTAGTGCAACGACAACATCATCAGGAGGAGCGGGAGTAGGCGCTGCAGGTGTTAATGGTGCAAGAACAAGTGCTCCAACTTCTGGGCCCACGACTGGTACGTCTTCGTCCAGCACAGGTGCCAGCTGCAATGGAGCAACAACTACAACATCTTCTACTTCCGCAAAAGTTCCAGCCTCCAAGAAGTTGACAGAAAAAGATGGTCCATTCTGGCAGTATCAGATGGGGACGGATATCCATGGTCCATTCACCAGTGGCCTTATGCTCACGTGGAAACCGCTTTTAAGTGGCAAAGGACTCCAAGTTCGAAGTTGTGACCTGAAGAACATCGCAATGGATCCCAACTGGAAAAAGTATGAAGAGATAGATTTTGGGCTTTATGTCTAAACGGTGTTGTGCTACTTTTGCGTGGCTCATCATATAATTGACCTCTAACTCATTTTTACCAAGAAACCATAACGATCCCGACCAAGATCCAACCGTATGGGGATCGCCAGCACTGTGCCTATCAAGCGATCGCTGTGAGGTTGCATATTCCGTGAAAAGGGACGTCGATCTTACAAGTGTTCTGGCATCGATCTTACAAGGATCTTGGATCTCGCAATTTGCCGTTGTCAGCTAAATCTTGTTTGAGATGACATGATTGTTGTCGGTCGCTTGGTACTACTTCATCGTGAAAAGAAATGCCTAATCGGTCCTTCTACTCGGTGCTATATTTATTTCCGTCTCCACATCTACTGCCTCGGTATGTCGTATCTCTCGATTGTCCCTCAAAGTCAAACTCAATACCCTATGGTGTCTCCTTCCTTTCATCCCTATTTTCATTGATTAATGAGTACCTTTTGTCAAGATATTAAATGTACTTAAAACACGACGAAAATCAAAGTTCTGAGTCAAATAAATTTTTGCACATGACGCAACTAGTATCAACTTGACCACCTTTACCTTCCTTATTCGCTTTGCGTCCAATGAGAAGAAAATCAAAATTCAAGAAAATCAAAAATAATCATAGAAGATTGATCCTGTACCAGGAACAACATTTATGTAGGTAGAATTCATTGTCACTCATCTTCACCAAGAGAAAAACTCAACTCCAAAGAAAGATGTCATCCCTCTCTCCTCAGCGGAGCAGCGCTGAAAGCTCCATGAATCGTACCAGAAGGTCTATGTACGTCCAATCGCCGGAGAATATGGCCTGTGTGGTGTCGAGACAATCCGGTCTGCGAGCAAATGTTGGGACATTTTTATGAGACAGCAAGCAACAAGTGTGTCTGAACCTGAAGTACTGGATGCAATCAAGAACAGGACGTACTGTGATTCGAAAAACTGAAATAACGACCGCGTTACTGACTGAAATAAGGGGCATTATAGCTTAACAGCAAGGCTACTCTTCCTTCTCGTCAGCCTCTCGGTTATTCTCGTCTGTTACTCGCTTACTTCAGTTTATCGATCGAGTTACAGTCTTAGAAGATGTAGATGAGTCTTTACTTATCCAGCAACAATCGTGTATGAAAAGTAGGTCCCTCCGTTTTCCAGTTTTCTTGTCTAACCTTCGGTGGTCAATCGCGCTTCGGCAAACGCCTCATGGGAGGAACAGGCAACGATTCGCCATGGGGCAACAATTTTTTCAAGGCTAGTCCCTTCTGGAGAGAAGAACCTGGAAAAAAGGCAGTCATGGGGCAAGGCCAAAGACCTAGCTATGTACTATGATTTCTTGTTTGTTTGATGTGAAGATTGTGTCCTCTCTACCACTGCCAGGCACTTGATGTCTACCTCCTGATTCTAGTGGTCTAATATCACCAAAAATCCAGGTACGAGGAAAGCCAAATCTTGGTCCAGGCACCTATACGCCGCTTACATCAACAGCAAAGCCAGCGAGCAGTTTAGACGGAAAGAAGTATTTTTCATGTCTCTAGGTGCTGTAGCCAGCAGGTGACAAGAAGAAACCGCATCGCAATTATGGACAAACAACTATGATGTGTGATCCTGCGAATGACAATACCACAACCCATCAACAAAATTTCTTCATCCCCACGCCAGGTATTGCAAGATGACAATAAAGAACAAGACAAAGGTCACAGTAGGTGCAGTAAATCCACACGAAGAAGCAAGAAAACCGGGACCAGGCACTTATACCATAGGAAGCCACATAAACGGACACTACGTCACTAGAAACGGCAAAATAAATTGGAGCGGACCGCCTGCGTACTATTTGATACTTATAAATACCATAGACTTAGTGCTTGATTCTCGTCCCACCGACAGTTTCGGAATACTGATCAGGGCGGAAATCCATTCCGATCTTAGTGCTTGATACAACCTAGTAGATGGCGACCATTTGGAATTGGATGCGAGAAGAGAGACGCTAGTGTTGGTGCTAACGTGTTCAACGTGCTCATCAAGTTCAGGATCATGCGGCTTCTAGAGCAACTTTTTATACATACATTTTTCATCAATCAATCTCTGCAAGAATTACGATTACGATTGTTGCAGTTTTGTTCAACATTGCTGTTGGTTTTACGTCACACCCTCAACATGATTTCCACCTTGTTCTCCCGGACGAGGACACCATCTGACGACCATAGTAGACCACACACCAAATGACGCACATTTGACAGTCCAAATGACATCAATTTAACAGTCCCAAGATGGGCCTCGCGTTGAAGGAAGTCTCCACCGACGATGGGGATTGCATGTACAACGTGTCGCAGGATCTAGGTGCTGGAAAACTGATGTACTTCAAGGACGCCAAAAAGAGTTCCACCTTCGGGTTTGCTGCGGGAAAGCCAGAAGCCGTAACTCAGAGTCCTGATGGAGACCTTTACTACAGTCATGTGAAGATGGTGGCTGACTACACAAAGGTGGGACGGGCAGCAGGATTGGGATTCGGAAATAGACCGATGTTGGCGTATAATATTTAGAATTCCTTGTATATCGATCTTCTGAAGGTTAGTCGCAATCGGAAAATGATCATGATGATGATTCCATTTTATGCTTATATCCCAAAAATGAAAACTTACCTCTACTACATCTTTTTTAACCGTCTTCCATCCACGACCTCTCCTCCACACCTTCAACAACTCAGTGACGAGCAGACGACCGCTGGTCCTGGTAGTTATTTCCCAGTTGCTTCGACTGCCAAGACGACATCGCCTCTCGATGGCTTTTCTATGAGGAACTTGTCGCCAATCACGCAATTTGGCAAAACCTCCAGTCTCAAGATGCGGTCGATGACATCAGTGTCGCCGCAACACTGATACTAGAGGAAGACTTCTTCAGTATAGATGAAAGGCGCATGAAGATGGATTATGTACTAAGATTTAGGTTCGGTTCAACAAGGTAAAATTGTAAAATAAACATGTATCAAAGACAACATACAACAAGGAAAATATCAACAATTTATCAGACGCTTGTCATACGTAGAAAGAATAGGAAAAATTAGCCAATAAAACTTAGACATTCAATCATCTGACATCAATACATTGTTCATTATATAAGAAATCTGGTATCGAGTAAGCCATGGAGCTGAACAGGGGATATTTAGCATGTCTAACAATAACTTGTATACTACATCATCAGGGATGCTTGATAATAAGTTGGCTAAGAATGGTGCACTCCTACTAGAAGTGGTGCAATCGATGCGCAGAGTCGTGCAACAGCGTGTTAAGCATGTAAAGCATTGTAGAGGTAGTCTGGACTGACCGGACACGACGATAAGCTGTTGCCAAAATCTTCTGCTGCTGGTCTAGAACTGTAAAAAGCCTGGCCCAGAGGATTGCTGGCTGTCCAATTTGGGTACAATGCTGCCACCTCTGTGATGAAATTTTGGTAACTGCCGTCACTGCCGGAGGGGGATAGATTTTTCGCCTGGCAGACTCCCGGAAACTTTCACCGCTCTTGCACGACTCTGCGCATCGATCGCAGCACTTCTAGTTGGCATATTGTGTAACTAACTAGACAAAATGCAAAGAATGGTGAAACTTTTCGTATCTATAAACTTTGGCCTCGGACCGCTTCAGGGACTGATTCATCTGACCAGTGATTGAGGATAGTCATTTGAGATGCACACATGACATAAAGAAATGAATGTTCTTGTGAAGGAGCAACTAAGAAAAAGTAATCGAGTATAAGCAAATAACTGAATGACGAATCTGAACATAGAAAGTCTTGATTGTTTTGTTTGATTTGATAGCTCTAGTAATAAAATTCCAATAACAATTTCCGAAAAACACTTGTATAAATCGAGAAAGCGCACAGAGATAAGCACGCAGATTGTAAAAAAGGATAGATATTCGTACGAAACTTGGAGCTTGAAAAAAATGTAACATGAACAAGAGATGAAATGAAACCTGGTTTGGCGGCAGGAGGAGTCGTTTTTAGTGTGGTGATAGTCACGCGCGTACGACATGGTGGCTGTCTGAAAAGTAGTCAGTCGAGGTGGCTTTTGGTTTCTTTCTGAGTTTGACAACGTCAAGTCAGTTGTGACGTCATGATCTCATCATCATTTTCCATTCATCTACATGTTTATTTAAACCATGTATAAGAAAAGGTTTCATGGTTGGCTAGAAAAATGTGAAAAAAAGATGCTTGTGATACAGAAGATTGTCCGGACTCCACCTTACAAAGACACAGCATGAATTACAAAGACACAATAGCATAATAATAATTATGTGACATAATTAAATAAATGTAATGGGTTCTCGTGACAGCGAGTTTCTCTCGAGTTTGGATTCTGAACGCTCAAGCTCAAGTCCTACTACCACCCGCGAGTCAGGGCCGACGTCTCCGGTTGTTTCACCACTAGTTTCAACATCTCGCGAATCGCCGCCAGCCTCTCCAGGAGGAGGAATAACAGAGTCTGAGGCAGGAGCCGTTTCCCCGCTAGTTTCACCATTAGCTTCTCCGGTTGAAAGCGGTGCACCAGGAAGTTTTCATCTGTATCCACCTTCTCCTTCAACCTCAACATCACGTGGAGGAGGTGACTTTTCATCGTTGCAGAAGAATCCGAAATTCGTGCTGTCTGAATATCCTAGCGTTGCTGGAGGTGGATTAGGAGAGCGAAACACGTCGGGGACGGCAAGCAATAGAAGTCCTCTTAGTCGCTGGAACAACGAGAGCAGGGAACAAAGGGATGTTGTTAATTGGAGGACAACTTCCAGATCGCTCAGTAAAGACCTACTGCCAGGACAGTACCAGTTACATCAATTCGTGGCACAACATGGTCAAGAACCGGACCCTGCCCCTGCGACATCTTCCACCTCAAACCTACTTCTTTCAAATATTAATGAAGTCCAGTCGAGGACAAGAACGTCTGCGAGATTCTCATCAGCATCGGGGTTCTCGTCGGAGGAAGGCGACGAGGCAACTGAGTCTGAGTATGTGTCTTCAGCGTTGTTTCCGGGATTCGATCCGGCCGCAACGGAGGAAGATGAACCAGTTTCTTGGAGATCCGCAGCTCCAGACGAGAACAAGCACATCGATATCACGGGTCGACTCCGTGAAAAAGCGTTTCAAAGAGGTACGCCTACATCAAGTTTGTATGGAGGAGGCGGCACCATCAATAATATGTTGCAGTCGAATTCTGCCTTGGGAGGAGGAGGACAGCCACAGGAAAGTGGTGGTGGTTTAGGACCGACGCGGCTAGCAGTAACAACTAGTAGCGCTTCTCTTTCTGCGTCACAATCTGCAAGTTCCTCTTCTAGTCGTGGTATGTCGAAATCGGCAGACGCGGCGTCATCTTGTTCTCATGACCTCGACGATGCCTCGCAGCAAGAACCTACTTTGGAGGCAGTGCAACGAGCTCGAATGAGAAAACGGCTTTTTTCCACACGACCACCCCTAGAGCCAGTAGACACAACAACACCTGCAGGAGAAGGGATTCGTGCGGATCCCCTGTCGGCGACGCCTGGATTTGTAGGCGGGTCCACAGTAGTGGCTTCTTCCAGCAGCTCGAGCGGGTCTTCCGCTTCTTCTTTTCGTGGTCAAGCAACCTCTACCTCCTCTATAGCACCAGCTACGATCACTGATCAACAAGGAAGGCTGTGGGCAGAGCAGCATCGGTCGGGAGAGCATAAAGCTAGGCAATTCATGGCTAACGAATTCGTCCGTACACGGTCTAGCCTGAGACCCCTGACGATGCCACGGAGGTCTTTTAGCCAGGTTGTGGTCGACAATCTGAACAAAGCGCCGAGCTTGGTAAAGTAAGCCTTTTCTTAGTTTGAGCATGTATCACATTTTTGGACCATGTACTATGGCAACATCAGTTTTTGGAGCATCCATGGCATGAATCGCTCGTGGTCGCATTTGTGCAGCACACCATTATAACATTATCCCAATGACACCATCGCACCAGGCCCTCGCCCCAACGCTCACAACGCCATGGCAGAACGAAGTTTTAGCCGGGGTTTCTTCTGGCGTTGTTCAAGTGGTAATATGGAATCCATACGATCGCGCGCTTTATCTCTTAAGGCACAGAAAAACCCAACCCTTTACACAACCCATTCTTCTCATTCCCCTTTTACACAAGGGGAATCCATACTGGGTTGCTGGCGTAAGGTTGGGCTTTTCTCTTCGCTAAATCTCTCGTCTGTCCACCAACGGCCCTTCTTCACACGCGAAAACTGGATCCGCAGTGTCAGTGATTTCAATTATGTGATGAGAAGCATGAAGTAGATAGCGCAGTATATTCTTGATGTGGTATAGTTTTACTACAGTGCGTTGGGAAGTTCAACAAGGATGATCGACATTAGTTCGAAGTTGATTCGTGTTCTGCACTGTCTGCATTGAATTGCCATTCTACCCAAGTTGAATTTTAGGTTGTGTGGCTTCTTGATAGTCTTACTGTTACCTCGTATGGTGCAGCCGCTGTGTAGCCTTGTCCACATGCACTGTATCCGAAACCTAACCTGGTGCTTCGTATCTCTAATTCCCTCGCGGTCTCTTACCAAACCTGATGCAACGAGTTATTACCTACGGCATGTACTTTCCTCTGGAGCAAGCCTGGGTCCGGATTTTGCTTGGATGTCTAGACAAGGGGCTAGAGGATGCGAGTGCTTCGTTATGGTGTGTTTTCGATGAGGGGAGCCTTTAAATGAAGCTCGTACGAGCACACGAGCACACGAATACAGCACACACATTCTACCCCATTTTGTTCACTTCTAATCAAAACAATCGGAGGCTGGTCGAAGATACTTCTCGTGGCACCACTGGCTGGACAGCTGACAGGCGCTTGCTCGGGCCTAGTGACGAACTACTTGTCACTCATAAAATACAAGCAATATCAACGCGAGGTACAGAGGAGTTTGTTGAGGTATGAGGTAATCGTATTGTAGTTTTAGCAATCTAGCCGGTTACAGTGTAAGGTCAGAGCAGTCAAAAGTAGCCGCGCCTCTACCGTTTGAAGCCCAAACTCAGGAAATTACAAGCCCAGCTGCAGGGGGTGAGGCTGTGCATTTTTTGCAAAAATATAGTCCGAATACGCTCACAGGATGCACGCGAAATGAGTCATTTTTAGGAAATTTCAACCTCATTTTGAGGGATGGGCGCTCGCAAAATTTCTAAAATTTACTTCTTCTAACCTCCCGACCTGCAACGCATCATGCACACGCAAGGAACCTTATCAAGGGGGTTATTCGCGACCGTTTGTCGAGATAGCGTGTTTTTAAGGCTTCTCCTGCTAATCCATCTCGAAAAAGCATCTTACTAGGACTGTTCTATAAGAGAAGAACGGTTCTTGTTCTTCTTTCAAGGTAAAAAAATCCACTGTAGTCGAGCTCGAGATGGAAGATTAGGTTGAGCTCTTCTAAGATTTGGCGGCGTTTTCACCTCACTCCGCGTCCTCTGGCAAAATGAAGAGTATCAATTGGGCGTGAATTTCGTTGCAGCGTCTCTGGCCACTATTTGTAGTGGGCCTCTGAATTACGCACGGAACCTGCAGTATGCTGGTCAGCAGGGCGATCGAAGGTTAAGGCCGCAGGATTTAATTCATTGTTTTTTTCGAGGGAGGTCATGATTGTCTTCTATTTTTTTCTTGAGAACTAAATTAATAAGTATCTGAAGAAATGTTGATTGTTATATATTGTTTTCAGCTCCTCTAAGAAGGACCATTCGGAGTGTGATGCAAGAGCTCGGGCAAGACGCGAGAGGGGGAGCAGCGGGTTTACGAGCTTTGACGCTGAAACTAAGGATAGGTTGGGGGTCAGTCCGGGTTGGGCTGGGTATGGCCAGTGGCAACTATTTCTACCGCTATTTTGAAGAAGTTTTTAATGGGTATCTGAGTTGGTGACATTCTTACCACATACATAAAAATATGCTGGCAATTATGGCCAAAGGGGTTATTCATGATCAATATCGAAATCAGTCTACATGATCTTTGGTCGGCTTGCCTCAAAAATATCAATATCTATTTTCCGCGGCTATACAAAGTTTTTATCGTTTGCGTTATACTGCTTTACCTACGTAGTGACTAACAATCTAGATCTACCTCGTAGTTGCAAAGAGTTGTACAGCAACACGAAAAGTGGTGTCCGTTGTTTCAGGAGAATTTGCATAAAGACTGTCGTGAACGCATTGCTGGGAGATAATCAACATTTTGATGTTGATCACTGGTCATATTGATGTAGATGTTTGTACTCCCAGTCCCACTGGGGACGAGTATCTAAAAAAGGTCATGAAAAAGATGAAAATTTTCACTTACTTCGGCGCAGTATGATTGCCGTATGCAGTGTCTTTGAGATTTTGATTGATGTGTTCTTCGCCACGCTGAGGGAGTTGTTCTTGTAGAAAACGAGACGAGAGACGAGTGCGCTGTCGCTGAGTCCATAGGAATGCTTTTTTTTGGTGTGCGTGTGTGTCCCTGCTCTTTGTAAGACGTACTTCATCATCTGATTTCCATTTCATACTGACAGGAAGGGTCTTTTTAGGAGAAAGAAGGTAACCTACAAAAGCTCTTTTTGCTAGGTGGGACAAACAAAGAACGAACTGTGTCAAAGTGAAATATTTTTTTTGAATAAGAGCATAGCTTCAAACTTTCCAACGAACCTTAATCAAGAGGATTCTATCTAAAAAGTTTGAAAGTAGTCATCTTCTTGCATACTGGTCATCTAGTATTATCATTTAACTTTATAAGTTTGAGTGGAAGTGTATGAGTAACTCTTAGATGAAGCGTTGAATTCATTGAGCAGCCAGAGTTTCCTAGAACGGTTTTTTCCAAGTACCCATCTAGTTCTACTTGTAGTACAGAATAAGTCAAAAAATGGCGCCTTCTATCGTCCGAAGGTTTTCGTTGCCTGCTGCGGCAGTGCTAATGATAAGCACGACCTCCACGTACGCCCATGAGGATGAGCTTTACAAGGGGTCGCACAAGCCAGGCTCTCCTGCAGTTCTCGACGACTTCAAGGACTTTGATCGCTATTCCACAGCTCCGTTTAATGAAGCTAAAATCGATTCGCATGCAAAGCGTGCTCTGCAGAGTTTCAAGCCTCATGCGGTGACTGACAAAACGGCCTGCAAAAACTGCACCATGATTAAGGCTATTTAGATAATTAATGTTTGTTCTTTGGCGCATCCATCTGAAAAGTATGCTTGAGAATTCTCGTGCTATGTATTTGTATAGTTGTATACTCTTCAGGGATGCAGTTGACAGATGAATTACGGAGAGCTCTAACGTGGGTGCTGCTATGCATGTCATGAAGTACGTGTGGACGAAGGTGACTGAGGAATGCAAAAAGACCGACGTTGTAGTTGGCGAGCAGGAGGATGGTATTGATTGATCCTATCAAATTTGAATCTAAGACAACTACTCAGTAGAACGAAGTGCTGGAGATATTTATCCCATTAATAGGTTCTCTTCCCGCCCTTATTTCGTCGATACCGTTTCTAGGTCGTACGTTGTATTTTCCTTGTATCTTCCCTTCATTCAAACCACAAAAATTGCAGCGTTCTTCAAGCCTCGTTCGTTCATGAAGAAGACCTTGACCGACATGGATGTGGAGCATCCTGGTAAGGAGAAATGGTGTGCTTTTGTCGAAGTGCATCCGAAATTCGCGTACGGAGTCCTGTTGGACAAAGTTCAGCCTCTTTCGCTCGGTTACATGTACTGCTTGGGTGCTAAGGCGTGCGATGCAGAGAAGGATTCTCTGGAAACTACTATGAGTATGATCACTGCTGCAGGAGATGATCAATTATACGGCGTTTCTCAGACAGGAACAAAGGATTTCCCCATCGCCTACACTGCTCCTGCCGAGTTGGAGGCGTACCTGGGAAACGTGATGGAAAGCATGCAGGAAAAATTTTTCTCTGCGGATGGCGAAGACGCGACTGAAATGTGGAAGATGAAGAAAATGAAAATGCACCATAAGAAAGGCCATTTTTTCGATCCAGTAGCAATGTTTTTCCATCGTATCTCTGTTTTTATGGGAGTCGAGGAACCTCCGATGCCGCCCATGCCGCTTTTGGAGGAGGAACGAGAAGGCGTTGTTGATGCGGAGGATGAAGGTAATTATCTCTTGATTTCTTTTCGGACGATAAAGGAGGTTCACTTGTCTTCTTTTCCACCGACAAGATTTAGTGTGCTCAACATCATGTTAAGAGTGAGTTACTGTTTTTAGATCCACCAATAAGAAGGATTTCCAACTTCTGTCCATCTCAGATATCGACGAGGACTCGAAAGGAAAAGGAAAGGGAGGTAAAGGCAAGGGCGGCAAAGGCAAAGGTGGCAAGGGTAAGGGCGGCAAAGGCAAAGGTGGTAAAGGAAAAGGCAAGGGTCCGATCATCGATCCTTACGCCATGTGCGATGATGATGAGGCAGCCCCTGAGAGTAAGCCGTTCGATATGGTCCCGAAGTTCCGCGATGATTTTCATCTTGAGCATAAGCATCCCCATCTGTGCAAATGCTGCTATCGCAAACTGACGAAAAAAGTGATGCAATTTGTTATGGGTCATTTTTTTGCTACAGTAACTAGTTCTTGTTCCTCCTGTCCTTCTATATAATTTCATTTTGTAGAAGTACCTTAATGTTCATCTTCTTGTTTCCCAGGAGCTTAAGTCCATATAAGTTCAATTGCTAAACAAGTATCTATGTTCTATCTGGACGATGCTTCCTAATCCTAGATCAGCCAGTCCCTCCGACCACTTGTTCTAATCTCTCCGTGAAAATGGTGAAGAAATTGTGCGCATCCGATGCAGCCAAGGAGTGTCCGTACGTGAAAGGCTTCTGCGCCTTCGGAGAAAAGCATCCCGCTGTGGCGTTTGGCATCATCCTGTCCAAGGTGGAACCCCAGAAGTACGCCTTGTTGCCTTGTATGGTCTGGGGAGGAAAGGGTCATGTTAAAGTTAAGGCAACAACTAGTACGAAGATGAGTGCATGATGCCCCGAAATATCATGATCCTTGGCTTCCTTTCTCAAAGGGAGAAAAAGGAGGCCAAGGATCACCCGAAGGATGCAACTAAATGCTAGCTCTACTAATCATGGAGGAAAAGGTCGTCATCATGGACTTCACCATGGAGAGGAGTTCTCCTGGGCTGGAAAGGGTAACGGATTCCACGGATGGGGGCATTCTTTCCATGCTGGTGCAGTAGAACACCCTTTCCATGGAGATGGAGATGTTGAACATGCTGCTCCTAGTGTCGAAGGTCATCAAGCTGCTGTCGCAGGAAAGCGCGATGAAGCAGGAGGAGTAGATGGACAGAAAGAACACGAAGGAGGTCATCATCACGGTCCTCATCATCACGGTCATCATCATCACGGTCATCATCACTACGGTCATCATCATCATGGCTTTCATCATCACGGTCATGATTCTGATGATTCTGATGGAGGAAAAGGCGGTGATGCGGCTTCTGAGGATCCTGAATCGAAGGGTACAGTCGCTGAGTCCTCGGTGGCTGTAGGGACTGGACCGAAAGTTGAGATGTGGATCTAAGTTGAACAGGAGATTGTTCTGGGAGTGGGAAGAACGATAGAAAAGATAATTACCGTTGACTTTCAGAAGGTTGGACAAGGTTATACAGTAGTAGATAAGTACCTGCCTGACTTTTCTTTTCTCGGTTTTTGTTTTTTCTAGTTAGGTATGCTCCACCAGCGTTATACAAGGTTATACAAGGTTATAGTGATACAACAAGGTCATACGGACTATGACTCATGACCTGCCTTCTGACTTGTAGTTTTGTCCTGCCTATAGGCTTGTAGTACTATATGGGACATGATGATGATGATGATGACAGATTATAGACGTGGAAAAAAATGCTCTTCGAGAATGTTTATGTTCATCTAAAAAAAGTAGATAGAATCCTGGCTGCTAGAAGAACCTAGTTGTATGTAGTTTTCTGATGTGAAAAGAGTTAATGAAAATTCGGAGAATTATCAATATCTTGATTATTCTCGACGTCGTGCTCGTGATGCATAAAGATGTAGAATTTAACGGTTAAATTGCAAGAACTTATTTATCGTAATGTTTGAAGAAGTATAAGGCACCTTGGTCTTCCTCGATGCAGCTCATTACTTTTTTCCGAATGAGACAGAGTGATAGTGATAGTACTAACCAATATTTGGAGGGACCATGAGGCTCCCTCTGTTTCAGATTTCAGAAGACGGTGAATTTTTGTGCAGTAATAAGTCTGATTAAGTACAATGTTGTAAGTTGTTATAGTGTTGGAACACCCGAACACGTCCAAGCGCAATATGAGGCTCTTGAGAGTAAATGGAATGATTATCGTTGCAATGTAACAGAAAGACGATCAGAACGGACGTGCCGAATGATCACTGACTGTTTAAGGCCCTGAAATGGTATCAAAATGGGTTCAATGTCATTGGGATATCATGAAGGGTCATAGTGCAGTTAAAGATCTGGGAGATCTTGCTGCTAATTCATGTTGGAATTCATTGAGTTCAAACGATGATCATAGGAGGAACTAACAAGAGTTCAAGACAAGGAACGGCATTGATCATGATCAAGGTGACGAGTGAGAGCAGTCATTTGACATTGAAATCAGGTTCGTTCGTTGGATCTTGAGCCAGTAATGACCATTGACCAACACCCCTCCTCAATCGCTAGGTGAGGAAATGACGAAAGTCACAAACGGTCTGGTGTTACCTGCTCTGACCCAGAACCATCACGATTCTCTATATCCACTGACGTCACCACTTGACCAACGACCTAACACCCTAAGAAGATAGAATAGGTAAGCACCGCCACGGAAGCAGAACTTGAACCAGACTCATCATCTTCCGTTTCCGAGTCACTATCATCTTCATCATGGTTACGGCTAATGACTGGATTCTCTATGTGATGTAATAATAATCTGCGTTGAGTAGATGAGCATGAAAGTTTCGTTAGTCCATCAGCTTTCATGAGGTGAGTAGGACAGAAAACTACTTTCTCAGCTGCGTCTCTAACTCGTAAATAACGTAACGCATAGTGTCTACTCTTAGGCTTCGTGTCTTCACTCTTTGCTGTCGAGATTGCAGACTGGTTGTCTATCCACAATATGGCATCATCGAGGGATGGCGATATACCAAACCGCGTTTCCACTAATTGAGTGGGTAAGGGATTGAAGAAATCTGTAAAATCATGCAGCTCGCTCATGACAATAGTGTCCGACGCGGCTATATACTCTGACTCTGCAGTTGAATATGCACGCACGGTTTGTGTATTGCGTTTCCAACAGATTGGAAAGCCCCGATAGTACATAATCGAACCACTGGTCGAGCGCATGCTCTTTATGCAGTTTGCGAATCCTGCATCTGAGAACCAGTTAGTATACGGTAGCTCTCTTCCTTCTGGTAGGAGCTTCTTGTAAATTCCGTTGAATTCTTCCTCACTTTCTGGAGAATAATAGAGTCCTTGGTCTTTTGTCGTAGCTAGATACTTTAATACTTTTCTACAGGCTTTTGCAATTCTTTCTGTAACGGGCTTACTGACATACCGAGCCAATGTCGCCACAGGGACGCAAATATCTGGCCTTGCGGTTGTCGATATCCAAAGCAGTGCGCCAACAATCTCACGCAATGGAAACCCGGCTGCTAGCTTAAGCCCCTCCTCAAGCAAAGCAGACTCGTCGAAATTTGGAGACCACACCGGCTTACCTAATGTTATTTTATACTTCTGTATAGTCTTCTCTATGTACACATTCATCAGGATTTTCACTGAACGTGCTTCCCGACAATAGTGCACAATCGCACCAAGAAAGTCGAACTCTAGCCATTCGAAACCCGTAAGAGAATCGACTCGCTTTGCCATCTCAATAGGTCGGCCAGGGGCGCGACTAAAGATCCGGTCGAGCTCAGACCGTAACTCGTGATAGTCAGGTCCAGTAGCTAAGTTATCATCAACATAGACTGACATCTTCATATACTTTCCTGGGTGCGTTTTGCTCTTTTTCCGCCACAATCCTGGAGCAGAAGGACACGGCTCCCATCCGAGTTCGGACAATAGCACGCAATACTTCTTGAACCAGGCTCGTGGAGCGTCCTTGAGCCCATAGAGAGCTTTCTTAAGCTTGACGATATCCGCTCCATGCTTCTCCGCCCACACTGGTGGAAGACGGCAGAAGACGTCACGATCGAGTTCAGCATTAAGGAACGCAGAATCAAGGTCGAATGGGATGACGAAGTCAGAGTCCGTCGCTGCTGAAACGAGTAAAAGTCTATTCGCAGCATGTGACACTACAGGGGCGTAGGTGTCGATATTCCCCGAACGATCAAGATTCCCGAGCACACAAGCACGAGCTTTGAAAGTTCCATCACGTTTTACCGTGAGAACGATTGCTATAGGCATTACCTGAGAAGAGGTTCGCAGCTCCTCGTCAGTAGCTGGCGCCCAAGTCTCAAAGGCAAGTAGTCTAGCTTCCTCCTTGGTGATAGCTGCACGCCATTTCTCGGCGTCAGGGCTTTTCAAGGCTTGGGAAACTGACAGCATGACATGTGCTTCGAGAAAGGTCTCCCCTTCTTCCAGCTCATGCCCGCCTGCTAGCATGGCAAATTTATGCATGTCTTTTCTTAATGCTTCTAGCTCGGCTTTTGTTCTTCTTTTGCGTTGTCCTGGATTCTTATCCTTGCTCCCTTTAGGTCTTCCTCGGCCTTTCTTCCCCTCCTCAACTTTGCCTGGTTGAGATGGTGGAATGGGTAAGGTCCTCGGATCCCTTGCTTCAGGATTAGAGTCAGGCGACACACGCTCCGATGAGATATTCCCCTCCTCAACGCGTTGCGCGTCAGAGTTGGAATCATCACCGGTCTTTGGATCTTCCTCTTTGTCCAAAGATTCACAGAAAAACTCACCAATGTCATTGTTATCTAGTATCATTTCCATGCCGGTTGGATCGCCTGAGCTGTACTCCGTGCCAGAGAAGCGCGGCTGACAGGCCATACGTTGCAGCGCATGTCTGTGCAGGACGGGACCCAGCGACGGCGTGCCAGACTGCAGGTTTTCCAGCGGGTCATAATCAACATAAATGCCCTTCGACGTAGGCAATAGCCAATCAATGTTCTTGACTAATATCGACTCTCGAAATTTTACGTCTAGTGTGGAATACTCACTCCACTTGAAGCCAGCTTTCGTTCTCCCATCGTTGTGATATGTACCTACTAGCCAACCAGACGAAACTGGACACAGACCGAGAAACACACCACGCCGATAAGGTGACGCAAGCTTTGCTTCTTTCTTGTTGGTGGTGTCTACGACCTGTTCACGAAAGTACACCAAGCAACCAAATCTTCTTAACATACCTAGACCACTTTTCGAGGACTTCTTTCCTATCCTCTTTTCTAGTATCTCGACAGGACTCATTCCATCACGTTCTGGCATTTTTGCATAACGATGCGGTAAGCGATTCCAACAATCTCCGGCATACTGTAAGCAGTAACACCAAAGACGTCGGTCGACTTTGACCAACATGGTACGTACAGCACCGAAAATGGTCCGCATGAAACGTTCGCAAGTTCCGTTCATTTCTGGGTTGTAAGGAACTCCAGGAATTTCCGAAACCAGTAGCGATTGCATGACTTTGGTCATATGGTCACTACTTAGGACGGGTTCGTTATCTCTACGGATGAACCACACCACCTTGTCGTCGAGTGACAATGAGTAGTCCTGGCGAATGCCTTTTATTACTTCTTCAATCACCTCTACGCAGTCCGACTTGAGGCAAAGAGGACGAACGAAACACATTTTAATCGAATCACAAATAATGACTAAAGCACATCTTTTGCTTCTTATAGATACTGGTCTAATACCAACTGCGAAATCAATTGCAAGTGTTTTCAATGGAGAAGGTATATGTCCAGGGGGTCTCACTTTTGCATGAGAGCGTCTTTGACCTTTGGTTCGATCACATTCTGGACAAGATACACTAAGGCCATCAACGTGAAAGTGACCAAGTCTACGATGTATGTCTAATCTTGAAGCTTGTGAATGAAGTCTAGCTTCTTCTATACTAGTGCATACTATATCCTCCTCAGTTTCATTTTCTTCTTTGCTAAACATGTCACAGCCTAGAATAGGTAACTGCATCTGGGGGCAATTTGTTATGGGTAGAGAGCGGCCGGAGCGAGTATTGTACAACGTTCCGCCACTTTCTGTGAAATTCATTTGCCAACCCTTTTCATGACAGTTTCCTTCACCTAACCACGGTATAATGCGATCTATGGCTTTTGGTAAGTGTTCAAAGTGTACGCCATATTTTAATCCTAGTTTGTTTTCTTTTAGTCTACCTAGGTTCCCACTTCGCTTTCCAGCAGTGCCACTAATATGACAAAGCCGGTGGCTAATTTTCTTGAAATCGGAACGATGGCTAGACAAATACTTATTTGCACAACTGTCAACAAGTGAAACTGTTTTGCTTTGATTTGCACTAAGATAGCAACCTGAGTGATTGTCAATCATATAGCTTTCATCCCTAAGCAGTTCACTTCTATATTCTTTATTCTCAAAGTTTTCTTCCAAGTTCAGCGAACATTTTCCATCCTCATTTTGGAAATCTTCTTCCAATTCTTCTTCATCTTGGGACTGTCCATCTCGTCTCCCATATCCATTCCATTCCGGATTGGTTTCGACTCAGCGTTGTGGTTGTTGTCCACCCCATTGCTGCTGTGGGTTACCGTTGTCGAATCCTTTTCCTCCACTTTGTTGCGGTGGATAGTTGTTCTGGTGCCACGGAGGGATAGTGTTACCTTGCGGCCAACAGTTGTATGAATTGTTGAAGAAGTTGCTGCCCATGGCTTTGTTAGGTTGGTAGCTTTGACTCATCGGGTTTAGCCAGCATTTGTGCGCCTTATGTCCATATTTGTGACAATAGTTGCACTGGATGCCCTCATTAGGATTTGAGTTCTTAGCACCTTTACCTTTGCCATTTCCTTTGTTCTTCTTACTACTAGAACTACTACTACTACTCTTTCCACTTCCTTTTGTTGCGTAGACCTCGTTCTTGATTTCTTTGCGAATCTTCTTGCGAAGTCGTTTGATCGTTGTTTTCTTGAGAGCGGCAAACGCGTTACCATCGTCATCACTCTCATCTTGACGTTTACGCTTCTTGGTTTTGTTATTGTTCTGGTTTTCATCATCGGAATCTTCGACAGCTGGAAAAGCTTTGCCGAAAGATGGATTCTCGATCTTGTACTCACCAGAGTCAATCAAACTTTGAAGCCGTTTCGTGAGTCTGTCACCGATTTGGACGAACGTTAGATGTTCATCTTCTTGCATCCTCTCGATTGTCTGTCGAAATGCTTTGGAAAACATTTTTGGCAGAATGTCGAGGATTGCTCCGTTTTGTTGATCAGCAACAGCCACACCAACTTCCGGCGGGTATACGGTCGGAGATTGGTTCATGACATCTCTAACCTTCGCCAAGAATGTTGGAACGTCTGGAGGAGAATCACTGTTCGTGAAATGCATCCCTTCCAACGCTTTAGCAGAGATTCGCTGCTCTGTGCGGTCATTTTGACTGAAACCAGCGTCACGGAGGTTTGTTACCACTTCACCAGCGTTCATTACAGTGGTATCCTGATCCTTCATATGTGCTGCGGCTGCACCTTTGAGCGACTTGATGATCACGTTCTTCAAATCTCGCCAATTCTGCTGGAGCTTGCGGTCGTTGTTGTTGGGTTGGTTCGGAATCCCTGCCGCATTGCCGTTCAGCACGTTGTTGAAGTATTGGACTAGGTCCAGGCGGTCCGCTTCTTGCGTTACCGCTCGAAGCCAGTCACGCCAGTCAGATTTCTGTCCCAGTTTGGGTGAAATCTCTCCAAGACTCATATCGGGCATTTTGTGGCGCAAATAATGCGACTTTGTTTTCTCTACTTCTACAAAGTATTGACTAGCAATTTCTTTAATAAGGTAAGGCTCAAGGGCTTGAAACAGTGTTGGAACACCCGAACACGTCCAAGCGCAATATGAGGCTCTTGAGAGTAAATGGAATGATTATCGTTGCAATGTAACAGAAAGACGATCAGAACGGACGTGCCGAATGATCACTGACTGTTTAAGGCCCTGAAATGGTATCAAAATGGGTTCAATGTCATTGGGATATCATGAAGGGTCATAGTGCAGTTAAAGATCTGGGAGATCTTGCTGCTAATTCATGTTGGAATTCATTGAGTTCAAACGATGATCATAGGAGGAACTAACAAGAGTTCAAGACAAGGAACGGCATTGATCATGATCAAGGTGACGAGTGAGAGCAGTCATTTGACATTGAAATCAGGTTCATTCGTTGGATCTTGAGCCAGTAATGACCATTGACCAACATATAGTGTTTCGTCGAAAGCAAGGTGCGAAGTGATGCCAAGTGTTGCATGTTGTGTCTGACCAAAATTGAAGATTTTTAGGTATTTTGCTGAAGTCAAAAATGAACCACCTGAAGTCAAGTCGTGTTGAAAAACAACACCAAGTACCAAAAGGTTATGATAGTTCGTGTTTTTTGCATGTAGAACAAGTTGACAAAATATATGACATTAGATTGAGAAGTAAGAAATTTGAAAATAAGTCAAAGTCAACTGAAGAATTCGTGTATCATTATTGCCTCTCCGAAGTGGGACCGAAGTGGGACTCTACACTTCCACTCTCGTGACGTCGCTGCACCTTGCATCCTGACTCGATCGAGATCCCTGAACTTAGAACGTGGAACTTGAGACAAAAATACCAAAGCAACGGCACTAGACAAAAATACCATAATTTTCATCCGCAAAGTAAGGATTGAAGAAGAAGTGTCTGTACGAGTGACGAGAGTGCATTTTTGTATTCCTGTAAGTCATCTCTCTTGAGTGTGTTCTATGTTCATGACCCAGGGAAGTTCTTCTTCAATCACGGCTCCTATAAGGTTTCCGTAGAGATGCTATATCGTTACCTCAAGTAGAGCATTGTGATATTGAAGAAGAAGTGTTTTTTTATCAGATGTGCGTCAACGTCTATGATTCTTGACTAGCATATTGGATCCAAAAAGGCTAATCAATGTACAGATCGATGGACAAGGATCATATTAAACGGCCTCTGAAATAAGATCAACGATCCCCCGAGCCCAAGTCAGCAGTGGAAGGCACGGCTAGAAGCTCAAGAGATCACAGAAGAAGAAAACACGATAAAAAGATCACAGAAGAAGAAAGCACGATCAAAAGATGACAGGAAAATCAGGATTACAGCAAGATCTGTGAAAGATCCGAGACTGATCATGTTGTAGCGACCAATGATTAAGTAAATGTAGTTCGAATGAAGTAGCAGTAGGTCAATGTGTTTTTTTTCTCTCATTGAGCAGTGTTTGATCTGGCTTTTTTCGCTTGTTGCACAGTAAAAATAGTAGTTGTTTCTAGTACCTTGAACATCAAGATTTCTGACTCCCTATTTGTCGTATAATTAACAAAAAAATAGATATAGGACTTCAACAGTAGCCTCTCACGTCTGCCTACGCTTGGATGCCTACGCTTGGATTCATCCTAACCTAGCCTTAGCTCAACTACCTCCTAATTATTTTTTCTAGTGCTACTCCGAACGTGGTCGGCGGCCTTCTTTTTTCCCCTCGTGCGTTATTCTAAGAATGTATTCTTAATGATGAAGATGAACCATTGTTCCTTTACGATGATCACCTAACCTAACCTAACTTATTTTCACATTGTCTGTGTCCTCCTCTTGGTTGCCTTTGCTTTTGTGTAGGATGACGAAGTGGAAGTGGATATTTGTAATTTTGAACCTCCAAAATTATGTAGTGTTGGGAGTAGTAGGTGGGGGTTCCCCAGAACAGGTAGGGGGATCATTAGTTGTAGGAGGAGGTTCCATACAACAGGAAACGGGCGGCAAAGACCTGCGTCGTATTAGTGACTCGACCACGTCGACTAAGCCTCGTGAAGACCTACCTCGCAATTTCTTCACAGGTGAAGGCGTACCAGAAAAAAAAGAAGAACTAGTTGGACCACCTCCTGACAGTATCGAAGAAAGTAGCGAAGAAGAACCACAAGCACAACCATGTGACGTGGTAGAATCAAAAAGTAGTACTAGTTCTTGTACAGGAAGTGGAAGTTCTAAGATTCCGAAACAATTCGAAGCAATTTTAGAGCAGCTTGCAGAAGAAATGGAGAAGACAGCAGGTGAACCCGTGAGCATTCAAGTGACCATAGCTGACAGGAATGTTCTCGATATAGTTAACTCTTTTAGTGGAGTAAGCTCAAGCGCGGCCTTTGTAGCAAGCTCAAGGTCAAGCGCGGCGGCCCTAAAGGCACGACTTGCGACGACGGAGACGAAGACTCCCTCCATGTCTCAAGATGGACAAGGAGAAGGTTCTCAAGATAGACAACGAGAAGGTCCTCGTCAAGTTTTTCAAGAACAAGGCAAAGGTCCTCAAGGTCCTCAAGGTCTCCATCAACTTGAACTACAAGAAGGTTTTCAAGAACTACAAGGTTCACCTTCGAACCCGTGCCAATGTGAATGTCATTTTTCTCCAACGGGACTTCCTTGCACAAGGGCGCCGTTAATTTCCGAAGGACTTGGACATGGTTCTAAAAGTGGTACAACATCTGGGAGCAGGACCACGGGCGGATCTGGCGGTGGAGGTGGTGCGTCCAGCAGTCGAGGTGGAAGTGGCGGCGGATCTGGCGGTGGAGGTGGTGCGTCCAGCAGTCGAGGTGGAAGTGGCGGCGGATCTGGCGGTGGAGGTGGTGCGTCCAGCAGTCGAGGTGAAAGTGGCGGTGGAGGTGGTGCGTCCAGCAGTCGAGGTGGAGGTGGCGGTGGAGGTGGTGCGTCCAGCAGTCGAGGTGGAGGTGGTGGAAGCAGTGGATCTTCTTCTGGGTCTGGTGCAGGGGTTGTCCCTTTTAGCGGTACTTCTGGTGCACCTTTCCTCTCCTCTTCTAGGCAAGAGGCTAGTGGGGCGGCGCTTCCTTTATCATCCTCTTCGGCTAGTACGGCTGATAATACAACTTCATCTACTTCAATCTATAGCAGAAGAGCTGGCGCTGGGATATCGGACGAGCCTTGGATATCACCACCTGGGTCTTCTAGCGGTGGTGGAGGAGGGGGTGGAGGTGGACATACTCCTCCGCAACCAAGGACATCAGTACCACCTTCAAGGAGCCCGGTTACTATTGCAACAGCGATGTTGGTTATCGCTGCATGCGGGTTGTTATCGGCCGTTGTGTTTCTGGCAGTGAAACTGCATATAATCTGCAAAGAGGGGAAGAAAGTCGACACAGCCTGCGCAAAAATTGAGAATCTGGATCTTCAATCACGTCATGGGGACCTTCAGGATGCTGATGATCATCTTCCTATAATTCGAAGTAGCGGGGGTCACCACGACCACCGTTTTAGTGGTCGTGGTGATCGTGTGGCAGCTGGCCCTCACGTACAAGTTGCGAATGCGAATTATAATCCAACATCTTCTAGATCCAAGCCATCTAGTAGATCCAATGATGGGCGCACCACTCGACATCAGCAAAGAGTAGAGCATTTGAAAATGCTAGAGGTTGTTTTGGATGGCAGTACGCGCGTCGCACCTGCAGTTCCTCGTCTTGTGCAAGGTTCTAGTCCTCGTCCTCCGCTTGTGCAAGAAGGTTCTAGAAGTAGTGCTCCAGTACCTCAAAATCAGCCGCCACGACCTCAGCTGCGACGACCTCTTTTAGACGAGCACCTTGCACTGCCTTCGCCTTCACCTTCGTTCGCATTAGATGAAGAGGACGATCATGCGGCAGACGATCATGATGTTCTTCCTCTTGTTGAGAATAATGAAGGAGCAGGTCTAGAAGAGCAGGTACGGCTTCTGCTCGCAGGAGAAGCGTCTCGCGAACGCGAAGTAGTACCAGAACAAGATCGTGAGGATGGGGATCGTCCTCTAGAAGGACCTCGAGAAGATGTAGTAGAAGAATTATTGTTAACTACCCAATTGGCACGGCTAAGGACGATCCCGGAGGAAGAGTGCTCACAGTTGTGCTCGCAGCTGTCTTCCTCAGGGCCATCTTCGCTCCCTCACCACTTCCCAACGGCTCCACCAGCTGAGGGCGACACTATGAATAGTTATAGGGGAGGTGGTTCTTCTTCTTCACAACTAATATCCTCCTCTAATATGGGTACTATGATGGGTTTGTCCTCCATTCTTTCCACAACCTCTGCTAGTGCTATTCCATCAAACGACATCCGAAACTTGCGGCCGAGTAGAATGTTCGTCCAACATCAATCTTCTAGAGGACGCCAACAACAATTTAGAAGAGGAGCACAAAGAGGACGAAGGGCTGGCCTCTTCGACCAGTCCATTTTACAAGCGGAACAAGCGCTGCATGGCTACGATCCGGGAGCTACAATCCATGGAAACATGAACAATGCAAAAATGCCACCTGCTTCGGCTCCTGTTGCAGCTGTCATCTCGTATGATCATCCACCAGCAGCTCCTTTGGCTCCTTCGGCTCCTGGCGGTCAAGCTCCTGATAATCTCGACGAGGCCGCTCGTCCTTTCTCTCCTTCGGCTCCTGGCGGTCAAGCTAATCTCGAGGACAGTGAACAACAAATGCTATAGTTTGACTTGGATAGTCAAAAAGATCTTTCTCCATGTATATGAACAAGGTACAAGAAAAATAAATTTAAATAACAAGCTGATGAAGTTGTATACTGAAAAAGACGAGACTTGTGGAGTAGTATTGTTTTGTTGTAGAAAGTCACTGCATACAACAGGATATACTTCTACAGCGGAACAAGGGCGCTCAAGTGAGCAAGTAGTAGGAAATTGCAGAAGAGAAAGCGTTCTTTTTCTAGACAAAATAGACCAGCAGTCAAATTTCCTGTCTCTTCGTAGACAAAGTAGAGGAGTCGAGTAAAAGTTATATTTCTGCTACAACAGTTTTCAAACATTCACTCCTTTGGATAGTTCCATGCAGGTTTTCAGCCCACGACCTTTCTTTTATTGCCTCTAAACTAAGTTACACCACCACCAAGAAAGTTACCACACCTTTATATTTGATTGCCCAAGTAAGTTAGTACACCACCACCAAGTAAGTCACTACACCTTTATATTTGATTGCCCAAGTAGTAGTAAGTTAGTACACTACCGCCAAGTAAGTTACTAAACCTTTATATTTGATTGCCTCCCAAGTCTTCTCTTCTTGTTGCTGCTCTCCTCCATCCCAATCAAGAAATCGGTTTTATAATTACACTCTCTCAAAGAAATGACCTCTACGGACGTACAAAAATACTTTCATTTTTTCAAAGAAGGATCGTTTCTTGAATTCTAAGGCCAATGAGATTGATTGCCTCCCAAATGGGTACACCAAGGACAAGGTGACGCCAAACCCCTCTAATGGTTGCCCTGCACCACCGCTTCTACACAAATTACTGATCTCCTATGAAGACCTCCAGGAGCATGACCTTGATTTTCAAGCAATGATGTATCCTCGAGACGACTTATGAAGTAGAACCATGCTTCTGCAGAGCATGACTCTCTTCTTTTTTTTCATCCGATGGATACAGTACTTCTAAAAACTGAGTTTTTAGAAGCATTGCGTTCGGTGGATTCGTGTGGAGTTGCCAATTTGTGATGAAGATAAGTATTCAAATTGGTCTGTTTATCAATTTGAATTTGATTTAATCGAATCAATTATGAGGATCACTATAATAGAAGCAAGGTTCTTGTTCTTCTTTATTTGAACACTCACTCCATGGTTTGACTTTTGTTTATAATTGATGACAAATTTAGAAGATGAAAATCAACAAAATGAAAGTCGACGACAGTTCCGGAATACTGATCTGGGCATAGTGCCATTACCATTACAAAGTCGCTCAAGCTACCAAGAAAAGTCCAGATCGAGGATCATGCCCTACAAGAAGATCGAAGAATGATCCGGAGGATCACACTAGAAGAAGATCACGTTGGTGCACACTATCACTAGAATCTACTAAGAAGGGTGATCACGAAATGATTACAACAGGAACACATACATGACAGAAGAAGGGAGGCTACTACTTGTTCCCATGATCTCTACATTTATCTCTATAATTCCATCTTTTTACATCGATCATCCTACTAAAATTACATCAGGACTGGGCGGGAAGGTCTTTCTTTTTACTTATTTTTTTTCGGAGTATTTCCATTTTTGACTTCATGCTGTCGGAAGTTCTAGACTGTAGAATACGCATTCTATCTTAGAAGTTTTTGTACGACTAAACACAATTGGTTTCTATAGTTCTAGTACTTCTCGTTTTTGACGAGGTCATTGATGTCAACATTCATATGGCCAATTTTTGCTAGTCCTAATATATATTTATACCTCTTTCATTTATTTTTCTATCTTTCCTAGGTAGGTTTGCTCCACCACACATATTAGCTCCATTATTCTGACCGTTTTGCTTTTGATTGTGTCTTACAACAAGCACAGATCCGTACTCCACTCCTTGAGTTTGATGAGGTATATGTTGACTTGTTTTTAGACAAGATTATAGAACAGGCTACTATTAAACATGAACAATATCTTTATCTACAACTAACCCTAACTAGCTTACTACTTGCTTTTGACCTAGTCGAACTACTTCTTGAGAAGTCCTCCGCTTGGTGTTGACGAGAATGAAAACTCGTTGTTGTTGTTGTTGTTAAAAACCAAGATGAAGGCTTTGAACAGAGACGACGAGGGCCCGAAGTTGGCTTCTAGTACTACAAGAACAGTACTAGGGCTCGAAGTTCAAGTTCCTTCGGGTTCGACCATGAAGAAGTCGCCGACCCTTGCGAATTCGTGGCCGTCCTCTTCAATGCTCGTCTGGCCGTCTTCAACAAGCAAAATGAAGCTTCCCTCTCTGTTTTTATCGCGTCTTATCTTTCACTTTTTCCTGATCCTGGTCTTGGGCTCAAGAACGTCTACAACTTCTTCTGCTTTTAGTGGCCTAATCGAAGTTGCTCTGATCCAAGTTGCTCTGGTCACTGGCGTGAATATCCCTCAACATGAAGTTCCGATCGGGAAGATAGATACTGCTGCAAGTAGTAGATTTGCTGAACACGAGGAACATCTATTTTCGGGATCGACAGGAGTAGGAGCAACATTCCTGAGCAAAGGTCATTCCCTACGAGCGACATCTACGACCGATCCTGGTGAAGCAGCCTGGCAGCAAAGCCTATCAGAGGAGGATCCTGAGGCAGAGGATCCACCGCCACTAGTACTTGCCAAGGAAAGCGCAGGAACAAAGCTGTCGTGTGGAGGCACTCCCAAGATGAAGGATAAGAGGAAGTTTGATCCTTTGGCGGCGATGAGAAGTCGGGCCGCAGCCGCTGCCGCAAAAGCATTCCCGTCAGGTCAGCAACAGCAATCTGGCGAACTTCGCGAAGGCGCAGGTTCTTATCTTCCAGATGTCGTAGACGACTCTCTGGCAAAACATCTTGCAGGGGGAGGTGAAGGATCTCTAGATGCTAGTGCAGTGGGAGGTGAAGGGCCTCTAGATGCTAGTTCTTACAAACAAGGAGAAGGAGCTCTACTTGTTCAAGCCGATTCTATATCCGGTTGCGGTGCTGGTGCACAATATCAACATCATCTAGAAGAGGTCGCGGACGACCAAGAACATACTGGAGGAACAATAGAGGCACGACCAGGAGGACGACCGCTATTTGCTGAGCCTCATGTCAGTGCTCTGGCTCCTGCGAACAAAGATCTTCCCGGTAGGGATAACGAACCGGATGAAGTTGAAGACCACTCATCAGGAGGCGCGGAAGACGAAGAGCCACAGCAAGATGAAGCAAAAGCGTCAGAAGGTGTACCGGAACGAGATGTGTTTTCAGAAGATCGAGATGTGTTTTCAGGGGAGGCGGTGAAATACAAAAAGCAGTTTTCAAAGGCACCAGCATTTTTACCCAAAACAAAAGCAACTCTAGTAGAAAGAGACGAGCCACGACGACCACGAGCAGAGAAGAGCAGTACAACACACGAAAAAGCAAAAGTAGAGATGCCAGACGAGGTTTCCGAAGATATGTGGGATGCACAAGTGAAGGCTTTTTTAGCGAAAGTTGTACCACGCACGCCTCAGGGCCGTTTGTGTCTCGAATTAGCTGCAGACTTCGCGGATGTAGTACAGGAAGTGGGCAAAATGAATGCGATTGCTCGAGACCGCGTTAATAAACCCGCCTATACAAGCCTCCATGCGCTCTCGACATCGCATACCCTGATCGAAGCAGCAGTGATACAGACACGGAAGAAAATCTACAAGGCTTTTGGCATGGCTCCAATTCGAACAGAAGATCAAGTAGAACTCTCAAAACTGGTACAGCGACGGCGTGTAGAAGGGCCTCGTGATCATGAAGAAGCTCGTTCTGGAGGTGAAGAAGCGGCTAATGAAAGAGAGTATCATGATGGTTTTCAGATACAGATAGCAGGAGGAGGGGACCTCATAGCAGACAGAGACGGTATAATCTTTGCCGAAAAACATCACACATACTTTGATCCAGGCCACTGTGAAGAGCAGTTGTTGCTGCGTCGTGTCGTCCGTAATCATGACAACTCCTGTGGCGAGGATAGTCGTGAAGCAGGAAAAGGAGGCGAAAGGCATGTAAAAACAAGAAAGGGCTCTGACTTGCCCTTGGAGGAAAGACCAAATAGCCAATCGGTGCAGCAAGTAGAAGAGACGATGCCACTGGACGTGAAATCAAGTATCAGTGAAAGAAGTCGCAGGCCTCCAGGCACAACACCTGGTCCAGCTGACAGAACAAGTCCTCCTAGGAGTTATAGCTCCTCTATTAAAAAGTCAGGAGACGCTACTTCATCTGCTGCTGATGCACAAGCTACTTCATCTGCTGCTGATGCACAAGCTACTTCTGTTGGTGCACATCAAGGTAAGTGTCATGTTGATCTTGCCGCGGCTTGGGCTTCTTCTTCTTCTGAATCTGATGTAGTCCGTCCTGCTCGTAAGAGAAAGAGAACAAGTACTTGCAGAAGGATCAGCTCCTGTAGTATCAAAGATATACGTCCTGAACCTGAACTTAGGGAAGATACTAGTACTGGTTCTCCTCTTTTTACTGGTCCTCCATGTGATATTTATCCTACCAGTCCGGCTGCTTCTCCTCTTGTTTTTACTGGTCCTCCATGCGATTTGTATCCTACCTCCATTCCTCCCGCCAGTTCTGAAGACCCTAAGGTGGAATATCCCACAAGGGTACTACCGCCAATAGCTGGGAATTTGGCAAGCGAAGCTGCCGGCGAAGCTACTTCATCTGCTGATGCACAAGTTACTTCATCTGCTGCTGCTGCTGCTGATGCACAAGCTACTTCTGCTGGTGCACCACATCGAGGTAAAAAGAATCTTGATGGGACTTCTGCTGCTCCTGCCACAACAAGGAGATGTTCTGTTTGCCGGAGATGTGCAGGCTCAGGTACCGAAGATCCGACTCCGGGATCTGTAGATGTACAACCTGTAGTCGACGTGGAAGATTCTCCAGTAGTCGTCCTGGCAAATACAAGTACTACAAGTAATAATGCTACAACTCCTGCTGGAGAACAAGCTATTTCACGTTCAACGGGTAGCTCCACAGCTTCAACACCTACAGCCTCAAGAACAACTACAGCTCTTCAAGTACAGGAGGTCTTACAGGGTCCATCAGGATCAGCTTCAGGAGCACCCTGGAACACAACTTCTACCACTTTTAAGGGTATAAATACATATATTTTATAAGACATCCATCTTCACTGTCACCTTGGTCCCGTTTTTAAAGGGAAAAAATGGGGACCCAAGATGCTGCTGAGGATGGATCTTCGTTAGTTCTAACACTTCTACTACTAGCTCTAGTCCGTGGTTGCATGTCGCCACCTCTACTCACCTTGTGTCAGCGTTGGCCGTCGTGCTCTTTTTCGTGTCCATGTTTGTGATCACCCAGATTCACAACGTATGCAAAGAGAGAGCCAGGATAGCGGAACTAATGGCGTATGCCATATCTGGACGAGGAGAAAAGATACTTGATACTAATGGACGAAATGGAGCTGGTGGTAGTGGAGACCACCAGCAGACCATGGCAGGGGCCTCTGGGAAAGAACAGATGCAGATTGGTGGAGGTAGTGGAGGAAATTTTTGTAGTGGTAGCGGAAAGGGAAATCCCGATCACCAGACAAGAACAAGGGTCGTGCTGAATGGAGGAGACATGACGATGACTCACCCAGAACAGCTGGCACTTCTGGGTAAGAACGGACGATTGGAGAGTGGTGCGACAGGAGTGACACCTGCAGCTGAAGATGTGGTAAGTAGAGACCGTTTATTAGCAGGCAAAAATATGGTTGCTTGTGCGCCAGCGGCTGCATTTGCACCTCCAACAATTCGAAATCCTCCAGCAGGTTCTCGGGATGTCTGTACACTGTCCTCTGGCAGTATAGTGCCAGAAAATCCAGGTCCTCGTGGTGCTCCAGGTCCTCGAGGTGCTCCAGGTCCTCGTCGCTCTCGAGACATTTCTCCTTTTCAGCGCATTCTTCATCAAGGAATGGGACCACATCAGCAACAACATCACCAACAACTACAGTTGTCACAGGAGAGGCGTCCACGACCTTATGGGGCCTTTAGAGTGCTCAACACTGGAAATGGGCACCACTTTAGCGCTCGAGGACCTTTCTTTAATGTGAGAGTGCTGGGTGGACGGTCAGGGCAAGAGGAAACTTTGTTTAATGATGCAATAATACCTTCACCCCCACGACCACAGGAGTTCCCGGATACAACTAGACCTAGAGCTTGCTCACCTCCTGGAGACTTTCTTCTTCATGCTGGAGATCAACAAGGCTACTTCCAGTTCCAGGATCAACAAGGCTACTTCCAGGACCATTTTGGTACCCAAGAACAGCCTAGCAATGTGCTGTTTCTGGGTGGACAAGGGGGTTTTTGGGGTGGACAGCAAGAAGGACAACGTCAAGAAGGACAACGTCAAGAAGGACAACGTCAGGAAGGACAACGTCAAGAAGGACAACTTCAACAAGCAGGACAACTTCAACAAGGAGAAATTCAACGAGGGCATCAGTATAATTCCATAAACGACCCAGTGACTACTGAAGCAAGCACAGACGCGACGCAGTTAGACGTCTTCTATAATTCACCAGATAGTGACGATCTGCTTCAGAATACTAGTAAGAATACTAGTGTACTTTGTGAATATTTCAACTTTTCCTCTGCAGCAGGAGAATATTCAAGTCGAGCTCTGGAGCAGGAGGCACATCGGACCACGGCAGAACACGACAGGACCAGAGCAGAACATGACAGGACCACAATCTCCTCCACGGATGTGCTAGAACAAGAACAACAGCATTATGCTGTGCGATCACCAGAAGATGAGCACTGCGAAGTAGAGAGAGACCGTGTCCTAGATGATCATTTTTTCGGAGTCTCTCAGCATTGCCCAGCACAGCAGCTACAAGAAGGTAGTCCACGGACGATTCCAGGTTTGGGAGGAATTGGAGCTTTCGAGGAACACGACTCTGGTATATCTATGGAAGCCAACGTAGGAGGACGAGAAGTTCTAGGAGAAAGACTAGGACCAGGAGCGGGACAACTACTAGGACCCGCACTACATCAACCAGATGAAGGAGGACCAGTTGTACAACAAGTAGAAGCAAGAACTGGTGGAGCTGATTTCCCTATCTCTGGATCACAGGACGTAGTTGAAGATCTTGCGCGGCCTCCTGGCTCTGCTGGACAAATTTCTAAGAATTCTGCAGCGTCTGCAGTAGAATCCACCTTGGGAGGACACTATTCTGAAGACTCAAGCATCTTAATCACAGTATCGGATCGCATTCTGGCACTGCGAAACTTTCGCCCTCCGTTATCTTAAAGAGCAGCACGACTACGGAACCTACGGCCCCCTCAGGTGTGAAGAAGATCATCGTCGATGGAACCTACGGCCTCAGTCTCAATCGAGAACATCTTACCTCCCTTGTTAAATGGAGGATGAGGAAGCGCCAGGAACTGAGCCTTAGAACCTTGCCTATGGCAGAAGTGCTGGTGTGAAGGTGATTCTGGCCGCTTGGCACCAATTATAGCCTGGACTCGGCTCATTGCAGTGCGGAACCTGGACTCTTCGACGGGGCGTCGGCCGGAGCAAGTATTCGAAAGCCTTCTCCGCCTCTCGGTCAGTGAGCAGCCAGTCCTTGAAAGCCTCCTGGGGCACTCGGCATTCCTCAGCCGATGAGCAAATTACGACATGGATATGGATAAAAACCGCTCCGGGCGATTACCGCTCCTGGCGACGGTATTCATTTGCAGCGAATGAATAATATCCGGTCGCACATAATTTTGACGTGACGCTCTTGCAGGAACAACCGCGCAACTCTCCACAGACGAGAAGTGCGCAAACCGAAGCCTGGCGTCGGCATGTGAGAAGTTCGATAACGGAAAAAAAAAAATAACGATGAAAAGGAAAGACAACATCTTCTACAGCACTCAGGCAGTCACCCTTTGATGTTTTTACTCACAAGCAGGTGCAAGAAATATCCACCCGCCAACATGATGAATGACTTTCGACTCGAGATTCCTCCTCCTGCTGAGCACGAGCATCCCTCTATGCTGTAAGCGGTGTAATGCCTTCCGCATATCGAACCTCCACACTTCCTCTAGCTAGAGTTTTAACGCCAAACAGTAGAGATAGCAAGACGAAGACAAGAACACGTCTCAGGGAGGCAACAGAAATTTCCGATGGAGTTGAGCTGTTCTTTCGGAAATATAATGGAAGGTAAGGATTGTCAAGTTCAGGGCTAGCGAAGCGTACGGAGGTCTACTAGGCGATCATTGTCAGTTTTTATTAAGTCGTGATCCCTCCTCATAATACACTAAACAAGTTCAAAAATAGTATTCTACTTGACACGTCGGTATTATTAGTCACTGTATGTGCTTTGTTTATGTTTTTCGTTGCAGCTGTTTTCAACGTTACCGCAAGTAGTGCATACTGTTACTTTTTAAGGACTTGCCTAAAAAACCAGAATGAGAGCGAAAGATCGAGTGAGACCACTCAATGTTGGGATGTAGTGGTCTCACTCGATCTTTGTCATTATCAAGAGTGCTTACTTCTATATCCAAGCTTGTCTTTGGGATCCAGTGTTTTTTGCACTACTTTTTTTTTTCCCCACTGACTTCACTTTCTTCAGAATTTGACTCACTTCTTCAGAATTTCTTCACTTTTACCCCTTTGCATTTTTTCATATGCTTTCTTCGCTTGGATCATTAGCGCTTGGATCTCGCTTGTGCTGAGGACGAAAGATCGAGTGAGACCACTCAATGTTGGGATGTAGTGGTCTCACTCGATCTTTCGTTCTCAGAAAACTTGGATCTACCAAGCTGTAAGGTCATCTTTTCGCGATGAAAGAAATGCAGCGATCATTTAGTTTCAAAGGTTCAAAGGTTGTTCAAAGATCTAGATCATCTGCAGGAATCAATTCTAAGATGTTGAAGGAGTAAAAGGAGAAGGGCAAGATCAATGGAAGTAGGACTAGTAGAGATCAACTGAGAAGGAGATCACTTCAAGATTACAGAGTTGTTACAAACGATGTGGAGGCAGGAGGTTTATACGTTGAGTAGTTCCAGAAGTACGTCTTGAAACAGGTTCTCTATGAATTTTAAATCACCAAGAACAGGAGCCTAGCAGTGTCATGTTTGTGGGTGGACAGAACCTAGTAGAAATATATTTTAATCTTCGACCTTACATCTTCATTCATTTGATTGATTGACTGATATCAGATCTTCTTAAATCAAAGTGATCGTAAAAGTATCCCGTAGTTTTCCTTTGTTCTCTTTCCCCGTCCTCTGACTTAAGTATACATCTTCGAAGATATGACTTTTTTTAGTTCTGATCTCATTAACAAAAACTACTATACGAACCCCGTTTATTCACGAGCAATCACGATCTAAAGACAAAAAGACAAGATGTTCATGTTCTTGAAGAATAGTAGGAACAGCAGCACTTCTTCGTGCATGAAGAAGGGCACGACGAAGACGAAGATGTTGAGCTCGAATATGTTGTTGGTACAACATGTTCTTCTGATGTGCTTCATGATCTTCGTGGTGCTGGTGCAAGAAAATGATGCTATGGGTCACGACCCGGCAACAGTCCCCCAAGAGTATTCTTCTGACAGCTTGAATTATTTTGCTGCGAAGCTTCAAAAAATGTTCGCAAAAGTCGAAGATATAGAAAGTGTCACGATTGGTATTGTTAAGGCTACCAGCACACTATAAAAAGTACACTGTCTGAAGTACAATTATAGTTAGCGGTGATGGTTGAAGCTGGGTTTTCTTCATCAGAAAAAGGCTCTTCAACCACAACTATAAAATGTACTAACTTAGTAGTAGTCCTTATAAGTATGTAAGTTGTTCCTCTTTCTCTAATTCGTTTTGTGATTCGGCTTCTGCATTGGTCTTGCCGACTGGCCGCGACAAGGATCTGATGGCGATCAATGATTCTACTGCATGTCGACCTCGAGGGCCATCAAGTGCAGTACATCATCGTACTTCTGCTGCTTCGTCGTCGGGGTTTATGGCTCCCACATCTCCAAGTACAGGAGCAAGAAGCCGTAGAAGCGGAGGAGGCGGTAGTGGAGGCGCGGTTTCGTCTGGTGCCTCAGCAGCTGAATTGCAAGGTGTACGTACTGAGTTTGAAAATTTCCGGAGCAGTCTAACCGCTTTTGCTGCAGCTGGAAACCCTAAAGCAGGAGCAGACTTGGCTCCTTTGATCGAGCAACTGAATCGATTAGGAGAAAAAATAGATCGCTTGGAAAGAGGTGTCGGCGGAGGCGGCGGAGGTTCCGGCGGCGGTGGTGGTAGTGGAGGTGATAATGGCGGCGGCGGAGGTTCTGGCGGCGGCGGAGGTTCTGGCGGCGGCGGAGGTTCCGGCGGCGGCGGAGGTTCTGGCGGCGGCGGAGGTAATAATGGCGGCGGCGGAGGTTCTGGCGGCGGCGGAGGTAATGATGGCGGCGGCGGAGGTTCTGGCGGCGGCGGAGATTCTGGCAGTGGTGGTGGCGGCGGAGGCAGTGGTCCCGTTGGTGGTGGTGGCGGCGGCGGAGGAGGCTCCGGCGGCGGAGGCGGTGGTGGCGGTAGCGGAATAGACAATGGTCCCACGATCACGCCTAACCCTCCACCTATTCCTATTGGACCGCCACCCCCAACGGGACCTGTTGTACCGCCACCTCCACCGCCTCCATCAAGATCAGCGGCACCAATTTTGTTGTTTTCATTCTTGCTTGGGGGAGGGGTGTTTGTTTTCCTGGCTCTAGTGGTCATCATAGCACTGAAACTACGCTGCCAGTGTGAAGAACGCAAAAAAATCGACCAGGCAGTCTTGGCACACCGAAGAACTGGAGCAATACTGAGTGAAGATAAAGTGAAAGAAGATGACTCTCAACAAGGCCATGATCTTCATGCAACACGACTCAGAAAAGAAGATCATGTTGTTCAGGGGGAAGATATTCATTTTCATGCTCGTACGACTAGGACTACGAGCCACGAGGACGCCGAAAAACTTCTTGTAGAGGATGACGAGGATGAAACTGAAACATGTTGTCCAGAAGTTCCACGACCCTCAGCGGCCACTACCTCCCGTCCCCAGCACCTAGAACATCAAGTTGACCTTATCCGTCCTCAACACCTAGAACATCAAGTTGACCTTATCCGTCCTGCAGCTCCCACCACCTGGTCGTATCCTGGAACGACTGCGTCTACGAATGTGAAGCCATCCGCACCCTTCCTTTCAGCGACTACTACAGCTGGCGTCGGAAGAAAAGATGTGGAACAACTAGAGCAGGGAAATAACCTTCAAAACCAGGTGGGCCACATGATTGGTCGAGGCGGACAAGAGGGCGCTGATGCCGGAATTGTATTTCCTCAGGTGAAAAAATTATATGAAGATAAAAAGGGCATTCCTAATACTGCAGCAGGAGAATCTATCGCAGGAAATCTAAATGCAGATGAAGAACAGGCTGATGTTGTAAGAGAACCAAAAATCGTAGATGACCCTTCTCCTAGAATATTAAAGCAGGAAGGAGTAGGGGATGTTGATCTTTGTCTTCCGCAACTACATGTCCAGATGGATGACCTGCGTGGTCAGGAGGAGCACGACGCCCATGTTGATGCAGCGGGGGCATGCGCAACTCCTATCCGTATATTTGCTGCCAAATCTCCACACGTTTTATTTCCTTTTAGAACGTCGACAATGACAAACAATATTCACAATGTAGAAGTTGGAGAACAAGTAGTTGCTGGAGGAGCTCCTGTAGTACCGTCAGCACTTCCTCGTTTTGGAGCAGGACCTACCAGGAGACCGGATCAAGAACGTGTTGAAGTTCCGACTCCTAGGGGTTCGCATCTTTTAACTTTCATGGATGAGAACGCAGCTCGTGCTGCTGTTGGTGCACCAGGACCAAGAGGAACACGTACCAGACCACTAAAACTACGTGGTGCTGATCAACACCGTGCTGAAGGTTGTACCTCATCTTCTGGTTCTGCTAATTATGCCGATGCGCTTATGGCCCAGCAAGCCATGATGGGGCTTAATTTTGAACTCTTTCAACAACAACAGTCCACGGAAAATGACCACATAGAACTAGAAGAGGCTGCACCAGGAGAAGATCAAAGTCAAGAAAATCGACATTGTGCAACGGCTGGTCAAGAAAATCGACATTGTGCAACGGCTGGTCAAGAAACTCGACATTGTGCAACGGCTGGTCAAGAAACTCGACATTGTGCAACAACTGGTGGCAAATTCGTAGCTTCTTCAAAAAGCAGTGATGTAGTATCAACTGCCGCTGGGGAGCTTTCAACCGCGGAGGGTGCTACTTCGACAAGCGACAATCCCTCTCTCTTCTAAGCGATGCTGGGCACTTCACCAAATAGACCGACTACTTTCAGAAGGCATCGATCTACCTCTACACGCCACATACTCATACCCAGCTTTCTCAACTTTTCGAATATATCTGCTGTGACACGGCCAAGAGAGCCCAGATGAGTCCATCACTGTTCTACTTATAGGCCGTCGACTAATATGCCCGCGGGGCTTGGGCTCTAGCTTTTCTGCAGCGGTTGCCGTCGTGCTTAATCGTTTGCGTAGTTTTATGTGCCTGGCCGTCGTGCTTCAGGCTTCTCGCTGGGTAATTAAGTGGAATTACAGCGAGAAATGTAGACCCAGGCAACACTAACAGTGATAGAGCCACTATCTTGAAATGTAGACCCATTATCGCAAAACTAGAAAAATAACAAAAATTAGGGTGAATGAATGAAGGAGAAAAGAAAGACTACTAGAATATCAATTTTGATGTCTTCTAGTAGAAAAAACTTTGACTCGGCTCTGAAGATCTCATCTTGTTGTACAGTTCGTTTCAAGACAGTTGTTTTATGCATCTTCCTCTTTTATCCTAGCCTATCTGATACTATCCTCTTTTATTTTAAATTTTCTTATGGATTAAAATGTTATTTTCTTATGCTTATCCATCGTTATCTATGGTCTGCCACTACCTGCTTATCATATTTGAAACGAAAAAAAATGAAATTCAAATTTGAAGGAACCTTTTCTAACCCGTCAATTCGCACGACGTCTTTGCTACATTATGTTGATGACCTTTTCGACGTGGCAGCTCGAGGATGTAATCCTACAACTTGACAAAAATTAGAACAGTATCTTACCCCAAGATATCCTCCCCGAAAACGTAGTCAAACAACCAGAACCAAGCAGCAAGTGCAGCAAGCGGTCTTTGATTTCCCATTGTCAGGCGCAAAGCGTCGTTGTCCATTAAGCTCCCCACAAAAAGAAGAACTCCCTGCCACTGCTCGCGTTAAAATTGCTTAATATATTCCCCTCTTTCAAGAGTTCGGTGCGTTTTGCAGGTTATTAATTTTGTTTTTCCGTTCGATGAAGAAAAAGTGACGATAAACGCAGTTTCTTTCTCTTGCAACGTTATCAAATTTATGTTTGTCAATTTTTACTGATGCTGAATAAGTGGCAACATTGGTATTTATTCGTACAACTAAAGACGAAAAATGTCGCTTGATCCTATACCCAAGTTTTTCGATCTGTACGAGTTCCCGGGACTCCGAAACGCGCTACATGAACTGCATGAAGGTGAACAAGGTCAAGCCCTGTACGACGCTTTAGTTGTCGAACTCCGTCGTTGGCTGGCGGAGGAGCGCACTACCACTGCGATCGGTGCCGGTGGCAGGGATGCAGCTGGTGGGGACCAGAACACTGCAAGGAGTGACCAGAATGCAAGTGCATCTTCATCTTCCAGCTCATCATTTTCGCCATTAGGCGGGGTGAACACTTCATCGGGGATTGGCCAAGCAAGTGGAATTTTATTTTCAGCGACGGATGGAGCAGCTGCGAGTGATAATACCACTACTGTCTTTAAACTCGTGGGCGGCTCTGGAGCAGGCACTATTAATATATCTCGAAGCAAAAATAAAGTCACAGCTATTGAGATAGAAAATTTCTTGGAAGTTGAAGTGAACGACGGAGCACGATTTCGACTCAGCTTACAAGGGTCAGAAGATCAAGGTTCATCTGAACAAGGTGCTGACGAAAATGCTCATACCACGAAGACTCCATGGCAACCATTACTAGTTGATATGGACTACTCCCTGATCAAAGGACTTGGCGCTGGTGTGATTGGTCGTAAAGAGAATAATGATTAAGGCTGCGTCACTTAATCCATCTTTTAGCTCATCTGCAAGCCGTTTTCACGTGGAAAAGTGGACACATCAGATGACGCAAGAGACAGGGACCCCTCAAGCATATGCCTCCCAATACAAGGGAGACGCTGACGCACATTCTTGAGGGATTTCCACAGGGATGGACTGTAGCGAGTTCTAAAATGAACAAAGTAGAGAAGACTCCTGCGATTGGTACGAACGGAATGCGCTGACGGAAGGCGAAGTTGAAGAATTAGAAGAGCTCATCCTTGACTCCTGTCGCCACTACCGTCGAGACTCAACAGGCACTATCGTCCCAGATTACGAAAGTGGAAGATTTCTTAAGTTAAGGCTCCATCTTAATAAGTAGAATAAGAAGCATCTCTGACACTGACTCCTCTTCTAAGGGGGAAACGGGTCCAAGATACATCTCAAAATGGGAGATTCCCGGAAGGTCTAAGTAAGGCAACAGAGGGCGGAATGCTGTCGCCTTATGATCTGGTGGATACACCAGTGAGAACTGGAGTCCAGCCCGACGGCTACTTGTGGTGGCAGATGTCCAGCGAATCCCTTTTTGGAGATGTCCAGAAATCAACTAGTGCAGAAGCTTCTATTTCTAGTAGTACATCTTCAAAGATAGACCAGAACAAGATGACCTCCACAACAAGAGCATCTACAGGTGGACCTAGTACAGGAGCTACTTCCATCTCTGCTAGTACAACAAATTCCTTAACAGCGTCTTCCTTCAATACTGTAGCGAATAACAAAAGTAGACCAGCTCCTGATACAAGAACAAGCTCCTCTTTGCCTTCTCCTTCTCCTTGTACCGGTACTATCGCAGTACGCTGTTTCTTTCTTGGCGGCAATGACGCTGATTAAGGCCGCTTCATGATCCATCTGAAATTTAAGACAACGAGCACCAGGGAGGAGTAGAACTGCTAACACATACACTTGTAAAGAATGGGCAATCTACTACTTCTACTACAACTAAGCAGGCTGGTGCTCGCTCCTGGTGCTAAGGGCAGCACTATGACTATGTATCCTCTGTATAACTACAATTTCGATTGTTTTTGTTAGAAAGATCGTTTCTTGAATTCTAAGGCCTATGATATTGTTGATAAATTCTTGTTCTAACTTGCTGGGGAATTCTACGAAGGACGAGCTGAAAACTTTTTTCTGCCTAAGAATGCGCAAGGACTGTGCCTTCTAGAGCTTTTCAGGGTTGCCTTTCGACGTCGTCTCCTGTACAAATTGGGAATTCGCGAAGCAACTAAACAGTATGCCCCATGCTTTCACATACCACTGAAGACAAAGTTAAGGCTAGGTTATTAAAGGTGTTCCTGTCAATACCGTTTGTTTGTAGTTTTGCCTCTCCTATTAAGGCAACCCTTACCGTTTGTAGTTTTGCCTCTCGTCCTAAGGCAAAAAGGGAGAATGAAAGGCAGAACCAATAACGGGAAACAGAAACGCCAAAAGTATATTACCGCTAACAAAGGCCAAGGGAGGAGGCAGATTTGGGTGGCCAGATAACCCTGCGCTTTACAACGACACATCAAGCTATTTCCTCACGGCCTTGAGGAAATTAGAAGCAGATGGAGTGAGTTGTCGGGATCTTGACGCCTGGTCAGGGACTGAAGACCTGAGATATCGGTTGCAAAAAGAGACGGGAGGACCTGGACCAGGAGTAATTCAACAACAACAACAACAACAACAGCAAGGGTTGATGGCGATGAAGGGCCAGCAACAGCTACAGCAGCAGGATATTTCCTCTCGTAGTTCTGCTTTCTCTTGGTGTTTGGAGAAGCCTAGTAGTTCTCGTTCGTCTTCTGGCGCTCCTGGCGCACCATCAGCATCATCTACGTCTCATCGTTCAGCTTACAAGCGTCACTCGAAATACGGTCTAGCGAATGAGGTACACGTGAACTTCACTGAATCCGGGTCAATCGAAATCAAGGATTTACTTCCTTCGCGACGTCAACAAAGCAGTAGTGGTTATCATGCTCCAAATGCCACGGAAATGTCGTTGAAAGACATCGAAGCGCTAGGTCATGAACTGGATTCCGCAACTTTGGAAGAGGACTGTGCGATTTGTCTGGAGACTGAGCCTCTAGACCGGAACGGCAGTATTTGCCTGAGCAAGTTCTGTGGTCATAAGTTTCACAAATCCTGCTTACTGTCGTGGTTCCGCGAGAAGAAAAGCTGTCCTTGTTGCGGTGCGATGTTGTTGGCTAAGAATGTGAACGGTTCGAAAGAAGAGCGCGAAGTGCACATCGGTCACATGCCAGATGGCTGCATGAAGTGGAAAACCTTGCCGACACAAACGCCAGGCACACAATCTACACATAGTATACAAGTTGATTTCAAATTTGCACCGGGGACAGCTGTCGCGTCCTCTGCGCAACCAGTAGTAGTTGCAGGCGGTTCGTCCTCATCGTCTTCATCAACGACAAATAATATGCGTTTCTATCATGGCCGAAAAGAGACCGCTTTTCTTGCGTTGAATCGAGAAGGGACCACTTTGCTCGAAATGTTTAAGATCGCCTTCAAAAGACGAGTCATGTTCGGACTGGGAGAGCGATTGACTTATGGCACAATGCTGTTTATTGAGGGACAAAGGAACTTCCACTAAAGTGTCCTTGATATTGTTTAGTCTCCCAGATAGTACATGTAAGACTATGTGAGACTCACATGCCATGCCACTTCCTCATTTCTTGATGTAAGTAAATTTCGCCATAGGTAAGTAGTGCTGCATACCCCGGTAGGTGCTGCATACCTATTTAGGATGCACAGAATAGAATAAGTAGTTCTTCTAATCCTGGACCGGCACTTTCGCTCCGACCTTCAACATCCACTTGAAGACTCGGCTGGATCCGGTCGGCGCGCAGAGACACGGCTATCCCGATGAGGGGTACTATGGGAGGACCATGCAAGAGTTGAAGGATAACCATGTCGAATTGGAGGATATCGAAATTATTTCTCCTGCAAATGAACACCAAAAATCCTCATCTGGAGCACAAGCACTTGTTGTTAATTTCCTGTCTACAACCTCCTCTTCGTCCTCTTCAACATCGACATCTGTAGCTCTGGCCCTATCATCCGGAGCTGCTCTGGCACCTGCAGCTTCGTCGTCGTCCTCTTCATCTGCTGGGCCAAAGAAGAGAAAGACGAAGAATGGGGGATAAGCGCGTTGATTTGATGCCCAACAATACATTCGAGTTACTGACCATCGAAATTTTCAAACTTTGTACTACAGTTCTTCATCTTGCAACCCCAACGACATCTACAACTTTTTTTGCGTCGCCAATGCCATGAAAACGAAACAAGATCTACTCAAAGAGCTCGCATGCTATATTAAGCCTGAGGCATTACTGAGAAGTCAAGTAGGTACTTAGAAGTGTTTTCAAATTCAAGGTAGAAATCATCAATTATCTTGGACTTCCTTGGATCCAGCACTTGCAACCCAAAGATTGGATCCACTGCAAAGAGTATGTTTCTTGCACTCTAGATCTCAAATGCATTGCCATTCCTCCTTACCTGCCTGCACGCCATGCAAGTAATTTAGAAGTAGATTCTTATCGCGTCTCCTCCTCCTCCTGAAACTACGGCAGGTGTATTTGGAGAAGTGCTTGGGTCACAAAAGGGGAGACACACGCACGAGTTGTATATATATAGCATTTACTGAAGATACATGAATATTAGACCAAGATGACGACCGCGACCTCCAGCACAGGACCGGAGGGTTCTCCAGTCCGTGCAGAAAAGGAGCATCGACCACCTGACACCGACCCCATCGCCTCTGGAGACGATTCCTTTCTCGAAAATGTTTCTTTACCAGACGGCCAAAAGTTGCTGTTAGAAGAACAGTATTGGAATGTCGGAGACATGCGGGACTACCACTGTGATGGCCGAGTCTTCGAGAGTGGTGCGATTTTGGCGGCATGTCTTAGAGACGGAGGAGGAAAACGGGTTTTTTATCCTGAGTCTGAAGATGCTAAAGACGGAGGAGAAAAACGGGTCGTTCTTCCTGAGTCTGAGTCATCTTCATCTTCAGAGGACGACCGCTTATCTAGAAGTAGTTGTAGTCCTTGGTCTATTTTAGGCTTTTCTGGCGGAGAAGACGAGAACTCTCCGACGAGAATATCTGGTCATACCGTCATCGATTTAGGTACTGGAACTGGAGTGAGCGGCCTGGCTGTGGCTAAAATGCGATCCGCAGATCGAGTCATTTTGACGGACTTGCCTGCTGTGTTGGATCTAACAAGACGCAATGTGAAACGAAACAACTTGCTGCTTTTTACAGAGTCTGGTGGGAAAATTGTAAATGCTAGGTGCTGCATGATGTTGCCGCTACTGTGGGGAAAGCAGGGCAAGAAGAAGAATGTAGCTGCAGTGGACAATGGCTCGTCGTCATCGTCGACGTGCGCGTCAATTAGCTCGTTGCTCCAGGACTTCGGACTTCTCTCTCGAAATCGCATGACCGAGGAAGCTCCAGCACCATTGACAATCATTGGCACTGATCTGGTCTACGCACCTGAAGCGGTCGCGCCTCTACTGGAAACTGTCGAAACGATTCTAAACCTACGAGGGGATCTAACTTGTTTTGCGACTATGACCACGACTGGTCCAACCGAACTGATATTCTTAGTGCAACTACGCAGAGGAGATAGTAATCGAAAAGCAGTACAGAACTTCGTTTCTGGGTTAGTGCGATTGGTCTATGGCTATCCAGTTCCAGCAGCGCTTGGTGATCAATTTCACGCACCTCCAAATGAACCGGAGGATTTCTTGCCGCCTTGGCCATGTACGGACATGAACAATGACTTGGTGTTGAGGACATTGATGGGGCTGGAAATTGATGGCTACAGAACAAGTCAACACAGCAACCTCAAATGTGGCGAAGAATGTCCAGAGCTCAGCAAAGAACCCTTCATGCTCGACCGTGGTCAACCCACTTGGAAAATTGCCGACATCCCTTGGCAACGCGGACTGCGCTCCGTGGGGAGGAGTCTTTCTCCATCTTTAGAGAAAGCCGGGAAGCACATATTCATGATTCGCGTATGGCGCGACAATTAACTGCTACAACTGTTGCACCCAAACTTGTAAAATCTTCTACTTGTAAAAAACCAGGTTCCACAAATCGACGTGAAACATTGTCACAATTGATCTCCCTACTCTTTGTATTGTTCCTGTTAGTTGCACGTGGAGGCATCTTTTTGTTCCCATCCTCAGTTGTTGTATCATACTGTCTCTGTGAGTGGAAAAAAGGACTGGCGATGAGTGGGTGACGAGCGGCTCGTGCGCAGAGAGGAAAAACGCACCAAATTTGGTGGAGCAACTCCATTGTATGCATCAAATGGCCACCCTCCTACTTGAGTTGGGCTCCCGCCTGAGATCCTTTTTTTCGGGAGTTAACAGAGCGTGTTAGTTTTACCCCAGTGACCATCGTCCGAGAAAGATGGGTGGAAAGTCCTAAGAATAGAATATTCTTAGAAAACTATCGAGGATTCGAAGACAGTAGCTCAAGTCTTTTCATTTTCTCTCGTCCATGCAGGGCATTTTCTCTGTCTGCCACGTACCATTTTCATCTCGATATGAATGCGTTTTTTGTCAGTTTACCGCATCAGGGGACACACCAACCAACCAACCAACCAACCAACCAGCCAGCTATACTCTCAGCCGATCCATCTATTCTTATGCAGACTTTAGGTTTACACTATTTTCAAGATGTAGCTTCAGTATTAAATAAGACCACGAGTACAACTTTCTTCATTTTTCTTTTACAACTACATCTTCGTCTTCCCATACCACCTGTAACAGTCAACTTGTCCCTTCACTTCAGGAACAGGATTAGTAAAGTTTCTCTCTATATTTTTGTCTTTTACAGCTAGACTTCAAGTATTACAGGGTTAGTTAGTAGTCTACTTTGCTTCCAATCTTTTCCAACTACTTGCAACAAAGTACAGCATGACACTATATTGATACGTTTTCTCATGATAACAGTAAGACAATGGACGAGCAGGAGAATCAGCCTCAAAAGGAGGGCGCGCCTTGTCTCCAACAGAACAATGCGCCATCAAGACAACAGTTGTACTACAACAGTAACGACGACTTAACGACTTTCGGCAGCCATGTACAGAGCACGGCTCGTTCTGCTTACACGAATTACATAACGCACCTGCTCGATTGTCACAACAAGAAAAAGGAGCACTGCTCTAGTTGCCAGTGCAACATCATGAAGAAGGAGGATCGCTCTACTTACCCGGACGTCATGAGCGGGCAGATGAATCTGAATGATTCAACTTCTTACCGGGACAGCATCCGTAAGAGGCAAAACGATTTTGCTAGTGACCAGGACAACTCCGTGAAGATGAAGAACAGCAATGATTTGACTTACCACTACCAGGACGTGACGAAGGAGAATAGTGCTGAGCAGTTGTCTGTTTATCAGAAGACTACAGCTTCAATTTCTTCGAGTTACGAGAACACAAATGAGACGAAAAACAACGACAATAACATGGTGGAGAGTAGTCCGCTGATGGATTTGCGCGAATTCTTAAACATTGACAACATCACTACGCCTGATCATGGTGCAGAAGAAAAAAGTAGCCCATCGCGTGGTAGGATTTTCGACCACTCGAAGACGACTCTTCTCTCTTCTCCTATGTTACAGCTTGTGGAGGGCCAGGGTGGACAGATCAATAACAAAGAGCTGCTTATGACTCGCGAGCGGCAGAATGAAGAACAGAACAACAGCATGGACGTCAATTGTTCCAGTGAGATTCAGACGATGAAGAACCTTCTGAGGGCGATGACTAGTAGGGATAGGCTTCATATTGGGACCCAAGCAGGAATGCAGCCATTACCACTGTCGAATAGTGGTTCTTCATCAACGCCTGTCGCGGTAGCGAGTGACAGACTCAACACTATGGAGCGGCGCAGTCTTGTTATTTCGCCTCCGAGATCGCGATCGCCAAGAGACGACCTTCAAGGTCGCGCTTTCGAGCACAAGAAGGCAGAAGCGAAAGTAAAGTCAATAGTGTCGACTGATGCGGGACAGCAAGACAAGGAGGACAAGGAGGAGGCGAAGTCACGCCAGGCTGCAGTGCTCTTGTTCCTTTCGCAGCCGGCTGTTGGGGCAGGGACCTCGCTAGCTTCCTCGGCATTTTCGTTAGCAACAAGCCGCTGGAAGAGCCAAGCTCCTGTTGGGTCGGAAAATTATGACTCGGCTATTCTTCAGATTGAGTAAGGGGCCACCCGGTATTTTTTCAGACCTAGTACTTTCTTACCTTTTTTTAGTTCTCATATAGTTGAAGATAGTCAAGGCACTTAGCAGAGAGATTAGCTGGCCCAGGAATGAGAGCAATTTCATCTCCCCAAGGCGATTTTCTACGCGAATTAGTACTAAACACCTTAGCCGTGCTTAATACACTTCTAACGAACGCAGTCGCCCGCGAATTTGAAGAAACCTCGTCGCCATTGTCGGCTTGCGAGGAGCCTCTCGCGCCCTGCGCGCTTCGTCGCTGCGGCTGCGTGCGTGCGCGTTGCCGGTGGGATTCATCAGCGACACAAAGGAGATGACTATGAAACGGAAGTGCTCACATGGTGGACAGGCTGCCTCTGTCAATACCCTCTATTTTGTCTAAGGTAGCCCGATTTTATATTACTACTAGTACCCGAGTCGTGGTCAGGTCAGCCTTCTAGTAGTCAATATTAGACTGCTCCCAAATGGTGTCGTAGATCGATATGTCTAAGCAGTAAAAACGAAAGAGAGCTAGACTGTCAATGGGTAATAAAGTCCCTAACGCAGTGAGCTATGGCGGTATTACCGTACGGACCAACCCCCTCTACTATCATACAGAGGCAGACGCAGGCGCGGCAGGTAGAGGCGAAGGGGATGGAGGGACGGAAGGTGGGCCACCAGCCGGACTCGAGGGAAGCAAGGGAGAAGGCTACGACGGCAACGAGGTAAGCCGTGACCCCCCTTGGCTCGTGGAAGACAAAGGGGACCTGAGTCTTCGTATCCAGTCCTCCCTCTTCGATGAGGATCTCACAGGCGTCACGAGTTCTAACGCGGCTTCTCTGCAAGACAACCCGTCCACAACAACAGCTACAGACGTTGAACAAAACGCCGAACGAGATGGTGCTTCTTCTACTTCCCAAACCAGGCTGGAGCAAGGTGGTGACGGGGTGATTAGTAGTCAAGAGAAATCTCTTCCACCTTCTGACAGCGATGTACTCGGTGTCACGGTGTCGGCGTCTTTGTCTTCAGGTTTCACACAAGAAATTACTTCGACCACCCAGGATTTAGCGGCCTCGGGCTTTCTCACTCCTCCAGATCAACGCACAGTCCCCACAGTCAAGTACAAAGGCGGCAGCGTAAGTAAGTTGCCGAGCCCAGAGCAATTATTACAAAGAGAGGAACCTGGGCAACTGTTTAAATCAGAGAGGTTGTTCCTTTTTTTCAAACGCTATGCAGAGCTGAAGCAACCGCGACAAGCCCAAGTGTACAGGTTGGAAAAAGGTTACTTTAAGAACGCGTCCGTGTCCGACTTGAAGTCTTGCATTCACGATTCTCAGAAATTTGCACAAGATAAACAGGGCACACAAGCAACCGCGGCTAGGCCAGCGCAAGAACCAGCCGGGAGCGCAGAGCCATCATTGTCATTCGGATTGTTAGACAAGTGCTTTCTTTCTGCGCGCGAAGTTGCGCTCATAGGCATTGGGTCGTACGGCAGCGTATGGGTTCCGAGCCCAGAGTGTAATGCCGCCAGAAAGAGCATTGTCGTGAAGCACCAGTATGGCAGAGACGATCACGATGCCATGGTCGAAGCGTGTTTTGCTATGTTCGTTTCCTCGAAGAAGGAATTGGCGCCGTTTGTTGCTCAAGCTCGTGAAGCTGTCAGTGTCAGGTTTATTGACAAGGCGTCATCAACATCACGAACGGCAACGGGAGTCACTTCGACGACCCAGGAATACAAGCCGCATAGCTTCCTTGTGATGGATAGGTACAGCCGCTCCTTGCAGGACCAAGTACTACGCGAACATGGACAATCACCTCTCAAGGCAGGAATCTCACTCAGCAATAATGAGGCGGAGCGACCAGTAGGAACTCTTTCTAGGGCTTCGCCACGAGTCCTGGAAGAAGCGTCGATAGAAGTGGCGAAGCGGTTTATCAAGCGAGGAAAGCACATGATCGACGGGGTCGTAGAGCTCGGCAAACTAGGAATAGCATCGCGAGACATCAAACTGACGAACTACCTTGTCGACGATGAAGCTGGCGAAAGTCCGGTTATTACGGACTGGGGATCTTCTACGGCATACGGGGAAGATGACTACGCGGAGCGGAAAGGCACTGCCGTGTATCAAGATCCGTTAGTCCGCCCAGTAGTGGATGAGCTTGCAGACGGTGCCACGGTAACATACCTGGAGATGGATGCGTGGGGCCTCGGGGATGCTCTTCTGGAACTGTGGACCTCTCTGGAAGCAGGGAATGAGATTCTTCACCCATCTATCGAAAGAGTCACTTGGGAGGGCCCCGAGCGGCCTCTAGTTATGAACCATACCACCCATCAACATAAAGATCAACTTACCAGAACCAGAATCAACAAAGTGAAGCCTCACAAACATCACGGTCAAGGAATAGCAAGACCATCACGACAGCAGTACTGAGACCAGCAGCAACAATAACAGCAGCAACACCATCAACATCATCGGCATCAAGATTAGATCAACAAGATCAAAGTCTAAGGGGCTCTAGCGTGTGAAGCAAGTGACTAGGCACGTAGATGCTAAGAGTTGAGTTTCGCGATCTAGTTAGCCTAGCCGGATGGAGGGCATTAAGCCGAAGGAATCTCGATGATATAACACCAACAAAAACCAACGCTCTTGCCTTCTGATATTTGCCCTGTGCAGGTGCAGATCATTAGCACTAGGCACAGGGCAGGGGGTTAGGTCACCTATGAGGTTAGGTTATGAATGGGTCCTACTACATGGGGCCGTGACGTCACCCAGAACCGTAGCCATCGGGGCTCTTCTAAGTCTGTTCATGTCCGTCCCACAAGGGAAAGGCAGCCCGCGACACCTTCTCCGGCGAAACAAATAAAGGCGCACAAAAGTAGAAATGTAAAACAAGAATGCAGTAAGCATCTCCACCCAGCGATTCGTGAGTACTACTCCAAACAGATAGAGGAGCTGCGAGGCACACGGACACGAAGAGGCACCGTCTTCTCTAAAACTGTGCTAGAGCTGCTTCTTCGCTATCCGCTCAACTGCGCCCCGGCGATGCGTAACATGCACGACTTTGCGGATCTCTGGCAAGACCTGCTGGTCAGTAAGATAGAGCCAAGTGGTCATATGTTGAAAAACCTCAGCCAAGAAGTAGTAGAAGAGATGGAGATCCCTCAAAACGCTCCTACAGCCGAAGTGAGAAAGATGCTACTGAAGGTAGCAGGTGCAGGTCTGGCAGACGATACATTACAAGCAGCGCCCAGCGCTAGCACGTTAATTAGTACTCCACAAGCAACGCCCATCGCCAGCACATCTAGTACTCTACAAGCAACGCCCAGCGCCAGCACAGCTATTACTCCACAAGCAACGTCCAGCGCTAGCACATCTAGTACTCCACAAGCAACGCCCATCGCCAGCACATCTAGTACTCTACAAGCAACGTCCAGCGCCAGCACAGCTATTACTCCACAAGCAGCGTCCAGCGCTAGCACATCTAGTACTCCACAAGCAACGTCCAGCGCCAGCGCATCTAGTACTCTACAAGCAACGTCCAGCGCCAGCCCATCTAGTACTCTACAAGCAAGGTCCAGCGCTAGCACATCTAGTACTCTACTAGCAACGTCCAGCGCCAGCACATCTAGTACTCTACAAGCAACGTCCAGCGCCAGCACACCTAGCACCCCACAAGCAACGTCCAGTGCCAGCCTATCGAGTACTCCACAAGCAACGTCCAGCGCCCTACAAGCAACGTCCAGCGCCAGCACACCTAGTACTCTACAAGCAACTTCCAGCGCCAGCACGCCTAGTACTCTACAAGCAACGTCCAGCGCCGGCCTATCGAGTACTCCACAAGCAACGTCCAGCGCCCTACAAGCAACGTCCAGCGCCAGCACACCTAGTACTCTACAAGCAACTTCCAGCGCCAGCACGCCTAGTACTCTACAAGCAACGTCCAGCGCCGGCCTATCGAGTACTCCACAAGCAACGTCCAGCGCCCTACAAGCAACGTCCAGCGCCAGCACACCTAGTACTCTACAAGCAACTTCCAGCGCCAGCACACCTAGTACTCTACAAGCAACGCCCAGCGCCAGCACACCTAGAAGCACTCCAGAGGGAACGCCGAGTGCAGCTAGTATTTCACAACAGGCAGCGCAGCCTTCTAGTCCAAAAGGGAAGCCAGACGGAGCCGCAGGACCTGGAGACGAAGGCCACGAGACTCATCAGGCTACACCGACAGGCGGAAGCGGCACCAGGCACCGCGGTGACGTGCCTCCGGAAGTCATGGAGGTACCCCCAGGGGCCACACAGTCTTCCGGGACAAGTAGCCAGCACCAAGTAGCTGCATCGTCAGAGCCGGCGTGGAGCTATGAGGCTCTGCAGGCTGCTGCGTTTGAGACTCCCGGCCACGAGCTGCTTGCTGGAGCTGGGAACGACGTGGGCCTCAACTTTGACGCGGCAGGAGCGATGACCACTGACATCACCGCAAAGGGGGGGGGCGGCACTATGTCGAGTATGGCCTCGGCTGTTCAGAGTGCACCCGGTGGTGACAACGCTAGGGACGCAATTGGCGGCGGAGTCGTTACGCCTCGAGATGCTTCTAGTTTTCTAATTGGTATAACCTCCTTCGAGCTTCTAACAGTGGTGACTCACTTCCTTGTGCTTTACATGATATGACTCAACCCCAAGATTTGGACTTCATCACCAACCAGCGAGTCTTTTTTTCTAAATCTTACGCGAGTGCCAGCGCCACAACTAGTGGTGGAGCAGAAGAGGGAGCATCTACAACAGCTGCCAGAGAGAAACTGGAAGTGGGCACGAAATCCACCGAGGGGAAAGCGAACAATCTGGCGGGCAGTGAGCGCGTGGGAAAGAAGGCGGTGAAGCAGAGCAAGCTCCTCCGACGGGAGGACAGATAAGTGGTATAGTTAACCGCTTTTCGAACTTACCAGAACCAACAAGAGCAGCCGCGAACTAGTATGGTTACACTACACAACTTTTTTACAGTACTTTTGTGTCTCAAAAATGGGAAAAATCTTCAGTAGGTGCAAGCTTGAGTGGGTAAATTATTGTCACGCAGCGTCTGCATTAGCCGTCATTATCGTTATGGTATCATCGCTGCGCTCACGTCTCATACTTCTCCCCCTCATCAGGTGACTGCAGTACAGAGTATTAGTATGTGTGTCCTGAGGAGAGGACCAAAAGATACGCCGTGAGAGGGTTTAGCTACAAATGGAAGGTGGGCCAACTATTTGTCACGAATTTCGATGTCGATGTAGCAGAGTGAAAGAAGATAGCCGAACATTCAGAATTATGCAGGTACTTACTAAGAACTGAACAGCGCCGTCCACTGGACTAGAAATAATATGCATGCGGGCAGGGCAGGGCGCGGAGGGTTGTGGTTCGCGTTGACTTGCAGTCTGGGTTCTGCTGTAGAGAGAGCAGCTCTTTGTCCTTTGCTGATTTATTCTCTTTACCATGCTAAAAATGCTATTGCCACTTTTCAGGTACTATGGATTAGGAGTTCGCATTTGCAACTTTTAGGAGGTTAGCGAACATTGATTGGATCAAAATGCTGAGAAAGATGCAGATTTTGGAAAGCGTTTTTTTTGATGCTCGAGGAAGCAGAGGCGCTGTGCGTTAGATGCGCTCACGAAACGATTAATTCGGATATCCAAAAAAAAATACGACTACCCCTGTGGGCCTGAGAGGAGGTTCTATAGCTTATAAGCTTTTTAGACACAAGCAAACTCAGTGATGTAGGCCCAATTCATCGGACTGAAGTATACTTCCGGCCTCACCCTACACTCTACGACTATGACAAAGAAGCTCAGTCTCCTTCTCCTTGTACTAAAACAAGTAGGAATCCACCACCAGCATTCGTCTTTTTTCTCAAAAATGACAACGCGCGAAACTTCAGGTACAAAAGTTATACGACGCATCATGTTTTTGATATTTCTACCGATTGTTTGGAGCTTTGGGAGATAGTGCTTCAATCGAATTTTGAGGATCGCGAGATACTTGGACTTGTTGCGAATACGTATGCGAATTATGTACTTATTTCTACTCTTCCTGATGGATTGAAATTCTTTTTACAAAGAAATGGTGGCTCTGCAGCCTTAGAAGTTGGTTTTGGGTGCTGACTCTATTACAACGAATTCATTTTTTCTCACAACGAATTCATTTTTTCTCCATCATTTTTTGGATTATGTTTCAACCTACCACGTCTGTCTCCACCCAGCTTACGCCGATGTATATGGTGACCATCAACCACTTCAGGCTTGATGAATGACGAAAAAGATCGAGTTATGTGATGGTTCAACTTTCGAGCAACAGGAATATGCGCTATCAACATTTGCAACGTGGCCGGATGGGGATTAGTCTTTTTTTAGAAGTGCGTGGTAAGTCTTTTGAGTACTTATCGCTGGCACAGTGAATGCATTCTCAGTAATTTGCGTACGTGACACCACTATTGATGATGAACTACCTAGACCGGAATCCGGTCTAGAATTTACTGAATCAATTACGTTTATGAGGAGTCGGCGCGACTTCTATCTATGTACTGATGTACAGATGTTTCATCACCAGATTTTTAGGAATGAAGGCTGTAAGAATGACAAGCCAATATCGTACTTGGAGGCTCAGTTGTCTCTGCGGTAACTGTCACAAAATGCAGCAGCAGAGACGCGCGCGCCGAGAATATTCGAAAATTAAACTGTCGGTAGGACTAGGAATCCTCCTTATTATAGATAGAGCACAACTGAATATACTTACGGGATCGAGTAATCGACCATACTACACGTATTTATTTACTTCCAAATGGTAAACATCGAATCTAATCCGTCTACTCCTTCCTCAGGCTTATTATTCAACAAGCATTTTTACAGATGTTGAAGAGCTATTGTACAGAATGAATCTCCACTACTGCTTTCGAAGACATCAAACAAGCCGTGTTATATTGACAAGCCACGACTTCAAACTGATGAGCTGACACAGCCTGAATCTCTTGTCTGAAGAAACAAAATTCAAAATTAAATATGGCGAGGAGAATATGAATGTCCAAGAAGAATATGAAGCCCTGGGATTGTCCATGAGAAACAATATCGAGAGATGAAGCGAGCCAAGGTTTTTTAAAGTTTATGGAGTCAAAGAGAGTGCGAAAAGTGGAAGATGAATTAGAGGCGACACTAACTCCTACTATCAGACTGACCCCGATATCATTTGAAAAATGGCACCGCAATCGTTTTGGTTGTTGCTACTAGCTGGAATCTTCTTGCGAAGCGCCTCCGATAGACGTCGCATTGATGGAGATGTCACGCTTATTTCTACGAGGTTGCAAAGCACAGTAGTTGCACCAGGGACGAGTGCTCTCGGACCTGGAGGAGGTCTGTTCCAACAAAATACCTCTTCTACCCGCACTAGACCAGGGCTATCAAAAATAAGTGTGAATGACAACAAGGCCAACAACTACTTCTCGAGCGTAACTAAGCAGAACACCAATCCCTTCACTGCGAAACCTCCTGTTCCTGTCGATGTGCGAACGGGAGCAGCGAAAGCGGCTGCTTTGATCAACAAACTGAAGCAGAAATATGCTACGGTTGTACGACGTGGCAGCTGCAGTGCGCGCGCGCCCGTGTGTCAGGATCTGGACGTCGCAGTGGTGCAAGACGGCAGAATTCGCCGTCTATATACAGATCCTGCGACATGTGGAATCATAGTTGGAGAGGTACGTTGTAAAGACACGAGCAGTGGAGGTGCTGCTGTGCTGGTGCAGAAGCCAAAGCCTGCACCTGGTGTAGCTGGATCAGGAATAGCATCTTCAACAACTCATCTCGGGACTTCTATGTCAAGTAGAAATACACCAAATTCACTTGGTGATAGTGGGACGAAGAGCGGAGAAAACGACAACTTCCGTAGTCTCGCTCCAGAGCAGGATAAAGTCGTATACTATGGACCATTGACCATGGTAGACCCCACAAATTCTAGGGAACTGCAGCCTCAGGCTCAGCGTCACCTGGCACCACTGAATTGCCAATGTCATGCGGGCCGTAAATTCTTCTCTCTACCTAACGGTGTAGGGCCTGCTGAGAATCCGTTCACCTACAACTACGTACAGCCTTCGCCCTCCGGAGGACCATCTTCCTCCTCTTTGCCTTCTTCCAGCAGTACAATGACCTGCGCAACGTGTCAGTCTTGTGAGTGTGAATTTCATGTCGCTGGATCTTCCGCAATTTTCAACTACTTCAACGTGAAGAAGTCGAGGATATACAGGTATTTCGCTACGCGCGAGCAGACAACAAGTCGTGCTGGAGCCACTGTTAAGGCAACGCAGGGTGCATCCTCAACATCATCCTTGGCTTCCATTTCAACTAGGAAAAGGGGCAAAGGATGCTATCAGGGATGCAACGGCGATAGCCCTAACACTGGTGGCGGAGCTGCGGTGCGTGAGCTAGAAGATGCAACATCAACATCAACTAGAAGAAGAACATCAACTGGTGGTGAAGCTGTGCGTGAGCTAGATGCGGGAGTAGAAGAAGTTGCAAGTAGTCCAGTAATGCATGAAGAGGAAGAAGTAGATGAGGCAGCTCCTGTACCTGCAACAATAACTACACCAAGAAGAAGAACATCCGATGCAACCAACATCGAAACTGTTTGCAAGTCCCGAAACCTCAACGAGAACAGCCAGAATAAGAAGTACTACGGCCGTTTCAAAGTCCTAGCGATAGGCATGGGAGTAGGCTGGATTCAGCAAACGTTGGCGAGAGAATGCCCAGACTTCGATATCCTAACCATCGAAATCAGCGAACCGCTTTCGCAAGTGTCTAAGCATTTGTTTGGCTATGAGAAAACAAAAATGCTGGGGGATGAAACGTCTGCAAGAATAATGAGTTCCAGTTTCTCAACATTGACCTCTTCTGCGTCTTCTTCTGTTTCTTCGTCTTCTTCAGGAGCCTCTTCTGGAGGTGCTGCCTCGTCATCTTCCACGACTGACTCAACCACATCAGCCACTGCACTCCCAGTAGTCGGAAGGAATCGCTTAGTGATTTCAGACGCGCTAGCATGGGTAGAGGAAGCAGCAGCGAAAAAAAGCGCCATGAGTCGTATCGTTATGCCTGAATGTATTATCTACTCATTCTTACTCCAACTAGTACTACCAGTTGTAGAAGTGCCAGATGATCGTTGCTTTTTTTTTCATACTGACTATGGAATAGTTACTAGAGTTAGGCGTTAGCGCGATCATCTAGATATTACTTCCAAATGTTCAACATCAAATCTAACCCGTCTACTCCTTCCTCAGGCTCAATTATATTTTTTTCATACTGACTCCGACTATATCAACATTTTTGTACAACTCTGGTGCCGTCCTCTGCTTGATGAAACACTTCTTCTAACAGAGGACACGACGCTCCCACATCCTCCACTCCACACCCTTCTGCCTCAAATTTGAGTTTTGACCTCATGATCGTCGATTGCTTCCTCCCGAATGGCAACGTCCCTCGTCCAAGTTGCCAAGGAGACCGGTTTGCACGTGCAGCGAGTCAACTACTCAAAGATGAGAAGGCCTTGTTACTGCAGAACACGCTGAGCCACACATCAACGAACTCAGTAGCGAGTAGTTTGGAGGAATCGCAGCTATTCGACAATGTCGCGAGACAAAATGTACCTGGCACACCAAACATAATTGTCACTGCGAATAAAAAGGTCAACCTTGCATGAAATTAAAATAGGACGATCGCAAAATAAATATCGTTTTGATCATCGTCGAGGTGGAAGGTTCTCGTTTTACTGCCGCAACTGTTTTAAAATTGGAATGCATTGCTGGTTCCACGAAAGAGACGCGATCTTTAAAAATCACGCAATCCCAAGTGAAAAAGAATCAAGAAGAATGAAAATGAGTTAATCTCAGAAGGCCAGCGTTCTTGTTCTTAGTAGGGATCTCCAGCCACTTGTTCAAGAAGAAGGAATTGTAATGAATGCGACGACTTTCTTTATAACAAACTATCGCTAGTAATAGTATGATCGCATCTTCATCTTCTCCAATCTTCTTCAACGCCAATTCCAACGTCAAATCATCAGACTAATACAAGGAATGCAGCGATCAACAACACTTGGTCGTATATTACGTTGAAGTTGAAAGAGCAGCGACTCTACTGGAATCTGAATGCACAACATGCGTCTGCTCAACAATGTCATGATTCCACAGAATGAAAATCCCAACTGCAAGTGCCGAGGAAATATGAGATCGAGAGAGTTGAACATGTGCGACCATGAAGACACTGCCTGTCTACTGCGGTGTGACTGCTTACTGCTACCGCTCTTTCTTTTTTCACAGCATGCACGCTTCATTATAACTTCAGGATTGCACTAAGATCGTATTTATTTGATTTCTCATGGTGAATAAAAAAGGCATGACGAAGATGATCAACATCAACTTGCTAAAACGAACTTCTAGTGTGTCGTGACTAAGGATGCTTTTCATGCTCTCATGAGACTTAAAAGTCCCTCCCCGTTGAATATGACCTCCTCGATTCAGTATTGAAAAAGAACCATGGGTAGCGGCGGGAAAAAATCGGCCTCCATGGCCGAGGGGAAGAACAAGCCAACAAAAAAAGCAGATGCGACATCAGCGAAAAAGAGCAAGGCGGAATCGAAGAGTGCGACCTGCTCTAGCAAATTGGCAAAGAGTAAAGCCAGCACTGCATCTTCTTCTTCAACAAAAGGCATTCCTGAGGAGAACAAGAGCAAAAGCTCGTCTGCAACATCGAAGCAGGCTACAGGAAGTAAAAAGTCTAGTAGTTCTTCAACGTCCCCTGCAGAAACTTCATCTGAAGCAAATCATGGAGCGAAGACTACAAAGAAATCTCCAGAAGATGCGAAGCCGCGACCTCCTTGCAAAGAAAAAAGCTCAGGTACTGGTGGCAAAAAGCCCGCCACTTCTTCTACCTCATCCTCCAGAAAAACCAGTCCTGCTTCAACATCTTCTGAAGAGAAGGCTAAGAAAAGTGCTTCAGCAACATCCAAAGTTGAAAATAAAAAAGTGAGTACTAAAAAGGCTGGATCACGAAAAAATTCACCAGGAGCATCTTCGCATGGTGGGAAAGATGCAGCAGCTTTTTCAGGTACACTTTTCTTCTAATTATGTAATAAATTGCGATCCTCGTCCGCTTGCTTTCTCCTGACACGATGATGATCATTTATAAGGCAAAAGAAATGTTGTAAGGGGCGGCATCTCCACGACGATCTCTCTGATATTCTTGAAAAATTCTTCTTTAGGTACGAAGAAAGCCAAAACCACTGGTATGAAAAAGACCATCATGGGCACGTCATCAGCGTCCGCCAGTAAACAAGATGACCCTGTGGTCGCTGATGCCTCTCCTGGTACTTCTATAGACGACCTCCCTCCGACACGCAATCCTAGCGAGGAGACCATTTCAAGCACGACTAGCAAGGAGACGACTTTAGCGTCTGCAGTTAAAGGAGCTACTACTAAACCAACAACTACTTCTGCTGGGTCGACGTCCAAACCAAGAACGACTAATATTTCTCGTGAGGACAGCACCAATAAAACCGACAAGATGCTGGAGATGGTCACTGAATACCTAGAGAAAGAACAGGCAAAGATGTTGGATGAGGATCTTTCTTCAACAGCACTCTTTCCAGGAGTAGCGTCGTCTTCAACAACTTCTACTGCTACTACTACTCCAGCGGGGTGTCTTACCCAACAAGGAGAAGCAGTAGAAGCTGTTCCGCAGACTTCAACATCCTCTGGTGCAGCGGTAAAAGAATCAAAGGCTGCTCTTAGTACTTACAATGAAGATGTAGTACATGATGTAGGTCGTGGAGGTGCAACAACTAGTACAAATATTAACGAGAAGAGCAACAAGAAAGGCATGAAGGCACGAGGACGACCACCAAAAATTGATAAAACCAGGAGTACTTCTACGGAAGGAGGAGGACAACCAGCACCACGACCAGCGAATAAGACTAAGTCTGCAGCGAAGAAACAGGTACAACCAGGTGCAACTGCAGCAGGAAAGCCTACCACAGCCTCAACACGACGACCAAGCAAGGAGCTTCTTAGTAGTGTGCCTTCCGTTCCTTTTGTGCCGGAAGTAAAAACACCTAGTATGCTTAGAGAGGAAATGCTGCTGTGTGGTGAAGAAGTAGATGCAGTAGCTGCTTCGAAGAGCAACGACGCCGATGACGATGCAAGAACAGAGAGAGACGAAGACTCTGATGTTGATTGTTTGGACCAGTCGTCAAAATCAATGTCAAAGACGCAGCAGCACAAAATGAAAGTGAAAGAGAGCAGGCGAGCGAACAAGAAGAATGGCGCACCTGCAGCGGAACCAGTTGCAGCCCCCAGTGTTGACTCTCGTCTTCCCGATTCTTCGGTCACTACAGGCACTAGTGGAACCGGAGTAGTCCTCGTGGAGAAGGAAGGAGGTTTGGCAATCGAACTTCCTGATCACGTTGGGCAGCAAGGAGCATCCGTTTCGTCATCAGCATCATCATCGTCATCATCCTCTTCCACGTCGACTACAACCACAGTTCTTCCAGCTAATTCTTCTAGTACAACTAGTACTAGCAGAGGGGCGACAGGAGGACCAAAAAAAACCACCACGAGCACGACCTCTTCCAAGGCGAACAATGCTGGAAAGAATCAGAATAATATTCTGAACAGCAGCACCAGCTCAGACGAGAAGAAGCGCACACAAGTCGATGATGACAGTGATGAAAGCGATGAGTCAGCGTCCGAAGAGGACGATGATAGTCAAAGTGAATGGTCAGGCGGCGATGACGATGCTGATGAGGAATTATCAGCCGAAGTGCGTGCTGCTAAAACAAATGCCAAGATGAATCTTCGTAGTCGGACTTGCAGTTCTTCCTCTGCGAATAGTACAACTGCTATGAAAGCCACTTCTATGTTGAACAATGGCACCAAAAATGCTAGAGAAGATAGAGCTCGATCAGGAAGTTCCGTATTTACTGCTGGACGAAACCGAAACATGAGTCGTAGCAAAAGCTGCAGTAGTGAAGACAATGATAATGTTGAAGCTGGTGGTCCTCTTTCATCCGAATCCGCATGCGACCAAAATGACAAGAGGAACACGAGGATGAGGAGTAAACTCGAACTTCTTACTGAACAAGTGCTGAGGGAACAGGAGGATTTAGAACTCCAACTCTCCTCAGATATCGACGACTATGAATCTGACGATTTGACCCCTCGGACGAGTAGAAGGCTACAGCGGAAGAAGCGCCGACGGGTTCACTTATATGAGCAAGCCATATCGACATTGGAAGAGCAAGAAGAGCAGGACGAACATGAACAAAATGAAGATAATGTTCTTGAAAAAGAAGGACGAGTACTACTATCGAGGACACAAGAGGAGCAGCGATTTCTAGTCGTAGGAAAATCTACAGATACAAGAACGACAGAACAAGGAGGGCGAAGCGATGATGAAGGAGGAGATGCAAAGGGTCGTGCTGAAGACCCTGAGGAGAAAAATCATGAAACTTCCACCTCATCCAAAAAGCCAGTAGAAGCACCACGACCAAAACAAACTGCGATAGTAGTATCTCCGGAGAAACCTCATCAAGAAAACTACTCGAGCCTTTTCTCAGATGACGAAGAAGACGATGATTTTGAGTCTTACAAGAGACAAAAAGTCGACTTAGACTCCCACTCCGAACATGATTCCAGGATCAACAACAACTACGATAGGACGACCAACAGTACAAGTGCTCGGACGAATATAGAGATACCTACAACTAGGAGAGCGGTGTTGGTACAAGAACCGCCACCGGTAGTTCCATCTTTCGTAGGCGGTGCTGGCGTCCCAAGAAGTGGCGGCGCAGAGGCACCAGGGGCTTTCACCAGGCGAAGAAATATTGGGCAGCAGAATCCTGAACAACATCATTTCTCACCTTGGGCACGCTCAGAGGAACGCAGAGTAAGGAGACTGCTTTCAGCAGGAAAGCAGCACAGACTGGGATCGTCGTCTTGTAGCGTCAGCGAGTGTGAAGAAGGCAGCACATCCACGTTCGTCCAGCAACAGGAACCTATGTCCAAGAAAACTAGACACCTCTGGCGTCCATTAGACAAGTCATTGTGGGACGATAATTATTATAGGGCATCATCTGCTTCTGCTGGGGACTCTTCATCCTCTGCTACCAGCAGAGTTGCCTTCTCTCGTGACGACCATCCCCACTTGCCGCCTTTCTGCGTTTTAGAAGATGGATCGATTGTACTGTCTAGAAGAAACACAAGTACAACTCGGTCTGACGCAGCTATTACGGGCGCCAGTAGTGCTGCTTCCTCGTCATCTTTTTCATCTGCAGCACAACAAGTTAACGTCTGTGGTCCTTCAGCATCCTGTAGCAGTAGCCAAAAAGAAGGCATCAACGGAGGACCTCCAACATCAAAGAGCAATGGAGCAGTGATAACGGAGACAGCCTTATCACCAGTAGCACCTTCTTCATCTACTGAAGCAGGAAGGAGTTTTTCATCCTCTTCTTCAATAGCGGACGCAGGCGGCACGAGAAGCGGCGCCTCCGTTTTCGCAGTCTGTCTAGAGTACTCCAATACCCCTGACGGATCGGACCACGAGGATTTGCTAGGCATTTACACTAGTCCCCAGCTAGCGAATTTTGCACTTGTGAAATTCCTAGACTCGTGGGCCTACGAGCCAGCCTTCCAGAGGAAAAAGGATAGCATACTATACTCGGACTCATATAATTCGCCACCAGGATCCTCTACTCCTGCAAGAACCACTCCATCAGGGTGCTATGAAATCGTCCTGAACGAAGATGGCAAACTTTTTGAGGGCGAGAGGATGCGGTTTTTTGTCGACAAGATAAGGCTGGATGCAGAAGTTAGATACTAACTTTGCTTCTTATATTTCGGAAGAGGAACGCTCTTAAAGCATTTTAATGGCCTTTCTAAACTTGAAGATGGCTGCACAGCCTGTAAAAATTTGTACTTGAAGCGGCCACATGACCTCCTTGATGGTCGAAGTGGCATCCTGAAATTGCTGTCAACTGTGTTCACTTCCGAATTCAGGTTCCAGTTACCTCGCACACGTGGAGGTTCAAAAATCGGTGAAACAAGCATTCATCCACTCTGTAGGACGAGGCGCAAATCCAGAAGTCGGTGTTGCTCTTGTTCTCGGTAGACTGATTCTGCAGTTACGAAAGCACATGATCTAGAGTAAACAGCGCTCGTCCCGCCCCCCTCGCTTTCTCCTCTACATGACGCGCCCTATCTCTGTCAATTCACTATGTGTACATAGACTAGACCACTGATGCTTTCATCTTCCTAAGAACAAGCTAATCATGTATGAAGGTGAAATCTACATCAGTGGTGCATATTGATGACAACACAACCAAGCAGGATCAGGAGTCGCACCACCATAGGAATAAGTAGATGATGTATTTATGATGAAATGATGATCTGAAGATAATCTATTGCTCCTCGTCGTTACTAGATGATGTAAGTATGATGAAATGATGATGATGATCTGAAGATAATCTATTGCTCGTAGTATTTGTTCACACTTCCAAATAAAAAATGGGTCGCTTCCGGCAAGTTGGGTCCCGTACCACAGCGGGTGGGATGCGCATCAAATCCACCCGAGTGCGGCAGTACGCAACCAACACTGTGTTGCTCTACAGTCCGTCTCCTCCTCACTCGCCGCGCTTAGGCGCTAGCCTGGTGGAAGACGACCTAGAGCAGAGAGCCGCGTTCCAGAGGGGGTCGCCTGGTGGGAAGCAAAGAGGCATCAGTCCGATCAAAGATGCTAATTCTCTAGGTGTCTCTTTTCACAGTCCAAACGTACAGGAGGTGACGGGACGAGCCGCAGAGCAGATTCAATTGGCTAAAGAACTAGAAAAGGCGGCAGCAGAAGAGGCAGAGCATGGAGGATTTCCTAGCAGTCCAATTCCTCGTAGTGGTGTGATGATTTTGTCACCGTTTGTATCGCCAAAAATCACTGGGAAGATGTCCTCAAGTCCTAGTTACATCAGAAGTGGAGGAAATAACAAGAAACATCAAACTTCTTCTAGTACGAGTGTTTCTCCGAATAAGAGCCTGATAAGCAAGATGATGTCGACGCCGAGTAGTCCAACCAAAAACACGACTTCTCTGCGATCGTCGAGTCCACCACCAGCCCCAGGCGCTAAAGAATTGCATCAAATCCGTCCGTCCTCTATGATACCAGCTGATCCCATATCCAACAACTTTGCGGACGCCGTATTGTTCGACGCTGCAAAACAACCCAAGCCGTCGGACTTGCCTTTAACCCGTCTCGAACGAACTGATGTTCAAGCAGCAGCCTTAGCCGAAGCAGCTAAGCCAATTGAAGAAGCAGAAGCCGAAAGACGGGTTAACTACGCCCATCTGGAATCCAAGACCTTGTCACCAGAGGGTAAGAAAGTACGCAAGATGCTACATGAACATCAGAGGACAGGCCAAGAACGAGTGGCACTGGCGAACCTGATGCTGGATTTGGAAGTACCATCACCACCCGGTGGCTATAAGCTGACGACTCTGACGTGTGATATTATGGCAGTTTGAACAAGAATTTCTTTTACAACTTCAGTTTTACAAGTAAGTAGATCAAAATTATTTTGAAAAAACCTGGTACTACTTCCACTCTGTTTATTAAAATTAGATGTGGACTAATCAACATAGATGTGGCTTAAAAAGTACTACCTAAGGAGAACAACGTAGAAGTACTGCGTTGTAGTCGAAGTCTAAGTAATTCAAAACTTTTGACAATGAGAATCAAGAAAACGAAATCCCCCTACTAAGAAACTCTAATCCCCGCAACGCCAGCACCAGAGCAGGAACCTTTCTCAATTCTTTAGGCTCTACCTCGCCATTGAGTACGACAGCATACTTCTCCACCACTGGTGGTGATATGTCTTCGACTGCAGGGGGAGGACGTTTCAATATCACTCAATCGACTCGGTTTGGTGGGGAACAGCACTCAACTTCTGGCCGCTTCAGTACCTGTACAGGGACATCGTTCTTCAGTAATCAAGAAGCTGCGGCGGGAGGGGGGAAAGTTATGGATTTAATTCATTCTTTCTTCCCTAACTTTCTTCACTGGCACTTATCTCACGCTTGTACAACTACAACTTCACAAAATATATCAACTTCTATCGTAGTTATCATTCCTCTAGTATTTTTCTAATCCGTTCGGGAAAGAAATAAGTTCTCCTAGACAAGTCCGCTCCCCTGCCAGAGGCGCAAAAAGCACAGACACCCAGAAGTCTCCAGCAGTTTCAGGAGTCAAGGAAGGCACCTCTGCTATAGACCAAGCGAACGCAGCCGCTGGAGATCTTTTGGCAGCAACTACTCGAACCACGACTCCTGCAGGTCACACGAGTCACGCTGGTACGTCGACTAGAGCGGGATCGAAAGAACCTCCTATGACCAGAGCTTCTTCTAAAGAGAGAGACCAACATCAACATGATGCACACGGACGTCGTCTCAATTCTGCTTCTGGTAGGATGAATGGAGCTCCACAAGAACAAGCACATCAACACTCTTCATCAACACTGCATGAGCAACATCTTCATTCGTCTAACAACTTTCCCTCGACCACCCATGCTGAGGATCCTTCATTGGCGTCAATTACGTTCTCACCTGGAGGTGGCCCTCAAGGTGCTTTATTTCAAGAATTCAACTCGCAACTCACTGCGAAACTGTCATTGTCACCGTCAGCTAGAGTCTCGCTCTCCGAACAGTGGTCCATGCTGAGTACGTTGCGGTCGTCTTTGTTATGGACGAGGTGATGCCTTAGGTTTTACTTGGGTGTGGTTTAGGGTTAGGGTTTCTAAGATGGCTTAGGGTTTCACTTGTAGACAAGAACTGAAAATACATCTACTTTGCTTCTCGAACAAAGATCTACTGCTCCACTTAAACATCATTCAATCGAACATATTTATTAGCCTCCCGCATTCTCACCTAGTACTAGTAGTACTAGCAAACAAATATAAATATTTATCCTAGATTGCAAAGAACTAACACTCAAAGAACTAAGTACACTCCACGCTCACCTCTCGTTTCCCGTCTCCCCCCTGCTTTCATCTCCCGCATCCAACGGGACTGCTATCCGCTTTGACAAGTCCGATAGGCACACCTTTGGAGAAAAAGGTTTCGCTGCAATGTTGGATCACTATAGGATTGGCGGAATGCTGTATCCTGGTCAGGGATTTGAAGCTGGTGTCATTCCGGACTCGACCAACGTAGAACACGTGCAGTGGGTGCCGGATGTCGAAGCGAAGTCAGGGTCCTTGGCAAAGCCAGAGCCGATAAAACCACCACTGTGGGCGAAAAAGACACCGGTAATATTAAGTTGGATTTTTAGATCTTTGAGATGTGACTAATATGTTCTACAAGAACTTTGACATTGTGACTTTTTACCGATTTATTAATCTCAAAACGATCATTCTCAAAACGATCGGACCGCAAAGAGAGATTAGAAGTGTCATTGTAGTGGCGCAAGGAACAGAGCGAGACTCGTGTCACTGTGTAGTTTTGGAGCTGCCCACGAGACGCTCGTGCTCGTGTGACTTGGATCTGTATAAGTCTGCTTGTCATCCTTTCGATTCTGTGACGAGTGATCAATCTAATGTAAAATCTATTGAGTGTCGCAAATACCACAACCTGTCGCAAATACCACTACCCTGTTCTGCTTGAGTGTTTCTGTTTTCAACGAGGAGGCGCCCCTCAGTCGTGCATTATTCTGTGTTACTTCGAGGAGATACGATGAATGAATGAAGAAATTCAAGATTTGATTATGTCGACTACTCTTCTTCATGATGGATTCCTTACTTGTTCGCTTCTCGCTCTGCAGGACTCCTACTTCGTAATTTTGGACTTTTTGGTTTTGTTTTGGCCCACATCAAGTATGTAAATTTATTTTTCATTGTATTTGGAATGCAAAGCCCAACCCCCGAAACGTGGAAAGACCCGACATTTCAACTTTAGCTTGATAGCTGAAGGAGAGGTTGGTGTTGTAACTTCTTCTACTTCACTGAGTCATGCATTGGGCACTTATCTATCAACATGTCGCTATTGTATGAACATCTCCTCAAAGAGCCCCAGGTGGGGCCACCTGATGCTCCGCCTGTTGCTACATTTAACATGAACAATCTCAAGAGCGGGGAAGCACGCGTCACGCATCCTTGGGGTTTGGAGGGATGGCGTGCCGAGATTTTCAAGAGATCATCTCCTATAAGACGTTCTAGAAGCGCTAAATGTGTTGAAAGTAGTAAACAGGATTTGGAAGTAGATCTTCATTTGTATAATCCGAATATTATGCTGGATAATAAGAATTATCCAGGTACTAGTGGTAATTTCGTTCCACTTCCACACCCAGAAGTACCTATTGGAGGTGTCAAGAAGAGGAGTACTATGGGTGGAGGTGATAGTCAACAAAGTTTTGCTGGTTTTCGTGGAAGTTTTATTGGTGGCAATTCCTACTCTTCTAGCTTTACGTCTACTAACAGTTCTATGAAAATCACTGGTGGCTTTGGTGGTTCTGACAGGTCACCGCGTGGTGGACGTGGTCGATCCTTGTCATCTAATTCTAGTAATTTAGGAGGTCGTGCTGGGATTGGGAATACAACTAATTCGCTAATGTCCAAGAATGATTTCTCTGCATTTGGTGGTGGTAACTTAGCAGGTGGATCACTTGGTAGTGGTCCAGCACAGCATGTTTTTGGTGGACTTGGTAGTCCATATAATTTGAAAATGAAAGCAAATAATGACTCAACCCCAAGCAAAAGGCGTTCGTCAACCCATGACAATTTTTTCCCTAGCAAACACCAGAGCAGTTGCAGTAAACAGAAGTCGTCCCCAAGAACATTGCACCATTTGCATGCTGATGCTGCAGCACCTTCTCCAGAAGGTGGACCGGCGTGGGCACGTTCACCCCCAAAGACGGCAGAGCAATCGACTCTTGCCAACACTCATTGCGGTTCCTTCTTTGATTCCCGCGTTCAGGTTCTCGCCGATTTCCGACGGGCTGATAAGGCAGTAGGGATATCCCCAGACCTCTATGCGAAACAACGACCGGATCTGAAAGGCGAAGTGGATCGCTTGATGGCCGATTTGTCCTGTCGACGTACCGTTTATAGTGGAGTTCTGTATCGACCTAAGATTAAGGCTTAATATATTTCATGATTTCCTTCCACGACTGGTCATTTCTCGCAGTTTTCCTCTTGAAATTCTGAAGAAATGAAGGGAAGAAATGAAATGTTTTGAGCTCTAATAAGACGATCACGCAGGAAGCGGCAGAGGCAAGCGTAGGGTATGAAGGACCGGGTACGTACTACAAGCCGAAGCCATTTGGAAACCCGAGTGTTGGAGTAGGAAGGGTGAAGAAAGCAGAGGACGAAGACGTAGATCATGCTCATCAGTCTCATTCATCATCTGCTAGATCAGCAGACCATCACCAGGCAAGGATAAGACCACGAGCGGGAAGCAGTACGTCGACGACGACAGCGTCATCGATGACATCAGCAAGGAGTGCTAGCACATCTTCGTCGGGAACTTATGAATCCTTGATTTTCAAAATGTGATTGAAGAATCTCCCTTAAATATTTTTAGATCGACGTTGTACTATGAAAAGACAAACTGCCTTTGGATACAATTCCCAAACCCAAAAAAGCGAGAATTTTCGAGCTTTTTTGGCTTTTTGGTGTCTTAGTGGAAATCGTGCGAAAGGGCAAAAAAGATGGCAAGCCCAGCTTTTTCGCCGGTTTTTTCTGTTTTTTCGTCGGATTGTGTCCCAAAAAACAAAAAAAGCCCGCGAAATGCCAGAAAATTGCCAAAAATGCACGACTTTTCTGGCTTTTTTGGGTTTTGGCACGGTTTTGATTCAAACGCCAAGGGACGAAAAACGCCCGAAAAGCCAAAGAAAAAAGCCAGAAGAAAAGCGAAAAAAGCCAGAAAGTTCTGGCTTTTTTGGGTTTGGGAATTGTATCCAAAAGCAGTTTGTCTTTTCATACGTTGTACTGATCGAATAGTCAACATTGTATAAGTAGAGAAATGAAGATTGATGTCAGTAATGAAATATAATAAATAGAATACTGAAGAAAACTCCTTCTACGTACTTTGTAAGTATGCTCCCCTACAACTTTTGCTTTTCCCCTTTTCCCCAAGAACTTCGTCACCCTCGTCCTCTAATCCTTCTCTTCCGCCACGATGCTTCAGCAACGGAATAAGGCTCGAACCTTGCCCAAGAGTTCTTGGCTTACTTCTTCCGTCGGATGGGAAGGCAAGATCAATGCTGCCTACACAGTAGGCGGCCGCTTGCAGGAAATTCGGCGAAAAGAAGAACAGCACGAACGTGAACAACTGATGCATGTGAAGTTGGCCATGGAAGAAGAAGAGCGCTTGAACAATAACGCCAGTCGGGGAGGTGGGACTGGGAGGAGAACACCATCATCGAAAACTAGGAGACGGAGGAATCTATCACCTAGCTCGCCAAGAACCGCGTCTGGTGGTTCGAGAGCAGGGCATAGTCATGGAAGCTCCAGGACCAGAGGAGGACGAGGGGGTCATGCAAAGACGAAGAAAGCTTCTTCTAAAAATGCTAGTGGTCATCAGGGTCATGGGCATCCTGAGGATCCAGACGACGATGAAGATGACCTGGGTGGAAGCATCCTGGACGGCACTGGCCTGCTTGCTGCAGAAAACTACAAACTGGGATCCGTCTTTCAGAATCTACCCTTCTGAGATACTATCTGCTCCTCAATATATTATTGTCATTGAAATTAGTGAATTTTTAGTGAAGTCATAACATGAACCATCTACTTTCCCGCGCAACTGTAAGTCTAAGATTCCAGCACTGATAATGTCTTGTTTGATGCCCACAATGGACTCCGCACACGCTCAAACAGATGAAAAAACGCAACGTACATAGAAGCATGTCTTTTCTCAAACGAAATACTAGGAATAGCATAATTATAGATAATGACCAGCAGCAGCAGGAGCTGTAGCCAATGGGCTACTGTCATCATGGAGTGGTTCGTGGTTTATACGCCATTTACATACTTACGCATGTAATTTTCAACATCAAGCTGTAAGAGCTAGTGAGCAGGTCTTTCAAGAATGTACTTAATCCTATATATACGCAGACCACCTTCTACACTAGTCTAGATGTCTAATTTCGTTTGGCTGATACATCCCATTAATTGTTCTGGACAAGGATGCATGAGCATCGATGAGATAGAGACATACTACAGGAATTATCTCACAGGAGCAACAAGATCGTGTTCGTTGGTATCTGAGACGATCAACAAGAGCGTGTTCGTTGGTATCTTAGAGGATCAGCAAGAGCGTGTTGTTGAGAAAACCTGCACCTGCTCTCTCGAACTCTACGCAGCGATCTTCCAGTGTAAAAGAGGGCTGATACAAGGAAATTACCGCCAGCAGATGCGGAGCGGGAGCAGCCAGGGGCAGGAGCCCGGTCTGTCGCGGAGAAATTTCGGATTGGCGGACTTCATATTGAAACAACAGATTTGAGAATTCATCTGCTGCACATCTACAAAAATCCTCATGTTGAAGGAGCAAGGTGGAGAGTGCCAATCTGTTATGAGAGCCGGTGAGTAAAAGGACTCGGTAGGGCAAGCCTAGTTGTACGAGTTAGCGGGGGTTCCTTCTGTTCCTACGAGAGACATCAACCTAATCTGTAGTTTATCTGAGGTAAGCGAGCGCATTTTTCGATGTGTTTTCGAGAAACAATTGCAGAAATCTCAAGTCTAAGATTGAGATTCTATTGTGCATCATGAAACAGGAGGAGTGCTTTATGCTGTAGTATCCCCCCATGCCTAGTAGAGCTTCTTCCATTCGTTGTTCTTTCTCTGAGCTTGGGTCCCGTTATTTTCTTGATTCTTCTGTTCTTGTTCAACAGTTTATTAAAGATCTTCTTCTTCACTCATACGACATACCTCCACCAACAGCAACAGAGTAAGCAAAAATAAAATGTCATCGACGCAACAAGTTGCAGCTGCTGAGCTGCGGGAGACCGTACGCGTTTGCCGTGATGCCATGACCAACTTGGAAGGTGAGCTAGATGGCCTTGCCACCGAAAAGGACATCTTACTCAAAGAACTCGTCAGGATACGGGAACGCTGCGCCAGCATCGATCACCAGTTTCTGTTGAAGCATAAGGAGTACGAATCGGCCTCTACGTTGTTGAAACTGTGTGAGGAAGAATACTCAAAAGTGTGTGCGAGAAGAGAGCCGACAAGAGCACTGTTGGCAAACTCGATGCAACCACCGATAATGAGTGCTGTGCAACAAGGTCAAGGAGGTGCTGCTTCTCCTCAGGGGAATAGGTGATCAGGATGGCAGCCACTTAATACATGAGGGGAGTACTATAATTTTGACGCATATTATGTGAACAACGCTAGTATAACTGTGACAGTAGACTAATCATGATCGAGTTCGAGCAGACGGCGACGGGATTTGCGCGTAAACTGTCGACGGATATTAGACAGGTTGATCGATATCGAATACAAATGATTTCTTGATTGTGTACTACAGCAATGTGGATCCATCTCGAAAATAAATGAACTTTTATTTTAGGCACTATGACATCCGCATTTTCTCGTGGTTGCAAGAAGCTTCTACTTCTCTCGTTTACGGTGTTGTTGTGCTACTTGTGATCGGTGTATCGTCGCTTCATTATAGTCTTCGGTATCGGTGGGACTATGCGGGATGGCGAAATCGAAAAGAGTGCGAGTGGGCAAGAACATTGAAAACGAAAGAGGGGCTTTATTAGTCAAGAAGATCGATGATATTTAAGTACTCGAAAACTGAAAATAACCGAGTTACTGACTGCAATAAAGGAGGTAGCTTAGCACCAAGGCTACTCTTCCTTCTCGTCAGCATCTCGGTTATTCTAAGTAGTTACTCGCTTATTTCAGTTTTTCGAATAATCGAATCGGTCATTCAATCAATATCCGCCTCCCAGAGATCTACCCACACATATTCAACCCCAAACTGGCCCCGACGGAAAGCCCGCAAAAGCGCCAAGTACTTGGATACTCTCTCATTACAGATTAGAGTTACACAGGCAGAATCTGAAAAAATGCATCAACCTGAAGAGGATGTCGAAAGAGGACAACCAGAGGAAACCTCGTACGGAATAGCAAGCCACGTGCAACTAGTACAACCGCGACAGGCTTGCACCTCGTCCATAAGAAGACCCTTGTCAAGGATCGACACATCTTCTAGTGATGATGGTAGCTCCTGCTCGTTCTCGTCTAGTCGGCATTCGAGCCTAACAAGGCGGGAGAGAACCTCAAGTCGGGGGAGGCGAGAGAGGACATCCTCAAGTCGGACAAGACGCGTCGTCGTGGCTGGTTCGGGAGGCGTAGACCGAGAACAACAAGAAGAAACCCTAACTAACGATGTAGTTGGAGATGATTTTAATTCCGCTGCTGGTGGAACGGGTCAGCCTACAACCGCCCACAGAGGACCGATTCTTTTCTACGACGAGAATGGAACTGGTAATAATCAAGAAGATGCAGCTTCGGCAGATGGAGGTGCTGAAAGCCAGAAGGACGTGCCGGAGAACACTGCAGCATCTAGCACAACTACAACAGGAGGGGGCTGTACGGATGATCAAACGAGAAATCAGCAGTCAGATGATCCCACTGGTTGTACTTCTGCCACACAGGAAGCGCTGCAACAAGTAGAAGGCCGCGAAGGAACGACTGGTTCAGGTACTAGTGGTCGTGCGTCTGCTCCGAAGATACAACCTCCAACATCATCAGGAGCATCCTCAGGCGAGACTGATTCTCCTACACAACCGCACGTTAATCCTCCTCTACTTACTTCAAATGGTGGTGTTTTGGCAGGAGGATTTTGGAGTGAACTAGTTTCGATCTTTGCCTCTGTTGGAACCAGTCGGCTGTCTTTGTGGCCTGGCCAGCTTCCTGGAAGTGGTGCCGTAGTGCCAGTGTATGATGCAGGAGCAGGTGCAACAGCACCACGGGCAAGAAGTACTTCTTGTACACCTCTTAGTACTACTTCTTGGTGTGCGGCAGGTCCAGTGCTGAGCATTTTCGACAACCAACATCATAGGCCAAGAGTTTCTGCTGTGAAACATCAAAGAGTTGCTTCTTCTGGTAGTACTGGAACGACAGAGAATGAAGATCAAGAACACGATGTCGCGTTTACGCATAGCAGAAGTAACGAACAAGAAGGAGGTTCATCTTCGTCGTCATCGGGTAGAGGTAGTGGTATAAGTGGTTCACCAACAAGTTCTAGTAGAAGACAAGAATTACGAACTCGCGGTTGCTTAGGTGGAGTTGCTCACAAGCAAGACGACCATCACCATCAAGATCAAATAGGCAATCGTAGAAAAGACCCGGCGTCATTTTACCAGCCGCGTGAATTTTTGTGTCATACACAACAGCGTGGCTGTTTCCTTTTGTGGACGGGTTTTGGAAATGCAGCTGATAGAATATTTTTAAATGAATCTAGTACTTCGTCAGTGAAGATGGGTACTATGGGGTCGAAGCGTGGAGGGGATTTGCAGAATCGACATGATCCTGGACTTGCACAAGTCGATCATCTACCAGATGGAGTTGGAGGAGGGCTCGATATGATTCACGGTAGTTCTTCTGGGATCAACAAGCCGATGCACCATAGTAACACTATTACTACACTTCATCCGATGTTGAACGAGGACCCTAAGTTGTTACTAGTAGAACAAGAAATGTTGACAGAGGAGGAGGAGAAAATCCTCGACCGCTTTGGTGCTTACGCTCTTACTCCACTCCTCTCCGACCCGGCTGGCCAAGAGGTGATTCTCAACTTCTGCACGTTGATGGAGGGCATTCAAGACGGAACCAGTCTAGTAGTCTTCTACTTTTTGAAGAACAACTACTACTTGAGTCCTATGGAGTCCTCCATCGCTTTGGGAATAATTCAAATGCCGTGGATCTTGAAGCCGTTGATGGCTTATGCAACGGACACTGTATTCCTCAATGGGTACCAGAGACGTAGACCGTGGATCATTTTGATGAACCTCTTGACGGCAGCTTCCTATGCAGCCATCGGCGCCAGTGGATTCCAACTCTCTCTGCCATTGGGCGTGCTCTACCTGACAATGACGAATATGGGCAGGGCTTTTGCTTTGGCTGCGATCCAAGGGGCGATAGTGGAACGAGGACAACAACAAGCAGTAAAAACAGTAACCGGAGGTCCTAGTAGTAAAACAACCGGAGCAAGCTGCCCAACAACATCAACATCAGCCGTAGCAGCAACTTCTGATCAGAGCATTTCGGAGTTCTTCTGGATTCGCAGCAGTGGAGCACTAATTGCAAGTTATCTGTCTGGCGTTTTACTAGAAAAGCACGTCCCGGTAGATCTGCTAACAGGCTTGTCCATGGCGCCATTGGCAGCAGCAACGATTGCAGGAATCTGGATGGTGGAAGAAAAGAAACAGATGTCAACATCTAGTATTAAGGCTCAACTTTCAATGGTCATTGCTTGGGGTTGCTGGTCACTGAGATCGAAGAGGCGACCCCTTGAGGAAAGATGGGGGGAGAACGAAGGGAAAGGGGAGAGCTTTGAAGGGGGTCGCTTTCGTTCAGAGTCATGACGACCAAGGAATGCTGAGCTTTAATAATAGATCTCAATCTCGTCGGCAAGTGGGAACGACAAGGACACAAACATCAGAATCTTGTTCTAGCATTTCGTCTTCAACATCAGCACTTCATCTTGCTGGATTGGAAGGAGCACAACCAGGAGTAGGGGCTGTAGAAGAACCTGTGGATGAGGGTCCCACGCGTGCATTTTCTCGAAAACATCTAAGACAGCTGTGGAGGGAGCTGAAAGAAGCGTTGAAGAATCCGATTTTCTATGGGCCCGTGATCTATCTGTTGTGGTACTTCAGCTTCAATTGGAATTATAGAGTTCTTGTTTTAAGGCTCAGCTTTGTTGTAGTTTACGATGTTGATGAGGAAATCTTGATCTTCTATTTTCTACTAGTTCATCCTCTACCTACCTTCCTCTGCCTCAAGCTCAACGCTAACGCATGATTGATACTCTGAAGCCTTCATCAACTAAAGGCCTCAAAGTCAAAGCAGGTGTTAGTATAAAAACAGATAGAAGAGGATCCATGACATGACATGACATCATGACATCTTCAGTTACTGCTGCGGTCCCAACTACGACGACGCTTTGTACTACTATTACGTGAACAAATTGCATTTTTCGCCAGAATTCATGGGCAGGATCTCCTTGATCCATTCCTTCGCCAGACTGTGCGGATTGGGGTTCTATCGTTTCCTCGTCAGTGGTCCTGGGTCTAGCTGGACGACGCGCAAACTCCTCCTCTCCGCGACACTTCTCTCCGTGCCCTTCTACGTTACGTCTCCGGCTTTGATAAGCAGTGGATTGTACTCGAAACTAGGGATAAGTGCCAAGTTCTTGGCTTTGGGTGGCGAAGTGGTGCGGGATAGCTTCTTGTATGTGCAGTTGATGCCAGCACTCACAGCGGCGACGTTGGTGGGGCCGAAGGGGATGGAAAGTACTACTGATGAATCTAAGAAGAAATAATATGGCTGTACACTTCTGAGATCTTGTAGTGGTTTCTACACGTTTTTCGAGATCAAGAATAGGCTGGCTCCTTCGAAATTGTAACACACTTATCTTCAACTGAAGTAAGAAATGCGAATAAATCTTCAGAGACCATACCAAAATAAGTAAAGAATTCAAAGACCATAGCCATACCAATTACCAAAATATAGGTACAATTTTCTCGGTCGTAACCGCTCTCGGACACGCGGGTAAAGGGGTGCAGAGATTAACTTCAGCGGCCACAATCGCTGCTTTCGGGGTTACAGCCGATAACTTCGTACACCTCACACCCCTAATATTCTTCTGCGGTAGCACACTTTGTGTACCGATTTTGGTTTTGCCGTTCATCAAGTTTGCGGATGAAGTAGATGCAACTGAAGGTGGTACGCGTAGTACGATGAATAATTTGCTCAGAATTGAAGCTGCAGATAATTTGAATGCTGAGGAAGGGAAGGAACACCCAGAAGGAACAGATTTTAGGGAAAGAAAACGACAAGATTGATGGCGATCATACACCCTGTTGAACAGAAGTCTAATATTGCCTGTTGATGACGACGACTATTTCTCTGACATAATTTCCCGAAGGGTGTATCTATACTTCAATATCTAACGAATGCAACGATATGACTGTGAACAGTAAAGATAACGACATTTTTCTATTCGTTTCGCTTTTTTCTGTGCCGACGTTTCGCATGATACTGATTTCTTCCATGAATACTTACTTTTTTTCTTCAGGAGCCACGTATCGAATTTCTAAGTTTAACATGATGATGCGTGTGAACAGGGTCGTCAGGCTTTGACCACCTAATAGTAATGATTTCCTTGGACTAGATGTGATGTGATAAGTACTTACAACTAGAACTTGATATCTTGTAATATTTACTCTTACAACTAGTCTGTCGCGAGTGAGTAGTTGTACTACATCAGCCGTATGTAGTTGTTTCGATTTTCTAAAGCGAAATCCAAAGGAAGGAGGAACAAGCAAGAGAACCTTATGGAGATGACGCATTGTTGTACAGGTGGTCAAGTGAAAAACGAAAAGTCTTTGTCTTTCTACTTGTTTGGTTGGTTGTCCGTTTTTTGGGATTTTTTGTCCGAGGAGGATGTCACTACTCAGCAACTTGTTCTTTGTCCGAGGAGGATATCGCCAAAAATCATGCGACTGCCGCTGCAAATAAAAGGGCTTGATGTTCTAAGATAAGAAGTACAACTAGGCACACTCTTCTCCAGAGGGAACTGTCGCGATTCTTCTAGGTTCAAGAGGTGCACGTCATTTTCATAGCGGAATAAAGAGCAAATAACTGTGAAAACGCAAAATTTCTTCTGTCACATCAAAAACACATGTCCACAGCTGCTTAGAACAAATTGCCTCTCGTGAGGCGGCGAACGCCTCTTCGTAAGGGCAATGTGGCTCATCGCCAAGATGCAGGCGGAGCCTGGACATCGAGCGAGCATGCGGCCTGCCAAGTCCAATTATATGTTGAAGATGAAAGCTACAACAAGAGCATCTTGGAAACTCTACTACGTCTACAGCTTTATTTCGTCGTCCCTTCTTCAACTTCTCCTAGTCCTACCTCCCTTCTCAACTCATCTGCAAGTGCAGTTGGCTGATGCTTCGGAAGTAGAGGAAAAGAGAGGTAGCAATACTGCAGACAGGTTACTTCGGAGAGAAGGAACGAGCCGTCGGTCAGAGGAAGCACCATCGCATGATGAAATAATGAAGGATGACACCACGTTCAATGGCGATGATGTGGTGAATCCTTTCTTGAATATGATGCACACGTCGAACATCGAACAACTCAGTCCACATGATTAAGGCTGCCCCCGCTAAGGAAGCTGCATCCTCAAGATCTATCATCCTTGCTTCTGTAGATGAAGACGTTGTAATGTAAGTACAACTAAGTAATCTAATAATTATTTAACACTATAGTATTTAATATTCCCAGCTGCATCAGGAAAAAGACGACCCATCTTCATGATGTAGAAGATGTTCTGAGGCATGCAACTTCTACCCTGGCTGGCTGCGACTTCTAACATGAGGTTGTTTTTCACCGGTTCTATCTGCTGGATCCTGCTTTGGGCACTCCGGAAGAGATGAAAACGACCATCATGCGAAAGTGCCGCAGCACGGTTGCATCTGCGCATTGCTTCCCTCTCGCGTTTGAGAAGTATTAAGACTCCTCCTGATCATAACTAGTACTACTGGTACACTTCTACAGCTTCTTTTCTTACTAGTTGGACTACTTTTCTTGCTAGTCTACTGTACTTGTCGTGAAGATCATCACATCTAGATCTACATGCTCCAGCGCGATCGCTTCTTCTAAATCAATGGTCTGATTGAATACGACTTCGAGCAAGAGGCTGACAGGAGAGCTTTTGAGGATACAGGTCAGAAATTTCGAATCGGATGCCGTGATAGACGAGCAAGAATGCCACCTCCAGAGCCAATGCTATGATCATCATGTATTCGAAAACTCAAAATAAGCGAGCTACTGACTGAAATAAGAGAGGCTTGACTACATTCCTCTTCTTTCAGTATCTCCATTATTTTCAATAGAAGTTACTCGGTTATTTCAGTTTTTCGAATAAAAAAATATGCCAACATAACCAAGATGTTTAGAGAACAAGAGTCTAAACAAACAGGCTGAAAGTTCTCCTCCATCAACTCCAAGTAAAAAGCATCATCAATAGCAAGTGCAAGAACTACTTCTACTTATCTAAATATATTATGCACAGACACCCCGACCCCTCGTCCTATACGAGGACCCACGACCGCTAGCGCTATCCACTCAATAGCAACTCCATATAAACGACCTCCCTTTTTTACCCAGCGCCTTCCACCTTCATGCCACGGTGGTCTCCTGGAGTTGCAACGTGTGTTGGTCTACTACCGCAAATTGTTCGCTGGTATGCAAGACTCTGGGACGTTGGCTTTGGTAGGTGGTGGCTTTGGCTTACGTGGAGATGTCACAGCACAAAACCCGGCGGGACCCGCGTTTAAACCTAGTAATCTTATGGTTCACGTTCTTACACGTAGTTGTTGTTGACGTTCAAATTTTTACAACTAGTTGATTTTTGATGGTTCAGCGTTTATAATCCTATAATGCCGCTAGAAGATTGTTGTCCGTGGTGATTATCCTGCTCGAACCACCATCTCCTGTGCGGATCATTTAGTTACTGCTGCTACTCATACTAGTACTACTTTGAATGCTGCAGCTGATACTTGTAGACCACTTGTATGTAAAATAAATATCAAGATGAACTATGCCCCCGCAGCTTCATCTAATAGACCAAGAGGAGAAGATAACGCTGACTGGCGAGGACAACAGCTGGTGATTGATTTGCTGAACCATGCAAAGATTGACGCGGTTTTGGTGCATCCAGAGACCGATCTGCATGCTCCACGACAACGTTATAACTACATTTACGGCACCAGCACTTCTCTCGAACTCGATCTTGTTGTACCCCTGAGTAGTAGATATGTATGATCTCCCATAATGTAATTAAGTTTTGCATTCGTAGTTGTATCATCGGTGAAGTAAGGCTGCTAGATGACTAGTACACCAATTAAACTCACGAGGACCATAAGCATAATTGTAGTAGCCCACCTACAAAGCTACAAGTACTACAACATCATGATCATGCAGGACGAGAATTCAGCGCCAGCTGCACTTATGATCCTCTTCTAAGTCCCGGCACCCAAAAGTACAGCTAATGGTAACGCAGAGAGTATGAGTATCTCGCGAATTTCAGCGTCAACGCACTGCGACAACGATATGGACTGCGATGCATCTCTGAATAACCTCAGGGAGAGCAACTTCGTTTGGATGCACCGACTACTCGACTCGCGCTCTACCACTCCCTGGGCTAGAGACTCGGTTTATCAAGGTTATGGAGTTGGAGTAGATCATGTTGCTGGTGAAGTAGAGAGATGCCACCTGTGGTGATAGAAGATGATGGGAGATGAGATTAACATAAAGATGAAGAAGTTCTTCAATTTTCTTCCATTAAGTACATTTATTCTAACGAAAGAAGCTTCCAAAAAACGAGAACATCTGGAGTTCCGATGCTCCCAGCAACATGGGCACAGGCGGTCGCCAGACTACGCCACTACTAGTCAAAATCGTGCGAGACAGGATCTCCGAAGGCGTTTACGTGTCAAGGAACGCCTGCATTTACCCGTTTAATACACGCGGCGTCAAGTCGCTCGTTCCTCATGGTCGAGGTTACAACAACAGATTGGTACCACCCTGGATCGAGTTTGTGGAGAACCCGGTTGACGACCTAATCCGCTTCATGACGAACTACGAAGATCGGTGCGACAGGAGTATATTACGGATGCGTCATTATTTTGAAGTTTTTGGTCACAACTCTCAACACTTTTGACAGTAGCTAGCAGTGGTGATTTCGTTTTCGTTAGGATTATATTTCGATCTAGAATCCGCCCAACATTATAAGCACTATTGTGGTCGTTTACTTAAATCTGCACTATAATTGTGGTTTATACTTAAATCTGCATATAATACTTATAGAGCACAGCTTCTCGCATTTGGATTTCATCTTCCATTTACGATTTATTTCTATGGAAATTTGACTTTGAGACGCACAAAGAACCGGACACCTCTAACCACCGTCGTGACGAATCAGCACATTGCCGATGACCTTGTCCTTTGGGCCACCATAGTCGATAAGGGTTTGCAGCTTGATGCGATTCTCGGAGGCGCCATGCCAGTCCCAGTGGTAATGCGGTTGCCGTATGCCGACAAGATTGCGATGCGGCCACTGGAGACTTAAGGCTCCCGCTATTAATCCATCAATATTATAATAAGTAAAGAAAAAGAAGTTGAAAAACCTACAATCTATCTCATACTCCATTATAATAACTTCAACATGAGACGGACGGTACTCCTAGTCGCTCTGTTCTATGTTCTTTGGAGTTGCAGTTAACAGCGTAGTTACCTCAAGTAGTGCATACTTACTGTTATATATATTAAGGGACGATCACGCCTCTTCGTCCTCGTGAGGAATAGCAATAGACATCTTCTTCAAGGGGTGGACCACATCTTCAACAACAAGCTGGAGATCAGGGGCACCAGAGCAGGGATGGATGATCAGGGGCACTACGTAATCGCTCTAAAAGAGCCTATTGTGGAGACCTGCTTCCCATGTTGTAGCCCACATCAAATTCGATTTGAAGGACCGACGGACTGTGCCTACGATCTCTCCGGTATTCCTGATAAGAGGTCACTGTGAAGCTGAAGGAGCCTTTTCGGCGGGAGACTTCGCTTGTATGGCTTCATCTCCATTGTTTGAACCCTGAGACTCAGTCGTTTAAAAAGTTGTATCAGGATAGTCGTCATTGTCAGACAACATGTTTGTGTCATGAACCCTCAGTCGTCTCAGTATTTTAAAAAGTTGTATCAGGATAAGAACTCTACTGTCATTTTTGTGTAGAACTTGAAGGAACTCAGTCGTTGGTTTCTCCATCTCCTCAGTCACCCCTAACTTTGCCGGCAGTGCAAGTGGTAATATTGACGACGATGGAAATCCGAAGGATGAGAATACGGGTGCTTTGACCGCTGAGCGAGTACTTGGCAACAGAAATGCAGTTCAAACAGACCAGGCTCAGGCTCAGGCGGGCCCCCAAGGTGGAGCTTCTTTGCTGCAAATGGAAGAAGAGAGGGGCATTTTTGGCGAAAGCGAGGTTCTCAGGGATGAGGAGACTTCTAGAATTATATGACAGAAAAAAGTCTACTCATACTTCTCAAGAAAAGAGGTTTTTTCCTACTTAGAAAGTGCCTACTTTCTTGAGGATGAGTACACTTTTTCGCTTCATAGATTAGTGGAGAAGATCAATATGCCAGTATAACATCAACATTTTCACCATCCAGTGGAGCAACAACAGGCGTCGAAATAAACGGAATTAGGCTGGACTTCAACGACGAGCTCTTTCCGCCGTCAGATGCGGAACAAGTGTCAGAAATGTCATTTAGTAGTGTAGGACGAAAGGACGCAACTGGTGCAACATCTGCATCGACTTCTACTGCAGCCGAGGAGACAACGGGTGTTTCATCTTCAACGTCATTCATACAGGAAAAGAAAGCACTATCTTCCAATGACATCAAAGGAAGTACAACTTCTAGGTCAGCGCCAGAAGATGGTGCAGGAGAAGTAAGTGCCGAAAGAGCAAAAGCAATTCAAGAAGATGAAGAGGAAGAGGAACACCATCAACAAGAAGATGAGTCGCGGCAGTCCTCGAGCAAGAATGCACCCTCTTCATCAGAGGACGGACCCGCAAACACTGCTCCTTCATCAGCGTCCACCTCCGACGAAGCACAGCAAGCAACTACTACTCCCTGGTCCTCCCTCTTAGAAGAAACCCATACTCGTCAAACTCAGACGTCTTCGATGAGTACCGTTTCTCATAGTACTCTTCGAATCAATAGCGACTTGGCGAATCTGAACCTTGTCACTGAGCGGCTACGGGATATTCAACTGCCGATTCGCTGGAAAGGTCACGTGGACCTGCTGAACCACTACATGTGGGAAACGCATTATTTGAACTTCATGACGGACGCGGTGTTATGACATGCAGGAGATCTAAATAGGAGATCAACTCAAAATAAGCGAGCTACTGACTGAAATAAGAGAGGCTTGACTACATTCCTCTTCTTTCAGTACCTCCCTTATTTTCAATAGTTACTCGGTTATTTCAGTTTTTCGAATAGACGCGCGGCTACCTAGATTAGAAGTAGGTATTGATCACTACTTACACTCGTAAGTATTTCTATTTCTCATTCTGTTACGACCATGTTTCATAACGCTTTTGCTTAAATTTTCTAAATAAAAAAAGAAAAAGATGTTCATCGATCTTGTGTGTACTAGTATTCCGAACTTCAATCTCAGCATTCTGCTCGTTTTGGTTTTCCTTACAAGAGAAATTCTAAGGAGACGAGACGCCCTTGCCGCAGATGTAGCCATCGTTCTACCCTCCAGTCTCATGAGCGCTCCTTTCGGCAAATTGAAGCATCGAATTTCACCGGACGAATCAGGCCTAGAAGAAGCGTTACAAGGGACAGCTGCAAGTCCTTCTACGTCTGGTACTGCTAGAATGGTACATCTAGAGATGATTCACGTAGTAAGAGGAGACTATGGTCCATGTTCATCCACAGGTACATTACTAGAGATGATTCACGTAGTAAGAGGAGACTATGGCCCATGTTCATCCACAGGTGCCGCTTCTTCTTCTTCATTGTTGGAGGAAAAGGAAAAATCCTTCATCGCCTCCGCTTTTTCCGGTCTCGACCGTAACAAGAGAGAGGAGCAAGTTAAGGAAAGTTGTACACGTTGTTGATCATGCAGCTCATCAGGGCTGCCACCTGTGCCTCTCTGGTGTTGATTAATACTAATTACTTATGCCGTACTCGGTCAAGCACAAAAAGATCAAAAAGCGGACCATTGTCGTGCAAAACTTCTCCGGCGGGAGAACTTTCTAGTAAGAACATCAATCTTGACACGAACTAAATCCAAAATATCACCAATTCTGCGGCAAGAGAACTTTCTAGTAAAAAGAACAACATCATCAACCCTGACGAAAGCGAAACTTTCAATAGTTTGTTACTCGATCATTTCAGTTTTTCGAAATCGAATACAACAATCCGAGCTGATACACTTATCAAGAACCGCATCTCCTCCGATCCTAAAATCATATCCCCCCCTCTTCTAACTACAACAGCCGTGACGAATCAAAAAGTGATAAGGCGTATGGCACCCGACTTTTAACGGCGAAGGATATCCATGACCAATTTCAGGGCCAAACATTAAGGCTGTAGCTAGTGCATCTTTTTCTTTGACGGCATCCTTGAAAGAATAAAGGTATGGAGGAGTATCCCAGTGGGATACATTGGCATTATAAATACTTTTCAAGGATTCAGTTTCAGCTGGAACAAGATGAATCAAGGAGAGCGTTAAAAAGATTGGACGTAATGCGTGTGTCGGCGATTGAGTTAGTAGCCTTAATCATGGAGCGAATGGTAGTCTCGGAACCAACTGACATTATGTGAGTCCTTATACTGCTGGCATATGTAATATGACAGAAAAAAGTGCACTCATAGATACTCAAAAAAGGGGCTAACTTCCTACTTAATATAGATTTTAGCCAATTTGTTCTTGAGTGTTGTAAGTGCACTTTTTCCTTAAATAGCTCAAAGCATCCTCAACAACATTATCCCTAGCAGCTCTTTTTCTTCTACTTGAAAAAACAGCCAGGGATGTAGCTGGTCTGAGGGATGCGAACGTGGTAGCTCTAATGACGCGGGAAAGGTTCGGGAATTGCGTGCAGTTTTTAGTGCGAGCGGAATCGAGGTCACGTATTTTATGATCGTCTCCCAAAATTACACAAAATTTGAATTTGATCTTGGATGGGTTCGGCTTTGACGCCAGTTTTCTTGTCTTGAGGTTCTTGGTTTTTTATAAGGTTGAGGTTTAGGTCCAGCGGCGCTCAAAGCACTAAATAAAACAGCCGGTTAGTTTTACCTCTAGAGACTTAGCCCTTCCAACAACATATTATACCTTACGTCGAGTATTACTTTTACTACACCAGATCATAAAGTAGACTCCTCATCTTCTCTATCATGAAGATGTCCAGTCATTACCTTCTAATGCAACCTTCCTAGTAGTGAATAAGATGTACAACCTAGAAGTAATAAGGACCAAGGCTGCTCCGAGATGATTTTTTCGAGTTGATGAGGACTCAATTAGAATTATTTAGTCTTAGATACGGCGTCACAAGTACATAAGTGACGTGTTCTGGACAACTGTGTCCGAGTCCTAGAAGTAAGCTGAGTGGTGGAGGTCTCTCATTTAAAAATGTCTCATCTAAATAAAGTGGCGACGAAGAAGGCAAGCCCACACGAGACTTCCTCCTGTGCCAGCGGCAGGCTAAACAAAGGGCTGACAAGCTAAACAAGGGTCGGAACAGCTCTCAGGTATTGTTTCATCATGAGGATGATCTGTATGCAAGCCAAGAGGAGACCGACATGTGGGCAGCAAGTGTGGCCAGCAAATTGTTCAAGTTAAGAGAGCTGGTACTTAGTTTTTTTTTGAATAAGACTTGCAGCTTTTGCTTTTGGAGATGTCTTTTTATTCCTCTTAACCTATGCTCTTAACCTGACCTACCTAAAGCAACGTAAAAATCTTGTTACATCTTCCAGCAACGTAAAAACTTTGTCACGTCTTCCAGCAACGTAAAAACTTTGTCACGTCTTCCAGCAGCGTAAAAATTTTGTTACATCTTCCAGCAGCGTAAAAACTTTGTCTCGTCTTCCAGCAACGTAAAAACTTTGTCAAATGCTCCACTTCTTCTACGTCTGATGGTGATATAATGATGCCCTCCTCTTCTTAACACCGGTTCAACATAGTGCGACCCTTCTCTTACTAGCTTGGAGCGTCCGATAACATCCCTCCCACTAGGATCCCCCTCCTCCCCAAAGTAAGAGACTAAGCATGGCAAAGATGTAAGCGATACGCGTTTTCAAACTTCGAAAATTTTCCACGTTTTGCCATCGTTTGGGGATTGGGTCCCGTGCGTTTGAAGTCAAGGGCTAAGATCCCAAAACTTTTTGACTTTCGGCCCTTTCGCTGAAATTTAATGCCTTGGATTCGCGTTTTTCAAATTTCGAAAATTTTCCACGTTTTGTCGTCGTTTTGGGATTGAATTCTGTGCGTTTGAAGTGCTAAGATCCCAAAGCTTTTGACTTTAAGCCCTTTCCCTGAGATTCAATCGCTTGGCTTCGCGTTTTATTTTCCAACTTCGATAATTTTCCACGTTTTTCGTCGTTTCGGGTCCCGTGAGTTTGAAGCGCTAAGATCCCAAAATTTTTGATTTTAAGCCCTTTCCCCCGAAATTCAACGCCTTGGCTTCGCGTTTTTCCAATTTCGTTTCGTCATTTTGCGAGTGGGTCCTTTGATTTTGAAGCGCTAAGATTCCTGGTTTCCTGGTTTCTTGGTTTCCTGGTTTCCTGGTTTCATGGTTTCAGGGTTTCAGGGTTTCATGGTTTCATGGTTTCCTGGGTTCGTGGGTTCATGGGTTCGTGGGTTCGTGGGTTCGTGGGTTCGTGGGTTCGTGGGTTCGTGGGTTCATGGGTTCATGGGTTTGGGGTTTGGGGTTTGTTTGTTTTTGTGTCGGAGGTTTTGGGTTCGGGTGTTGGGGGTTTTGGGTTTGGGTGTTGGAGGTTGAGGTTTCCGAAGGGAAGTGTTTGTAAAGTTTTATTGCTCTTAATATTAACCCTAATCTTGTCACATCTTCGAGCCCACTACTCTAATCTCCCTGTCTGGCATTCTTAGACGGTCAGGTGGTGCGAGGTTCGTCGACAGAAATATCGAAAGGAAGTCCAAGAACGTAGCAGCGGAACTCGACGTCAGAGACGAGAACAACGCTGCGCAGCCTGGATACGTAAAGGCGGGAACCCCTGTCCAGTTCTTCAACGAGGTGCTGTTATGTTGAACAAGATGTTGTTGTTGTCGAAATTTTTGAAACAAATGCTGTAGCGCTTTTTTGTACATTATTCGTCTCAGAATGAAAATTTTCCATTTTGAGACGAATATTGCCCAACTGATCCCGGGGCTTCATGTGCGTTTTTTGGCTAAAAAACCGCTTTTCTATGTTCGCTGTTGGCATGGTGTTACTCCATACTTACGACCACAGTCCTCTTGGAGGTTTTGTTTAAAACTTCGGTGGAGGTCTCCATGATAAATTGATCTTCTTTTTTAGTTGTAGGCTTGGTATTCAAAGCTTCGGAGTACTGATCTACTTGGCAACCTACCATGCCATACCTAACCTTTCGTAAGTTGTGCTAAAAGTAGACAATCATGCTGATGAGCGTCTTTCCATCCTCTAAGCACCCACATGAGTTTCGGGAAAGCTATTGGACATGTTGCTCACCCCGGCGAAGGCCCAGACGATGTCAAGGCTAGGCAAGAGCAGGTATCTGACTTATGAAGGGCAAACTATGCATTATCTACCTCCTAAAAAGACTTTCGTCCTCCATGTGAGGTTCATTTCCCAGCTGCGTCCTAGTATCTTGATTCCAACTAGAACTATGACTATGTACTATAAGAAGTTACTTCTTGTTGATAGAAGCTAGTTGTAATGCTAGGAGTACAACTTCTTGCCCAGTAAAAGACTCACCTTCGTCAACATCGTAGTTCTTTTCATCTCGTGCCAGCGAAGTCAGTCAGCGGCAAGACCGCCGCTTATACAAGCATTTGGCGGATGTGGGGAGGGCAGAGTCAGAGCGCAAGACCGAAAGCGATGACGATGATGACGACGAAACCAAAGAGCATGAAGGAAAGAAAGGCCCACACGATTCAACGACGATGGAAGGAGACTGGCGAGAAAAATACACGGGAGAAATTATGACTTCACAGAGCTGCAGTTGTCTTTGTCTTTCTTGTTCCACTGCGTCCGCGAAGCTACTTAAGCTCACTCTATTACAAACCTAGTATATACTAGGCTTGAGCGCCCGGTAGCACTCCTCCCACTAGGATCATCCACCCCCGGCACGCACTTCCTCAATCCCGGCGCGATTTCGCTTCCCCGGCCCCTCCCCCGCGCGCCAACCGTCTGGCGGCGTTGATCGTTGGAACAAGAGCAGGGCGGGGGACGGCGTGCGGCCATTGATTGAAAAGGTACAGGCTGAAGCCGTTGGCTTGTCGGTGTGCTCTTCTTTTGGTAGGTTTGGCCTTCTTTGCGTGCAAGTTGCAGCGATCGAGCTTGCAGCTTGTCGCGGTTCCTCTCCTTGTGATACAATCAAAAACTTCGGATGGGAATTTTTCGAGTTTCTTTTTTATATATTGGGTATAGTCAAATGCTTTGGGCTTCCGGTCTCAGGCTTGAAACTTTGAGACATTGAGGCGCAGCCTTTAGTCTTAAGCTTTCAGCCTTGGACTTTGGGCCTGGGGCTTTCAGCTTCGCGCTTTCACTTTTGAGCCTTCAACTTCGGGCGTTCACCTTGGGGCTTTCGGCTTTGGGCTCTCAACTTTGAGCTTTCAGCCTTGGGCCTTCGACTTCGGGTCTTCAGCTTTGAGCCGTCTGGTGTGAGCTTTCAGTTTGACACTCTAAGGCCCAGGGCTAACCAATTCCCGGGCCTTTTTCAATTTTTTGAGTTTATTCAAACCGTGAAGGCTTTGGCTTTATCGCGTAAGGCTTAAAATTCGCGCCCATCTGCGTGGAGTCAGGGCTAACCAATTCCGCGGCATTTTTTTCAATTAATTTTTTGGGTTTAAATTCCATAAGTTTTGGCGTTATCGCGTAGGTGAAGGATTTAACTTTCGCGCCCATCTGCGTGAGGTCACTCAGGTCTTCTAACCAATTCCCAAGCTTCGCAGGCTCATAGACATAGTCGTATGCTTGCAAGTTCATAAGTTCCTAAGTGCCGCCGGTGGTGATGATGATGATGATGATGCGAGCCCACCGATCGGGTGGGGCGGGGTGCGTAAGCTCCTAAGTTTATAGGCGCAGGCATGTAGTCCCAGAACTTCGGAAGGCTGGGAAAGTTCGGAATGTTTGGAAAGCTCGGAAAGGTTGGGAGGGTTTGGGAAGTTGGGGCCGCCGGGAATGGAGTTGGGAAAGCTGGGGAAACTGGGAAAGTTGAGAAAAGTCGAGAAAGTTGAGAAAGCGGGGAAGGTTGGAAAAAATTGGGAAAAGCTGGGAAAGTTGGGGAAGCTGGGAAAGCAGCGAAAGTTGCGAAAAGGTGGGAAAACTAAGTTGGAAAAGAGTGGGAAAAAGTTGAGAAAACTTGGAAAAGCTTGGGGAGACTTGGGAAACTTGGGAAGCTTGGGGAGCTTGGGAAAGTTTGGAAAGTTCAGGAGTCTGGAAGCTGGGAAAGCTGTGGAAAGTTGGAAAAAGGACGGAGAGCTGAAAAGCTGGGAAAAGTTGGGAAAGTTCTGAAGCTTGGAAGTTCATGAGTCAGAAAGGGAAGGCTGAGAGCTTGGCAGGGTCGTTGTTGTTTTTTAATTTAGCTCGTTAATATTTCTATTTCTATGTCAATCTCGTCAAATCTACTTACCACAACTGCTCGACTTTTTCATATCTAGAGGAGCCAGCAGAATAGAATACGATGACGATGAAGTGAGGCCAGAGGTGGGCGCTGATGTTGCAGATGATGAGGAGAAGAGCCTAACCAGAAACAGCAAAGCCAGACTAGAGGAACAGATATATTAAGGGAAAAAATATGTAGATGAAGTTGTACGCTAGTACTTGAAGATGTCCTTTTTGTAGTGATCACGAAGCAAAGCTCGCATGCTTTGGTGCTAGCGGCTACTTCTAGCTTTGATGTTGATCATTAAGTTTATAGAAACTCGCGCTCGCCCATGAGAAGATTATATCCTCATTCCACCAAGCAGCAATGCTCTTTGTTCCCCTCTTCTAGCTGCAGGGAAAAATGTTGACTGCTTGTTCACTAATCTCCCGGTCTTCGCCGCATTACCTTCGTCGGTGCACAGCATATTAGAGGAGGCCGCCATTTCAGACGTCTTCCGAAACGAGCCTGTGACGAGTGGAAGCAGATCTTGGATCACGGCGAAAACATGGACAGAGATAGAGAAGGTGTTATGTTGGACAGAGATAGAAGAGGTAGAATCGACTAACATCATCATCATTGATGCCGTTATGGCATGATGGAAGCTATAAAGCAACGTGTTATAATAATGATGTTGTCGCCTAGAAGTAAGGTAAAACTGATACAATGAGGCAATGAGGCTGAAGCGGACGATTATTATACTTACGAATGGGCTGAGGGTTGAGATTGATACTAGGTTAATACTGGAGATAGATCATGAAGACTGCATTTTGTGCAGAGGTGTAAAAGACACGACGAGGTTGTCTCCTCCTCTAACAATTCAAATACAACTCCCCGAGAGGTCATCCGACTGCTAGCCAGCACGATCTGCGGATTTTTTGAAATGCGTCTGGTTTTGTGGGATTACCAGAGAGGAATATTGCCGGAAGTAATTTTATGAGGAATCAATAAGAACAATAAGATTATACTCGAAAACTGAAAATAACCGAGTTTTTACTGACTGAAATAGGGGAGGTAGCTCTGACAAGGCTACTCTTCCTTGTTCAGTATCTCGCTTATTGTAAGTAGTTGCTCGCTTATTTCAGTTTTTCGAATACTTAAAAACCTCCTATTCAACATTGCTCGCTCCTCTTATCCAAGCCTTCCTCCGAAACCCCCTCTAACGGAAGAAACATAGTCCCTCTAACGGATGTTTCTCCCCTCTAACGGAAGACTTCCTGCTACGTCCGGGAATGGATCCTCGCCTACGACAATTCGCAAAACGTATCCCCTATTAAGGGTTACCACATTGCATCCTTCACTACCATCCTTGACTTTTTTCCCAGTAGGGAAAGGGTCAGGGATGATCTGAAGAATGCAATGTCGCAACCTCTAACCCTACGCAAACCTCTTCACCTTATCCCTCACTCTGGCGAAAAACGATCTGATCAAAGCTCTGTGGCGGAAAGCGGTGGGCGAAAGCGTCTGTGAATTCCCCTCCTTGTATGCTGTTATGATCAAGCTACTTGCTGAGCACAAGTAGATGTCTGGGTTCTGGTATTTGGTAACCTGAATTTGATCCTAAGGGAAAACAAGAAGAGAACCCTTCATGTCTGTGTTTATTCACCTTGTTCTAAAAGAAACATAATTATATGCTAGCCGCCTTCTTCAATCAAGAACTCATCGCCCCTAGTACTGCCACGAGGAGTAGATGACTAATGATCCAACTGATAGAGCGTCTAAACACCATGATGATGATGATTTTTTAGTTGGTTTTTGATTGTTCAGCGTTTAATCCTATGCCGCTAGAAGATCTCCAACCACCATCTCCTGGGCGAATCATTTAGTTACTCCTGCTACTCATACTTGTACTCCTGCCATGATCACGAACCAAAAACTTCTCGTTCTTTTCCCTCTAACCCTTGTGCCGAAATGTCAGATCTAGTTCCCGCTTCTGAAAGGACTACTATGTTAAGGCTTCCTTCTAGATTTTAAGGGGAAAAGGGGGCCCAAGAAGAAGAAAGATGGTGCTGAAGATGGATTTTTCTTACAACTTCTAACTATGCAAGTCTTAGCGGCTGAAATGGAGTGCCCACGAGGAAAGGAATTCTACAACATGCTCAGGACATCCGTCACAGATCCTCTGCGTTTCTACGGTTTACTTCTCGCTCCTGGAGATAGGGAACTGGCGCAGTTTTTTCCGAGGTTATGACGGGACTCGAATGAAGTAGGTAGTACTAGATTGAGACAGGGAACTGGCGCAGTAGTTTTTTCCGAGATTAATATGATGAGTGGACTTATATGAAGTATCAGATTCAGATGCAGGAGCAGGTGCGTCCGATTGAACAAAGCGCTTCGTTGTAAGTAGCAGGCTTGGCCAAGAACAGCTCTTCTACTAGTAGTACAGACCCACCTGAATCCCCCTACTAGTAAAGGCACTCAATAGTCAATAGAACATACACAACTGAATACTTACCAATGTTTTCTCTAACACTCATGTTAGCGCATTGGCCTCAAAAGTATGCTTACTACCGAAATAAGTATATACAGCTCATCCTCATGTTAGCGAATTGTCCCCAAAAGTATGAAGGGTTTTTCTAACACCCATGCTTGCGCAGTGGCCCCAAAAGTATGCTCATCGAATGAAGAGCATGCCGGTTCTGTTGTGCCAGTTCTTCAGTGACGCAGGGGTCCAAAACAACAAGCAAGTTGTGGGAGGAGGAGCAGCAAGTGCGCCTATAATTGGTTTTATGGAGACTTCGTTCTGGTGAAGGATCCATTGAATGGTTCTGGCATTTTTGGTATAGCCTGAATTTGATCCTAAGGGAAAACAAGAAGTTCTAATGCAACAGGTTCCTCCGCTTCCGTCACGACAGGGGACGAGGATAGCAATGTATTTATAATATATAGAACTTCTACTACTTTTGGGTAGTTCTAATGCAACCGGTTCCTCCGCATCCGTCACGACAGGGGACGAGGATAGCAATGCAGTTTTGCAAGAAGCGTTGAATGAGGCATGGCGCGATCCAGCTCTAGAACGCTCAGCCAGAGAGATTTTGGACGTAGAAGCAGACGCTCTAGAGAGTGCCATCGAATACCTACGCGCTGATGGGTGGCATAACGTCGTCGTGGATAACTACATTATGATACGCGGCATGGGTACATGTTCATGTAGTACTAACTAGAAGTATAAGTAGTACATGTACTAGTACTAGAAGTATACGCTCAAAGCACTAAATAGAACAACCGGTTAGTTTTTACCTCTAGCGTGTAGCCCTTCAAAGAATACATTATGATACGCATGGGTACATGTAGTACTAACTAGAAGTAAGTAGAAAGAAGTAGTAGCACAACTAGTAGGACTACTAGTAAGGCTAATGATCATGATGATAAACCATAAAGACGACGAGCTCCTGTGCAGTTCGTACGAGGACTAATATAGTTCATGATCATGATGATAGAGACGAGCTCTGTGCGTTCGTGTTCGTGGTGCTGGTGTACTAGGTGTGTGCTCCTCTAACCTTTGTTTTCAAGAGATCTTCAAGTGGCTCCGAAAGCGACACCAACCGATTGCGCAACCCGGTCACTGGCGATCATGGTTCTGTGTCGATCGCGATGAGGATAACTGGCGGGAATTAGGAGAGCATCGAGGAGCTTATGAAAAGGACATGATAGCTCTACTAATTTTAATAAATGACACAAATTTATTAAAAACTTTAACAAGTAGAGCAGTACGTAGGACTCATTCTTGTTCTTCTTTTCGTCCTCCCTTTAAGAACAACATGCAGGCTTTCTTGGAGCGTCCTCGCCGACGCCGATTCTACACGCTCACTCCTCACACGCAATTCAAGGAAATGCAGGAGCAGCTTCAGGTATAGCACAATTATGACAATTTGTGCTGCATGTCACTTGAACAAGATCCCTCTTCGTCCACTAGAAGAAGTATGTTCAGTGGATTATCAATATGAATGATTGTTCTCCCATGATGCAATGATCTGTTTCAGTAGTGTAGGTAGCGAGATGACAACTCCCACGACCTCACAACTCCCATAGCAGACGAGGATCAGTTTTCCACACCGAAATCGTGTACTGACAATCTGGGAGCACTGTGTGAAGATACGCGTAAATGCTGCAACGAGGAACATCGTTGCGTGCGCGTTAAGGGTGAAAATGCTCGCTGTGTGGAGCTTTCAGCCTGCGGCGAAAAAAACAAATTAGGCGACTACGAAGATTGCTTCGAATTGACACCGGGTACTATTACAGAGTAGTTTATAGCACGCATGGAGTAGCATGGAGTGCATGGAGCGCAGAGCTCTAAGGGGCGCAAGAAGCTCCCCCTTTAGCTCCATGCTACTCCATGCGATCCATGCACTCCATGCCATGCGAGCTGTGAAACCTTATAAATTGCTCTGCTATTACTTTAATCATTCAATAATTGTCGGCATCATGGAAATGGAATAGCTGCAGGGTGGATTTTCCTTCCTTGTCCTTCCTTGCTTACTCTTTCGTTCATCTCTGTGTCTAAGACTTTACAGAATTCCCTTTGTCCAACGAAGTCCGGCAAAATAACTTAATAGCGGCTGAAGTGATGATTGTCATCTAGTAGATTGACGTAGACTACGTACTATGAAGATCAGGTAAAAGGTTCCATGACATGACATGACATGACATGACATGACATGACATGACATGACATGACATGACATGACATGACATGACATGACATGACATCTACGCACTACGTGACAGGTAAATACTAACATGACATTGTCATCTGCGTACTAGGTAAATACTATGAAGATCAGGTTGTAAAAGCGACAGGTAAATACTATGAAGATCTTCAGGTAAAAGCGCCAAGGGTGATGCTGAATCAAGGAAGCAGCATAAGATGGCTCTCGTTATCGAGGACTACGCCGAATGTGCAGGATGGCGCAAGTTTCCTGGCTACACTGCAGAAGAGGTCGATGGTACCCGCCATCTAAGTCGACACATGAGTGCAATCCTGAGTATTTCTTAAGGCTCAGGAGCTTTCAATGGTGGTCACCATTGGTCATCGGTGTTGTTCCTCAATGGTCACCACTGAGATCGAAGAGGCGACCCCTTTTTAAGAGAACCAACAGGGGAAATAAGCGAAGGGAAAGGGGAGAGCTTTGAAGGGGGTCCCTTCCGTTCAGAGTCATGATGATCATGGAAGGCTGAGCTTTAAACTTCGACGCACCTGCTGGATCAAGCGAAGATGACACCGGACGCAGCGAACGACGGAGCAGTTTTGCTGCACTTGGAACAACAGAGACAAAACTGGGAGAATTTTATGAAGAAGAGGTAGAGGACATCACTGACTTGCTTTAATTTGAAAAAGTGAATAAGGAGGTCGTGGACTAGTACCCTCTTGCTCGCTATACAACTATACAACATGATGGATCTCCTTCTCCTACTCTTTGTCTTCAATCACACGACAGTGACAACACCAGCACTGTATGAAAACTAGAATGAACAAGGAAACGGGCCCCGCTCTTCTAAGACCCCACCTTCCGGAGCAAGCCAGGATGAGGATGGCATACGTGGAATGTCTACCTCGTTTCGACATAGGTGGCAACCTGTGGACCCCAGACAATTCTACTTCCAGATGTGGTCACCTGGTGCCTGGCTCACGCGTCGGCTTTTCAGATCAGCTGATGATTTATGTTGAGCTACCAGATAATCTTCCTTCCACCTCGTCACCATTCTCCGCCTCCTCCTTCCACCTACAACTAGAATGCTTGTCGTTGTCCGTCCCATAGAAAAATTCTTGTTTCCACCCTCCGTACCACTAGAAGGCTTATAATTCGTCCCATAGAAAAATTCTTGTTTCCACGACCCTATAACGTAAGTAAGATCAGCTGATGACTTATATGTTGAGTCACCATACAAGTGAGACCAGATAATCACCCTAGTACAACGTCTAAGTAAGTATTATATATCAAAACACTTGTGCTTGAAGATGTTCTTGTTCCCCTTGAATCCTCTTTGTTTAGTACAACTTCTTCCTTTACAACAACTTCTCTGACTAATAAGTGTAGCCATCGAACGTCGTGAGGGTGAAGATGAGGAAGCGGCGGAAAATCGATACGATGTTGCTTTGCTCTGCATTTTCTTGTTTTTGCTGATATTATGAACAAACGGACACGCTTGTGGAGGAGGTCAAAATTTAGGAAAAACTTATTAGGGGATCATATTATTGTGGTTCCCTAAAATAAAACTTTTCCTAAATAAATTCGTATGTGCCTTTAAGCGTCGTGTCCGTTTGTTTCTAATGATAGGTGGCATCCTTTTCCTCATTCGGCTCTTGCTAGTCGACGCAAGTTCGGACCCGGAGGAATTGTTCTTAAGATGGGAGGTTCTCATAGTTTTGTCGTGTGTCTTACTTAAGTATTTGAATTGGACACTTTCCCCTCCTGTATTAGATAACCCAAAATCAGATATGTGCTGCTCGTTCTTAGGTTATTTTTGTTCTAGTACAGGGCTAGCCCTTAATCTTTGAATAAGCACCGTCTAGTCGATGTACATTATTTAACCACGCGCACATCTAACGTTGGCTGCCAGTCTAGAAGAGCAACAACAAAATCAACAACAAGGAAGTGACGGAGGGGGAGGAGGAGACGGAGGCGAAAGGCAGTTATGACTTTTCGTATTTCTTCTGATATTAAAGTTTTACTATCCTATCCTAGTTGTTACTACATCCTATCCTATCCTATGTACGATTGGTATTATTTTTTTTTATTGGCAGTGGCTTCTCCTGTTAATGTAAAGACTTTTGGTATTATTTTTTCGAGTTTTAGATATTAAAGTCCAAGTTCGTTGTAGTACTCGAGCACTGGTGAGTTCTCCGCTTCAAAGCATATTTTTAAATAAGTACTCGACATTGATCTTCTTAATCTCATAATCATGTTAATTTTAATTGTGTACTTGACCGATCTTCAACTTATACAACTTATACCTACTACAGCTTCTTCTCCGATCATCAACTTATACAACTTACAACTACAGCTTCTTCTAAGTAGTCCTTCCGGCGGTTCGGATGCAGCTGAGCGAGAGAGTGAGGGGCGTCAGACTAGACCTGACGAGGAGTACATGCCAGCAACTGCATCGATGTCACCTAGGGCACCACGGTTCATCGTTGAAGGCGACAGCCTTGGTCCTCGAGAACTGCATGAAGGAGAAGATGATCCTCTTCCTGTAGAACAAAGTGCTAAAGCTAAGAGTGGAGTTAAGGCTAAGGGTAGGTTAAAGGTGCTTTTGTTACCGCTTGTTATGGCTGTCCCCCTTAGGAGAGCCATAACAAGCGGGGGACAAGCGGGACACACCAAAAAACTACCTCTAATGGAGGAACATCAAAAGAGACGACTAGTGGTAGTGGTGAAGCTAGTAGCAGCAGTACACCTAAGGCTGCGCCTGTGAAAAATGTGAAAGTTGTTGAAACTGGCAGTGGTAGTGGAACTACTACTAAAGTAGGTGCTCCTGCTCCTGCTGGTTCAGCCGCATCTTCCACGACGACCACAACTGCTACAAAAAAAGCAGCTCCTCCAACGTCTTCTAGTACTACAACAAGTGCAACAACAAAAGCACATCACGCTGTAATATCAAAAGCACCACATCAGGAGACTAGCAAAGCCGCGTCAGGAACTACAACAGCATCGGTATCAGCAGAAGCAACGCACAGTGGTCCGCCTGCATCACAAAAAGCAAGTAGTGCAGCAACTCAACATCCGAAGGCAGAAGCAAAAGACCACCATCCCGCAAATAAGGCTGGGGCGCCAAAGGGTGGAGGCCCCAAGAGTGCAGGGTTCCTCTACTACAGAGGCCCTGAGGGAGGTGTATCTGGTGACGAACACGAACTACAAAGAGCAGAAAAAAATCTAGCTATGTCGTCGTCACAGTTGGAGCAAGCAAAGGAAGAATGTGAACATCTTCAGGTTTTAGAAGGAGGTTTACATCTGAAGGAGGACAACATAGGTGGAAGACAACAGGAGGAGGACATAGAAGCATTTTTACCTGCAGCTCCTGTGACAGTGGCTCCGCCTCGTTTTGCACCACCAAAACCAGCTGCGCCACCGTCCTCGAGTAGACCAGTAGTTGGGCCACCTGGCAATTTCGAAAAAAAACAACAGTTTCGACAACAAGTACCAGCTGAGTCTGAAACAGATACTGAAAATCAACTACAGAAGAAAATGCCTTCATCTGCTTGTAGTACTTCATCTAGTGAACATCAATCTTTATCTTCTCTCAACATAGCTAGTGCTAGAGTTGTTCTTGCAGAAGGTACTTCACGTGATCTAGCTAGAGTTGTTCTTGCAGAAGGTAGTACTCAGGAAGATCAGGTTGGACCAGAAGATGGGACAAGAATAGCCGGATCATGGGCGAAACAAGCTAGACAGGAAAGCAGTCAAGGCCAAAGTCAGCCCTCCACTTCTTCCTCTAGTGATTTTGGTCTCCTGTCGGAGGGGGAACAAGCGGTTGAAGAAGACGATCTTCACATTGATGGGTGCGTTGTTCCAGAAGAAGTGGAGGAGGACGACGCGGCCCAAGTAGAACCAAGTGGAGGGGCAAGAAGTTCTAGGTCTGCTTCAAGTCCGGAATCTCATAGCACTAGTGGAACGACTGTACCTCCTCCTAGAACTACTACTGACGCAACAACTTCTTCCTCAACGACTGTACCTCCTCCTAGAACTACTACTGACGCAACAACTTCTTCCTCAACGACTGTACCTCCTCCTAGAACTACTACTGACGCAACAACTTCTTCCTCATCTACAACTACCTCAACATCTGGCAGACAAACTACTACAAGTATTAAATCTACTTCAGATACTAGCACAAGAAGGGATGATCGGTATCTAGATGACCTAGACGGAGAAAAACGTGGTGCACCTTGGTGGCCTCGGACGAAAGTGGACGATAGGAGAGAAGATAGAAGCTGTAGCGGTACTAGTACCAGTAGAGGTACTTCTAGACCACGACACCATCATATGCCTACGCGCACGGAACAAGCAAGAACAACCGAAGACTATGATGAACACGATGACGAACATGACGAGCCTCCTAGTGCAGGAAGTACAAGCGCAACTAGCAAAAACCGTCGCAGCTTTTCTACATCCAAGAGTGTACGTTTTGCGGATCGTCTGGAGAGCCCAGTAGTGTTCGAAAGCAGCGCGTTGGGCGCACAAGAAGAGGACGAGAACCCGACATCAATTTCGGGCTTGAACTTGTCACCGATACCACTGCATAGTGAACCGTAGGATGTTGCGCGGGTCATGTAGTTGTATTTACTACATGATGATGATAGGTCTACTTGTGAAGATTTTTGAAGGGTCATCAAAAGATGATCTCTGACTTTTGTATGTTGACAAAGACAAATAAACAAGCAAGCGCGAGAATTTTTTTCAATCTAAACAAGAACAAATATCACGTTTCTAGAAGTGAGAGTAAGTAAGAGTCTTTTGTTGAGAACAAGAAATTGAAATTCTAAGTCTTCAAGTTTTTTTTTTGTACAGAGAGGATAGAACATCAAGGTTATGACGATTATAGTCCAGCGACTGAAATTTCAAATTCGAAGAAACCATAGCTCTGATGTACAGATAATTCAGATGCTGTAGCTGAAAAGAATGAAAAGAGCCTAGGATTAGGAAACACAGGGAATGTTGCGATTGTTGAATTTCTTAGCCAAAACTTGAGACACCTTGTAAGGAAATACTAGCAGTACCACAGTAGAGACTTGGTGGAGACTACTCGGTTAGAAAATGAATCTAGACACACATCAGTCGTGCATCAACAGAACGAAGTATCTCTGTATTTAATGTTCTCAGCTTTATTCCCCCTTCTGCTCGAGTAGATCACTACTAGAGCCTAAAAAATCGTCCAGAAAATGGAAATGAAAATGCATGATAATTATGATGATCAATAAGCAACTACAACAACCACTGAAGGAGAATGCCTGACATCAAGAAATAGAAAAGAGGACTACACATTTATTCTTTCTATCTTCTGCGATATAAAGATCCAAAAATGAACGCTAGTTCCGAAAATAAGCTTGTTCCAAATTCTAGAATCAAGAATATTAGCATCAAGATCAGCAACAAGATCAGCATCTCAATCTCCAGAGAGAAAGGTACGTACAAAAGATCTTCAATGTATGGGTATGCACGTACTACGTACTAGGTCATCAATGTTGTTCTTTCGTTCGTTTTCTCGATAATGCAGATCACATATCAACGTTCTTCGAGCAATATACTTAATTTATCACCTTCTGGAGTCAAGATGTGTCATGATTACTGAAGTCACTTTTTTTCGTCGAAAAACTTAACAATAAACTGAATACAGGTTGAGTTTACAAGTCTTGTATTTGTTGTACTAGACTTTTTTTTATTTACTCGTTGTAGAAGCTGAAGCAATAGCATCGAGCCATCATTAATATTCATTCATGAAAGTGGTAAAAAACCCGTTTGTTTTCCTTGTTTCCAACGTTAGTTACCCATTTGTTACTCGCAAAGTTAGAAAAAATGAAAAATGAAAAGCAGGCTTTCATCTCCCAGTGCTAGGGAGAAAATTTCCGCGCCAAAGGGATACTGGGATCATAGTCAAAATTCTTCGCCAGGAAGATCTAGTAGTGCTGAAAGGAAAAACCAAGCATCATCTCCCAAGATTAGCGTTTCTTTTTCTGGTTTTAGTGGTATATTAACAACCGAAAATAAGATGAAGAATCCGCCAGGCGCCGCACAGCCACAGAGAACTAGTGGGAAGACTAGTATGAAGAAGGCACCGTCAACTTCTTCATCGTCGACGCCCTCATCCGCGACGTCTTCGTCCTCGAAGCTGATTGTTGGTGATGGGGAACCTGCGTCGTCATCTTCTTTGTCTAGTAACGCTTTGCATTTAAGTCTGGTGCCTATTTCTTCATCAACAATGGCTTTTGCTACAGCCCTTCCCCATCTCTCCATCAACCAAGGCAATACCAGGATTCGAAATGAGCTGTGGATAAACCCCGTGACAGGCCGTGTAGAAGCGTATCAGACGTCGGCCGGCTACGCCAATGTTCTGAGCAAATGGGACGATCATTTGGCTCGTTCTTGTAATTTGATCACGCCAAAAACCCAAGATCCAGCGTCCTCTCCGGAAGAATCTGAGCACTTAATCGCGCAAGAAGAAACATTTGACGCAGTGTTTAGAGATGACTATTCCAGTGATGAAGAAGGCGAAGATGCTAGAAGAGAGAATGGGAGTGATGGCTCTGCGTCACAGGACCTTGGCGGCTCTGAGGATGTTGATAACCTCGATGGTCAAGGTGCGTGGATTTCGGAAGTGAATGAAGCTGGAGAAGAAAAACGACTTCATCTTCTACAACCTGAAAATATAATTAGACCTGCTTCAACAGCTTCTGGAACTAAAACTATTGCATCATCTTCAACAGATTTAGTTGTAGCTTCTCCTCCAGGAGATAGCACAACAACTACCACGACCACTGTCTCTACGACCAAAAATCATCATCATTTTGCGCCAAAAGACACCAAATACGAGTCTGACGATGAGGAAGACAAGCAGTATCCGTACCTCTGGTTCCGCCGTCAAGGGAAATGGACTCCAGACGCCGATGCGGAGCTTGTCTCTGGCGTTCAGTGGCAAGCTAGCACTGAAGCTAGAGAAATGGACCTCCTGTTCGAGCGCTTGCCGCAAGAAAAACGTCGCACACATTTGGGCAACGTTGGGCAGAGAGGTGCTGCTGGAGGCGCAGGAGGACATGGCCAAAGCGAGTTTCATCGAATTTTCCGGTTCTGCGATGAGAATCCAGACTTAGTGAACAGCCTCGATTGGCGAGCCGTAGCAGCATATGTCACCTGCACAGTAAATGCGAAAAAGGTGCGGTCGTATTGCAATAGCACCAACAGAATGAGACACGAGGAGCGACGTAAACTAGGCTTGATAAGAAAATTAACGACAAAAAAGGGCTTTGGGTTTGAAGGAAACGGTGTAAACGGTGAGGGTGTAGTAGAAGAAGAGGATCCAGCCGAAGCCGAGTGGTGGGAAAATGGAGACTTTTTTTTAGATGAATTAGAAGATCATGGACAAGAAGGAGAGCCGTCATCTTCTTCATCATCTTCCTCTGCGAAGAACAATTCTAGTAGTAGGAGAAATAACCTCTCACAAGCACAGCAGGCAAAACTCCTAGCTTTACCAGACGCTGTAGATGCTGATGAGATTACAGCGGAGATTTTCACGTCTTTGCTAGAAGGCAGTGCGCAGAGCGCGATTCCGCACATCCACTTGGTGAGAAAACGCAAGTTGGCGAAGAAGAAAGCAGGAGCAGATAGCATTTCAACAAAGCAAAACCTCCCATTCCACCAAGGTAACAACAAGAGCCCATCTTCTTCAAATAGAAATAAGCAGTGGTCTTCTGAGGACGATTTACTGGCAGACGACGATCGAGCTACTTTTGGCGAGCACGAAGAGTTCGATGACATTGAAGAGGTTGTGTTGGGCGACGGCGGAGACGACGAGGCGGATAAGGACAATATTACTGCTGAGAAGCAACAGGGACACGATGAACAAGAATTAATATTAAGGGTTCCCACATTACATCCCTCACTAGTATCATCCCTGACTCTTTTTCCATTTCCTGTAGGAAAAAATGAGTCAGGGATCACGTTCTGAGGAATGATGTAATTCCGTAAGAACTTCTAATAATAAGTCAAGATACTTCTACAACTTCAACTTCCTCCAGCGGTCTGAAAAACAAGATCCGCTTAGTCGTCTATTCCGCAAGAGATTGCCTGCAAAGATTCGGGTATCTGCGTGAGGAGAGAAATAGCTTGATATGGGAGAAGACCAAGAAGACCGCTAACTTCTTCACTTCGGGCCTGATGGAGCGTCCGTGGTCTAAGGCGGAGGAAAAAGCCCTACTAGCACTGCTCAGTGTCTATGGAGAGCGCGGCAACTGGGTAGAGATCACGAAGAAATTGACCGACTTGGAGCCACAGATCATCGAGGAGGAAAAGCGAGAAGAAGCGAAAGAGAAAGAAGGAAATTCGAGCATCAAGTCGAAGAAGAAGAATATGGTCGTGGGACTGGGAGGTAAAAACAAGAATACGGGAGGCGCAGGCGCTAAAGGTAGTACTTCTGCTGGAGGTGAAAATGGTGACGAGTATGGAGAAGCAGATAAAGAAGCAGATACTTGCACCTCCACTTCCACTGGTGCGAATATGGCTCGTCGTCCTCGTTCCGTCTGGGGTGTGTTCACGCATTATCTTCGCGCCTTGGACAACTCCACTCGCATGTTGGGGTTCGATTCCAAGGAGTGGTCTGAGGAAGACAAGGGCAGGATCCTCAGCTTTGTGCGTGCGAATTGGAGTCAGCCTCGCTTTCCTTGGCAGGTTTTTCAGTATAACCACATGCCGAAGAGACCGCTGATGTCGTTTGGTCTGGTGATGCGGAAAATGGTCGGCTACCAGAATCCGGAGTGGTCTAGACCCGAATTAGAGAGGCTAGAAATCATCCGTCGGGTGATGCGACTGCCCTCTCACAGTAAGAAATGGCTCGTCGCTGCTGAGAATACTACGCAAGAAGGAGTACTTGGAGGAGCACAGGCAGAGCAGACCACGACCACAGATCTTCAGGTGGAAGGAACTTTTAGTTCCAACGACGCAGGCAAAGACACCGATCTTCGTTCTCTGATCACTCCCAGTGAAAAAGAGCTTCTGAGTCAACGTTTGTTCATCGACTCTTGTGTCCCTGACTTCTTTCCGGAACGCATCGTTCTCATGCTGAAACGACAATTGGAAAGGCAAGAACAAGCCCAAAAAGTGCCTTTCAAATGGACTGCTGAAAAAGACGCAGCCTTGAAGGAGTGCATTGAATTCTATAGGCCAGGCATGTGGCAAGAAATATCGGAGCGCATGTCATCGAAATACGGCTACAAAGTCCCACCTTTGCGGATTCATACCAGGTTCATGCGCCAAAACTATGACGGCATGGCGGACTTTTACGACAGTCTTTTGGCGAAAAGCTACGCGTGCTTCCCGCATCGACCGGCTGGGTATGGACGATCGTTTAAACAAGAACTGTTTATGGAGCAGAAGACTAATTTGACAGTAGGAGAGGTGCTAGATGAAGAAAATAACATGCAAAAAGCAGCTTTTTCGACATTGGAGGATGTTGACGTTGGAGGTGATCATGTTGCAAGTCGTGGTACGTCTTCCGCGGCTGCTGCAAGCCCGGCCACATCATCTTCTTCCACCAGTGCTAATGGTTCAAATGTATTAACTGAAAAATACGGGGGCACTACAACAGGTGGAGTTCTTCTAGCCGCGGGAGCTGACCAAGAGCCGACAAAAAGTAATACCAGAGATTCCTCCGGACCTGCTAAGAAGAAAAGACGTGTTGTCGATAAAACTTTCTCAAATGTGATCGACAACGTTTTCCTCGATGCTGGTGAGGGCAAAAATATGCCCAGTACAGGTGTTACTGGTGGTGGCATAGGAGTATTGCTTGAAGGAGGAAAGGGCCTTCGAGGTGGAAGACGAGGTCGTGGTAATAGAAGGAAAAACAACAAGAAGAAGGAAGAAAACTTGATCGCGGATGACATGGAAGTTGATGACTTGCCATTAGAAGATGCGCCAGTAGATGGGCGTGAGGATGCTCATCTAGAATTCGCCGACTATGAGGACGACGACGACGGACTACCTGAGTACAAACGCTCTGGTCCTGCAGGAGGAGGTGGTCTTCAAGCTGCTAGTAAAAACGGCAAAGCCAACTTGAACATAGCCAATGGATCCAACAAGCGGCTGCATAAACAAGATCCATCTTCAGCCGCAATACCACATGATCATCAGGCAGATGACGCTACTAGTGCAAATCATGACAAGAAATCTTCCGAAATTTCCTTCCTCCATTCCGCCGCCACTCTCGAAGAACTTGCCGCAACTGCTACTTCCGCTACAGAGTTGAGACACAGACTTTTGACTACCAAAGTGGTGAAAGGGAACACGAAGTTGGATCAGATCTTGAAGCGTGGTATTGTGAGACGCGCTATCGAGAAAACAGAACGAGTGGCGAAACTTCAAGGGCGTCAAACGAGGGCAGAGAAGGAAATGGAGAGAAACATGCTTCATGACTTGAGGCAGCTGGCTGCTTCACGGAGTGAAGTAGATGCAGCGTGAAGAAGCGGCTGTGATTGATGCTAACTACTCACTGGATTTCAGACAATCAATAGATTTTACTTATACTTTTTAGATCATTTTCCGATAGCAGTATGCGTATGGCCAAGAAAGGCTATCTTCAACGCGGACTGAGTAGTTTCGTGGTCAACGACCACACAAAAGCTACTAGGACGTTCTGCGAAGACTGTCAGAGTGCTTTAATTTTAGTCCATTCAATGTACAAGTACATCTCTTGCTTAAGAACAATAAGAAGAAAGCAAAAAAAAGTACTAGTTGTTCAAAAAAAGCAGGGCGCTTCAAGTTACATGTACAACCACTCAAATCCACTGATTTTTTTACCTTTCTCAAGCACTCAAATATCCAAGGACATTTATCAAACACTCGAACATCAAAGGATATTAAGATCACTCGTCGTAAATCACCCGATCTTCTAGGTCTCGGTATATCTACAACAACATGATGAACAGACTTTACACGACGTTGAAGATGAAGCAAACAGAACTTTTTCTTGAACATCGAAAGGTGCTCCCGAATACAACCTCTCGTCTCTTGTACTTGCCGCTGGGCCAGAACGGGTTCATTTAATAGTGAGCATATTTCCACCATACACTGCAACTTTTTACACGAAAGAACACTACTTCGAGAGCAAGAGAGATGCAGCAGAAAGATTGCGCTCCACGATGAGGCAACTCCCAACAACAGCGAAGTTCTTCAATTAGGATCAGAACTCTCATGTACTAGTTGTACTTACTTAATTCAATTGGTATTGAGTACACGACCTCCCAAACAAGATATTCGAAGTAGAACATCTTCAACATCATAGGTAATTGTGATTTTTCAACATAGTCGTACGTAGATTTAAAAAACCAAAAAGATGACTTCTTCTCAAAAAGAGAATGAACTTGCTTCTGAGCAAAACCTCTCCGCAACCAACGATACCAAGGAGCCAACCATCAGCGAGTTGGCTAAGCAGTTCTCTATTCTCGGGACAACCTGCTTCGGAGGCCCATCCGTCCATTTGGGCGTGTTTCAGCAGATGTTCGTTGGCAAGTGGTTTTCGGCAGCCCTCTTCGCGGAGTTGATGGCTTTCGCCCATGTCCTTCCGGGTCCAACGTCAACACAGGTTGCGTTTCTTATAGGATTAGTGGTTTTGAAACAAGGCAGACAAGATTTTATTGCTGAGAATGGGAGGACGAATGCCATCAAAGGCTCTTCTACGTTAACAACGTCACTTTTGGGTGGAGGTGACAGAGCACCATCACCTTCTAGCGGGACATCTTCATGGCCATGGTTTGTGCCTGGTCTAGTGTCCGGAGGATGTTTCATCTTACCAGGATTCCTCTTCATGTGTCTTTTGGGGTACCTGACAAATATGGCACAGAGCGCACCTTCTGGAGCAGACCAGAGCCACATTGCCGCTTGTTGCTTGATTGGTATGGCGAGGACTAGTGTTTTCCCCACTGCATTGGTATGACGAGCTACATCTAGGGTTCTTCACGATATATTTTTAAATACTTACTTGTTGTACTTATACTAGTCGAAGGAAGTGGTTGTTCAACCAAGATGGAGGTCATCGTTGTTTCAGAAGATTCACGGACACTCACACCCTCGTCCCTTTTAATACTCGCCTTGCGTCTGTTGGCTGGGGGATGGTCGGGAGCGCTGCGAAGGGCATGATTGGTGGAACCTGTGCTGGGTCGCCTTGGAAACTGACTGTCTGTGGTGGGTCTTGCGTTGTGACGCTGCTGCTGTATCCGACTCCCTACGTGGACTACGTTTTTCCACTTGTAATCCTCACTGGAGGCGTTGTGGCAGTGCTGAAGGGAGGTACTTATGGAACTTCAACTTTTTACATTACTACTCATGGTGCTGTGATGTAGTTACTCATGATCTTGCTTTTGCTGTTTGTGTTGATTCATCTACTTCTAGTACTTTCGCGCACGACTGCTTCGTTGTCGTTTTTCAACACGCCTTATCTGACTGTCACCAGGTGCGGCCGCCGCGACAAAAGCACCATCAGCAGACGAGGAAAACCAGCAAGCTGACGCGAAAAACGGGAGTTGTACTGAGAGAACAACTAGCAGCACCACCAGATTAGTCAGAGAAAATCCATTTGCTGTTTGCGTGCTCATCCTTTGGACCGCATGTCTGGGATATTCATTATCCTTCGCTCCTTCGGATAATGAGGCTTCGACGGCCAGTAAAAACGAAAGAACTCTAGTAGAGTTAAGGGTAGGTTAAAGGTGCTCATTTTCTTACCGTTTGTTATAGCTCTCCTAAGAGGGACGGCCATAACAAACGGGATAAACGAACACAAAAAGCCTACCTCTAATAGAGGCACAGCAAGAGCATCTTCAACCCCAGCTGCAACAAGAAGATGGTCGTCTGTTCACTGTCTTTCCAGCATTCTACACTACCGGAGCACTCGTATTCGGTGGTGGGCCGGTCGTTTTACCGCTACTGGACAAGAAACTAGTAGACACTGGCAGAATAACGAGTTCAGAATTTCTAGCAGGCCTTAGTCTTGGTCAAGGCATTCCAGGTCCGATGTTCAATTTGGGCACTTTTCTCGGAGCGCTCTGCCTTCCGCAAAACCCTTTTTTAGGCGCAGTGCAAGGATGTCTCGGAATCTTCTTGCCTGGAGTGTTGCTGATCTTTGGACTGTTTCCTTTCTGGAGCGCATTGCGGGAGAAGTCGACGCTCTATCAGAGTGCTTTACCAGGCATGAACAGCGCAGCAACGGGACTCATAGGCGCCAGCGTCTTCGTCTTGTATCATCAGTTGACCGACCAAGTCGCGGTATTGCACGGAGGAGATGACGCGAAGCCGAGTCTGTCCTTGGGTGCGTACATTTAAGAGGACGATGCTGGATTCTTACACGTCGGAAGTTCTTCAGCTTCAGCAAACTCCTCTAGCTTATTCACGTCATCTTGTTTTTGTCTCTTTGACCTCCAGCTCGTCTAGTTCTTTCTTTCTCTCTCTCTCTAATCTCCCGTCCCCGCCGTTGCTATTATCGGAGCCCTGATGACGGATGTTTTGAAGATATCGCAGCCCCTGGCGATCATCGGCGGAGGCGTCTTTACTGCGATTTTAGGAGGAGCTGGCGTTCTTTGAGGAGGCACGAGTGAGGGTGTCTGAGGAAGGATACACTACAGAGTTCTTGAGGTCAGATCCGGTCGTGAATGTTGTATGTGAAGATGGTTGAAGAAAAGCAAGGTTATAGCGTTTTATCTGTTGTAAGTATTTTTTAGAAGATGTATTACGAGAGGATAGACGGATTCCAAGACACAACTTAACACAGACAATCTGCGTGACACTGAGCAGGAGCAAGAACCACTAGTACGTGGTCTAAGTTGCTGAAAGTGGAGGAAACGAACAAGTTTGATTGATGCGGATAACTAATACCACGCCACCTACGTGAGCCGTATTTGAATTTTTGTCGCGAAGTTAGACTTGTTTCGTGTTTGTACAGCTGAGCTCTCAGACTGTTGTAAGCTTTATGTTTGAGAGGGCGCAAAGAAATCATGATGTAGTTGCTAGGCATTTTTCTTCTATTGAAGATGCGCTTGGACGGAAGCGCTTGGGAGTTGTGAAAAAGTGTTCTGTTACTCTGCGGTCAGGAAGCTTTTTTTGTTTTTTCCATACTTACAAGATGAAGATGCTCTGTTCTATTTCACCAACGCGTAAGTCCAGGTGTCCGAGAGTGAAGACTGTGACCGACGAAGGGCAGGCAGTCCGGCCCCCTCGTTCACTTAGACTTCATCAGCGATGAAGATGAAGAAGGCCAGGACCAGCAGAAACAAGGGCCGTAGTAATTGGTAACTTACTTCTACGGCAGAATATTACACGATCATCTAATATTATCTTCACCGAATTTTTATTTTTTCTTCAACATCGACATCGACTCAACACGAGGACCTCCTGTAGAACTTTGGTCACTTTATTCGTAAGGGGACCCAGAGTTCTTATCTTGAGTTCTACTTTCTACTACAGTTCTTGCTGAAAAAGTTGTTCTTCAACAAACAGCAAACAAGATGCCGGCAGGCGGATACAGCGTCCAGCCTCGTCTGGACTACCAGACGATCGTTGGTGTCGAGGGTCCCCTCGTCATCATGGACAATGTCAAGTTCCCAACATTCGGTACAACTCTTTAACGATGTAGAAGTAGACTTGTTCTCTACAACAACTTCATCAAATGTTTATTCAACGAAAATAAATTGTAATTGAACTACCTCTATGTTGATCGCTATAATCCGCCAAATAAACCAGGTGAGATCGTCAACGTCTGCCTTGCGGATGGCAGAGTTCGACAGGGACAGATTTTGGAAGTCAACAAAAAGAAAGCGATCGTTCAGGTCTTTGAGGGAACCTCTGGCGTCGATGTGAAGAACACCCACATCGAATTCACTGGAGATGTCCTCAAGATGCCGATCTCCGATGATTTGATGTTATGTTGAGGTTGTAGTTTTGACATAATCATGGTAAGATTTCACCTCTGCTTATCCCGTCAAACAATAGTGATAACGATAAGATATTAAAGAGATTTCAACATCCGCCACTTCCATAATGAATCTTCACGACCATCAGTATCATCATCATCATCATCATCATCCTTAAACTCCTTTTTCCCCCTCTAAGCACAGGCCGCGCATTTAACGGTAGCGGTAAGCCGATTGACAAGGGACCCCCAGTGTTGGCAGAGGAGTTTTTGAGTATCCAGGGTAACCCGATGAACCCGAAGGCACGGGTCTACCCGAAGGAGATGATTGAGACCGGTGTCTCAACAATCGATGTGATGAACTCATTGGTAAGAGATACTGATTGCAACAGTCATGTATTTCTGACTTGAATCACACCAAACTATAACTACCAATAATATTAACTGATATTTATTACGGTAAAAGATGTTTACGCTCCTTCCCACTACAACTAAAATCAACTAAGTACCAAGAACAAGAAGCAAGGATTCGTAACAAACTTTTGTGCTCGTGTCTCACTACCTATATCTTCTCCTAGGTCCGAGGTCAGAAGTTGCCTCTTTTCTCTGCCGCTGGTTTGCCGCACAACGAAATTGCGGCCCAGATCTGTAGGCAAGCGGGCTTGGTGAAAGGAAAGGACGTGATGGATCATAGTGTAGACAACTTTTCTATCGTTTTCGCGGCAATGGGTGTGAATTTAAGGGTTGAAATATTTCATTTTTGCACGCTTTTCTCCCTTGAGTTTGCAGTTCTTCAAAAATGAAATGTTTCAACCTTTAATGAATATGGAGACGGCGCGATTTTTCCGCAACGATTTCGAGCAAAACGGAAGTATGGAGAACGTTGTGTTGTTCTTGAACTTGGCAAACGATCCAACAATTGAACGAATCGTCACGCCAAGGTACTATACAGCTTAGTTCAAACGATCCAACAATTAAATCGAACCAATTGTCACGCCAAAAGCCTCGGACCTGACACACAATCAGCACCACCAACACCACCTCAGATTGGCCCTGACGACTGCCGAGTATTTCGCTTACACGAGAGAAATGCACGTGTTGTCAATTATGACTGATGTGTCTTCATACGCCGACGCCTTGCGAGAGATCTCAGCGGCCCGTGAGGAGGTTCCCGGTCGTCGTGGTTACCCAGGTTACATGTACACAGATTTAGCACAGCTCTACGAACGAGCAGGCCGAGTCGAGGGAAAGAACGGAAGTACTTCTTAAATCTATCATTTATTGTAGCTAGAGTAGTTACTAGTAACTCCTACAACCTTGTTGGTCGTCAGCATCCTGAATAATTTACATCGTTACACTCATACTCATTCAATCCAACGGCGACATTATGGTCACTATCCCAACATCCTAATCGCCGCAACCCACACCTAAAATGAAAGGTATCACGCAGCTCCCCATTCTCACTATGCCGAACGACGATATTACCCACCCGATTCCGGATTTGACCGGGTACATCACGGAGGGACAGGTCTTCGTCGACCGTGGCCTCCATAACAGACAGATTTATCCTCCGATCAACGTGCTACCAAGTTTGTCGCGATTAATGAAGAGCGGTATCGGAAAGGGTATGACCCGAGTGGATCATGCTAACGTCTCCGATCAGTTGTACGCAAACTACGCGATTGGACAGGTACTGAGGAAGAATTACTGGAGTAGAATTAGTGGAGGAATAGTTTCTCGCTAAACCTGAAACTTAATAGAATCCTTCATGCAAGAGCAAGAACTTCCATCTTGCTCTCCATCCAAGAACTTCATATACTACTACATCATCTTCATCAACACCCTTGCTCGTCCTCCTTGTTACTCTCCGACCCCACGACCCTCCCCGACACCCTCCCCGACACCGACTATTATCATCATAGGATACGCGTGCCATCAAGGCGGTTGTCGGTGAGGAGGCCTTGAACGACGAGGATCACCTCTACCTCGAATTTATCGACAAATTTGAGGAGCGCTTTGTGCAACAGGGACCATATGAGAAGCGTGACGTCTTCAACTCCTTGGATCTGGCATGGGAGTTGCTCCGGATCTTCCCGGAAGATATGCTCAAGAAGCTGCCAAAGAAGATCAAGGACGAATTCTACTCGCGTGACCGTGAAATCGCGAAGGCAGCTAAGGCATAAGTAGTTATTGGGTTTTCCTGTCTTCACGTTAACTTGTTCTTAGTACTAGTTGTAGAAAAAGTGTGACTCTAGTACTTAGTTTGTTGATGTAGTCGTATTTTTTAAAGGTGAAACGTTTGCGTCAACGTAATTTGGATGAATGAAGGTGATCCAGACAATACTTTAGGTAGAGGCCATTGCGACTATAGTGGAGTCTTAGTCGCAGGCAGATTCTTCATGAAGAACGCGAATCTAATTAATAGAGATGTTGAAGAAATAATTTACGTTGTGGATTAGCATTAGCTAGCACTCTCAAGGTGCAATGTGAAGTATCACGACTACTCTACTAGGTAGCGCAACACATGATCAGGGGTCTTCTTCATACCGCAGAAAGAGTCTACTAGTACAACTCTTATACCCTGTTCTTCTTGACAAAAGAGTCTGACGAGTCTAGTAGTGATCTATCGCCGTAAAGACAAAGAGGCTCACGTCGGCTAAGTTTAGAAAAACCTTTCTACGGAGTCTATTGCGGCTCACGAACATATCGTACACATCCACGCTTACCTATGAGAAGCTTATCAGATAACTACAGCCACTTACATCAATTCTTATACGATCCCCAGAAAGTAACTAAACAGTCTTGCAACAGGACACGACATAAAAGGTCGAAAGTTTAATGGTGCAAGGTCAGATCTCGGGACTCGTTTTTGCGACGGGTTCTGCGAGCTGACTTTTGACGGGAAGAACAAGGACAATCTGCTCTTCACCAATATTTCTTGAGATTTCTTCAGCCGGAGCGAGTTGACGGACGAGCCTGCTATACACGAGGAAGGAAGTCTACTTGATGGTCTCTGTTGTTGTTCACCATTCCTCCAGCAGCAAAAGCAAAAAGATCAAGCTTGTGTGGAAGAGATCCATGTAGTTGTGGATCTACATAGTTATAGTGCGAGGTTCAGAAGGCGCGGCTCCTGCATGCTCTTCAAAGAAAGTTCATCGTCACCTGGACTGAAAAATCCAAATGTGCTGTAGTAGGTTCATGTTTTCTGCGTTCTTGGTGTAAAAAGCGCTGAGAGCACTAGCATGTTGACCAACACGTTGTAGCCGTAGGTAGTCAATGAACAAATTATAGAAATGATGTCCTTAATCCGATTGCAGCCCTTGGCACAAGAAGCAGAATGTCGGACCAGCCACTGCTGAGGAAAGCAAGTCTTCAGGACGAGCAATCTCCTGAAGATGTCTTGGCTCCGGCAGAAACCGTGGCAGAAAGAACCGAAGTTGTCGTAGAAGACGGTGGAGGTGCTTCATCTGGTGATGGATTAAAAATTCCCGAAACCGAAGTTGTCGTAGAAGACGGTGGAGGTGCTTCATCTGGTGATGGATTAATACCCGAAACCGAACAGAATGACGCTGGTCCTGCTGATGCTGGTGGTCCAGGTAAAGAGGCTTTGGTGCCACCACCAAGATCTCGTCAACTATCATCAATGGGAACACCATCGACTTCAAGCCAGGAACAAGAGCTTGATGCCTTGCGCATTGCGGTTGCAAAGCATGATGAGGTCTTAAATGCTAAGAATGAGGAATTGGCCAGGGCAGAACGAATGCGCACAAACCTATGAAAAGAAAATCAGTTATCATTATCAAGTTTCTGAAGTAGAAAAGTACGATAATGATAACAGATTTTGGTTTCATAAAACCTAAAGAACGCAACGGACCAATTACAACGGCGCATAAAGACACTCACGGTAGAGAATCAAGAATTGAAAAGAACTACTGGAGAAAAGCTGCAGGATAGTTCTGGTACTAGTGGGGGCACTTGCTCGGTGAACGACGTTAAAGCAGCACATGATACTGTGACTGGTGCAAGTAAACCCAGTGCTGATAATTCTGCTACAACCCCAGGTCATGGTGGTACTAAGACGACAATCATGACGCCTGGGCTGCAACAAGCAGCTGAGCATCATTTTATAGGAAGTCCAGCTGGCTCTAGAACAGCGTCAAAATCTTCACATTCCGCAGAAGAGGCTTGCTTTGGCGACACTCGCCTTCTGGAGCAGCGGGACAGGGAAATCAAGGAGCACCTAGACGCGATTTTGGCTAGAGACGAGGCTTTGGTCCGGAAAGAGAAGGAACTTCAAGACCTGCAAGCTGAAATGTTGTTGCTAAAAGATGAGAAAGATGCGACGATATTGAAGGAGAGGGAAGCTGCAATTACAGCGATGGAAGCTGAAAGAAAAGCCAAAGACGCTGAACTTCAAACCAAATCCGCGCTCATCGACCAAAGAGATTCTCTCATACGCGAGAAAGAATCTCTTATTTCCGAGAAGGATTTCTTGATCCAAGAGAAGGAGCAGAATTTACGCACTGCCCAGAAAGAAGCTTTGAACTTATCGCTCTCTCTCGAGAGCCAACGCGAAGCAGAGAAAGCTGAGGTTATGCGAAATGCGGAGACTGTGATGCAAGAAATGGCAGTATTAAGGGTCGTTGCAACTTGATGCTGATGGGCTACCTAGTCGAAAACTCAAAATATCCGAGTAGCCAACTGAAATAACAGAGTCATTACGCTGCTCTGTCTTGTTTCAGTTGTATCTCATCTAAGAGCATACTTATCTTCTATAATGGCCTCGTCTCACTTTCTAAGGGGAAAAAGGATAGACGCGCGACCGCGAGCTAGATAGGTCAAAAATTTGCAACCTCTAAGAGTGGAGTTGAAGGAGAAAGACGGGATTGTCCAAGCAGTGAAAGACATGATGCGTCGCGCGGAGGAGAGTAGAGCAGAAATGGAGTCGGAGTTGGCGAAAGTCAAAGAAGACTTGGAGAAGAGGGAGAAGGCGATAGAGGAATTGTCGACTGAGAAGGAGGCACTGCAGAAGCGATTGGAGGAGACTGTGGTAGAACGGGATGAACGAGTTGAGATTTTGCAAGAAGAAAAAACTCAACTTGAGAAGAAGGTCGAACGCAGAGAGCAGGAATTTGACTCGGAAAGAAAAGAAGCCGAGCAGCGAGTCTCGGATTTACAAGCTTCAGAAAAGGACCTACAACAGCAACTTGCAGAAGAAAAAGAACAACATGTGGAAACACGACAATCACTGCAGACAAAACATCTCCAAGAACAAGGTGAGCTGAAAACCACATTGGAAGAGGCTTCTAGCAAGCGCGAACAGCAGAAACAAGAAGAATATGCCGAACAAACGGAAGCTAGAGACGAAATGATCATCTCACTTCAAAAGAAGGTGAAAGACTTGGAGGACGAATTGGCATCAGAGAGGAAGCGACCGCAATCCACGGACGATGCTTTGGACTCTCTAGAAGAGGACTTGTCTGCTGTATTGCGTTTCCAGCAAAGCGTATTCGGAGAACGCAAGCGCGAAGATGAACACATGAAGGAATTGAAAGTTATGTGAGAGTGAATGATAGATAATAGCTTGTTGTGATTGCTGGTGTGGAATACTCCTAAGTTCAGGTTCATCTGTTGTACCTTTTCTGATATTTGTTCTAGCTAAAGAGTTGCTTCTACATTGCCGCTTCTAATGAGCAAACCAGCGAGCTTCTAGAAAAACGGCTTATCTCTCTCGCCGACCAAAACGCGGAACTGCAGTCTAGATTGGTGGACGTCACCGCCGAACGCTCTTTGCTGGCCGAAGTAAAGGACTCCACGTTTGGCAAACAGGATGATCTGATAGTCGAACTGCAGACGATCCGTGCCGAAAACAGACGCTTGCAGCACAAGCTTGCTAATGTCCTGGACAGCAATGCGCAGAACAACGACCTCCGAGCTGAGAACGGTCAGATGCGCCAGCAGAGTGCTTTTCTGGTGCAAGAGTTGTCGCGACTGCGTAACACGAATCAAGCACTGTGCAGACAGTTGTTCGATCCAGAAGCGGAAATACACTTAGACAGAGCTTCTACTTCCTCTCAACCTAGAGGAGACGGACCAACTAGAGGAGACGGACCAACTAGAGGAGGATCTTCTACAGCGACGTCTGAAGAAGACACGTCTGAAGAAGCAACGTCTTCATCAGAAGACTCGGAAGAGGACTTGACAAAGACAAAGACGGGTCAAGAATCCACGAAGAAAACGTCTCGAAGAAGAAACAACAACAAGCAGCTTGATGAAAATAACCCTCTAGGATTGGGTGTAGAAAATGGCGGACGTCGTCGAGAATTACAACCCGGAGGATCAACGAGGACCCCTTCCATGACATCTTCATCTTCGTCTCACCACCAACATGATCAGAGAGGAGTAACGCAAGACTTGATGGAAAAATTTGGAGACGAGGAAGCGAATTGTCTTTTAAGGGGGCAGAGGTCCATGAACGAAGCAGACGATGCCGATCGGGAAGTCAGACAGTTGTTAAGAACGATAGATGGGATCATAGACATCGTTATTGTTTGAAGCACTAGAAGTAGTTTGAACAATTATGCCTATGCGAACTCCCTACATCTAAATCTATCGTGGTTGAACAAGAATCATGCAGGAGCCATCTATAACATCTATCGTGGTTGAACAAGAATCATGCAGCCGCGTGTAAGAAAGTACGTACTTATCTTCTCTAACTTTCGCAACCATCGCGCGTTTACAAGGTCGCTTGATCACTACCGAACAGAAATACCTTGAAGAGCGTGTCCGCATGGTCGATAGGATACGAGAACTGGAGGAAAGAGGAGCTCTTAGTAGTTCTAGTGACTGCTCTCAGTTTCAGCCTCGTCAGTCTCAACAAGAAGAACAGGGAAGATCGTCATCTTCCTACGGTGCTTTGGTTCACTATGGAAGTGAAGCATCGACGAATCTGCGAGCAGCTGGGGCAAGGGTGGGAGGTTACTTCTCTAGTGCGGGTTCAGCCTCAACTTCTGCCTCAACTTCGACATCAAGTGGAGTTGGTAGAGACAACTTTCTTGCTGGTCTGCATAAGCTTAGTGAGCAGGGGAGCCGAGAAAACAGAGAAATGTTAAGAGCCTTCACATGATTAATGTCGCAACAAAAAAGAGTACTATGACCTCGTGGATTTAGGTGAATCTTCTAACTTTTGAGACAACAACAACATCGGGAAGAGGAGCTGGAGGACCTGAAGGCATTACTGGTGGAGCCTCAGCGTCGGTGTCTGCTGTGGGTGGGAAAATTACGGACGCAGTTTCGTCGACTGTCTCAGGCGTTGGTAATCATATAGGACAGGCTGTTTCGGGTGTAATTTTCAGAGGATAGAATAAAAACGGCCGTTTAATAGGGTGTAATTTTCCGAGGATGATGAACAAGAGGGAAAAAGAGGACTCAGAAACAGAATTCTTGCGGCAGTTTCCATCCTCTGGTATCTAAATCTACGCACTAGATTTACAACTACAACGATTTTCTATTTATCATGAAGATCATGCTCCTCGTGGTCGTCCCGTCGTGACACACACTTACAATTTCACTTACACTTACACAATTCTCTCCGAACGAGATAGCGACCAGGAGTTGACAACGCTGGGTTTTCTTGAGACGAGATCTCTATCGATATGCACCTTCCTCGTCCACTTCCACGCTTGCTTATTTTGTTCTCATTTTACATGCGAATGCGTTCCGTGGTGTGTTGGAGAGAGAGAGATGGGAGATTCATTGTCTGAGATGTTGAAACTCCAAGAATGTCACTCGTCTCACGTCGTCGGTCTCAATCACAACTCTTATCACTGTTGCCGCTGTGGCTTTTAACCGTTCTTAACTACTTTGTGCTTGTGGTCCTCGGCCGTTAGGTGGATGATCGGTGTCGGTCCTACTTAAATGTATATTAGATGGTGTCGGTCCGTCTTCTAAAGAACCGTAGAACCGTAGTTCATCCACCAGTATAAAAATTCTTTACCATGATCTCCTCGACGTCCTCTGAGGACACAGAGTCCTCAGTGTTGATCTACTTCTTGACGCCCCTCTGTACTTCCAAAGGTACAACTAGCTTTGCTAACCCTGCCGAATCACGGCAAGCCAACCTCCACATCATGAAGTAAAGAGCCTTGCTCCTGTGTACACCGTCATCTTCAGTAAATAAAGAATTTCGGGCGCAACCATGTCGTGTTTATAGATAACAAGAACTCGTGGCTGTGGCAGAAGGAGCAGTAGTTAGATTGAACAAGGACCTCCATCGACCATCTCCACATGTCATGGAGTACTTCATGGCATACGTACAACAATGCTCCCCGTCCCCATCTAACTTTTAGACAAACTTTACAATATGGTTGTCCTTGTTGTAGTACAACATAGTGGTATTAATAGTTCTAGTACCCGTACCCCCTCCACCTACACTTAGTTGATGTATGCCCATGCATTTGCGTAGTACTAGCAGTCGTGGAGACTAGTCTGCAACTGGTACTGCTTTCTCGACAGAGAAATAAAGTTAAATTCTATTGATGTGCAGCGTGCAAACGGCCGCCATGTGAGTAGCTGCACACAGCACATGCCAAGACCAAAAGATGCCACCTAAAGCAAAGAGCAGTCCTGGTGGCAAGAAGCCTGCAGCTTCGCCGAAGAGTCCTGCATCGTCACCAAAAAATGGAGCCGGGTCACCTAAAAATGGAGGTGGAGGGAAGAACGCGGGTGCGAAAGCAAAGTTAAGATTGCTCTTGATGATGATAAAGCTGAATCGCGTACTGCTTCGTGATAGAAGTATCTTTGTATTCTTTCAACATGTCTGTTTTGCCTTCTAAACGGATTTCATATTTGAATTTGTTGTCAGGATGATTATGATTTTTCGTCTTCACTTGATGATGATACCTTAAAATATTAAAAATCTACTTCAATCCTTACAACGACTTTTCTCTCGCTGCATCGAAACTTAGCAAATGAATGTTATATAAATCGCCGTCGTGGTGACTTTCTAAAACACGCGAAAGCTGCTCCCACTGCACCAGAGCCTAAAGGGAAAGCGAAAGCGAAGTCGAGCATTAAAAGACAAAATACTGCGCGACTCGTCCCTTATACAGGAGATGACGAAGACCGATGGGGGCATGCAGGGTTCATGTTGGAGAAGAAGTATTCAGTTGAAGATACAACTTTTTTTTTGAATTTTTGTTCTTGGTCTGAATGACATGCAGGATGTGGGTTGATTAATATTTATTAATATGGAGAAAAAATTAAAGATTAAAAAAAAGTTGCCTTATGTTGGACCAAGCCAACTCGGTACATTGTCCTCATACCTCTCATGCCCTTCTTAAAAAACTCACAAACTACAGGAGCAACTACGAGAAGTTACAGGAGGACCATCTCCGTTTTCGGACGCAATACCAGCCAGACAGTTCACTCCTCACTTATGAGAGGTTCCCCAATCCCCGCTACTAGCTGATAAGAGGGAATAGTGCAACCCGCCCAAGAACTTCTGATACATTTTTGGGAGTACTACTTAGATAGCAGTACGTAGTTATGAAGTATGAACACGGAGAAGCCTGTAAAGTTGATATTGATTAGTACGTTGTTGTCGAGGAATAAGACACTTAGTCTAGTCTAGGTGTTGGTATGCTGGCCAATGATAGACTCACGGTAATGTAAAGAATAAGAAACTGCTTCTTGTTCTAACCTTCCCTCGCGCAATTTCCGAAGGGATCGGTCTACATCGACCCACACCACATCTCCATTATCGATCAGGCTAATGCGTTGGTGATGCAGGATCGGGAGGATGTCAATCAGATAGGGTAAGTTATCTTGTTTGTTACGATGGTTTTTCTTTATTTTACTGTAATTTCAGAAGGTTTTCATTTGCTTCGGCTTCCTTGCTAGCTTCTGGATTTGGTGACGTGATGTGTGCATCTGCAGCTTCCCGTCGAATCAATTTGAAAAGCGAATGACTTCTAGGCACATTGTGAAAACCTACACCGCAAATTCCAGGTTGTACAAAAACATGACTCCTCTTCAGTCTTCAGATGATCTATAATCACCTTGAAATGCCTTGACGAGGTACAAAAACATGACTCCTCTTTACATGGCGGCGCGAACTGGCAATGTCGAGATGGGGGCTTATTTGTTAGAGCGTGGAGCCCGTTTGGACATGGCTGACGCAGACGGAATGACGCCTCTACACATAGCGGTTCTGAAAAAGCAGTCTTTGGCGACCGTGCATACACTCTGCAACAAAGTAACAGGAAACCGCGAATACCTGATAAGCAAACGAAACAACGGTGGATTTACTCCACTTCATTTGGCTTTATGAATGAGATGAGTATTAGATAGAAGAAGAACATGTCGGTAAGATGATAGTGATATACTAGAGTAGTTTATAGAACGGATGTAGGATGGACTTGGATGGATCGGATGGACCCCCCTGATTCTTCCGATCCTACTTGAAATGGTGGAAAGTCCATCCGTTCCATCCGATCCATCCCATCCCGGATCTGGCACCCCTATAAACTGCTCCATGATATACAACGTTGATGAACATGTTGAGCATCCCTGTTGAAACAAGTAGTGCTTAATCGTCCAGAAGAACGTCGACCACGCCCTTGTTGAGGTCTATGTATTGCGGCTTCTGTACCACGAGGAACACCCAGATTTCCGTAGTATCTAGGATTACGGCCGTCATGTCCCTTTTTCATTTCCCGTGCTCAATTGCGATCGGCCTATGATCAAGCTATTAATTGAGATGGAGGCTGACCCTTTAGAGCGAAACGAGATTCTCAGCAACGATACTGCTCTGCATATGGCCGTCCGAGAAGACCGGCAGCCGCCAGAATCCCACGAGGTGATAGAGGATCTGCTATTCAGTGTCTACAAAAGTTAAGGCTATTTTCTTACTTCTATGTATCCCATGTGCTGTGGAAGTGGAGTATGAATCATGCTCCTTAGGCTGAGTCGAGGAGTCCCGCCTTCAGATGGAAAGGGGAAAATGATGGAGAACAGGGGCATCTCACTCAACTAGGCTCGCAGAGTGAAATTCTAGCGCTAAAAAAGAGCCAAAAAATTCGAGGATGAATTTCAACCTGACGAAGCCAAAGCCCTGATGAACCCTCAAAACGCGCATGGGGACACACCCCTGCACGCCGCTGGTTTTCATCGTGCGGTAGAGATACTCTTGACGTATCATTGTGCGGGAAACATTCAGAATCATGATGGAAAATACCCCTTTGAGGTGTGCAGAGCGGGGCCAACTGCACGAGCTGTTTTGTTACGAACATGAAGTAGCTGGTCCCATAATTCTCTCTCCTAATATCCCACTCCCACTCTAATCCGCAATTCCCTGTTACGAAAGGCGCCATTGAGGAGACGGACGGACTTGCGATTCGACCTCCCCACAGTCGACAATGCTTTGCGCTTCGAACACAAACAAGATGTGCATAAGAAATTCACGTTGTTGTAGTTGTTTAGGTCGTGAAGTTGCAAAGAAGACTGTAGCGATCGGGTAGAAAGAACCACACGAAGTTACTAGTAGTAACCTGTACATAAAATAACCTCCTGTACATAAAATGAGTCATGATGTAGATCAAAGCTAGTACTAATATTGTTGACTTACTACACATTTGTTCTTGATCATGCCATTGTCTCGTTTCGTCTTGAAGATTACCATTGTCTTTGCCATTGCTATCCTCGTATGAGTTCATCGAACTTTTGTTTCAATTGTTATATACCACGTCGACCATCAATTACACAATCACAATGTCATAACATGCCCAATGAAATTAACATTTTCGTTTTTCATCCGAAATTAGCCAACATCCAACTACCTAAATTCTTGCATCGATTTTTTATCACAATGTCATAGTGATTGTTGCTATGATTCGTTTAAGTTTTGATTCTACATCTACTTGCATCCATCTACTTGTCATTCATAGCCAAATACAACGTAAAGGCACTTACATCCATCTGCATGACATCCATAGAAAAAAGGATGCCAACGCAACTTCTGCACTCTTCAGAGTCGACTGATGACATCAGCTTCAGCAATATTCTTTCGCATTTTGAATGCCGTTATTTTTCCCCTGTCCATGGGACTGCAGACACCAATGACGGAGAGAAGTGTAAGCAGAGACAGGAGAGAGTAGGTGTACCTGTGATGGATAAGTAGAGACACGAGGATAGCTTTAGGTTTAGCTGTGCTAACAAGAGCCAAGAACAAAAATGAAGAGTGAATGTGTATAAATTCCGCAGCGGAGCGAAGGGTTGAAAAACTAGTAGTTGTAACCTACTAGCCCTGGTGCTAGTATCTGTTTGAAAAAGGTTTAGAATCAGCAAACAAGTTTGTATATTAGAGACCCGCACCAGAAAAATTTTTCGCGTGCGGGTCCACAACGACCACATGTAAAAAATGTCACTGCTACTCCTCTTGTCGTTCTTCTTTGACTTGGTCGCCAATGTTGATGGTGCCACGACACGACGGCTGCTTCCCACCGCATCCATCCTGCCGAAGGTTCAGCCTCCTGCGGCTGCGCCAGACCCAAGCTCCTTCATGGTCAAATGCATTGCGGATCTGAAGCACGTGACAGCCAAAATCGACCATTCCTATACCGACGTGCAAATTTAAGGCTGTAAGTCAGTCAGGAGTACTATCTGGAGTCAGTGTGTGCTGTCGTTTAAGGGACAATTCCTCTTGTTAAAAGTAAAGCGAATGCTAAGGGGGATGAAGGGAATCCACGTCCACCCAACTTCTAGACTACCTCTAACAAATGCTAGATGCGTTAGGACACGAGTGTGATTTCAACCATGAAATGCCTCTAGTATTCGAGGACGGGTTTAAGACCACGATGTCCTGTCGCCATTTTGCAAAGGAACTCACAAAAGCAAGATGGGAATATCTAGAAAAGGGAAGCGATAAAGGATATGTTACGGTACTAAAGACGAAGACTGTGCGCTTTAGATATACACCTAGGTCGTGGCACGTGAGATGAAAGTCAATGTGGTGCTTGTGGTAGATCAGTGATGTCCTCCAGATGACTTCATTTGAGATGAAAATGTAAAAAGCCTTTAATAGACCTGGTCCCACGTCGTGAGGAAGAACATATGAATCTACTCATCCCAGGTCTGCAAGAACTACTGGCAATCTGCGCACGCGAAGCCGTTTTTGCCGAAGGTGCACCGCCCACCAGGTCCGACGCAGCTGCAATGGTGGTGGGCCCTCTTGATCTTTCTTTCTGGTGTTTTTGCAGTCTACCTCGTGAATCGGAACAACGTCAAGAGCTCCCGTCGCGCTGCTGAGGCCTACGCAGACGCCACAGCACGAATACTCAGGAGTGGTAGAGGATGGAGCTGAGGAGAAAGGATGAGGAAAGACGTTTCATAAATAGATATGCTCGCGGTAGCTGTAAGAACAAGTATTCGAAAACTCAAAATAAGCGAGCTACTGAGTGAAATTAATAAGAGAATCTTGACTATATTCCTCTTCTTTCAGCATCTCCCTTATTTTCAATAGTTACTCGGTTATTTCAGTTTTTCGAATACAAGAACAGACTTGACACCTTCAGAAGATCCTTCTCATTGTAACTACCATCTTATTTTTTCCATGAGGATGAAGACGTCGTGTGAATATGGAAGGACGAGGACTGATGTTTTGTATAGGTGAGGTGGAACAGGGAAAAAAGATTGGCGCGGTTGTACCAGTCCAGCCACTACCAGTACCAAAGATGCGGCCGATAAAAACATGCAGCCAGCATCAAACAAAGAACGGCGTACGTAAGTGACAACACATTCATAAGGAAAAGATGTAAGTAGAAGTCGAGATGAAACAAAAATACTCCACGACCTAGGAAAACCACCTCAATGGCCACCTCCCGAAGTGGAAGTGCCACATCTGGTTAAGTAAAAAGCAAGAAAGATACGAAATCGAACATCAAAACAAAAAATGGGCGCCCTACCATCAAATTTCGACGACGTGAACGAACCGCGGATTTTGGCGGTTTCAGCACATCGAATGGTTCAGCAGATCGTGGATAACGTCTACCACGACCCAGATATGTTTCCGGCTTTGAACTTATGATGAGTAGATATGTTTATGTTTATGTTTCCTGCTTTGACTTCTCATTTACAACTTCTGAACCTTGTAGTTCTACTTCAGCAAGAAGTGTTTAGAAGCAAGTTGGCTAGAACAAGTGCTACTGGTATGCCGATTCCAATAGCGTCACAGCAGACTCACCAGCATTGCAGCGCTCCCACATTGTAGCATAGCAATTGTAACGTTTCCGAATGACAGCTCTGCTTATGCTCTAAGTCCGGACTGCTCCTGGGAAACGGATTGGCGGAAGTTGACATCCTGGCTAAAAAAGAGGGACATGCTTGACATTAGCTTGCATTCGTTCAATTTTACGAACGCCGATCATGCGTGGAACACGTTGTTACATCGTGTTGTGGGCGGCAAGAAACAAGTGGAAGCTAAACGCTACGCGGTGAGGGATGACTACTTAAGGAAATTGCACTGGAAAGTCGACTGCTGGAGCTGGTGCGTGATTGATTCTCTTGTTAAATGAGTCTGACTTCACTTGGTCGTTCCCTGCTTCTCTGTGAATGAAAAATATCCCAGTCCCAAGCACCATGCTACTGTTGTTGACGAGGATCATGCATACAACAATAGCGGCAACTGCAGCTCTAACCTTCGGGCTAGGAGGCAGAGGCCTAGGAGGTCATGGACGAGGTCATAGAAGGAAGAAAAAACGACATAAACGTGGTGGCAAAGATTCGCCTTCTGCGAAGCCTGCAGAGTATGATGACCAGGTTGCGCCAGCTTCTCCTTCAGCGATGAAGAGTATCGATGAAGATGAATTTAGCCCATACAGTGAAGTTATGGCTGGAGAATCAATGTTACAGGTTTTGTTGTAGCAGCTCATTCAGAGGCCTTTTCTACGAAGCAGGAGAAAAGGAAAAGTAGCAAAGGAAAGTATAAGATGTAAGTGTAACAATCTGCCAGCAACCCCTGCAAGAAGAAATCTCCTTTTCTTCTAAAGAGGAAGAAGACGACGAGCCGATGAATTCTAGTGAAGACGATCGACCTCTGTCTAGCGGAGACGAGTATGATGGGCCTACGGAATTGAGGCACGTGCAGAACAATAATCCGATGATCCTGTGGACCTTGCGGTTTCTACTCATGAGTACGGCTGTGTACGGATACTTCATGAGTTCTTGTAAGGAATTATAGGCAATTCTTTCTGTGAGCAACAAGAACAGGAACAACGAGAGGATCATGTTGTGGACGACCGCCGGATCATCCACCTACTCAACGTGATCTTCTCTAATCCCCACCTACTAGTTTTTTCTAATCCGGAAAAGGCCAATCCGAACATCATGAATTTGCGTGGAGATACGCCTTTGATGACGGCAATAAGGAATGGACATGGAGGCGACGTGGTTGCATCCCTGTTGGAGAGCAAGGCCTACGTGAACTATCGCCGTCGTGATTATCCTGCCAAGCTCTTGGATGACGAGGTCGAAGTGTTGAAAACGAAATTGCTGAAGACAGCGCAGAAAAATACAGTTTTATGGACGCGTGGATTGATTCTTTACATTCTAGGAAGGGTTAGTGGGTACTTGATTGTTCATTCTTGACTTGATCATCTAGTACAGAATGGAGTAGCGGCTGCGTCTGCAGTAAACAACTCAATATTTAGAGTTAGAGACTCAGTTTGCTGAAGATACATTTGTGATTCAGATGATGCATTTCCGTTCGTTGGACTTGACTTAATGCGTTTCACTGTCTTATCTTTATTTGACGCAGAAGATGAAGTTGTCACTACATCAACACCGGACGAGCAGACAGGAGTAGCACTGGCAGCAGCATCTACACCTGCATCCACTTCTCGAAGTATTTTTGGTATAGCCTGAATTTGATCCTAAGGGTTCTCTTCTTGTTTTCCCTTAGGATCAAACTCAGGTTCCCAACACCCCGCCCCTTTCCTCCCTTTCATACCCCATCACCGCCAAACAGACTGCCGCCCGCGGTCTGAATGAGGTCGATCTGATCGCAGAGCTTCAGGAACAAGAGGTGGTTGTGCAGGATGACCTGGATCGTGCTGTGCGTGAGGTGGAGATGATGGTGGACGAACTGAAGGATATCGCAGGCAATGGAAAGGCTGGAGCCGGAAACGATGGTGCTGGAGGTTATGAGTTGGGTAGATGATGAAGAAGATGATCCGAAGAGGTTTGATTTTAGATCGACAGTATGATACTTATAGATACTTTTGGTGCGAAGTTGAGATCGACATTTAGTCCAGCATATTATTAGGAAATCGAAATGATTAGTTTAAAACTTTGAATTTGTGTCACAGCGTCTGAGCTCTAATCCTCAGCAGGTCCTTCTCGTGGTCTCGTTTCCTTCGTACCTGGCAATTTGGAGTATTCATCTGCGCTTACACTAGCTGTACGCAGTGGAGCAGACGCAGAAGTTATTATGACACTGCTAATGCAGAAGCGACCAGCTTCTCCCAATGTCAACTGCGCCGACGCCGAAGACCGTCTCAAAAGGACGCCTTTGCATTACCTCTGCCGACGCAAAGACTTGGCTTTAGTCTCCGTTTTCCTTCAGTCTCGTTGCACCCAGGGTTGCGACCCTAACTTACCGGACGGTCTCGGCCAAACGCCGATCTACGTCGCCATTGACCAACGTCATACGGAGATGATCAAACTGCTTGGCGACGCCACTACCCAAATCATGACGTTCAAAGAGGAAATACCAAAGCTAATCCGCAACAGATCGCACGAAAACCACGTCTTAGCGGCGTTTCCGCAGTTGCCGAGGTTCGCGACGCTGAAAGATTTAGGGCTACCAGGACGAACTCATCTTTTTAAAAGGTAAACTTGACGCATTTGCATTTCAAATAATTTGCATTTGGATAATTTGCAGGGAGAAAAATGGTCAGAGATGGATTGTATCCGTAAGCTGATGAACTAAGGACAGTAGATCTCCATCTAAAAGATAGACGAGGCAGAAGGATTCAGAGGGATCCGACACAGGTGAGAGTGGATGCCTTCGACAAGTTTGGCATTTCACCTCTCCAACATGCGATTTTGAAGAGGTGGGGAGAAGGAGTGAGAACGATCTTGCAGTATTGGCCGAGTATTATTATGGCGAGCGCGGCCAGGGCATCAGGAGACCTAGTCCATCTCCACCTAGTAACAAGTTTTTATTTTGAAGATAGAGCATGCTGCTCATATACTCAACTTGAGTCGCTCGAGCATGCATTGACTTGTAGTCTTACTTAAATGCATTTGTTGTGACTTGTTCATACACATCCACTGCCTGAGACAGTCAACTTGTCCATACACTTCAAGCACAGGGTCAGTAATAAGATTGAATCAAACATCTAATTCCCGCTTCCAAACCGGGCTTCCCCTGAAGTCCGCCGTTCGTCTCAGAGACGTGAACGACGTCTACGCCCGTCAGCAGATCGTTAGCCATTTACGTCTCGTAGGCTGTGACATGTTCCCTGCACCCGACGCCAGAATGGCCACCGATGACCAGTACTTGCGAGAACTGTTGACTTTGAAAGACGAGAATGATTATGGTCAGCAGAAGTTTTTCTGATAGTATAAAATATGATGGACTTCGTGCTGCTGCTCAGGTATTGTAGGTTGTGCCTCTAGCTCTAGGTGTAGTTTTTCTCATTTCTAACACTGATGTTCTCTCCGCTTCAAAGCTTGTTTGTTTGTCTGTCTCGGCATGATCTCGATACTACGAGGACCCTTTTCCCTTGTATTTCATGTTGGGAAAGGGGTTGAGAAGATGAGGGGACGACAGAGGTGGAGAAAAGCTGACTCTAAAATGAGAGGGCCAAGAAAGTCGCAGCAGGTCAGGGGAAGGCAGTGCAATTGCTGATGATGCAAGTGCCGGGTCATGAAGCTGCGATGGAGGCGGTGGAGACAAGAGCGGAAGGTGGGGATGGTTATGGCACTTGTCAGAGACCCCATACTGGTGGGGTTGGGTCTTTTCTCTCGTTATTGTGTCAACAAGCAGCTATAGTTGCAGCCATAAGTTTCTTCAGTGAATTTGAAGTGATTTCTGTATTCCACCACTTTCATCCCCCCGGCGACGGCGCCGCCGACGGTCGTTCCTCGCCGAAGAAGAAGAAGAAGCGGAGACAGGAGGAGAAAGCCGAATTGGAGCAGCTGGCGGCGAAGGCGGAAGATCCTATAAACTACTACGTACGACGGTACTACAATGACGCTGGGAGCGATGAAAACTCCATCACGTTTTCTGTTAGACAAAGGTTATGGCTTCTATTCTGGTTTTTGCAGGTTTAGGCACAATAAAAATAGGGGAAATCCTCGTAATACAAAGAAAAGAAGGGAAGTTCTTAGAGAAATTCGTAGAACTCAAAGAGGACCCAGGGAAGTCGTAGGCCCAATCCGAATCGACTAACATCATCACAAAGAAAAGAAGGGAAACGAGAAAAGAAAGGAAACGAACATCATGTCTTTCTGAGCAAGAAGTTTGAGAGCCCAGGCCATCGGTCAATAGGACGCTTCTAACCTTCGACGCCGTCTTGCTCCAAGTGCTCGTCCCTTATGCCGCCAGCGTAGACCAACTGACAGCTGGCTTGTTCGTGCCGAATATCAATGCTGAGTGTTGTAGGATCTTGCTAGAAGCCAAGGCAGACCCAGATGGGGAGATGAAACAGCACGACGCTTTCGTTGCCGACTACCTGGAACACAGTGCTAAGTGGTACGCGTATCCGCAGTCTAGCTGCTTGAGGGATGCCGAGACTGCGCCAACTGCGAGTGGTCGGGACATACACGAACAAATGCTGCTAGCCAAGAAGGGCCGCAAGAGTAGCAGGTGGGAAGCAGGACAGCGTCCGGGAGAAGCAGACACCGAAGCCATTGCAGAGAACCCCAGAGGTGGTGAAGAAAATGCTATGGGAACTGATACTCCAGAGCAAGTGAGTGAAGTTGGAGATACGGCGTTAGTGGTAGCGACGCCTACATCACCGAAGGGAACAACTGCGAGTGGAGCAAAGGGAGGCAAAAACACTGCCAGTAAACTAGCAGTAGTTCCACAAGACTTAGGGCATGGTGGGGTAGTGAATCGTGCTTTGCTGCGCTCCCTTGGGCCGCATGAGATCATCTCCAGGAAAAACCCTCCGCCAGGCGTCTCGGCTGCCACTGTAGCCGATAATACGCTGACGCTGGCCATTACGGTCTTTCTAAAAAACCGCTGACGTTTGTAGATAATACGCTGACGTTGGCTATCATGGTTTTTCTAAAAAAACTCTGACGTCGTTGGCTGCAGGAATCTTTCTAAAGAAAGACTTGCGCAGACTCACAATTTGTGACAACCCCGTCCTCTCGGATGACCCTAGTGTGAGTATCACCCACTCGTGCTTCTCTAACCCCCTGCATGACCGCAATCTGCTTTGTGTACCTATCGCCGCTGAAGCAGTGACCAAGGCTTCTATGGAGACAAACTACGACGCTGCGGCCGAAGAGGCTTCAATGCGGTGGCAAAATCCCGTTATGAACCCGTCCGGCCCCGTGATAAACCCTGGCTCTACAAGTGTAGTGGAACTGCTCAAACGTGCAGACGCTCAAGCCCCAGGCACTGGCAGAGGGATCCCTGCAGGGGTAGGGGCAAGTATGCCTCGACGCAAAGGTGAACCACCGAGAGGTCTGCCGGCTTCTTATTTCTCTGGTGCGCATCCGAATGCCCAGGGAAACACGAAATCAAAAGCCACGGGAGCTGTGGATGAAGGAGTAGCGACGTTTTTGTTGGAGCAAGAGCGAGCTTTGCATTTATGGGGAAAAGGTTGGTATTTTGTACAGGGCGGTCAGAGCTACTTCTAGTACTAGCACTTGTTCTTTTGAGTGTCAGACATGAGCCTAGGGGACATTCACTGTACTTGGTCTACTTGGACGCAGGCTACGCAAAACGACAATCTGTGTTCTCTAATCTCCGAGCGCCGTACTCCAGCCATGCTCGCGTGCACTATGGGCAACAATGCAGTCCTAGAGGTGCTTCAACAGTATGGAGCCAACGTGTCTGAAGCCATAGAGACGCCTAGCGGATGGTCAACTCATATTTACGGTGCCAGGACGAATGCTTTGGAGGACATTCACCTAGGAAGGCTCACGAGCTCAGCGTGAGCATGATTTGAAGCTATTGCAAGAAGCTCACAATGAAGGAGCTCAAGAAGCTCACAGTGAAGGAGCTCAAGAAGCTCACAATGAAGGAGCTCAAGAAGCTCATAATCGATCGCTGGAAGTCTCCTATTCCTGTAAGAAGTTGTGTCACGACTGAAATTGAAATAGAAGACACAACTGTGATCTGCTCTACTTCTCTTAGTATGCTTGTTTCCGACAACCAAAGAAATATCCGACGACTACGCTCTGAATCGGAATGACACTCCTTACGCACCACTTTCCAATACAAATACAAGATCTACTCTCTCCACACTGAGCAGGTTTCATCACTGTGACATACGCGAATCCCTGTCCATGATTTTCACTAGCTCGAAACCAAATCTGAATTTCGTCCTAATGTTCCCTCGTCTGCAAGCCCCAGTGCTGCTTGTTCCTGATGTTCCCAAAAAGAATGCCTAGTTCGATAATGCGGATGTCTGCTCCAATTTACGTGCCCTAGGAGAATGTGGAATGATCCTAGAACGGTCTTAGTCTCTGATCGTGGGTACTAGAAAATTGAGTTCAGGCAATGATCTATCTAAGAATGTATGTATTATGCAGAAAAATAAGAATTTCTCCCTTGATGTTGTTCTTCAAAAAAAAATGAGTTGATGTACCGAATCATAGTTCATCGTTCTTTTTCTGAATCTCCTCTCTTTGCTTCTCAACGAAGATGAAATACCCGTTCAAGCCTTCACCTTCTCTACAAACCTACTTCAGGGTCATCTCGTACATTCTGTACTACAAAAAGCTAATACATCACTAAACGTTTCATTTCGTTTTCTACTCACTTGTGTTTCACACACCACCAAACCCAACAAGATGTCTCAGCAAGGAACCGTCAAGTTTTTCTCCGAGAAGGGATACGGATTCATCCAGCCGGCGCAGGGTGGCGAGGATGTCTTCGTCCACTTCTCCTCCATCAACAAGCAGGGCTTCAAGTCCCTCAACGAGGGCGAGACCGTTTTCTTCGACACCTTCTGGGATGAGCAGAAGCAGAAGACCTCTGCCGTCAACGTGACCGGCAACGGTGACGGCGTCCCGCGCCAGAAGGGCGGCAAGGGCGGAAAGGGAATGGGCGGCGGCTTCGGCGGAAAGGGTGGCTTCGGCGGAGGCAAGGACTTCTACGGTGGAGGCAAGGACTTCTACGGAGGAGGCAAGGGATTCGGAGGCGAGCCGGCTTACTGGTAAATACTTCCTTTCTTAAATTTCGTCTTCGTTGCGTTGATCGTGTCGACACTGTGGTAGACAAGCTGGTGTAGTATGGAAATAGCACCCACTTAGACAATTTTTGTAGTTGTACAGGAAATCGAAATCATAATGTTGCTCTTGTAGCAGGTGTGCTAGACGATACTAACAAAGTAGAACCCAACAAACTAGATCTCTCAGCATGAGCATCTTGTGACAAATCGAACCCAACAACAACATCTTACTCTTTTCAGGTAAGCTTTCTCTTGAATCGCCATGATATAATCTGGGAGTTGCGCTTGAGGAGAAGCCAAGAAAATGGCCAGCACGAAAATGGCCAGCACGGGAGGTGTTTGAAAAACAACGCTATAAAGGTTCGGGAGGAACCACTCGACACAGGAATATCTGTACATCACGATGTTGAAAGAAAGATGAGAAGAACCATGACAACTACAGATGAGAGAGAGGTCTTGCTGACTCCACTGTTATCAATCATGATTGAACTATTCTTTTACTTGCACATACTTGTTTCACCAATACGAATACTTAGGTTACTTTCACTACAAGGATCTTGATGTGATTAGAACTGAGCACTGTTGCACTACCGCACTAATAACGATCAGGTCGAAGATGTTCGATGATGTTGAGCACTCAGGGGTTGTTAACGTGTTGTTGTAAGTAGAGAAGTATGTACGATCTTGAGAATGCTGGCACCCTATGCACTAAGCTTTTAATGTTGTACTAAATATTAAGGTTGGTGGTATAGAGTAGAAAACCTGCTGAGGAGGATCATGAAATGGAGTTTATTTTGCCGTTCTCCACGTGTTGACCACAACCGTTGTCACACGACACGTTGGGTTCGGTACATGATATGTCGAAAATCTAAATTTCTAAAAAATGAAAAAATTGGAAGGTGGTCGAAGGAGACGGAGGTATCATGTTTTTAGGACGAAGTAAGTAATGTACACCTTTTGCATGGGTATGGTTTACGATGCTGAAGAAAGAGAGGATGGGTATTTGTCGTTGTAGATAACTACTTTGATATCTTTCAAGGTCTTCGATGTCTCTGTAGGTCTTTGGGGGAGCTTGAACTATCGTATTGCAAGGTAATGTTACTGGACATGATAATGGTGAAGAGACACCTTGTAGGGGCTTGTGTGTCTTCCAAAGACAGGACAGTGCAACATTCACGTGTGATGAGATTTGAGGTTGTTCTATTATGTTATAAACTACATACAGATGGTGCACATATCCTCAAAAGAAACATATCTTTCAACATGTGATTTGCTATTGTCCTCTGCTACACTTTCTATTAAAAACTCGGCACCCTCCCTTCTGAACGGGAGGAGCAGAAGTTTATCTGATTGTCCAGACAGGCGTTTGAATTGCTGGAGATGTGTGTCGTCTACATGTGACATCTGTACAGCAAACGACTGTGCCCTGAGATGTGAGAGAAGTAGTAACAACGTGTGAGATCTGTCTGAAATGGTGGAACAAGAAGTAAGAGGAAGAGATAGCGAAGTGAAAAAAGCATCAAAGATGAAAGTAGATCGGATGTGAAGCTGTAAATCACTCAGCAATGGTTAGAATCTGAAAGTTGGTTTTCGAGCAGCCTTTGGCTCGTGTATTCCCACAATCCCCGAACTGTGTCTTCATACCGTGCATCTTTCAATCGTCTTTTGTTCCCGCACAGCTCTAGTGTCGACTATCTAAGTTACAGATCATTATAGACCTCACCAAGCCCTATCCGGAGAAATGTCGAAACTAACCTACCACCACAGCGAGCGAGTAGCTGCGTCGACTAGCGGCAACGGAGGCATAGCGCCTCTTTCTTCCCCTCTCTGGTAGAGTGACGAGGTGAAACCGCAACCAGAGACGCCCAGCCAGCTCCAGCTTCCTCTGCGCTAGGATTTAGTGGAACGACACCGGAAGTAGAGACTCTTCTCTCTAGTAGTAGACAGCGGCATTTTCCTCTGTCTCAATCGAGCTGTCCCTTAGTACGTCAAGCTGGCGATGCCAGCTGCATGTGGCGCGTGGTTCTGCATATTCTTTCGCAGAAAAACGAACAAATACGGAACAAAGAATGTCACGCTTGAGGAAGTCCGTATAATTTCTTGATTCTTTCCCTGACCACGCCAAGAACACTTCTTCTGCATTCCTCATTCTGCCAGAGGACCCACGGCATTGGTTCTTGGCTCTTTCTTGTTTGTCGCCCTCTACTCCAAATTTACCTTCCATCAACCCAACATCAGATACGCATCCCGCCTTCGAGCGACGCCCAAGTGAGGCACTCATGCAGGATATGTTGGAGCAGGCGGAAATCCGCAAGTCAATGGGGCAGCACCACTGTGATGACGACCGGCTCGTTATCTTCTCATCCAAAATTATGAGTTCTTGTATAGGAAACGCATCTCCAAAATCAATATCTGGACAAGGATCCCGTATGAAATGCGCGATGTGTTCTGCACACCTCTAATAAAAGTAAGGAGGCGGAGAAGATGCAGGTGGACGATAGGCAAGAAGAGAGGCGGACGAGAGATGTGCGAGGGGGAAGAAAGGTAGCTGTTCTTATGAGTACCTTCACGTTCAAGAGCACTGCTCCTCGTCAATCCTATGAAATTCCTGATTACAACTCGATCGTTTCGGTGTTGACTTGCTTTAGCATTGGTCTCACGACGACTCGATGATGAAACCTGATTAAACTGATGTAGTAAGTGCAACTTCTTCAGGTTCTTCCATCAGCGGCGGCCAAGCGGCTGGATTCATAGCAATGGGCTTTCTTTGGTAGCGCGGCGAGGCTCAAACCTGCCCATGTTGCATGGTGAAAAATCTTCGACGACAGACCGGCTGTAGTCACGATGTGGCTCCCCTCATCTGTCATCGTCGCTATCTTCCATCACGAACATACCTATTCAATTAAGCGCATGTGCAGCTTTCCAGATCGTCCTTCCCATGTCGTATTCTGTCATGTCTCGACTACAACTACTCGTTTTCTTGTAGTCTTTTCGAAGCGCATGATTCGGAGCTGGTACACTGATCAGTGGTGGAGCCACTGCACTAGAATTGATAGATCATAGGCATGATACTAGGGATCTTCATTGTCATTCCGATTCTCTTGCTTTCACAGTCCGATTCGCACATATATTCGCGTTAAATCAGTAGGTTGTGTCATCAATCATTGAATGTTGACCCGCGCGCCCCGCGATCATTCAACCTGCTTATTTTATTGCCATCAGCCACGTTGCAACAACTTTTATTGCTCGGGTGATCGATGATGATGTCCAGAGGAATCGCTGGTCCTTTTCCCACTACACCTGTTCCACTTAATATTCCTCATCGTTTTGCCTGTTTCTGCGTCCTCTTCGGAAGAGGATACTCTTTCTCTTTCCCGAAGATGATACTATTTTTCAACGTCTCCTGTGCAACTTCTCATCATGATGAAAAAAATCCCTCATCGCACTGACGTGGCTTGGCCATGAGTGTGGATAAAACGATTTCTGCTTACCAAGACTGAACAAGAAGATCATGCACATAGGAAAAAGGAAGTGCAACAATTAAGTCCTGCGAGTGACCTCTTGCTAGGTAAATGAATGAATGGATGAGTATTATTCTCTTGACAACAAGAACATCGTGCACATGGTGCTATTCTCTTGACAACAACACGTGAAGGCTATAACGAGGAGTCTACGACTGATTCGAGGCACTGAAGAAAACCAAAAGGATGTTCTCAAGAGGGTGTCGTTTTTCCTACGGAAACGGTGGCCATTTTAACCACCGTTTCAGCTGCCTTCTGTGCTTGCTAATATACCACGACTTAGCGGACGCATACTTCGAACAAGTAATGAGTCCTTTCTTCGATGACGATTTGCCTCTGGACCCAGCTTTGTGGGAGAAGGAGGATCATGGGTCTCAAAATCGTGGTAGTATGGACGAGGAGGTGCCATCATCCGTTTTTCAACAGAGAAGCCGTGGAGATCGAGGAGCGAAGTCCCACGAAAGAGCGGAGGGGAAGGGGGACAGGGAAGACAACAGCGAAGAACCGAAAGGTGACGAAGTCGTTGGAGGGGAGGCTCAGGGGCACGATGATTCCTCTTCACAGGAAGACAAAGAGGGAGATGACGAGGCAACCACAGAGGATGAAGATGGAGAAGCACCAAAAGGTCGTACTGTTGGCGAACCTAATGCTGATTCCAAAAGGTCAGAGGCAGAGGAAAAGTCAACAGAGGAAGCAGAAGCAGCAACTACATCAGACAGAGTGTCGCGCTCAGGTCGATTGCGTGAAGCCCTTAACGACGATCATGAGCGTTTGTCGCTAGGTTACGTGCACTCACCAGGGAAAGGAGAGGAGTTATGCTGCTGTTGATGAGTGTCAATGTAGCCGCGATTGAGTTCTTCTTTCTTTATTAGTGCGTTGTAGCTGGGCGAGTACTAGGAGTGCGTGTCTCTGTTGTATCTGTAATGCAGAATGTCAATGTTCAAGTTCCAACGAAAAACGTGAAACTCTGCTCAACAAGGAGATGAATGGCTCTGGTATTTGGTAACCTGATTTTGATCATGAGGAAAACAAGAAGAGAATCCTTGTGATCAAATTCAGGCTATCAAATACCAGAGCCATTCAGTAGAACAGGAGTAACATCCTCGTCTTCTGGCGCCTCTAATCACTAGTCTCCTGTACGAACTATCCTCGCCAGATGACTCTCCTTCGTCCGACAAAGACCCTACAAGTACAACCTCTTCAATCCCGAGGCCTGGGAAGCCTCCGACGACATCCGTATCGCATGAATTCGAAACTGGAGTGCATCAAAATTACCACAAGCTACTGGATGCAGTGCATGAAAGTGTGGGCGTCATAGCGCACGCTGATAAGGAGGAGAAGAATATCTTGACTCAAGCGGAGCAATGGACGGAAGGAAAACGACGGGTGGATAGACAATATCGGCATATCGTTATGGGAACGATACTGTTTCATTAAAAAAATCTTCCATGTGGAGCATTTCTAAAAAAAAGTCGCAAGTAGAGGGAACATAAACACTTCGCACAACGAGCAAATATTTCCATTTCCGCGACAGTACAACTACTTTCTACTAGTACTAGCACAGTACTAAATACTTCCATGTCTAATCCCCAACGTACCCCTGTCGATTTGGAGCATATGTTACATGACGCCGCAACGGAGATTCAGCGAGATCTGTTGCAGCCGTGGACAGAGGCAGAGCCACCCGCAACTTCTGCGGAAGAGAGGATGGCAAAAGTACTCGCGAAAAGAGCACAAGAAGAAGAACAGTGAAGAAGGCGTGAAGAAGTGATGTGGAAGTGCACATGATGATGCGGAAGTTTACAACTTACGATAGTGCTGATTATGCGGAAGTTTACAACTTCGAGTCAAGGATAAGTACTAGAAGACGTAATAATATGCAGTTCGCAAGGTTGTCCTGACGGCGGCGGCGGTCTTCTACGCCCGCGGTGTCGAAATTTCCTAGTACTAAAATTCTACGAGGAGTACGATTTGATTGTCGTACAACTTCCTATTTTTACCGCAAGAAAAAAGCATTCTAAGGAGCCCGCTGCGGGAGCCAGACGCTGCTCGCTACTTAGACAGAACAAGATTCTTGAGTCTATTGATCTCCCAGTTCTCCTCTTTATGAAGATAGTTGAAAGAACAAGATCAGAATTTTGTGATCCTCGACATCAAGGTCTCCCAGTTCTCCTCTTTATGAAGATAGTTGAAAGAAGATCAGAGTGATCGACAAGATCAGAATCGAATGGGAAACTGCAAAATCTTTCAAAGACGTCTCGTCCCCTACTCTCCTAGGAAAGCGTAGAGAACAACAAGTGGTCGCAACTTACTCGTTCGGTTTCGTTTTGTGTTGAACAAATAACAAGCCTATTATTGAATTTAGAGACTTGATTGGCTTTTTCTTCCTCGTTTCAGTTCCACCGTGCATCCGGCACGGACGAGGACAAAAGTAAGGCAATGTTCGAGCAAGCCTGTCTTCGCAAATTCAACGAGTTCCGCGAAGCACACGAAATTGTGCGTCCGCCCCGCTGGAGACAAGGGGCACTTGTATCGAATGAAGGAACCAGCGAAGAGTCCTCCCAGAAAAAGGTTGGCGGGGGCCATTCGGGAGTGATCCAAATCGAGGATCCGGAGAGCCACAAAGTGAAGATTCCATACCACGTTACTCATGAGCTGCTTGGTGCTGGATCTGACGCGAGACGAGGGCAGGCAGATGTTCTACAGGCTCAAGAAGCTCCCCTTCCATATTTTGGGTATTTTACCGGTCGTGCGATTGCTCCTGCTGTCGATGATGATGACCTCTTGGACACGGAGAAACACTTCTGCTAGCGCAAAAGAAAATGGTGGGAGGAAGGGTTCGCTAAGGCGAATCCAGACTGCATTTCAGCTGTTGCAAATATTGGATCGTTCAACAAGAAACTCACCATCTTTACTCTTATTCCCAGTGCGTACGATTACCGTGTAATCTTTGCCGGAAAGACGCCCACACTGGCAAATGGCTTGGACGACGTGGTAATGACTGTTGGCTCCTTCGCCGTCGTTACTAAAAAGCACATGTTTGAAAATCGTGGCATCACCCGGACTCCGACAACCGTTTTTGATCCGAGATACAAAGGTGTATCCCTAAAGCTGCATGCTTATGCCGCGAGGATGTGGAAGGACTCGAAGCTCTATGGTGAGACACTTTTCGTTATTCCGGTTAAAAGCATGTTTAATATTTTGGCTTCGGCGTTCCCCAGGCACGGATGGGCAGACGGGCAGATAAGCACTGCTGCCAAATGTTCTTCTGACGGGCGAAGCGATGCCGGCGATGTGTGCACTGTGAGGATCGCGTATGCGGAGTTCGCGGGCAACCCAGAGTTGAACCCAGATACAATTTTTCGTCCTCTCCCTCGTGAAGACGGATGTTGGAATTTAGGAAGAGAAGAGCACGACTTAGGACAGGCACAAGGACGACAGGTGACCGCCGACATTGACAAAAGCGGCCCGGCAAAGTGGATGTAAAAGTTGTGCTAGAAGGAGCGCGTCTTCTAGACTTGGAGGCAAGAAGGAGCGCGTCTTCTAGACTTGGAGGCAAGAAGGAGCGCGTCTTCTCGACTTGGAGGCAAGAAGGAGCGAGTCTGCTAGACTTGGAGGCAAGAAGGAGCGCGTCTTCTAGACTTGGAGGCAAGGGGGAGCGCGTCTTCTAGACTTGGAGGCATTGCGTCGTTTTCTTCATCAACATCATGAAGATTTTTTTTTTCTAGCTGAACGAAGACGCTATTATCCTCGAATTATTTTATCCGTGTCGTGCATTAAGTAGATCAACTACATGAGGGACCAATGGCACATAGGTGTACACTTGTGTGCATCGGAACGATCATGAATACTTCGAGTAGAATCATTCGAGGACCACGAGGTGGAATATAATGAGGGATAAAACCTTTTTTTCCGGGCTTGGCTTTGACCATATTGAAGTCCTCATATTTCTATCGTCGGTCCGAGATGAACATAATGATGTGCTGCGTAGCGGCAGACGAGGAAGCAAGAGAGAGTACTCGAAAACTGGAAATAACCGAGTTGCTGACTGAAATAAGGGAGGTAAGTAGTAGCTTCTAAAGGTGCTCACTTCCTTGTTCAGTATCTCGGTTATTCTCGTCTTTTACTCGGTTATCCCAGTTTATCGAATAAAGCCGTCACACATGTCTTGACGACAGGACTTGTTTTGGGTACTAGCTCGACCTTTTCTTGGGTACTACGGTATATGCGTTTGCGCCCGCTACTAGCTCCACCAAGCAGAAAAGATGAAGAGCGTCCGTTTGATTCGCGCGACGACTGGAGAAGAGCTTAAGATACAAGTAGATGATCATGTCAGTGACGGCGTTGAACAAGAGACGTCTTCAGCGTCGTTTATCGCGTTCCTGACCGCACTGTCAAAAGAGACAAGGATACCTCGACGCTTCTTACGAGTGGTATTGGAGGCGAGGGAACCTCAACAGAAAAACGAAGAAGAAGCTAGTCGTGTTGAAAATTCTTGTAACGAAGAAGTAGTAGAAGACGCTGTTGGTGATGAGGTTGAGGACCACGGAGATGAACTTGAAGATGAAGTTGAAGATGTACATGTACAACTAGTAGAAGTAGTAGAAGACGCTGTACTAGGTGCAGGTACTAGTGGAGAAGTACAATGTCAAGGTACAACAGGTTCTAGTGTAGGAGAGGGAGAGGAGCCGCAGGAGACACCAGGACGAGACGAACTTGAAGATGAACCGAAGCAGGTAAAGCCTCAAGCAGACAACGAGCACTTCTTGGTGAAGGATATTTCTAATCTTGCCGATTCAATACAAGTAGACGTTGTCGTTGTCGATAAAGATGCTAAAATTGTTTCTAGAGGCTCGGGAGAAGGGGACTCTTCATCTTTCTCAGAAGATGGACAAGGTGACGATGACCTCCACGATAAAGCGGTTGTTAGAAAAGGAGAACTACTGGTACCTGCTTCTCAAACGCATCAAACTATTCTTGTTCTCAAAGACGACATGTTTTCCTCTACGCTGAGCGAGATCTCTTCGCGTTCCTGGCGCTCGATTCTTGACGAGGTGAGGGTAGAGTTTGCAAAGCAGGGATCCCTTTTTGGACATTTAGTGGTGGACGTTGATCAGGATTCAGTAGGAGGTCGAGACTCATTTTCACAGTGTCAAAGAGAACAGAACAACCTCCAGAACAAGCTTCAAGTAGAAGTACAACAGCGGAGAAGTACAACAGCAGATGAGCAGCTGGAGAAGTCTCCTACTTCGCGTAGTTCTAGTTCTTTCACCTTCACTAGACAAGACGAGGACGAAGAAATAGCGTTTATCTTTCGAATCTGGCGTTCTGATCCCTTCTACTTCGATGCAGTTGTCGGCACAGAAGAGCTTGCAAGGCTTAGTCGCATTGTTGCATTTGGGCCTGATGCTGATAAAAACAGAGTAGATGTTGGAGACAAGAAAAAGAGCATGATTGGCTTTAGAAATAAGATAAGAGCTTCCACTGCGTTCTTTCATACAACAAGAGGTAGCTCTCCATCTCCCAAGAAGAACGAGACCAAAGATGAAACAATTCTCTACAACAAGTCCAACAAGATCAAAAAGGCCACATCTACTACAACATATAGTTCTACATCTTCGAGACGAGAAACGGCTACACTCTTTGATTACGACGGGGATGGTCGGACCCTACTGGCAAATGCCTGCTCTGATAAGCACCTTCAGTGTGTCAAGTTCTTAATGCGGCATATTCCCAATTCTCAGCTTGTCAATGCGCCAGTTGGGGGTATGCGAGGATGTCGAACGAGGGCAGCTTTATGTGCCGTAGAGCACAGGAAGAGGAAGGACGTAGATTCAGAGCAGCACCAGCACCAGGAGAAAGTCGTAGAAGTAGAAGTGCATCCAAATGAAGACGAAGACGATTTGTCGGTATCTATCCTTCAAGCCCTCTTTTTGGAGCCAGCAGAAATTCTGGGGAAGGCAGAGGATGACAACGAGAATTACCTGCAAATCGAAGTAGAATTGGAGGAACTTATTCGGGAACAAAAAGAACAAGCAAGTGGTCTAGGAGCTGGCGCTGGCCAGCAGCATGTTCATGAAGATGTCCAAGCAAGTTCGACAAAATTTCTTTCCTGCTCTACTTCTGAAGGAAAGAAGTTAATCAAGCGTCAGATGGCGTTTTCTGAGGAGGTGAACCCAAACGTCACGGAAGAGTCCACACTAGCAACGCCGCTTCATCTCGCTCTCAGATTGGAGAAATGGAAGACTGTGAAATTTTTGTTGCGGCATCCGAGAGTGAATTTGAATTGCTGCGATGCTACAGACGTTTGGCCTTTGAGGTTTTTTGCCGAGAGATGGCATAGATTGGACCCTTTGCTGGTGGAGGTGCAGGTAGTACCTCCAGGAGACGACAATTATAGCCAGAACCATACCCTGCAGAAGAAGGAGGAGAAGAATCAACACCAAGTAGAAGTAGTGAAGAAGAAAAAAGCAAACGGCGCGGCTCGTCGTCAGAAGACACGGGGCGAAAAAGACATTCAGGCTGAACTGAGATCTGTAGAAGCCCAGCTAGAAATCTTGAACATTTTGGTTTGCCATCATCGTGCAAGTTTAGAACTTTGCACTACTCAAGATGCTGTTGAACGAGGAGAAGGAGCTTGTTCTCGCGGAAGAAATAGTAGTACCAAGAAAAGTGAAGAAAGAGAAACCACAGTACCAGTAGACAAAAGGACAGTAACTGTAACTTTGCCTCCCAAAGCAGCTCAAGAACCAGCTCAACATAGAAAAAGTGCCGAACGGCCTTCTCCTTCATCTTCCAGAAAGAAGGTAGTAGATGAATCTTTCCGAGAACGACCCAGCAAGGGTGATACGGTCTTACATATCGCCTGTCGTTGCGGCAACGTTGCTTTTCTCAAGGCAGTTGTGGAACAGGGAAATGCCAAGAGAATGGCCGAAGTCGAACTCTCACTAGGCGGCCAAGTTCGTAGCTGGCGAGGCGAAAAGATGCCAGTGTCCGTGGTGGCATTAGATATCAACTTCAATAAGGGCAACCTGCGAAAGATGGCGAGGAAACAGATGTTGGAAAGTCGTACGAAAAGTAATTTGCAAAACGAGCATATTGCTGCTTCAACAGGGGATGTAGATGTAGACGAGGCAGCTGAGGCGTTAAATGAAGTTTGTGCTCTTGCTGCTGAAAATAAACATGTACAGGGGAAAGATACAGAAAAGCAAAATAACTCTATTGTCCAACAAAAAGATGAACAAGATCTTCAAGGAGATCGCTCCAGACCTCCTAGAACCATCATAAAGGATGTTGACGCTCCTGAACAAGTTGTAGTGTCCTCAGAAACCGATGTCCTCGAGTATAAGGTTCGTCGTGTCGTAAATCGCGTCAATGACACTGGTGATGCACCTCTCCATCTTGCGGCTACCTTTATCGCTAGAACTATAAAAGACAAACGCAACTCCGCGGAAGTCGCGACACAGATGTTAAGGCCGCTAGGTATACATAGCAGGTTTGATGTTATATTTGCCCTTGGTTGGCGCTAGGTTTGTTTTTGGCGTTCCTGTAAAAATTTGTTACCTTCGTTTGTTTTGACTGTCCTCCTGACGAAGGACAGCACAAGTACCAGCCGCGCGAGATGAACCTAACACCAAAAACGACCTACCTCGTCTAAAGACGGTTCGCCTACTGCTTTCTGTGGACACTACAGATGGAGCCGCAGTGGACGTCTTTGGTCGAAGTGCGATGCATCTCTGTGAATGCGTGAACCCTGTCCGCTACAACAAGGCAATCCGCTTACTTCTAGACTGGTATGAGCGACGTGGTATGCGGTGGGAACTAGGTGGGGAAGGAAGAGCTCGAGCTGCACAAGAACAAGTTCATTTAATACATCACTCAGTTCTTGACGAAGAACCGAAGATAGTTACTAGAGTGCCTGGTGGATACGGGAGAGAGGCTTTTGGAGGTAGGATAGAGAACACCAGCAGCAGCTCTAATACCCTTGCTAGAGGTGATGTTAGAGGGTCACCAAGTGGGAGCAGCAGCAGCAGCCCTAATATTCTTGCTAGAGGTGATGTTAGAGCAGGGTCACCAAGTGGTAAAGATCAAGCTCAACCACACAAGACCGCAAGACGTAAGAAAGCACCGATAGGAGGTGATGCGGGAGTCGACACATCCAATTCCGCAAGAAGTCCTACGTCACATCCGAGTTCTTCACCATCATCGAGGAAATCCCCACTACCTCCTGGCAATTCTCCTCTAGCTAAAACATCTTCAACATCAAACCCCGACAAGAGTTCCCTTGCTAATATCGATGACGATGGAGGCAGTACCTTCTGCTTCAAGCAAGAAGCACATTTTTTTCATGAGAGGATCCAAGAATTTCCATGGAGAGCCGAATATCCTGCAGGGATTAAAGCAGTTCCAATACCTAATGTAAGTGAATTCTTCCAAGAAGAAGATGAAGTCCAAGTAGAAGTAGATGGAGGAGGATGAAGATGAAGTCCAAGTAGAAGTAAGTAGATGAAGGAGGATTAATCAATAGCATGTGCCTAAAAAAGGTTTTCATTGAGTCCGCTATGTGACAGGCGGCTGTGCCATCTGTCAGCCGAAGAAGTGTTGGAAATTCCTTGGAAATGGAGGTGGAGGATCTTTTCTGATCATCAGTAGGGGTAGGGGTCGTCTCGGACGATCTTCTATACCACTTGAATTTTCAAAATGTACTACATCCTGGTTCATGTTTGATCACAGCATCTTGTTGGCTTAGATCCTACTTTCTGCTACTGCTCAATATATATATTCTCCTAGAAGTCGACCTTGATGGTCATGAAATGATCGCGTCGATCCCTCGTCCTGCAGAAAAGGATCAATAAAAGTAGATCCTATAATATCCAAGAAGAGGCAACGGGAAATAAAGGCTGTAATGGCAAGCTCCTGACGATTTTCCTGTGGTTCCTAGAAAGAAAGGATCTTGATCCGATACTGGTTCTGATGTAACATTTTGTTACAAATTACGTTTCGTCAGGACGTCGGGCGAGAGGAGAATGATATTGATATACAGTTCGAGTACAAGTACAAGGACAACAACAGCTCTTACCACGTGCTTTGTGTGTCAGTAAGAAAGTGTTGTTAGAAGACGTATTCCCCGACCATGCCTTGTTCGAGAGGATTTTATTTTGAAAATCGTATTTTTTGCACCACGACCACGACGCCTTCAATGAAAAAACACCATGCCGAAGCGTAAGCGGAAGGGCTCAGCGCATAGTGGCGCGAATGATCAGGTTTCATCTGTAGGCGAAGACTACCCCGTGCAAAAAAGCGACCCAAACGCCTTCAAACGAAGAAAAGTATCCTCATCTACGTCATCTTCGTGGCATTCTCAATCAGGAGGAATAGGAAAGGTAGGAGGTCCGACTTCGTCATGGCCCTCTTCTACTCCATCGTCTAGTTCATCTTCGTCACCAACGAGCAGGCAACATGTCGCAACGTCCCAGACGAGCATCCCAGACGAGCAACTTCAGCGGTTACTCGTTCCGAGCTCCACGAGACAGCGATGCTATGAAGACGTTATTGAGCAGCTGCAGACTCTAGTTGTGGGCCATTTGGGTTTGGATTTCTATCTGAAACCTCAAGGCTCTTTTGCGCAAAACTTAGCTTTGCCGACAAGCGACCTGGACCTAGTGCTTTGTCACACTCAAGACAGCATTGTGGGCAAAACAAAGAGTGTGCGTTGGCTGCAACAGCTAGCGGATTGGTTCAGAAGTAGTGGGGCGTGGAGTGGCAGACATGGTGACCACGGAAACAGTAAACAAGGTGGACATATTCTTCATAAAAAATCCAAGTCCTCATCTTCTAGAAACAACGACGACGACGATCCTTTCAGTCTGCGAGAATGCATATTTACAGCGCGAATTCCGATTTTGAAATTGGATTACAAAAGTTGTACTGGGACTGGGTCTTCAGACTTTACTTCGTATTCTTCACGGAGAAGTGTCGTGAACAACATTGAGATCGATATCAGCGCTGGTGATGACAGAAGAGGCGCCGCTGATGCAGCTGTTGACACGATATTGAACGACTTTGATGCACATGCAGCATCAACAAGTGCTGCAGGTGGTACAACAAGTCCTGGCACAACAAGTCCTTCAAGATTATTTCTTCGGTTTCTCAAAGCTTTTGTTTCAGAGCACGACCTAAACAACACCTTCGAACGAGGTTTAAGCAGTTTTGGGTGGGTACTGCTAGGAATCTTCTTTCTCCAAAGTGAAATTGGATGTTTGAGAAGCTTAAAGGAGATCGAACGGGATGATGAAGTAGATGGCATGAAGATGAATCAAAAGCAGAAGCATTTTCACAAAGCTGGTTGTAAAAATGCTAAAGGCAAGGGCAAGAAGAAGGATGGCCAGCATAACTACCCTGTTAACGGCAACCGTAGTATCCTTAGCATGGTGCAAACAGACAAGAAGCTGTTGAGTTTGAAAACGCTATTCTCAACGTTTCTAGATTGGTTCTGCTTCTCAGTCATCGACTTCGCTACGCAGAAACGCTTAATCTGCGTTGTGGAGGGAGACAAGGATTCGAGGTCGACAAGTTCTACAACCACAACGGTCTACGATCCTATTCTTGGCGTATGTATCAGCAAACCATTGCGACAAGGTCACGACGAATCCTCCCAATCTCAAAGCGAAATCCACAACAACTATCAAAGAGGCCATTTCGTATCTGCAAGTAACCGGCGACGAGGCGGTCATGATGCTTCACCACTGAAAATTCAAGTTCCCCTTGCGGACGAGGGGGAAAATGCGGCGCGATGTCTTTCCACTGCGGTTTTCTATCGAAAAATTGTGCCTTGTTTCCGAGACGCTAGAAAAACGATGAAAAATCTCACAGAAGCTTCTTCAACATGTTGGTGGCAATCCTTTCTATCTTCAGGAGCAGCCCAAACGAGTGATGACGACGAGGACGAAGGGGAGTACAACTACTATGGAAAAAATGCAAGAATTCTTGGAGGAGGTTTCGATGATGTTCTTGACGAAGTTCTTGGCAAACATGAGGCAGATGCTGAAGTTGAAGATAAGCCAGGCGACCAAGTAGAGCAGCAAATGTCCTCTGACGAGGACCCTCCAGACAACTTCTATGTAGCTAGTGGCAATAATTCCTCATCGTCATCTTGTGAAGAAAAAGAAGATTCCGAAATATATCAGAGGACTCCTGCTGGTAAATCAAGTCGTGCGCCACATCTAATTGACGATGAAGAACGTTCTACAGTTGCTTGTTCCACAAACAGTGGCTTTGGAAAGATAGATCGCGGCGCTTCAACATCTTCCTCAAGCCACTGGAAAGGATTCTCTTCTTCGGAGGATGAGATCACTGATAACGAGGATGGCCATGAACAAGAACGGTTTGTTAAAACACAACCACCTGCTAACTCCAAGTCCAACACAAACAACACCAGCAACAAGAAGAGTAGAAAGAAGAAGCGGCCATCAAGAACCTCCAATTTCGCCTCTGGACAGCGCATTATTGAGGGAGATCCTCGTTTGATGGCAGCGAGGAACTTGTTGTCGTCTTCCTGTAGTACAACTGGTTCTGGTAACAAGGACCAAGGACAAGGGAAAAAAGCCTTGGTCAAGAAACCGATGAAGAAGAAGAGTGTCCGAAAAGGAAGCCGAAACAAGATGAACAAATATGAATAAGAATACATTTGATCAACAAGTATAATGACTTCAAGAAGATTGAGATTCATGTTCATACTTTAGCGACAGCACCATTATGATCCCTGCCCCGTTCCCCCTGATAATCAACTACTTGCATGGCTTTCTGTCCATTTTCATACAGTTTGATATGCATGAACAGGAGACTCCTGCGAAGTCAGCGGTTCTAAGACGCGTCCTTTTGTTCGGTCACTGTAGTAATATTCGCTCAACATCGGTCTCATGCTTCATTTTCAGTTAGTTCACGAAAACAATTTACAACGTTTACATCATGTCGTACTAGGCCGATCTTGATTTACTACAGACGACCATCACGACGCCAGAAGTATAAGTACTCGGTTTGAGTCGAGTCTTTGATCGGTCGACCTTGGATCATGGAGGTGCTGGAATGCTTCTCGGTAGTAGAATCAATCTTTTCATCGTCGGTCTTTCAACATGCAACATGTGCTGTTTTTTCGCCCTAAAATTACACGTGCAATTCTTGTACTATCTTCCCTGCCTGCTGCACTATTGATCCCTGGTATGAATGTTCTTATACTTCTTGTTCTGATCCCCGATGGACGATACAATCTTGATTATCATTATTTTAAGAAACTCGTCCTCGTCTTAGCATTTCTCATCGAATGCCTACGCCGATTTTTCGAATTTCTGCAAGTTTCTTCGTCTACTGCATCCTGCTCGACTAGTCGTTAGCATTCAACAAGGTTAGATCAATCTCTTTTATGGTCTTCCACCAAGAAGAAACAACCAACCAAGAGGACTTCTTTTACCTCCCAATATATCTACTACAACCTCCAATGGCTACTTTCCAACCCGCTGGAGCAGGTCCTTCGCTTAATCAACAGAATAAGAAATAATAATCAAACCACATCCTGATCCTTCAAAAATGGCTTTCCAACCCGGTCCTTCGTATCATGAGGGTGGTGCCTCATCCTCAGGCGCTGCTGCTCTCCAACCACCCTCGGCACCCAGCAACGGCGAAACAACGATGGACCAATTAGAACCCTTCATCCACGCAGAACGACAGTTTGTCGCTTTTCAACAGCAAGGTGAGCATGACAAAGCTGTTAGAGTGCTGGAAGGGGTTTTGAAGTTAAGGCATATTAGGTGGCAAGATCTTACAATGTACATTCGGCCTCACGGAAATTTTTGAGTGTGGAAGCAGTAACCCAAGCGCTTTGCTGGCTGTTCGTAACTGCTGGATATAACACTGATCTCTAACCTTCCACAACAAAGACTTCGTCCAGGGCGTGCAGGATACGCTTCTTTCCAGCCTGTTTGAAAAGCTAGCGTTAAGGCAACGCAGACTGCATCTTCAGCTGCATTTTCCTTGGCAGACTTTTCAAGTCTTGAAAAAAGGGGTCAACAAGCCAAAGCCTTGAAAAAGGGGTCAACAAGTCTTGAAAAAGGGGTCAACGAGCCTTGAAAAAGGGGTCAACAAGCCTTGACAAGTAGAAAAAGGGGCCAAGAAGACCATCCGTCAAGGATGGTCTCAGCAGGGAAGATGCGAAAGCGGAATAGCTCTAATAGCGGTTGGATACAATACTTTGGGGATGAAATACCTCAAACTAGGAAAGACGGATCTTTCACTACGATATTTCCAGAAGAGCGAAGTTGTGACCGACCCAGCGAACCTGCACATACATCACAATACAAGGTAAGCCTCGTTAGAGCAGATGCACGAGGACACCACTTCACGACTTACCCAGGACAAAACTATTCACACCAGTCATTTTCGTTTCCCGTTTGCCTCTTCATCTCTGACCTGAAACCACAGAATTCCTACCTACACTTCTTCATTCCGACTTGGTACACTTCCCACGACCACACCTCTCACCTCCAGAGGTAACCTCTCACCACCACACCCATTCCGACTTCTTACACTTCCCACGACCACTGTTACCGCACCTCTCACCACCACACCTCTCACCTTCAGACTGGTCCTTCGAGCCGTGACATACAACAATATGGGTTGTTTCTACAAGTCAATGAACAAGCTTCACACGGCCCTGTCGTATCTCAGGAAGGCGCTAGTCATAGAGGAAAGGGCGCTCGAGGCTAAGTTAGAGATGGCATTAGACGAGGAGGGTGGAGGTAGTTGTAGATTATATATAATTCATTAAGGACATGCACATGGTTTGTTGTAGTAGTACTAGTTGTTTGCACCAGGTGGGTCAGAAAAATGAAAGAAATGCTCGGAAGATGAAAATTGTGATCTGTTTCATATCATGTTGATCTGTTTCCCTTGATCTTCGACAATAACCTGTTATTTTAGATTTACCATATCGATGTAAGTAGTACTTCGTTCATGATGAAGAGCAATGGTAGTGGTCATTTTGACTAGTATCTTGTTCACCAAGAGTTCTAAGAAGAAGAACGATATTAACGAACAACTTTTTCGACGATTCCAACAGGGGTCACTGCTCTCATTCTCCTCACCCAACAACAACAACAGCCTTTGATGCTAGTGACGCACCAGGTGCGCAGAACCCAGCTGCGACACATCTAAATTTGTGCGCTTTGCTCAGCCAAATGTCAATGCATGACAAGGCATTGTACCACGCGCAGAAGGCATTACAGCTTCTTCAAGGTGCCGGTGCTGTAGCGGGGGCAGAGGGCAAGGGGGAGAATGTTATGACTGTACTTGTAGCTGCTTGTACGGATCTCGTAGCTGTAAAACTTGTCGCTCACGATCTTCATTTTAAAATGATTTGAAATAATAGATACAATAGATGATCTACTAAGTTGTCTAACGTGTCCTTCTTCTAACAGCCGCGCCGGCGCGGCAGCTCCTCCAGCAGGCAAGGAGCAGCAGAGCGAATCCTTGACTCCAGTCGCGTACTTCAATATTAAGGGTTTCCGCCCTAATCCATCTTTATAGGGATCCCTCAAGCGTAGGGAAACAAGGGAGATTATATTGGCGCATATTCATATTGAGGAATTGTTCATCGCTTCTCCGCATCAGGGATCTTCGATCGATGAATTAGAAGGGAGAGCGAGGAGGTCCTCTTCTAACAATATGGGCGCAGAATATGAGCACCTGAAATACTACCATGAGGCATTGGAGGCCTACGAAAATGCTTATCAGTCGTGTCTCTCCGAACTCGGCAGCGGCCATGCTTTGACTAGCAAAATCGCGGCTTCGGTGAAGCAGCTGAAGAAGAAGCTGGGGCCGTCAGGGGGAAAGAAAGGGGGACATAAGATTAAGGCTTACCACATTGCATTCTTCGCTACCATTCATTCTTCAACACCGTTTTTCAAGCGGGGAAAAGGTGGAGGATGATCTAAAGAATGCAATGTCGCAACCCCTAACAAGATGTTCAAAGCATGAGGATGCCGGGGAAGAATCTTCTCATTCTAGCGATGAAGAGGAGAACCACAACTACCAACATTCAAGCAGGAGAACCCGAAATCCAAATGGTCTAACTCGTTATGATTGCAGACTATGACGACATCCTTATCACACGCACAACTGTTTTATTCTTGCGGAAAGGTCATGATCTTCATCACAACTATTTTACTCCAGATCTTCAATCCTATCCTTATCAAAACCTTATCAAAGTCACAACCTATCAATCAGAGTTGATGCGCGTAGGCTGAATAATTAGAAGTAGTAGTACTAGGAAAACAACTACAACTTCAACTTCTAGAAAATTTCTACTCCCCCTGAAAATATTTTGGCTTAAGATATAATTACATTTTTGTACCAGTACCACGTTTAATATCTACTCGTCCTTTGTTGTTGTTTTATTTCCGTACTACATGCACAAAGATAAAAATAGTCTTCAACATCAAAAACAGTTCGTTGTTGTAGTGCGGCACAAAGGTTCTTCTAGTTCAACCTTCCACGCCTATGGCGAAGCACTGGAAGCAAACTCTTATGAAGATTTTTGAAGCACGAAATCCAAATGCAAAAGGCTTAATTCAGATGAATCAAAGCACGCCCTTTCTAGTCACGAGGGACAGGAGGAAGGAGCAGGAGAGGAAGTGAACCACAACTAGCTGTTTTTAGTGAGAGGATCTTGGTATCGATGCTGTTGCTGCCTTGATGTTAACAAGCATAAAATTGCTTTTTTCTTTGGTGGAGGATACTACGTCGTCGTTCTGCTCGGGCTCCTCGTCGTGGCACGAGTACAACATCGATGGACTCGGTCGCTTCCCCTTTTGTTTAGTATCGATCACAGCAACAAGAGAGAAGCGCTAGTATCGATTTTGAGGCAAGTGCTAGGATCGATCACAGCAACAACAAAGGCATTGTTCCAAAAGAAAGATATCAAAACAAATTCACGACAAATATAATAGCCGATTCTTGATTTTGATCCTAACAAAAATGGAACTCGATCATAGCCGTGATTTTTGTGACTATGTGGATGTTGAGGTATACACTTTCACGCATTGTTCTTAAGCCAAGATGAGCAGAAAAATGAGAGGACGGTGAGGCAACATTACCCTCTTCTCGGGAGTGTAGCTTTCTGTGGAGGCGGGCGACGCATTCCGTCGTCTTGCGGTTAGGTTGTACAGACGACTGCATCTGGCAGACCCTGAAAAGGTCCGCGACGTCGTGTTCAACAATACTAGTACAACCTCTTCTTCATCCATTGGCAGATCCTGGGTTGCTGCAAGATCTGACAATGGATTCAGCCGTCGAGATGAAAACGGAGTGCGGGACTGTCGTACAGCAGGGCCCACCTGCGATGTTACATATGATCACGGGTAACAGCGAAGCTACCAGCTCGAGCAATACGCAATGGGATCTCTTCCGTCCTAGGCAAGGCGCAGGAGCAGTCGTTATGTTTCTCAGTTTTTATTTGGAACTAAAAATAACTTTAGTCATCAAGAATATCGTGGATGCCGAATGAGTTGCTTCTGTTTTATTTTCTATAATTAAAGTAAGTGATCATAGTCGCTTTGTCATCTGGCAGAACAACCGGAGACTTCTTTCTACTCGATGACCCAAATTCCCCTCTCTAACCAATTATACTCTTGCAAGCCCCTGGCGCGCATATTAACCGGCAAGAAAGGCCCAATAAGGAAGAAAGGACGAGCAAGCGGGCGACCAGGCTCAGGCAGTGTTTGTCGCGCTTCACGGCGACGAGCAGTTGGGTCTGCTATCTTGTGCCTCGGTGCTGTGCGCGCGCTGCATCGCGATAGCAAGGACCAGGAGCGCGCAATAACTTCGACACAGGTTCCTGGGTCACCAGCAGTGCAAGGGCATTTCGGCCCTGGAGCAGAAATGACTCCAGAGACCACGCAATCAGCCGCGCTTGGCGAGCATGGTGAAGACCATGGCAGCAAGAGCAACGCGGGTACAACTTAGTGTCTTGAAGCATTTAACTTCTTCATGTGGGTTGAAAATCATGGTAAAGATATTGATGCTACACTGAGTATAACTACAACTACCTTCCATTTTCAAACCATATAAACCACGAAGACAACCAAAACTTTTCTTCTCAGAAACAAAGAATATCTGGTGCTCACAGGTAAACACAAAGACGTGGGTGTGGCTAGTCAAATTATCGCGGATGCTGAGCACCAAGGTCGTGCATCAGGATCAGAAGTACCTCTCGACCATGCTGACACGCGGGACGACCATCGAACCGCCAAGCATGAAGAAGTAGAGCTTGGTAGTGCCGGAAAGGACGATGAAGGCGAAGTCAGCACAGGTGTGCTTTTCGAAAATTATGACTTTACGAACATCCTTTTCCGAGAACAGAACAACTACATTTTTATTGAGACCTAACATACATTATCTTCAAATAAGTGGCCAAGTCCTTGCTCTTTCATATCCTAAGTAATACCCCAGCCCCTTACTCCCCACAGGCGGCAAAAAAACCAAGATTGGAAAATATGAAATCGGGCAAAGGCCCCTACATCAAATTGCGGCGCCGTTATTTGAGTCGGTGGCACTAGGTACTTATGTCAATTCTTCTGCTACAAATCAACTGGTCTACAGACAGTGACAGTCTGTAATGCTCGTGCGCAAATTATCTCTAATATGGTAGCTTCGATGGTGGCACCAGTAGCGTGGGCACCTCCTTGCTCTTGTCTATGAGAAGATCGCTATGTCAATGATTCAATATTCTTACTTTTTCTCTTTTGCTATTGAAAATCAGTGTAAATCTTATAAATATCAATCTAAATCTAAATATAGTGCTGAGTCGATGGCAACATGCTCACCCACGACCCATTTTGGACACAAAAAAAACAGATACGCATGGCGAGTGGCAGGCGAGACACGAAAGTCACAACACAACAATAGAGGACGCCGCTAGATACCAGAGTGAGGAATATCTCCAGCAGGAAGAACCAATTAGCTCAAGACAGGGATCCCAAGAAAAACATCGCGAATCAGATGAGCTTCGGCAATCCGTCAAAGAGCGCCAAACCAGCGGAGGTAGCAACCCATTACTTTGCACCAGTTGGCTTCCCTGTGGTCTCAGTTTTCCGCTGTCGTTCAAAATCAAGTAGACTTTTTTATCTCAATTGTTTGTTGGGTGCTTACTACTTGTTTCTTAGTCTTACTGTGAAGTAAACTTTTCTTATAGAGCGTGCGATATTAGGGTGGGGACCACGAGCACTTATTTACCCACACATTATTAATCAGGTGCGCTGCGACCTTCGAAGAGTGTTATTTATAGTAGTGAAGCCTCTGGTTCCGGAACGGGTCGTGGGCTTGATTATGCTGCAGACCTCGATATCACCGTCGAAAGTGATTTGGACTTGATTCTGCTGCACACTTCGGCAGCAAGTGGCTGGACAATAGCTGGACAGCTTGGCTCCATCTGGCGCAGAATAGTGAGCTTTTTTTCTAGCGTGTCCGCCCCGCCAGAGGCTGACGATCTTGGGTCGTCCGGAGATGATTTATGATGAGCTGAAGTTGTTGGATTGTCATGGTCATGATAGTGTAAATCGATAATTGATGAATCACTGTTATGCAAGGACAGCGTAGGCGTTCGTCATAACTGACTGGGGTGATAGCAAGTGCTGGCGTCGGTATTTTCGTCTATCGTTATCTTGCTTCTGTATCGAGGGGGCCGCGCATTCTACACGCGGCGCACGTGATGGCCACGCGTGCATATCGCTTTCGCTTTTGCACTATCTCTTTCTCATTTTGTCTTTCCCAGTTTCGACATCGATTCCGCGCTTATCAAAAATAAACAAACTCTCAAACTTTTCGAGGTCAAAAAGTGAGCAGAGAGACCCTCCAAGAAAAAAAAAAAAGCGTTCCGCGAAAAGAGAAAAAGGGCACCCAGAAAAAGGGACGACTGCCACACCTTCAACCGCGCGAGCTTCACTCTGCCGACGTCTCGGCCTAAGTTTCGCGCCACCTTCTTCAGGCACAAGAAAACGCAACACCGAGTGGAAGTCTACGACGGACATGCGTCCGGTCCTTCCTCAGGCTCGCCCACCACCGTGGTGACTTTGTCCGCTATGGAGCTGATGCTAAGCTCGACTGCAAAGATAGGGCCCTCTCCCCTGGTGTGTTGGCAGGGAATCGCAAACTACTGAAGCACCCAGTAAGCGAAGGACTGCCAGAGATTTGCAACGGCATCAACTTGCGGCTATCACATCGCCACAAGCATAGCGCTGCGACTCTATCTGATAGCCCCGACTATGAGTGACCTCGAACGCATCAGCGCTGACGTCGATTCTCAACATCTAGGCAAAATCAGGACTGGCGGGGTTTGCAACCGTTTCCCTCACCGCATCGACCTCGAGGCGCCTCCTACTAAAAAGAGAAGCGTCGAACTCGAACTACCGCACAACGTAGGCACCAACAGCAACGGCCCCGCGCCAATCATCCACTTTCCAGAGCATCCCCAGGGACGAACTTAGCAACTGGCTACTACGGGACCGAAACAGGAGACGCAGCCTCTTCCCCTCTAGATTTACCACGGTGCAACGCCTTCAAACGAACAGCGAGCGCTACGCTGCTTCTTTCATCTTCTTAAACTTTAACGAGCTGCCTCAGCGCTTCCCTTCGCGGACAGCTACACAATGGCCAGCGCCATTGTCTGGGTTGGCACCATCGTCGCGACGAAAGGCGACGGCGCAGAGTTCTCACGCCATGGCTGTGCACTAGGTAGCCCCACCTAAGGCCGCCGGTTCTTATTACTTCCGCGCGAAGACTTGTCCGGGGGGCTGCAATTGCGTGAAGCGCATCGCCTTGCGCCTCTCACTCTGATCAAATCCGTCACAAAATAAAAGGAATGGCAGAGAGCAATGCTCTCGGCTGACTCCCAGCGGAAATCTGTCATCGGCGATTTGTTATGAAAAACCAAACCCAACTCCGCCGGAATCTTCAAGAACAAAATCAGCGACAGCTGCGCTAGTTCTTCTGTGAGTTTTCGTTGGGGCTTGTCTTAGTTCTTTCGACGAAGTCGGGAGGCTTCTGACCAATAGCGAAGCCGTAGAGCTCGAGCGCCTATGCCCGAACTGCGTGGTCACGGCCGACGCCAACAGCAATTCTTGCGCCAGAGTTTGCAGAGGTGAGGCAGCTCACCGCAAGGCTTCGACGACAGGACTCCCGGGGGATGAAGTGAGAGCATCGCGAAAGGGATGCTACTTGTTATCGATCAAGTTCCAGATGATTAAAACTCGTTCGCTAATGCCAAACCTCCTGCCGCCTCGTCTAAGGTCTTTGCGTTTCTCGCTTCCTTCCTTCACACTTCGCCAGCCATGCCCTTTCTCACCATCCAGGCGGTCACTGGCATGGCTGAGGCGCAGAAAAATTGGCGGGGCATTTCTTTATCCGGCGAGTTCTCCGCAGCAAAGGCCAAGACTCTCGGCCACGTGTCGAACTGTCTCGAGCAATTTACGATCAGCGCCTTTTATTCGAAACCGATCCACCAACGGGGCAGCTTTCCGCTCCGTCTGATCTTCGCCGCAGTTTTCCCGCACTATGGCGCCGCTATCGCTACTGTCTTGGCTTACACGCCGTGGGAGGAAATCGCCGGTGTGTGTCGCCTACTTTCAGCACTCGCTCACGTCTACGGGGACATGCCGGCGCTGACGCCGCAAGAGGTAACTTCTCGCCCCAGATTCGATATCAACACAGCACCGCTTTCCACTTTCTCCGTGTCACTTATGTGCTTGTAAGCCAATAGCCCAACACTCTGCTAGGTTATCACTGGATTGGCTTATACCGTCGCGCCTGGCATGGAACAGAGTAGCCAGCTCATTCAGTGGAACCTACGAAGCAAATATCTGCCGAGCATCATCCCCGCCGAAGAATCATGGCCCAAAGTTGGCGCGGAAGCAGTGCGCGCCTCCATTCGCAGGGCGGACTGTCGAGCCATGCTGAGTCGTGAATCTGGCAGCGAATTGGCTCTCGTTATCCATGGGCCTCATCTCGCAGGCCTTCGCACCTTGGGGGCTGATCGGTCTACTACCACCTCCCAACCGTCCAGCCAGCCGCGACCCGCTCAGAACATCAGCCAGGGCGTCTAGTTCTCGCTTAGTAGCAGCGCAGCCTAATACCACTCGAGGCGGCGTGGGGGATTAGCTATCTCTAAGCATGTAGCAAGCTGTAGCAACAGTCGCCCAAATGATAGCAGGCAAGAGCATCGCGCGCAAGTTCCTCCCTTCCATTTCTGATAAGAATTCTCGGAACAGCGATCGCCAAACTTGCCTCCCACCCATATCTATCGGCTTACTTACGTTACCCACACGAAGTAACGCGGGAAGCCTTTTCTTTGCACTCAAAGACAAAGCACGCGCGCGATCACATCACGAGCCACACACTGAAGACGTACGAACCGACATCCCCTTCGAACTTTCGCCGCGCGCAGTTTCCGCATTTATTCAAACTTCTCGAGGGCAATCGTTTCACATACTTCCATAATCTTAAAAGACCTCGCATCTCCATGATCAAAATACAACACCACCAACAAAACAGCACGGAAGGGCTTTTTTGTGTGTTATGATTTCGGAGGTTTGAAAAAAATTCCATAAATTACGACGCCGCGCGCATCATTTCAACAGGCCCGCAGCCGTTTGGAGGAAGGTACTCCTTCCACCGCCGACAACTCTCCTGATCTGTTCGGAGGCTACAGCGATGAAGAGTGGGACAATTGGCGGCCAGATTGGAACGGTGAGAGCGATAACATTATCAGCGACGTTAGTGCCTTTCTTTCTTCCAACAATTTTAAGGAAAACGGTCGCGACTCGGTGGATGGAGTTCAGTCTATTCTTGGAGAATCGCTTAAGTTCAAAGAATTCAAAATGCCGGATCCAGCAGGCCCGGGTGGACCTCCTCCGCCTCCTCTCACGCATTTCAAGCGCATTGCTTGTGAAACTGCGCAGGTATTTGCGGAGAAGTGCGCCATCCATCTGCAGCGCCGTCAAATCTGGCGGAACCAGACGCAAAGAGGGCACTTGCGACGACTGCAAGAAAATCATGGGGGCAATCCTCCACGAAAGGACATGTCTCGCGCCGTCTCTCTCGAAACCCCGGGCAAGGCCATCTGTCTCATTTGCAACAATGTCAAACAAGCAGAACGCGCGAAGGGTGTGGGGCGTGCCTTCTCGGCTTCGTGCGGGGATGTCTCCAGGGGTCCTGCGATTGTTTCGGAGTATCCGCGGCTCGCTGAGTATTCTGCTAAGAATGACCAAGAAGAAGCCGACGGCTTTAAAGCGTTCACCGATGCAAGACCAAAGCAAAGCCTAGAGGCTTTCGCCGAGCGTGCTTCCAGTCTCAATGTATTTCCAGGCCCAACTTTATACGAGTTCGGCTTCCCTTGGCAAACCTGTCAACTCGCAAAATTTCTTATCCGCTTCGCATTGGCTTGGGTCACAATATTTGCGCCGCAGTCTCTCCGCAGGAAGTCCGGACGTTAGACGCGAGCTACCGCCTTACTGGTGATCAGTCGACCCAAAAAGCTGCCAACCAGTTGCAAACCAAGGGCACCAGTAAGCATATGGAATGGGGTAGGCTCCTTCTCACGTCGCAGGGCGGCAGCCTACTTGTGTGCGGCAACCACTTGACCAGGCTCACCTCCACGCCCTCGGGTGAGCCGGTTAGTATCCTAGCCGGCTACGCCCTCGGCTCTTCTTCGTCCAGTACCACCCTGACACGGCCGACCTCCTCTCGTCTTCTAAGAAGGGCAAGAGCAACAGGCATCACCTGGAGCAGGACCCACCTAGCTTGTGTTGCCTCATCCACTTCGCTCTCCGCAATTGGGGCAAAGGCGTCAAACTTCGCAGCAGAATCGACGAAACGCGACAGGGGTTTCAAGGTGTGGCGCACTTGCCTCAAGTCACTACGGCGTGCACGCGCAACATGCAAAGCAGCAGGGGCGTTGTGAAGGTAGTTTTTTTAAAGCTCGATCTTATCACTTGGGCGCCAATTCTTCTTAGCACCATCGCGCAGCCTATCGGCTGTCCCCCTTCTTATTATGGGCAGGAGTTCTCTCCTCAATAGCATCGCGACCATTTTCGCAGGCTCTCATGGGAGAGGCCTCGCAGCAAGAACTGGACGGGGCTCGTGTCGCTGCTGCAAAGCGTTCCAGTGCTCCCGCTGACATCGATCCAGTTTCTGGCGGACGTAGAACCTATCATCGCACTACTCCAAAAAAGTCTGGTCGTCCTTCGGTTGCTGGTGGTGGCGGGAGCCCCGCTGGCGCCCCAAATCCCAAGGGAAGCAGCTACGGCGTACAGTCCAAAGAAATCCGAGCGCATTGCCAGCGTCTTGGATGGTGCTGCTCAGCACAATGCTGAAGCTGCCGCTGCAGCATTTCCGACCTGTATCGCCATCGATCCGAGAGAACCGCGCAACTTCTTCACTAACAACATGCTGCGTCGCAACTGCTTCAACCTCGGCAAGGGCACCGCTGTCATTCACCCGCTTGGCTTCGACTACACTACTTTACTGGGAACAGGCGGGCAACGCTTGCGCAGTGGAGTGCAAGATCTACTACAACCACTTCAGCAAAGCTATCGCTTTCCACTGGCGATCGCAGTGAGTGCCCGCACAGGGAAGATCCACGCGTAGGGAGGAGCATGTCGCGAAGAAAGGGGGGAACAATAACAAGGGCGGAAAAGGTGGAAAAGGAAAAGGCAAGGGGCCGCACAACTGCACCCATGTCGAAGCTTGTAGGTTAAGAATTTAAAAAAAGCAGCCCCGTGCCATCGTTTCACTTAACTACCCGAAAGCGCAATGCCTGCATTAGATAAAAGCATCGACCTGCCTTCTATAAATAGTTCGGCTATCCATTCGTTTGCAGTATTCAGCCGCACCTGGGGACTTCCCCGCGTTGTCTTGTGGTCCACCGAGGGAGGAGAACTCCCATCCTTCACCAATGCGCATCGAATCGCTGAAGAACGTAGCTTCGAACTCAAGAAATCGCCTCTGTCTACTCGTGCAAAATTTGCGACAAGCGCAGTTCTTGCTCTTGAAAGAGCTCCACGGCCGCGGACTTTTCGCGGTGAACCTTGTTTGCGGAGTGATCTCGAGGGAGAGCGAGAGAGTTGAGAAGAAAGGTGAGCGAAAAAGAGGAAGACGGTCCGCATGCCCTCAACTCTCTTCATGCGTTAAGGACTGGGGAAATTGGTAGTAGTTGTTATCGGATTTTAAAAATGAGCTTCATGAAGTTGCAGCGTGTGCTGCATACGTCTGGCGTGTCTGATCGAATCAGGGCTGGCGGCCCCTTTATGCATGCCCGTGATGTCGCTGAAGCTGCAAGGCGTGGCGGCTTGTCTTCCGATCCGAGCAGGCGAAGAAGCTCGACAGTAGAGTCGTAGACACCACGGCACCGGGGCACCCTTTCGCCCCGGACATTTCTAGGGCGGTAGACGAAGAGCTATCTACAAACTTTGCTGCTGATGAACCAGCAGCACCGACTACAGCGTCTCTTTCTTCTGCACAGGTTAGCTCTTCGCCTTCATCTTCTTCCGTTGAACCTATCGCCGCGCCTTCGAGTGAGCTCAAAAATTTGGCTGCAGCGGTGGGCGCAGCGGCACCAGAGAGATGCCACAACTTTCGAACAAGAGGCGGCTACTGTTAGCGAAACGACTGAGGGACCACTACTGCCACTTGAAGGGCCATCTTCTCGCTCCTGAGTTTGTGTCGGTTATCGAACGAAGCTCACAGCGAGAGTGACGACTTCAGCGACTCGGCGGCCATTCTTGGTGATTCTGGCTTCGCCAATGAACTGCAAAACCCCAAGAGCGCCGCGGCTGACCTTGCCGAAACTCACCAGAAAGCTCCCACACCCATCAGCCTCAGCGGCAACGGTGCAAGAAGGTGCTCAGAATGCAAGGAAGAAGCTGCACGCTACGGGCATCGGCTTAGAAATCTCCAAACGAGACGAGCCTTGACTCGAACAGCTTCGCACTAGGGACGAGCTCAGAGAGGTTCCCAGCTACGTTCTCGGCTTGGATCTCAAGGGCTGCTTCCCTCACTGGTTGCTGCACCCAGCACGCCGACGGCTTTTCGGCTTGGATTTGCCTTCCATTGGCGCTGAGGCCACTCGCATTCTTCTACCTTTCGGAATAGCCCCCGCGCCGGATGCCTATGATATGAATGGCAAAGAGATGGCTCGGGTGTGCCACACTGCTGGCGTGGGATCTTATATGCTAGATAACGTGGATGGTGTTCGGTCTGCTCTACTTGATGAGAAACGTCGCCCGAAGGAGGGAGCTGGCTTGGATCTTCGTAGGCAATTTTTCTAGTTGACTTCTCTCGGCTACAAATTACACCACAAGACAAAGAGAGTAAACGCGTAACAGCCTCGCAGGCTTTCCCATGGCTCGCGTTTGAGGCAGACACAGCGCCCAAGCAACTTGGTGCCGAGCCATCACGCCGCCGGAATTCATTGCGTCGAATTTGTCGCCGAACTTTTGCACAGTTGCGAGCTCTGTGGTCGGCGCAAGGTCAAAAGCTTGGCTTTGGCAAGAGGGCTCTTGCTCGTTTGTAGTAAATCGTGGCCCACTTTCTTGCATGCGGGGCGATGTCATGAGTACGGGAGCCCCGAGGCAGTGGCAGACTAGCAAACGCCTCAGCCTTTCGCTATCACTTTCGGCAGGCTGTCTCAGCGAAGTACGCCGGTGGGGGAAAGCGCTGGCGTATACACCTTCTGCGGCCATTTTCTACAGTGGTAGCCATTGCTTCACGTGGGGAGAAGGAGTCGCCGCCTTTGGTCCGCAATTCCTCCGCTCTTTGGCGCGTGGTCTTCTAGTCACGGCGCACGGCGACGCCGCCACTTCCACAGGGTCGGACCGGCTTGGGCGGCTCTGTTGCGGGATAGCACTTTCAGGGCACTATCTCCGGCGAATGGGTCTCGTCTTCTATCAACGCGAAAGAAGCCACTAGTCTATGTGCGCCGATGCTCCTCCCCGTGGCTTATCAAGCTGCGGGCTTCTCTATTTCGGGGAAGCAGAGTCGTCATGTACTACGCCGAGAACCCGGCAGCGGAGAGGGCACGCAACAAAGGGCCACACTCGTCGGCAGAAATGTCGCCGGCTTCTTTCTTCGTCAGGTCTTTCGTGGTCGACAACTGTATCGAACTTGTGGCATCCAAAATTTTTGGCGGCGAAAATCCAATCGCGGACTCTCTCCCTCAAGGTTCGACGACGTGGCGAACAATATGCGAGGGAGATTCTTCTTTTCCCGGGCGTTGCTGGTTTCTTCGCGCTTGGAGCAGCATCACCCTCAAACGCCTGGGCTTCAGCGCCATTGTTTGCGATGGGCTCTCGCGCTTCGTCTTCATTCCTGGGGCTCAAATGTCAGCGCTCCTCTCCGGTCCATACAGGGCCCACCTTTTCAAAATATTCCACATCTCCTTCGTAGCAAGTGCTGGCGGTTCCCTCTTACCTCTCTGGCCTGCCAGGCGTTGAAGTTTCTAGACAAATTGGCCACCGAGACCAACGCGCCCGAAAAATGTCGGCCGCGCTTCGCAGTGTTAGCGCCGCTGCTGAGTGGTCAGCTTCTACCGCTGTGCCCGACGCTGGGCGCTATGTCTTCTCCTCCGTTCCTTTCCAGACTTGGAACTCCCCACGCAGCCCGCCAGACTTTGCTCTCTACTTCCACAGGTGGAGTTGCTGCGGCGCAGCGCCAGGCTTGGGGCAGCCACGAATTTGGTCGATCGCGTCCTCATCGGTGGCGTTGCCGTCTCCGCTGGCGATGTTATCCATCGCTCGCGCTTGTTGTTGTATTCTTGTGCAGCCCAAATAAGGGGTTGCGGCTTCTCCCTTTAGGGCTCACCCTTACGCCTCGAAATACACGCTGACGCCTGGTGGCGTGAAACCTTTTGGGGGTTTTGAGCTAGTCGGGAGAGTTCTGCTCTTCCCGGGTCCGCCTAGGACTCGCCAAGACTGCCCAGGCATCACTGACGCCCATGCGTCTAGGCTTTCACTACACTTTGGAAGTTGCATGGGTCGCATTCTGCTCCACCTCGCTAGGCCGGGCCGCTCCAGCCACGGCCTCCGGCTCACTTGACACTGGCGCAGGTTTCTGTGGTGGGCGTATTGTTGATTATGCTCAGATGGATGCTCGGTCGCTTTGTTTCAAAGTGCTGCTCTCTGGTCTGAGCATTCGCGTCGCGTTTTATCAGTCTCCAGCGGGTCGCTGACTGAAATACATGCTGCCTATGTTGCCTCTGTGTGTCGCACTCGAGAAGCGCCGCGACTGTCTCGCGCGAGTGTTCCGCTGGTAGGCTATTACGTTGCGCAGGCCTACCAGCAAAATAGTCATCGTCCCTCTCGTGACTGCGCCCTAGTTGTCGCCTTAGTCATTGTTATGCAAGGACAGCGCAGGCGTTCGCGTTCGTCATAACTGACTGGGATGATAACAAGTGCTGGCGTCGGTATCTTCGTCTATCGTTATCTTCTGGATCGAGGGGGCCGCGCATCCTACTGCGGCGCATGTGATGGCCACGCGTGTGTATCGCTATCGCTTTCCCTTTTTCCCTATCGCTTTCTCGTTTTGTCTTCCTCAGTTTCGATATTGATGGCGTTCTTATCGTTATTCCTTTCAAAAATAAACTACAGCCCGCCCACCTCTTTCTTTCTTATCGGTCTCTCAACACCTGGCCTCCTGCGGAGCACTCAGCTCCTTCGCCTCTGTCGCACTCGAGGAGCATTCTGGCAGTCTCGTGTGAGTGTTCCGCTGGTTGGTAGGCTAGTACGTTGCACAGGCTTACCAGCAAAATAGTTATCGTCCCGCTCGTGGCTGCGCCTTAGTTGTCGCCTCAAAAATCAAGGCTGTGCAGTACTTTCGTGAGACTGGCGGGGTGTTGGTGCTCTACTTGATGGACGAAGATAGGGGCCATTTTGAACTTTTGAAGAGGTGGGGCCTCAGTTTCTAGCTTTAGAACGGACGTAGGATGGACTCGGATGGATCGGATGGACCCCCCTGGTTCTTCTGATCTTGCTTGAAACGATGGGAGGCCCACCTGGTCCATCCCGTCCCGGATCTGGCACCCCTCTAAAAAATTACTCTACTAGTATGTGCCCGCTTCTGGTGCCATCCGTAGTCCACTGAAGGAAGCACTGGCTTTGAGCTTGAATATGGTTCCATCCCCTTTTTCATGTTTCGTGGAGTTTACGGCGTTGCGAAATGTGCGAAGAATGTATGCTGCGCCAGGAAACCAGTCCTCTCTGCTGGAGGTGAGGATGGAGCGGCTCGCGAATGGTGCTGCTGCGCAGGCGGTGACCAACCAGATCAACGAGATTAGGAGGAAAAAGCGGTGCCAGTACAATCTTGAGCAAATAGGACAGCACTCTCTGGCAGGCATCACACTTGTAGGAAAGACAGCGACTCACGCTGCTGTTGTCTGGTACTACTGCGAGTGTGGAGGCTCTACGGCCAAGAACTGGCAGTTCATCACGCTGGCGGCTGCCGGCGAGAACGGGTCGCCAGCTCTTTCGTGCTGGATTCATGCCGTGGCAACTCCCCAAAAACAAATAGGCGGCCAAAACGATGGGATATTTCTGGTGCGGTCGGAGCCACTTCTGAACTATCAACAAGCAAACAGCCCTGGACTGGGTACCGATGGAGAAGCAAGCGCAGGCGTGCCTATTATTATGGACAGCACAAAAATGCGCAGAAGGTTCCTACCTTTTGCCTAGGGCCATGGCCTCACTTCACAGACGAAGCTGGTTCAACGGGGGGGCCCCTTACTAACTTAGCCCTCACATTTATGCACTAAGCGAGCTGGCTGGGGAGGTGATTGCACTAGCTGGCGAGCTAATGGATGCGAGAGAGGGGCGTGCCCCCTGGAAGGTTTCCGCGTGATAGTCACCAAAAAAACCGACGTGGGGACCGACGGGGGAGAGGGTTGGGGGGAATGTCCCCGCGAACCCTGCCGGCCTGTGGTCGTGTAAAAGCGCGGCCGCGAGTTGGCTCCTCCAGCGGCGCATTGGCGCGCACCGGCGAAGGCAGACTACGGCCCGCGCCTCCGCGAGAGGGCTAATGCTATTACTTGCACCCACAGGGTGGAGCTCACATGCGGAGCGGCAACGGGCGGGGCAGATGCCGACGCGCGAAGCGGCCACCGGAGCGCGGGACAGCGTGCCCGCGCGTGGGCCGCTGGGCTGCGAACGTGCCGCCCGGCGGCGTGGTGGGCAGGCGCGCGGCTGCTTGCTGGGGGTGCAGGTGGACTCGCAGTGGTGTGCCTGGCTGCGTGCGCGGGTGCCGTCGGGGGGAGGTGCAAAGGCGCCTCCTCGCGGGTGGCGCGCGCGTTGGGGTTGGGGCAGCGGGCTCCTAGCTCATGAGCGTAGCACCGCTCTTGGCTCAAGCGGCTGCCTTCTCTCTTTCCCAAAAGGTCCAGGGCTTTGCTGAGTGATCGAAGTGGCGCCCCTGGCAAAATAATAGCTCAGCAGCGCCGCCGCCTGCGCTTTTTTGTTTTTAAAACGACTGAAGCGAAATGCACTCGCTGGAAAACGTTGCTGGCCTCGTTGTCCACCCTGGCGAAATTCCACTCGGCAGCGACGACACGGATGAGAAGGGTAGAGTTTTGACGGGGCCATGGCCAAGCTGCGGAAACAGCTGAGGGGCGCGGACGCTTACGGCGGGAAACCGTCACGGGCGCCCTGGTCCAGGACTGCAAGATGGGCCGAACGCCGTAGGGCTGTCCACATTAGTCCCACTGCGTAGCCTTCTCACTATACGGGCGGTCTTGCTTCTTGCTCTTCCTTGACGCTGCACGCGGCACGCGCGGCCCCCGGATCGATCAGCGATCCGGGGGCCGATCGGTGGCTCGTGGATTGGTCAGTGATTCGCGGATCGATCCGCAGCCTGTGGATTGCTCAGCGATCTGTGGACATCAATGATCTGCGGACTTATCAGGGGTCCGCGGGGTGGTCAGTGATCCGCTGACTGATCAGTGATCCGCGGACTGATCAGTGGCCCGCGGGGTGATCGGTGACCCGCTGACTGAGATCGGGGATCCGTGGGCCGCTCAGTGATCCGCGGGCTGCTCAGTGGTCCGCGGACTGATTAGTGGCCCGCGGACTGATCAAAGACCCGCCCCCGCGGGCTGATCAGTGATCCGTGGGCGACTGATCAAAGACGGACCCACGGATCGGCCAGGGGTTCGCGGACTGGTCAGTGGCTTGTGGATTAATCAGTGACCCGTGGGCTGATCAGGGACCCGCGCACGGATCGACCAAGGACCCCTGGAACGATCAAGGGCCCGCGGATCATGGATCAAGGACCCGCGGATCGATCAAAGGCCCACGGAGCGGCCAAGGATCCACGGACCGACAAAGGATTCGCGGATCGCTCAAGGATCCACGGATCGACAAAGGACCCGCGGACCGATCGCGGGGCCGTGGATCGGTCAAGGGCCTGCAGATCGATCAAAGACAGGCCCACGGATCGCCCAAAGTTCCCCGGATCGATCAAAGTTCCCCGGATCGATCAAAGTTCCCCGGATCGCTCAAAGAGCCACGGACCACGCGCCGGCCGCCGCGTGACACGTGAAGCACATCGCGCGAACTGGCTGCGTGCTGCGTCACGCTTGAGGTTGAGCTTAGACGCCTCGCCCCCCTCCCGAAGCTCTCGGCGTCACGCGGTGGGCGTCACGCGTCGCGAACAGCTCCGCGGCGTTCTGTAAGTCCCACGGTCTGGGAATGCACTGGCGCCCTCTTCCAAATGGCGGGCGAACTCCCGGGGCTGGAGTTGCTGGGGCCTCAGAAGTGCACCAGGAGCCAGCAGGCAACTCCACCGCGGGGTGGTGTCTGTTCTTGTCAGGATACCGCGCTGGAGTTTTCTCAGGGTTTGGAAATAAGTTTTGGGAATTCGCTCCATCTTTTATGGTGGTTTCTGACGGGCTCGCGCTGTCTTTCGGGGTGTGTGATTGCTGAGCGGCTTGCCGTTCGTGAAAAGGCAGGGCGCCTCGTTCTAGTGTGTAACCCCTGGAGCGGCAGGTCGCGGGCGTTTGGGGTGGTGTTCTCGGTGTTTCGCCCTTGCGCAGTGGTTGGCCGATCGTGTGGCGCCTGTGCAAGGGGATGGGCGTAAACCCCTGGGAGACCCATAGCAGCGGAGGCGCTTGTTTGGCTATAGTATCTGCGTGAAGGGTGTTGTGGGGTGTAAGGTAACTGCCCGCGCTGCGTGAGAGGAAAGCCGTCGAACATGCGGGGCGTTCGACGTCTTGGCCGCTCTTGATCAGTCCAAGAGGGGGCTTTGCCTTTGGCCCACGAGGTGCTTGCGGTATTTGCTCGGCATGGGTGTGGGTCGCTTAGTATTTCTCTCACAGACAGTGTCTGCGAGCCAAAGGGGCAACAGGTCGGGCAGGGATTGAGGACGCGGAGGGCAGTTAAGTAGGCGGCGGGCGTCACGGTGTGAGATGATAGGGGACGAACAAACGCCTACGCGCAGAAGAATTGCCCACGCGTATACGTGCGCAAGCAACTGCTCTGCAACACCTTGAAGGGCAGGGAGGCCGCCTTGATCATCCAGGGCGTGAAGGGATAGAGGCGGCGTGGATGTGGCGACAGTGCTGGAGAGTCAGCCTCCAAGTGGCATGAGATGGCTACAGGGATACAAGGCGGCCACCTGTGCCGGAAAAACTGAAGGAAGGAGAGAGGGGGCGGCGATGATCTGGGGGGTGGAAATTGGCCGGGAGATGGAGGCCACCGACGCGGACACTGGCCAGGCCACTTGGCTTCAACTAGATGGGGCGGCGGGCCTCAACATCGTCGGGCACTATGGGAGACAAGAAGGAGAAGGAGACGCCAACGCCTGGCGGGTGGAGCTATTGGGAGCCATGAAGGGGCGGGAAGGGTCTACGTTCTTGGTGATGGGCGCCCATAGTAGGGCGAGGCCAGTGACGGGCGTCGAGGTGCTCGAGCTGCCGCGAGCTGCTCGAGGGAGTTGCCGCAATGAAGAGCCCCGCGCACTTCTGGAACGAGCTGCCACGAGGGAGCTGCCGGGGGAAGCTAGCTGCGTCGAAGTCAAATGGTAGCGAAGCGGGCTGGAGCGGGTGCAAAAGTGCCCACCCGTCTCCGAAAGCGCGGCGCCTTGCCTCTTTGGGAGCTTCTTTGCAAAACAAAGAAAGCGGGGGCGGCGTTGCTCCTTTGCGTTTGAATGGGGTCGATAGTGGCGCGCCCCTCCCCACGCGCTCGCGATGGCCGGGAGCAAGTGCTTGGGCCCCCTCCGCTTGTGGTTTGGTTCGTTGGGGAATCGTGTCAAGCTGGGCTGGGGTTTTCGTTCTTCGGTTTTGCGGGGAGAGGGGTCCCGCCAAGGTGGGCGCCTAGCAAGCTGGCTCGCGACTGAAGGGCGCCTTTGCTTGGTTGTGAAATTGAGAAACATGCGGCGGGGGCTGTTTGGGTAGGTCGCGGCGTGTGTGGTTTTCCTTTGGTCGGCAGGTGGGCGGGCTGTTGTGGTACATGCTACACCCCAGGGCCCCCGCGAGGGGCCCGCTGCGTGCCTACGGGCATTTGCCTGGCTGCCCTTGGCTGGCTTCCACTGGCAAGCCCCTTGTTTTTCTGGCTTCAAGTTCCTGACTTTCTAGTACTGCAACGCCCCGCCAAGGCTGCGGCTGCGCCCGCAGGGCGCACAGGAAAAAAATCCACTGAACAGAGACACGGCGTGCAGCGTCTTGCGTTCTATTCTTGTTAAGGTTTCTCGAAGTCTCACGAAGCTGCGCCCGAAGGGCACCGCGCAAACAATTAGGGTGGGCAGCTCGAGTAACTCGCGCAACGAGCCTGAGAGACTCGGCTTGATCTGCGTCAGAAAAGGCCGCACTCTTTTAGGGGAAAGCTGTCAGGCGGACGGGCACCCGGCCACCAATGGCGTTAAAAACTGGCTAAAAAAGTCGGCTTTTTGGGATCGCGGGGCGCCTTCCCTGGGCCGTTGTGTGTCTGTTTCGTTTCTGGGGTTTTTCTGCCTTTCTCTTGTTGTTTTGTTGGTATATTTGCGAGCGACAAGGGGGGCGCTTTTGGTTCTGTATGCTTTGGCTGAGTGGACCGGCTGGGGGGTGCATGTCTTAGGAATGTCGGCTGAAGGGGGTACATCGCTGAAGCCGGTCAGGGAGACGATAGGCCGTCGGCCTTCGGGTGTGATGCTTCTGGCCTCTTGGGTGTTTTCGTGCTGCTTTTCAGTGGGTTGGGCTTGTTTGTGTTTGTCGTTTGTTGCTTGGTCGTCTTGGCCCGCCCCCTGTGGAGGAGGGGCCGGGGGCATTTAGGGGAGTGCCTCTGCCACTGGGTGCCCACACTGAGCCACGGCCCCAGGGCTTGACGATTGGCGCAACAGCTCGCGCGGAAGTGCGGGGCCTCGCACTCGAAGCGATGGGGGGACCCGGTAGGGGTCGCGCCTGGGCTTGGGGGGGTGGGGTCCCGGTCGACGGTTAAGAAACGGCTTAAAAACGGTTAAAATTTTCTGACCCTTTCCCGGGTTGGAAAAAAACGGTTAAAAACGGTTAAAATTTTTGGTCTTTTTCTCGTGTGATTTCGCCTAGAAGTCGGCCGCTGTTGCTTTTGGAGTCGGTTGAGAGCACTCCCGCCGAGTTTTGGAAGGGCGTGCCGCTGGCTTTTTTAACCGTTCCCAAAGGTGGCGCTTTTTTAGCCGTGGGCTTTAGATAGCCGCCTTTTTAAGCCGTGGGCCTTAGCTGTTTTCTTAGCCGTCAGTCTTAGCTGGTTTTTTAACCGGTTCCCGCGGTGTTTGTCTTGGGGCGCCTGCCTTTGGGCCGCGCAGCCGTGGCGTAGACTGGATCGCACCCGACGCACCCGCCGCATTCCGCTGGCAGGCCTCGAAGCGTGGCGTGGTGCTCGTGCAAGCTCCGCGGGGTTGGCTGGGTGGTGCGCGTGTGGACGTTGAGGCCCCGCGTCGAGCAGTGCTTACCTGGGGTGGGGCTGTAACGTCCACGCCAGTCACGGTCGCGCGATTCTGGAGCGGGCGCCGGGGTCACAGTTCGCTGGCCCCTCGAAGTGTGGCCTTATTTAACGTCCGCGCCGGTGAGCCTCGCGGGCTGGTGTGGTGTCGGCTCTTTGTGTCGGGCCTTTTCCTGAACTGTCGGCCCCGGAGTGTGTGGGGCCGCTTGCTGGAGGCCGGCCCAGGTGCATGCGCTAGACTCGCGAGCGCCTGCTATTGCATTGTGGTGGCACGGGTTCGCTCGGTGGGGTCTTCCGTGGGTCTTTTGTGTCGGGTCGATTGTTGCCCCCCGGCTGCCAGATCAGCTGGCGCGGGTGTGTTGTGGTGTCTGTCTGGCAGCAGGAACAGAAGACAGAGGAGAGGGGAAGCGGGAGGCCAATACGAAAGAAAGAGAAGCAGAGGAAACGCGGAGGCAAGAAAAACAGGAAGACACGGAGGACACCGGCGGCCAGCCTCGGCAGAAAAGCGGCGGCAGATATGTCGAGCGAGCGCGCGGACCTGGACGCCCCGGGAGCCCAACAGGACGGAGCTGAAAAAGACCACGCAGGGGAACAGGACGGGCGAGAGGGCTGCAGGCGTGGGATGGATACAGAAGCGGCCCACCAAGAGAGACCGGCGGCAGGGGAAGCCCGGACGATCCGCGAAGCCAGGAAGGCCGCGAACAAAATGGAGGAAGCCCGCCAAGGGTGGGAAATAAACATGAAGGACGGAGAGAGGGCAAAGACACTCCACGTGCTGGCAGCTGAAGAGGTGGCCAGGATAGAACGGCGGAAGGAGATGAAAAAGGCGGCAGGCAACGCCTGGGAGCTCGGGGGCGTTGAGGCTGAAAGGGTCAAGGAGCTGGGAGGGGTAATGGCTTGGGCCAGCCGCATGCTTTCGAACGCCCGCAAAACCCTCCAGGTGCGTGGAGCTTTTGGAGAGGGGGACGGGAAAGCGAAGGGGGGCGCCTGCCTCTCTTGCATGATAGCGGACAGGAGACGCTGGGCGCCCAAAGAGCAGGAAGGCCAGACAAAAGGCAAGGGGGGGGGAGGATGCTTGAAAAGACTGGAAAAGGCGTAAGGACGCGGCCCAAAATGGGGAGCAGCCTCTTTCCGTTTGGGAAGAACTGGCAGAAAGGGCAAAGGCAATCACCGGAGCAAGCATATCAAAGGACAGGGAAGGGCCAGGGGTGGAAGTTGTCAAAGATGGGGGGAGGAAGGAAATTGGGAACGAACTGGAGAAACGACGGCGAGAGCGAGCCAAAGCCATGAGAGGAGGAAAGCAAGAAAGCAGGCACCGCGCTGGCGTACCTCTTGGAGAGATGCCGCGGGAGTAAAACGCCGGCGGCCGCCTGGCAGGGCTGGCGGGAGGGGCTGGGGGTGGAAAAATAGGGGGAAGAGAACAGCAGGCCCCAAGACAAGGAGGACCACACCAAGAGGAGAAAGAGACGGGCAACTGCAACGCGCGAAGGCAGAAGCCAAAGGAGGTCGCTGCGAGGTGCCGCAGCTTACGCAAAGCAAGGCAAATAGCCACGCAGGGGGATGAAATGGGAGGGGGGGTGTGGTATGCTTGGACAGTAAAGAGGTTAAGGCGGTGAGATGGGGGGACGAGAGGACAAGAAACCTCGCGAGGGGAAACGCCAGAACTGAACAGGCCAGGCAGCTGCATGAACTGAAATGGCGAGACAGTATGGGGGGACAGGCTGAGGTGAAAAGAAGGGGAGCGAAGGCAGCGGCGCCACCAGGATGACAGACAGCGAAGGAAAGCACAAGGGACTGCCAGACAAGACAAGCAAGAGGCAGGGGGGCCCGTCAAACTCGTGGAAGACTGGGAACACTGTGAGCAGACTGGGGAAGTGAAACCACTGACCAAGACAGCCGGCGGGAGTGCCCCCCGGGGGTGAAGAAATGCCGGGGGCCACAGTCGGGCGCCCGCCGCTGTGGTATGTGCCAGGTGGTGCACGGCACAGGCCAGGCGCGCCAGGAGTGGCTAGAACAGGCCAAGAGGGTGGGGAAGAATGAGGGAAGGCGGGAGGCATACCACGGGGCCAAGTGAATGCGCCGGGGCCCGGTGACAAAGGTGAAGGCGTGCCCATAGATACAAAGAGCGAGGGGGCTGGGCAGGTGGTGTGAAGGATGTAAAAGAACAGAAGGGGGAGAGACCTGGGCTGCACCCACTGCAGGGAAGTAGAAGAGAAAAAGACGGAGGACCCTGGCGGGAAAGAGCAGGAGGAAAAGGCCAAGGCCCTGAGAAAAAGACAGAGACGAGATGGCATCCCGCCCCACCCGATCGGTGGGCTTACATCAACAACACCAACAAGAAAAAGACAGAGGGAAGAGGAGCGGGGGGACAGGGTATGAAGAGAGGCCCAACGCAGAGCCCAAAGGCGAGGAGATAGAAGCAGAGGAAAAGAGAAGGGAAGGCAAAAAGAGACCCGCGGGCAAACTGCTGGAGGGACTCGGGGAAGGGGAGGGGGCAAAGATGAAGCCCCCAGGAGTGGAAGGGGCAAAAGGAGAAAAGAGGCTGGCGGGGGGACCGCTACAGGACCTCAGAGGGAGAGAGAAAGAGAAGAAGTAGCCAAGAGACCAAGAGGCGGAGAAGGGCAGAGGCAGAGCCCCCAAGAAAAAGGGCGCGCGAGGAGGGGGCAGGTGGGGCACACAGCAGCCCCACAGCAGTGAGAAGGAAGCAGCAACAAGAACAAAAAGGAAAGCCGAAACGGAAGAAGGAAGCCAGGACGGACGTGAAAAATAGGAAGAGAAAGGGAGGAGGCCCGGCGAAGGGACCGCCGGACGAAATGAGGCCAAGGAGACCACGAAGGGAACAGAACAGCAAAAGAGAAGACTGGAAATTATCAAGGGGCCGCCCCAGGCGAAGCCCCAGACCAGACGGAGGGGGAGGCAGTGCAGGAGGGCAGGAGCAATCGGAGCGGGCTCCCCTCGCCTCCTTGGGGTCCCCCGCAGAGGTGGCGGACGTTGGTCGGGCCTCGCTCTGTGGGGCTGAGTAGGGGCAGTCTTTTACTTTAAAGAGGGCGGCCCTCTTAGGGGAACGTAAAGCAGCGGCAGGGATGGGATGACATCCCGCCCCACCCGATCGGTGGGCTTGCATCATCATCATCATCGTCGTCACATCTTTCCGCGACGTCGATTGCTGTCAACTCAAGGCAGGAGCTGACACCCGCGGCGTCGAACAATATCAAAAAGTGCCAAAGTGTGACATCGGTGGCGCCAAAAAGTGGCAAGCTTTGGCGTCAGAGTCTCCAAAAAACAACAAAACGTGGCAAGCTTTGGCGCCGGAGCTACCAAAAGCCGGGAAGGCTTCTTGACATCGTCACGGCCAAAAAACGGCAAAAAGTGGAAAGCTAGCCTTGGCGCCTGTTTTGCCAAAAAATGGCTAACACTGGCAAGCTTTGGCGTCTGCGTTTCCAAAGCGTGCAACCTTTTAGCATTTTTTGGCGTTTTTTGACATATTTCGAAGCGCTTAGCACCTCGTGGAGGCCCCGGGAGTGACCACTGCAACGCTCTGCCTGTCAAGTTCGATAGGCGACTGCGCTGCGTGGTAATATTAGACACTAAGACTGAGGGCTTCGGCTTCGCTGCTCTTTGTTGCCTTGAGTTGGGGGCAGCTTCTACTCTGAAGACTGTCACTCAGGTTGGCAGCTACAGCGCAGCGCAGTCTTCAAGAAGTATGGAGCCAACCTGGGCTGCATGTTTTTTGAATTGTCTTGGATGAATTAAATTGCTGCGGGGCGAACTTGTTCGTGCTGCGGTGTTTATTTCTCCGTGGAAAGGGAATGGGGATGGCAAATAGGCTGCGTTGCGACTGAAAGGGAGCAGCGCGCACCTTTGAAAATGAAAGTGAGAGACTAACCCCTTTGAAAAAATTTAAAAACTGCGTTCGCCCGGTTTAAAGCAGCCCGCAAGCTCGAGACTGTAAGCCATCGATATAGAGGGAAAAAGTAAGAGCTCGCTGAGAGAAAGGCAAGGGCGCCCCCTCGAAGAAGTAAGAAAGTAGGGCTTTCTGTTCTTAGTTTGGATTGGTACGTCGGACCGGGGTCGATCGTTCGAAGATCGAAACTCTTTAGCGCGCAAGCGTTAGAGTCTAGGGCAGCACACACTACCAGCGTTCTAGCGTTGCGCTGTCTGTTAAGTTATCAGCTCAGAGCAAGTCTCTTTTTGTAGGGAGACTGGCGGCGCAGGGGTCTGGCAGCCCCCCCATGGGATGGTGGAGCGGGCGCCGACGGCTGCTGGTCATAGCTGATAGAAAGACACCGGCAGGGAGAATGGGGCTGAAGGTTAGGCCATGGGATGGCCCTCAAGGCCAACGAAGGGCCGAGCACTATGCCTGCCAGGGGAGGAAGGCGGGCCGACCGAGACAACGCGGGGGCTGAAATATGGAGGAAATTCATGGAACGACTGAGGGCGCCATGTGGATAAAGACCGGGGAAGGAGTCGCACAACATGGAGGACCCCAGCGACATCGCAGAGACTACGCGGGGCCCTGTGAAGCTAGAAGCGAGAGGAGCTGAGGGCGCAGAAGTAGGCGGAGCGGCTGGGCATGAGGGCGCGCGCTAGGATCTGGCCACGCGGTGCCTGCGTCTGTTGGAGACCGCCGCGTCGGTGCGAAAGATGGCCGCGAGATCTTCGCGAAAAGTTGCCCGGGTTGGTCTTCGTTGCCTCGGTCTTTCCGAGTATGGAAAAGGCGGCGGCGCGGCCTCGGGTGCTTTGTCTTTGTGTTGTGTTCCTCTGTTGTTGACAGCCCCGGCGCCAAGTGAGTGCGGGCCGCCCGCTCGTCATTGGCGTCGGCGCTGCTTGGAATACAGCCGCGGCACGCCTGTGCAAGCTCCTCGAGGTGTAGAGGACCCGCGCGGAGGACGGGGGAAACGCAGGCGGGGAAGCAGTGGCAAAGCGGGGCGGCGTTGGCCATCTTTCTGCGCTTGAACGCCTGGGGTGGCTCTCAGTTTTTTTTTTCTATATGAAAAATGCAAACCTTGGCGAAAAGTTTGCGAAATCTTTCAAAAGAGTCTTTGGCTTGCGGAGTCTTTCCGAAAAGATTAGCGCAAGCATGAAGTTCTAACATTTTCAAAACTTTTAAACTTTCCGCAAACATTCCGCGAAGATTTTGGCGCGTTCGTCTTCCGTGTTTTTTTGATGAAGACACGGGAGTGGATCGCCGAGGACAAACTCGCAACAGCTTGCAACGAAACCGCATAAGGCTCCGCGCTTGTTGTCTGTGGTTTTTGTGGTTTCTCTGTTCTTCTCTCCAGGCTTGGGAGGCCTCTGGCGTTGTGCATTCGTTTGGGAATTTGGCGCGAGGCTGAGCCGCAGACTGGTTCGCCGGCTTGTGGTGCTCTCGGCGCAGTGGTTGGCCTGTCCGTGTGTGGGCTGTGTCGGTTTCGTTTTCGGAGCTCCTTTTGGCTTCGTTTTAGTCAATGAGACAAGGACAAGGGCCGCGCGCGTGAGCCTCGGCAGCTTTTCGCCAGGATTTTCCGCCACCGGTGATTGTCGGGCGCGGTGGTCTCCGGCGTCTGCAGTCCATCCTCAGGGAGGAACTCCGGGACGCGGTGACGAGGGTACTACACAACACCAGAAGAGGAGAGAGAGGGCCGACAGGGCTGGAGTCCGTGCAAATATTTTGGCCAGGAGGGAGGGCTCCAAAGGTCCCAGGGAGTTCGTCGCGCACTGGGTGAGGACAGCGAAGAACTTGGGAGAGGAAGGTCGCGAAAGCTGTGGGCACCGGGCTGCGACAGAACATACGGAGAGGGGGTGAGAGTGGAAAAAGGGAAGGGAGTCCATGACGGACGCAGACGACCCGGCAAGGCTTTCGCACTCCCGCGCGATCTGCTTGGAAGGGGCAGGGCTGAGCCTCGCAGGAGTCAGGGAAGAAGCGCGGAGGGCGCTGAGGGCGAAACGGTGGCCCAGTTAGTTTCGGGGGTGGGATACTGATCCAGGACAAGCAAGGAGCGGCGGAGCCCTTGAAGCTCGTGGAAGAGAGACTGGGGACGCCGTGACCATGAACAGGCGGGGGAAACTAGAGGCCAGGGCGGTTGACGATCGTGCCCCTGGAGTGTGAAAAAGTGTCAGGGGGCGGAGTTGGGGGCACGCCGCTGCGGTATGTGTCAGGAGGGGGCATGGGAGTAGCCAAGCACGCCAGAAGCGGCTGGAGCAGGCCAAAAACAAAGGCCAGAAACAGAAGACGAGAAAAGACGCGAGGCACACCACAGGGCGAAGCGGATGCGCTGGGGCCTGGTGGTGGAGGTAAAGGAACGGGCGCGGCTGGCTGTCGGAAGGCCTGGCTGTGTGGTGTGAAAGATTGAGAGAGCGGGGAGGAGTCTGGGCCATGCCACCCACTGCAAGGAAGTAGGAGGAAGAGAAGGAGAAGGAAAACGCGGGAGAAAAGAAGCAGGAGGGGGGGGCAAAGCGTGAAGGAAAAGACGCAGAAAAGAAGAGCAGGGGGGCAGGGAGTGGAAGGGTGCACCGCGCAAAGCGCACACGGGTGAAGAAGCTGGGGAGGAGAGAAGAAATGGAAGGACAGGATCGGCGGGGGAACCGCCTGAAGAACCCAGGGAAGGAAAGGAGGAGGAGAAGCTCCCCAAAACGGAAGAAGCAAGCAAGGAAAAGGGAAGAATGAAAAGACCGGCGCGGGAGCCGCTCCAGGGCCTCAGGAGTGGAAAGAAAGGGAAGAAGGCGCAAAGAGGGCAGAAGAGAGACGAGGACAGCGCGCTGAAGGAGGACAAGAAGGGGGCAAGAGCGGCGGCAAAAGGCCCCAGAGCAGCGAGAAAGAGACAGCAACAACGACAGGAGACGAAACCAAAAGGGAAGGAGGACGCCAAGGAAGTGAAAGAGGAGGGAGAGAAGGGCGGAGAGCCGGGCAAGGGGGTGGCGAGACGAAACGAGGCTGAAAAGACCAAGGAGGGAACCGGACAGCAGAAAAAGGCGCCGGCCGAAATGGCGGGGCCGCGCGCTCTCTCAAGGGGGGGCCCCCGATGGCGGGGGAAACAGTGCCGGAGGTCTTTTTTTTTGCGTTAGGACTATATGCCACCGCCCTTTCAGACAGTCAATTAACGTGCCCAACTATTGCCATCCAAATTACATACTGGGGGCGCGAGGGCAAGGGGAGAGCGCTGCGCAAAGGCTTCCCTCGCCTACTTGGGGGTCCCCCGGAGAGGTGGCGGGCGTTGGTTGGCTTGGCCTGGCTTGTCTCTGCGGGGCCTGGGGATGGGCATAAAGGTAGCAAGCAACTGGCAGTACTCAGAGTGATCTAATTGCCAGGACCTGTTTTGCAAAAAGCTGCCGCATTCGATCAAGGTGGACGACGACGACGACGGAAAAAAGGCCGCAAAGGAAGCCAAGAACGGCTCCGAATGCGCGGCCGCAGCTGATTTCGTGGAAGAATGGGGGCGCAACGTCGCTAAGCAGGGATCCCGGTCCATCGACTTGACGACCCCTTTTTGCAAGCAGTTGAGCAAGGTTATCGATGTGGGCACGCATACGGCGCTCTGCATGGACGCGATGCACACAGTGAGCAACTCAGCCCTTCTTACGACGTTAGCCAGCCAAGGAGGCACTGCGACTGGCGCGGCAAAGGAGCAGGGGCCACATCAAAATGTGCTAGCGTCGACTTGGGAGAGCATTCGCTTGCTGGAGCGGAGGAAGCTTTTCCATCGAGACATCAAGGCAGCGAACTTTCTCTCTGTCTCGCAAGCTCATGACCAGCAACGCGTGATGTGGATGGCCAGCGACTTTGGCTTTGCGTGCAGTTACAGCGAACAGGTGACGAGCGTGGCGAAGTGCAAGGACCACGATGAATCTGGCACGCTTGGCTACCTGTCGCCAGACCATCTTACAGGGGGTCAGCTGGTGCAGCCTGCAGCTCGTGCTGCAAGAGGAGACTCCTTCAGCTGGTCCGTCATGATCGTCGATGGCGCCAGGGCGCAGTGCGGTGACCCAAGTGAGATGAAGGAGCCTACGGGCTTTTCAGAGATGCTGGGATTCAAGGCGGAGGTCAATTATGGTGTCCCACTTCGATTTTCATCACAGGACAGACGTTCGGCTATCAGTTGAGATATGCCATCCTGCTCACGGGATGACATACGAGCTGGCAAGTGAAAACTTCCAAGTAGGTGATGCCCTCTCTAAATCTAGCACGCAGAGGAGTCCGTGGTTGATTACGTCAGAGGGAAGCATACGATATGCCCAAAGAGCTCTATCTTGGTTATGAAGTGACAGACTTTTTGGCTCGGACCTTTTCAAGTATTACTCTCTCACCGATAGAGGACGCTGCGCCCAAGTAGAAGTTGCTTAGTAAATTTTGTTCACCAAACAGCGAAAGCTCGCATAAGAGCACGATTAACATTTAAGTATCGTCTTTTTATAATATGAATTCATTTATTTGGCTCAAGGAAGCGCTCGATTGTATAAGATTAGTGCTAAGTTGAGGATCTAATAAAGATTGACTAATCCACTATCGTCTAGGAAAACTGCATTAGAGTATTTATATTATAAATCATAGTATATGTCGACGCTGTAGTTGTACTACATGATGATGCTCTCACGTTGTTGCAGATGTCTCAGGAGAAAGTACAGTCCGCTGCCGATGCCGGGGAGCTTTTGCTGAAATTATGACGCATGTGCCCCTCGTAGTAAGTAGATGCTATCGTATCCGTAACCGTATCCTCACAAAGACTTACCCAGTCCTCGCTTACTTAAAAGCGTTGCCTTTGGTATTGATTTGGGTGCAAGTCGCGTATGAATATGAAAGTAAATTCAAGCTGACCTCACCCAAACCCTAAGAAAGTACAATACGTATCTACTATTTTTAAGTAGAACTAGTACTCCATCTCCAACTGACCCTCGTATTCATTGCCATGGATCGCCGGAAACGAGAAAGGAGCAAATAAAAGGGACGCTCACACTCGCTGTCAAGCCGTTCTCGTGTCTCTGCAGAGTACGATGCTGATGCCCCTGGAGCGTCCTGGCAGCCATGCTGATTTGGATAAACCAAGAGAGAAGCCGGAAGCGGAACCACCAGGACCAGCAGTGAAGCCTCAGCGCCGCAGTTTGAGTTCGGTGGCTGGCGTTCTGAGGGGTTTTTTTCGGCTTGGGGACGCTAGGACTGAAATTCACGCCCTTAAGCGTTTCTTATATAGTTCCCGGCAGGTTTCCGCTGTGCAAATCGTGGGGGTTTTGCATGGTTCTCATGCGGTTGCACGTTTGTCAAATGTGCTGCAATGATCTCCATGACCTTCACGCCCTTAATGGTCTTCGTACTCATAACAGTATCGGGGTCATCGTCGTCGTTCTCTTACTTCTAACATTGGCGGAACAGGGGAACACGAACGGGGTCAGGGTCTACGTCCGAGTGAGGTGCGTCCCTCGTTACCCCCGAAGCGTCGTGGACCAGTGCGGGCGATAGACCTGATGGCCAGCGCGCTTTTAGGTGACCCATGGATCGAATACGAGTCGACCCTGGAAAAGAACTACAAGTGGAGGGCCTATCAAGATAGAGCAGGTCATACCCCGGAGAGTTTTGATGAAATTCGCAGGGATGATTGCAAGGACGGAGAGTTGTAAGCAAAGTTTTCGGGATCATTTGTTTATTTCCATCACACCTGTGGTGGTGGGTACTAGACGTCTGCTTCTGATGGATAGAAGACGAAGTCACTTTTTGAAGAAAGGACGACGATGATCAAACTCACGCTTCTAAGGCTACAATATCTACCAGATGATAAAAACAAGGCATTCCTTCCAGCAATGAAAGAATATTAGGAACAAACACACTTGATTCTGAATGGTTGGGAAATTATGCGGAAACTAGGAATAGTCGTGATGCAAAGAAACAAGACGATGAAGCTGAGAACAGTCTACTATACTAAATCTAAACTGGTGTTGTATTTGCAAATTATCAAACTATCAAAGTTGTTGAAATTCATGATGGTGAATTCGATGATACTAACACAGGAAAGTAGGGCTTAGGCAGACAAGATACATCAAACTATTGTATTGGCAAATCAAAGTATGAAAGTAGTTGTAGAAATTCATGATCTCGATGAAAACACAGGAGGAAAACGGAAGAAATGCAACTACCCATTTAGATTTAATATCTCAACAAAAATTATTGTGCAGTAAATGATGGGTCCGAAAGACTATTATATATAGAAGAGATAGAATATCACATGATCGCGATTTCGATGAAAATACAGGAAAATGGAAGAAGTACTATTGATTTAATACCTCAATCTTTGCACAGTGAATGTTGAGTACGAAAAATTGGAAAAGAATTAAGACAATAGATATGAAGTTGAACAAGATGAAAAATATACACAGCACGAATCAGGAGAAGTATAAAGAAACTCGTCCTACTTTCTTACTCACGAAAAAAACTAAAGAAAGCAAGTAGAAGTATAGATGGACTGTCCCTGTCGCAACAGCATCCCTTACATTTGTTTTTGAGAAAAAGTTCCAACGATGAAAACGAGTAGTTGATGTATTCTATAGATGATGAAGAGCAATAAGATTATGAAACCTAGCGCTGTCGAACTCGAAGGTTCTTCTACCAAGCACTAACTGATACTGCTGCAGCATGCGTAAAGCATTAATGTTTGTTAATTCGGATTTTTCTTGCGAAGTTAGTAGTACGAGTAGGAGTACGGCAACGGCATGTAGTTGTGTTCAACTTCTTTGCACTCCACTCTGTCTACTATGCTTTTTCTTGACGAGAGAAAAGGGAGAATGGGTGACAGAGATAGATGGAGAGATACAGAGTCAGGCGGGAGGCATTACGACCTGACAAGCGAGACAGACGGAAAGAGCGTGAAGAGCGATTTAGTTTTAGCGAATAGTTGTACCTGAAGAGCTCATCCCAGCATGATGCTTGAGGAAACAACTTGTTTCAAACAAGACTAAGAAGCAGTGTCTTTATGCGGGGCTGTCCACAGTTTTTGTACTACTACTAGGTAGAAGATGCCTACATGGATGATTGACAGTCTGGAGTTCATTTTGTCTTATTGTCGATGCCTCCCACGAACTTTTTCTCATCAGAAGACGAAGAGCATCTTGAATTATCGCCATCACGTAGTGACTGAAGCAATCAAATTTTACGTAATATAATCGACAACTACATCACCATCGACCACGACGATTCACGAGACGAAAAAAATGCTGCGGTTCTCTCAGTCTCTCGTCTCGTGCCTTGTGGCAATTTTTGATTGCTGCTCGGTTTCGAAGCAGGTGTGGCGAAAAAGCACGAGGCAGCTGCAAAGGTGAAGAAGACAAAAGCCACGCCTTCGACTTCGAAAACAAACTTGTCTGATGTTGGCAAAAAACAAGAGAGAGCTACTCCTGGCGCAAAGAGCATGCAAAAGGACGAGGTGAGCCCAACCAAGTATGCTGCAAGAACATGCGCCACAGGAAGACCACAAAAGAAATCAAGTCTACGATCAAGAAGGACGAATCCAACAAGAAGTAGAGAGACCAAGTGGTAGAAACAAATGAGCACTGTCCGACGTAGCAACTGGTGAGTGAAAGCCGACTCGTACTCATCGAGCACTGCTCATGGTCGTCAAGGTCAACCTTTTCAACCCACTGGCGACCGGCGTCGCACCTCCTCCAGCAGGCAAGAAGCAGCAGGACGAATCCTTGACACCAATTGTAAGTTGCGTGCTTTATCAATATGGGCGCAAAGTCTGAGGACCTCAAATAGAATACTACTATTTATGTATGAGGTGGCATTGGAGAAGGCCTAGGCCTTCAGTCGGGAAAATTGACACTCGAACAAGTTCTTGTACCCGAGTATCAAATAAATCGTCTACCAAGAAGAAGTCGCTATTGCAAAGTATCGCATATTTATGTTTGTCACGACGACTATTGATTTGATTTTGTCCGTCGCGGAAGTAGTATCATCTTCATCATCGCGACTACTTGTATACTTTCTTGCCAGTCATCGATGGCTCTCAACCATTTCTGTAATTGAACTAGTTTAATAGTTCTTCAATAGCTCGAGTCGAGGCGAGGGGATAGAAGCGCTTCAATCTGTTTTCATCAAAGTCAAGCTCTCGACCAGGGCTGTGCTAGCGCGTAGGCTGAACTACCAGAGCAAGTTTTGGCTGAAAATGTTGCCTTGTACTACTTAAACAAGAATTTATGAATAGTTAGTAAGTCTACTACTCGACGTCGAGGACAGTTCGCTCTATGTATGGAAGGGCTCTGGTGCAACACGTTCTTACACCTCTGATGAAGCATTGGAATCAAACTCCAATGGTTATTGAAGGACAAAACAGGGGCAGCATGATGCAAGTGATTGAAAAAGAGCGCGTTCTTTCTAGTCCGCTGCATTTTTCTTGTTCGACGATGCTGCCTTGATGCTGACAAGCATGATTGCATTTTCTCCGGTGCTGGAGGATAACGATACTAGACACGCTGTTCTTGGGCTCCTCGTCGTGCTCGTGGCATGGCTACAGCGATGGACTGCTCGGTCTCTTCCCAATTTGTTTCCCCCCCTCCACCTTTTTTTACAAACTTTTTCATCAAATTGAATTACAAGAACTTCTGTATCTGTAAACGACCGTAGAGTGGTCGGGCCTGAACACAATGAGTAAAGGAGAGTGAATGTGAACGATAAGAGCGCGTGCGCGCAGGATGCTCTTTGCAACAATTGGAGGGAGAAGTGCTAGCATCGTGGTCAATTGCATCAGTGCTCCTTGGCCGATTCTTGTGGAATCTAATCAAAGGCTGTCCCTCTGAGTTGCTGCGGGGTTAATCTGATGCCCCCACTAGAAATAGCCCAGTCCTATGCACTGGGAAGCTTCCGCTGAATTGAGACGCATTTCCACTAGTCATGAAAAATGCCTTAGACATTTCTAGTCAGGACAAAAGCCGAGCTCTTCGAAATAAAATTTCGAAAAAAAATCGAACTTGCTCATAATAGAGTGACTTTTGTGATTATGTGGATGTTGAGGTATATAATTCCACTTTTGTTGTTCGAAATTCTGGCAAAAATGGACAGAAAAATGAGCAGAGGGCCGCGGTGAGGTAACTTTGCCCTCTTCTAAGGAGTGCACCTCTCATCTGCGGAGGCGGGCGACGCCTTCCGCCGACGTATTGCGATTAGACTTACAGCACCTTCTTGCCCTTCTTCCGAACGTTCATTCAGCTGTCGAGATGGAATCTACAGCTGTCGAGATGGAATCTTCGTCGACAGCTTGTGAGTAGGAGCAAGAATAGTTGATGTTCGACAATACCTAGTCCTCGACGGCTAGCAACTGGCAG